ATGGCAGCAAGGATTACTAAATCCTAACTTCCTAACTAACAATCGCATACAGACTTACTCATTTAAAATGCCATCAGGAAATTTTCTATTGGGTCAAAAAAATATTTTTTTCCCGGGAACCTTTGGGTGCCTCTGTCATGAGATAGCAATTAAAGGCAAATATAGAAACATCTGTTATTTCAGTGTTTTTACAGTGCGGCAAAGAGTCGCTCTTTGCCAGAATCAAATTCCATTATATTTGGATGCTAATCAAGGGTCCATATCTTTCGTGTGAAGTTAAGACTTGAATCATTATCAGCTACGGAAAGCTAAAAATGCAAAAGCTCAAGCTGGCGATATCAATTGCTCTGAGAGAAAAATTGAATTCGTGACAATCACCGAATGTACTACGCAGACTACACAACTATTCAAAATTAATGTACGGCCACACATACAAACTTGTTTCAAAATATTTCAAATTAACTGTGTATCTAATTACGCTTTATACCTTTTTTTCTCTCCGTTTCGTATCCGACTAGAACTAAAAAACAAAATAGTGACAGGATCAAGTTATACCTTTGGCAAAACATTTTGTGCAACTGTAAAAGAAAAGTTATTCAATTTTTGTTCCTGCGATTCTCTCAAGCAATTAACGATTCTACTTTGGTGATGACAGTTAGTTTCCAATGTTGGAGTAAACAGGATAATTTATTAATCGAGATGGAAAATAAAGGGATGGGCGCTCAAACCTTATCAACAGTCGCTGAAAAATTTACAATTGTTCTAGGAGAGGCTTCGTCTTTACCAACTCTGACGCATATATCAAACTCTCTAAGATTGCCTCGTGCTCTATATCGCACACTGAGGAATGAATAAGTTGTTAAAAAGACACCTGCTTGCCAAGACAGATTCGGACTTTTATTGGGCCTCGTTTACATGATGATGTTTCTTTCGACGTTATACATATAAGTAAATACCCGTTTTTAGAAACCTTTCAAATTTGAAAATATATATCAAATAAACATATGTTTTCTTTTGTCACTGAAAAGAGACTTTTTGTGATGAGAAGAAAAAAAAATATATAAACTATTTAATATATTTTTTCAAATAGCATCATTTTCGAAAATAGGTTTATATATATTTATATATCAACTTTAGATCCATTGTTTTATTTTTGGACGGGAAATTGCTGATAGAAAAACCAACAACTCATCCAATTCTTTAATATAGAGTAGGAGTTTATCCAGAAAATTCTCAATTTCTGCAGCTGGTCAAACTACTAAAAACGTGTGTGAGGGCTGCGACAAGTTTTTAATCTCAAAGAATTTTAGTTTAGTACAAATTAGCAATAAAAGGTAATTTCGTTGACAAACAGATAGACATCGGCTATATTACTGTTTGATAGGAGAACTTTTTTTTCACCTTTTTAAATGATGAAATAAGCAGTACATTAAGATAAGATGTCATCTGAGTGCCCATTATTAAATTGAAATATTCTCCCTTTATTGAAGACAATACTAAACAATAAGGAGGAAAAGTTAACCTAGTGACCCTATGATCTAATCTTCTTTCTTCCTTCTTCTGCTTAGTGAGGTAATAAAAGTGCTTTTGTATCAAGAAAGCTCTCACGAAGCACGCAGGAAGCTGAGGAGACATCATCCAGCCATGACACCCTCGGCCTCGTTTTGTTTACGAAATTTCTTCAAATACTGAATTATTCATTTCGTAACATATTTACTTTTCTTTCGACTCTACGTTATTTATTTTAACTTTTGATCCGTTATTTTATTCACCGATGGGGAAATAGCTGAGAAGCAAACCACACGAGTGCCTTCATTGTTAAAAAAATGCAACAACTTATTTGATTCTTGTGTAGAAGTTCTTTTTCTGGAACTTCTCCTTCCCATTAATCTCCACTTTAATTATTCTGAAAAGCGACTGCAGCTTGACTAGTAGGCGGTAATAAATGGGCAACACAGCGGTCAAATGATTACGCATGCGCTTATAGACAGATAATTTGCCTTTGTAAACATTGAGAATCTAAATGATGCGTAATTTTTCTCAGTTTCTTAGGAAATTTCAAAGTCTCTAAGGCCCCGGCTTACACACATTGTTGTTTTAGACTCAACCCGTGTTGTGCTATTTTGCACTTTCGTACTTTCTTTTACACTTTGCATGGCAGTGTGATGAAGTCGTAGGTAGAAGAAAGGTTCTGTAGTTTGCCTTCATCGTCAGAACAAGGCTTCTGGGTTAAAAATGAGTTGAGATATCTCACATTATAATAAAGTTCGGATATAACACGCGCTGTCATTGGTTAAAAGAGCGTGCTCTATGAGAGTATAGAGCATAGAGCTGAGCTAAAGCTGTCACGCCATCTGCTAATTGTTTTCCGGGACTTCTTTTTAGCTTTAATTCCGATAATTGAAAGTGGAATTTCGGAACTGAAGCGAGCTGGCAATTAGCAACAGAAGAACCAAACAAAGGTTTGTAAACATACCAGGCGCCGTAATTTACGTTATTAAAACGTGAGCAGATACGAAAATCCTCAAAGGAAAAAACAAAATAAAAATTCCGAGTTTTAAAGGTTTTCACGCTCAGTTAGATTGCGAGCCTACGTACGGTAATAAAAATCAAACACAGCTAACACTCGTATAGTATGTAAAGTTCAGAATTAAAAAACAAAACAGAACAAAACAGAAATGATGAAAAATATAACCAAACTGGTATAATTGTTAAAATTCATACTAATCATGACGGTGTCTGAGCGAATATCATGATCATGCTGAAGTTCATCGCGGCTCGCTCATCATGGCGATCTCCGGTCATCACAGTAAAGCAAGCCTCAGAAACTACATCGGTCGCCCTTCGAGTGAAAAAATAAGAGCTTGCTCTAATATCCTTTCCGATACGTTGAGTGGAAAGTCACATCAGTCACTGCAGCCGAGTTTTGCGGCGCTGTCATCACGAGCGATCTTCATGTTCCGGTGAATTCGGCTGTCGTTCATTCAAAAAACACTCGCCTTGAACAGCTTTTTTTCTACCTTATCATGTGAAAAAACTCGCGTGTTTTTATGAGCCATAATTCGGCTGAAGTTCACTGAACATTTCACTTCAAGATTCTGTATTAGAGACTTAAAAACTAGGCCCGATAATCAATTGAAAATATTCTTGCTCTATTTTGGTCAATTCTGAATTCAATAAATCTTTGTGAAACGACTTGAAAGAAGTATAGGGAAGAGTTTGGGACAGTTAATCGCTCGGAAATGGTAAACAAAGAATCAACATCACTTGGAGACAACTGAAAAATACACCATGAACAAACTGAATATAAAGCGACACTTTCTATCGAATATTTTTAAAAGTCGATAATCTCTTTCATTCAATATTCCTTTTTTCCCTTTAGCATATAATTTCAGCAAAACGATGAACCTGAAAGAGAACTTTGTAATAATCGTTCTTGCTTCAATTTTGTTCCTTACACTTTCTTATAATAACAAACGTGAGAGTATGATCATACGCACGCACATCTTTTCTTAGAATATGAATTGATCTATTCATGATACTTTGTGGTAACATTAAAACTATTTTTACAAATTTATGGTTAGTTTTTCCATAGTCTTCTCTTTAGTTGTTAAGGTGCGAAAAAAATACAAACGAGAGACCTCGAGCAAACATATACATTATAGTATAGCTGATTGACGAGAGTTCCCTATCAGTCAGTTTTGAACTTTGTTGCCGACATTGCTCTGTATTCGTTTCCTTTTTCTTGCACTGAGGCAACTGGCAACGAAAGGTATTTCGTTTAAACAGCATACGCCGAGCGACGATGACTGAAACTTCCTTCAATAAACACATAAGTATTTTCTCATCGGCGTTTGCTCATTCAAAGTGCGTAAGCAAGTTGTCTGTTTTGCCAAAAAGTTGATTTTTTTTTTCCGGAACCTGTGACAAGCCTTTAGAACCGTTAGAACCTGTGAGGTGGCTCACGGATAAAATAACAATAAAAGGAAAAAATAGAGACATCTGTAATATCAGTTTTTTAAAACAAAATGCGAAAAACAATCCCTCAGATTCAAGCTTCGTTTTAATATTTGAATTAATTTACATTTTAATAGTTTGATGTATTCGGAGATATCACGAGTCCAATTTTTTCTTAGATCTTTCAAAGTTGCCAGCTTGATCTTCGTAATTTCAGTTTGTCGAGGCTGATAATGATTGAAGTATTAATTTCACACAGATGATATGGACACTTGATTAGCTCCCTATCGATGAAAGTTTATCAGGAAACGTGACTAAAATAGGAACAAGTTAGTTATGAGTCAAACGCACAGGCAGACATCTTTGATACTATTAGCATTTCACAATTATTTTAAACGCCGTCTTCTCAGGTACGTAGAAATTCACCTTTAGCTGAGCGGAGAAGATGGAATCTTACGTTTAATCTCGGAAAATTAGGGGTTTTGAAAATAATTTAATAAGAGAAGGTTAGTGTTTATTTAAATCCATGCATCCACTTACACAATGTTTGTTTTATGATATCATTATCAATGACATTTTCAAACATTCATAAGCAATATGGATATTTTTCTAATGACAAAACAAGTTCAAGTTTGCAACTGTTTATAACAACGACAAGAGAGTTGCCAGGAGATGAGGACAATGTACACAGCACAGAAAGAAATTGTAGGTTGATGCGACTCATCTACCAAACAGGTAGATAAAGCCATTATTTCTTTCGCTTTCTTACAATAACATTCATGAGAGTATAATTTACGTCAAGAGATTAGAAGAGATTATATATTCTCTTGTGCACGTTCATCTTTCCTTCGATTAATAATTGATGCATTCGAAATAACGTTTAGTAGCATGTAAAAATTATTTTTTAAAAGTTTTGGTTTGTGTCTCCATTGCCTTCCATCTATTTGTTTTACGTGACTAACAAAAAATATTATCGACAGACCTCGAACAAGCCTGAGAATTTAACTCGCATGCGTTCTCTATTACTATAACTCGAGGTTGTTCTAACTCCATGGACAGCAAAGTGCTTGTCTGATTGTCAGCTTCATTCCTTTTCTCACTTCACTAATCTTCCAGCAGTAAAGAAACGGGTTTAACGTCGAGTTAAAGTAAACTAAGATGGTTGTCATTTGCAATGTGACGAATAAGTGTGATGAGTATGTTGTACTATTAGTGACTACAACTCCCACTATAAAGCATGGTGTATAGCAAACAACTAATGCTAACTCTACCCACAGTGCACTGTGTACTGCCTTTCTGTATCGTGCCATGTTTAGAACATTTGGTTGGCTCGGCTGTTGTTGAATATGATTTTGTACTTGTGCCTGATGATGTCTGAGAGTGCGTAAAATCTTTGTGCACGAGGCGAGTGAAATAAGCAGCGAAAGTGGTACCAATATCAAGGCATACAAAGCGGTTATTCGCTGATCGAAAATGGTGCATAAAGAGGCGACAAGACATAAAACCCAAAAGCTAGCTATAATGATATAAATGTGCTTCAAAGTTACAATCTCTTTGTATCTCAGCCCCGACAACAGGGCGATAAGTCTGTCCACGCTTATTGCTGCCATCGTCAGCAAAGAAACTCCACATAATACTGAGCCTGTGATGTAGGCTGCATCCCCTGCGTAACGACAAAGACTCCAATGTTCGTGAACCACCGACATCCAATAAGTAACACGGAGAGGCTGAGCAACAAGACCAACCAACAGGTCAGTTGTTGCCAGACAACGATAAAAGAGTTTGGACGGTGGGTGAAGGGAAGATTCTTTGTTAAGGGCAACAAGGATAAGAGAATTCCCAAGAAATGTTGTGATGGAGAGGAGAATGTCAACTGCTGCGAAAGTAACTGATGCTGATTGAAGCCCACCCACCAAAGAGGGGGAGCATAGCAGTTCTTCAGTTGTTTTCGTCTGTGTTCCACCTCTATTGAAATTTGTTGTCGACATAATTCTGCATTCGTTTCCTCTGTTCTTGCAACGAAAAATATTTTGTCCAAACAGGACTCACCGAACGATGATAAATGAAACCTTCCTTCGATAAACACATTAAGACTTCCTCACTAGCGTTTAATTATTTAAAATGTAATTAAGTGCAAACATTATCCGCCGTATTGTGGTAAATTCTGAATTCCAAAAAGCTTCGGGAAATATGAGTTCAAGGAAAAAGGAGTGAAAGTTAGGAACAGTTTAGCACTCGGAGTTGGTAGACATAGGATCAATAAAACTTGAAGACAACTTAAAAATAGACCAGCATTAAACTGGATATATTAAATATTTCAGAAGTTGACAACATTCTTGTCATGACGTAATTTGTGATAGCGACTAGAGAAATATTTCGTTTAAACACCAATTGCACAACGACGACTAATAAAACCCCATTTTCTACATAACATCTCAAATAAAAACTTCCTGACTACAGTTTACACGTTTGAAATACGTCAGAAAATTGTTTGCTGTGTCAAAAAAGCCTTTTTTGTGCCTAGCTTGTCTTGTACATCACGTATAAAATAGGAATAAGAGGCAAATATTGAAAGACATCTTTAATTTAGAATTTGTTCATGCTTAGCGTGCGTATATCGAGTTATGGATGCGCCCGGGAAGTTTGGAGAGCACAAAAAAGACATAAGAGTAGCTCGAGACGCAGCCGAGAGCAACTCTAGCTTTTTGAGTGCTCTTCAAACTTCCCAAGTGCATCCATAACTCGATATACACACAGCTAAAAGCATGAGCAAATTCTTTTAGAACAGAGCGACAATGAACAAATAATGCTCACGCCATCTTATTTACGCACGGTAACTTAACCTGCGAGAAGAAACTCACTATTAAGGCTTCAATACGAGTTACTTCGGCGCTTGAGTAAGTTTGAGACTTTTAGTAACACGACTCGAGGGCGAAGGAACGCCGTGCCGCAGTGCCAAAAATGGGAACCTGGAACCATCTTAGGCCGATGTTTATACGACCTAGTTTCATCGATAGGGTGTCAATCAAATGTCCATATCATTTGTGCAAGGTTGACCCTTGAATCATTATCAGCCTCAGCAAGCTGAAAATAAGGAAGATTTAGGCTAAGGATGTCAATCCTTGACAAACTTTTTGTCTTGGAAAAATCATGAGCCAAAATTAGCCTTTGTTATGAAATTTTTCTCTGCCAACGTCTTGTCCGAGAAATGTGGTAGGTGTCTGAATTTCTTCATGTCATAATTCCCCTGAGCGACTCGCCATTCTCCTCCGCTAACCAGGATTATATGGCTTTGTTAAAGTGAATATGATAATCTATTGATTGAGAAGGAAAATAAGGAATGGATGCTTTAAAAAAAACTAAACTAAAAATTTAATTTAAACTTATTTTAAAAATTTGAATTTAATAGTCTAATTAGTAACATTTTGTGGCTCTTTTACCTCCGTTTCGTCTCCCACAAGACGAATAATGAAACAAAAGAAAAGCAAGAAACTACGTGTTTAAACAATTTTTTTGCTGTTTCTTTTACATTCTCTATTTGCTCTCTTCCTTTCGCCAAAAAGTTTTTTTAAGAAAACTGTCCTTGAAAATTTATGAGCCAAAGTTAGCCTGGCATACCTCTGTTATAAAATTTTTCTCTGCTAACGTCTTGTCGCGAAAAGAGGGGAAAAATCAGTTTGATACCAAGCAAGCTTTCATGCATACAGCAGGTGTCTGAACTTCTTCATGTCGTAATCCCCCTAAGCGACTCGCCATTCTCCTCTGATAACCAGAGTTATATCACTAAAGTAAAAATGATAATCCACTGATCAAGAAGGAAAGTGAAGGAATGGATATTAAAAACTACAAACAAGCTATGAAAATATTTAACACATTGTTATAGAGGAGGTAGAGCCATCATTTAAGGAGAAACTGAACAAATTTAGAGTTTTATTGACTCAATATACATCATTTAAAGCTCGTTAACTTGTACATTGCAAAATATATCATCAATTAATTCAGAATATTCAAGGTAATCCGTGAAAATATTTAAATGTCAATGAACGATCGATCAGCACTGGAGCAGCAACCCTCTGAAACCGCATCCCACCCAGTCTTTAATAAAACTGTGATGGTCAATTTTATTTCTTTCGCTTTCTTATAATAACATTCATGGAGTATAATTTAAGTCAAGAGATTATAGAAGATTATATATTCTCTTGTGCACGTATATCTTTCCCTGGATTAATAATTGATGCATTCAAAATAAAGTTTGGTAGCATGAAAAATATTTTTTAAAAGCTTTGGTTGGTGTCTCTATTGCCATCCATTTATTTGAATTACGTGACTAGCAAAAAGTAATATCGACAGACCTGGAGGAAAAGTTTAATTGACAAGCGTTCGGTCAGCTTTGCACTAAAAGTACTTATACGATCATGTATAACTCGACGATGGTCTAACTCCATGGACACCAAAGTGCTTGTCTGATTGTCTGCTTCATTGCTTGTCTCACTTCACTAAACTTCCAGCAGTAAAAAAAATGGGTTTAACGTCGAGTTAAAGTAAACTAAGATATTTACCATTGCGCGTGTGACGACTAAGTGTGATGAATATGTTTTACTATAAGTGACTTCGATTTCCACAATATAGTGTGGTGTATAACAAACAACTAAAACTGACTGTACCCACTGTGCACTGCTTTTCCGTATCGCGCCATGTTCAGTGCATGCGGTTGGCTCAGCTGTTGTTGAATACGATCTTGTACTTGTGCCTGAAGATGTCTGAGAGTGCGAAAAATCTTTGTGAACGAGGCGAGTGAAATGAGCAATGAAAGTGGTATCAATGTCCAGCCCGCGCCATAAAAAGCGGTTATACGCTGATCAAAAATTGTGGTTAAAGAGGCGTCAAGACATCAATCCAAACGGTAGCTTCAAGGATATAAATGCGCTTCAAAGTTACAATCTCTTTGTATCTCAGCCCCCACAGCAGGGCAACAGATACAACGATACAAGAGTTTGGATGATGGATGAAGGGAAGATTCCCTATGAAGGGCAACAAGGATTGGAGAATTCCCAAGAATTGCTGTGATGGAGAGGAAAATGTTGACTGTTGACAAATATATTGATTGCGAATTTGGGGAACAGACCAGTTCAAACGGTTTTCTGCAATCCACTTCGTTTTATAATTGTTGTTGTCTTCATTTTGCGACGCAGTCTAATGAACAGTGGTCCACTTTTCTCGGCTTTAATTGCAGCAAGATATGTTTGTCTTGTCATCACCTGCTGAGCTTTACTTACCTAAAAAGATTGACATAACGAACTCCCAGCAGCATTTACTATTCCAACAATGTTTGTACAGCTGTTAATCATGTCGTTAAAGTGTCAAAAAATGCTCTCAGGGAATCTAGCTGTCAAAATACACAAGAAAAAATAAATAACTGAAGAGGAATACCCCTAGAAGGCTGATGTTTCTTCAGGCGTTTTCCAGTGACGCCGAAAGCTACTTAGCGTTCCTTTTTAGCCGGAAGAAATTTTGAATGCCTGTTCCTGTTCACTATCACTTAAAACCTTCTTTCTATTCTTATCTCAAAAAGACTTCCTCAATGGCGATTACCGTTTACAATGCGTGGGCAAACTACATGTATGTCGCGTAAATTCGAAACAAACAAAAGGACGTGTCTTTAAATTTTTCGACCTTATTTGCCTTAGGTATGATTTTGCTGTAAGTGACAAGCAAAGAGACATCTACAAAATGCTTATTTTATAGCGCTGCTAAAAACCCTTTCTTTCTCAAAAACCGTAAATACCGTGATCGAATTTGGAAGGCAAAATAAGTTTTTTCAAATCAATACTCCTATTTCATTCCTATTCGAGAAACTTCCCCAGTATTTTTTCTCTATGATTTTAATCGAACCAGAAGCAGATGCGACAAAAAAGAAATGACAGGTAATGAAAAAACGCGCTTTAAACCAGCGTGTCCTTTATAAAATCTTACACCTCACAATTTCTTCGTTGGTAGTAATTAGCAATAAGAGGCAAGGACAATTAAATCTTTGCTATCAGCTAGAAACGATCCATCTCAGATGGAAACGAAGTCAACTCAGAGAAACTTTCGCTGATAAGGTAATGCTTGAGTGTTGCTATCAACTCTGTGCATTTGCTTCGGCAGACTCAAAATCTAAAGTGGAACCCTGCGGTACATGTATATCTTTCATTCAATTAAGACTTGTTGTATTCATGATAGAATGTGATAAGGTTGGTTTTTCCATTTCCTTCCCTTCAGTCGTCTTCGTGCGAAAAAGCAGACTTCGTAGAAGCCTTGGGCAACAATTTAGTTTGCTATTTATCTCTCATCTATTCACATATCTGAATAAAGTAATAATCGTGACTGAATAACTATGCTTAGAATGTATTAATACGAGCATTATTGTAGCATCTAACTTTATGGACAGCCAAATCCTTGTCTGATCGTTTGCTTTACTGCTTGTCTCACTTCACTTATTTTCCAGCAGTACAGAAACGGATTTAACGTTGAGTTTAAGAAAGTTGATGTGCCTGCTACATCCCTCATGATGACTAGGTGCCATGAATAAGTTTTGCTTTGTCTGATCAGAATTTGCACTAAACCATACGGCAAATAACAAACAACTAATGCCAACTGAACCCACAGTGCATTGTACACTGCCTTTTTGTATTTTGTGGTATTCAATACATTTGGTTGGCTCGGCTGTTGAACACGATCTCGTATTTGTGCATGATGATGACTTAGAGCGCAAAAAATTTTTGTGTACGACACAATTGAGATAACGTAGCATAGTGGTACAACTGTACGACCATACCAAGTGGTTATACGATGATCTAACGTGTAACAGAAAGCAGCGACACTGGATAGAACCCAAAAGGTAACGACAACGATATATGTGCGCTTCAAAGTTACAATATGTCTGTATCTCAGCCTCAATAACAGGGCGAGAAGTCTGTCCACGCTTATGGCGGTCATTGTCAACAAAGACACTCCACATAATACGTGGCTTACGATTAAGGTCGCGGTACTTGCGTATCGACAAGGAATCCAGTGTTCGTGAGCACTAAATATCCAGCTTGAAACAGCGAGAGGCTGGCTAATGAGGCCAACCAACAGATCAGTTGTTGCCAGACAACAATAGAAGAGTTTGGACGGCGGATGAAGGGAAGATTCCTTGTGAAGGGCAATAAGGATGAGAGAATTTCCAGCAAACGCTATGATGGAGAGGAGAATGTTGAGTGCTGCGAAAGAAAGTGATTCTTGTTGAAGTCTACTCATCAAAGAGGGAGAACATAGGAGTTCTTCAAATGTTTTCGTCTGTGTTCTACCTGTACTAAAATTTGTTGTCGACATTATTCTGTCAGTTGTTTCCTTTTTCTTACAGTTTATCTTTGATTGCAGCAAGAAATATTTTGTCTGAACAACATTCGCGGAGCAACGATCACTGAGACCTTAATGACTTCTTTGATAATTTCAAATAAAACTTCTCTACAAGCCTGTCTTATTTACATTGCATCAGGATATGTCTTTTATGTCAAAGAAAAGTAAATGTTTTTTCCTTGAAGCCGTGGAGGTGATCAGGTATTACCTTTTTTTTTTAAATTTTGTAATAAAAAATTATACTCTGAAAAGCCCCGCGGGGACGAGCCATCATTTCACAACACAGTATTATTTTTTCACAACATATTTGAAAGACTATTAGAAACTTTGTCTTTTCAGGTAAAAATTCATTTACAGCTAAACGAAGAGGATGGGGTGTTACTCTCAATTTTGGAAGAAAGAGAGCTTTTGATAGATGTCTTTTGTCAATTTTTTTCTTTACACAGACTTTCGAATCGTTTGCAAGTAGCATAAATATCTAAATTCATGAGTATTATGGACACTTTCTCATAACAAAACAAATTCGTTTGTACAGCAGGCCTTGTAACCGAATCACACGGCAATAGGGCGTAATTAATGATTTGTGCAAGTTTTTTAGAAAAACAAAGACTTGATATTATTCTACCACTCTACCATCAAGAAACAGATACTTTCAACAGTTCAACCGTCATTACTCCTTAAAGTTTTAGCCAATACTTACATATTACGATGAAAAACAAGAATAAAATAAGGTCGTTTCGATTATGCGTTGTCGCAAAAGTGTAAGGATAAGTGCCGCTACAGAGTGTGGTTACAGAGTTTCGATTTACTTTCTTTCATGATATGGAAGTAAAGAATATCAACAACGGCCTCAGCAATGATTTAATTGATTCTCTAATAATAACCGTGACTCAACCGTAAGTCAGTTTTGAAAGTTATGCCACGATTGCCACACAAGAGGGATCTACGTATGTCCTTAGTATGATCTACGTGTGTCCTCCATTTTAATTCATGGACAGCAAAGTGCTTAGCTGATTGCTTGTTTTATTGCTTGTGTCGTTCCACTTATCTCCCGGCAGTAAACGATTGGGAAACAACTTTCTTTCGTGTTAACATTCACATGAAATGACTTCCTTGGTAGCTCATCATCAAAACATCTCCTTTATCACAGAAAAAACGGGAGGATTTTTTACTTGACAAAAGGTCACGTGTTTGCTAAGCGCATTTGTTTAATGTAGCTACTGAAGATATCTTAGGCTGAATAAGAATCAAGGACATACGTAGACATATGTGCCATTTCTATCATCATTTCAGTATTGGATGAAGAAACTCTTTCCCGGGCTTCTTCGTAAGAGCACTATCTCAGAGGGGTAGAATGTAAAGAGAATACATAAAATTCGTTTCTTTGCGAAAACATTTTACCGTTTCTTTTTTCTACTCCTTGAAAAAACAAATTTCTTAGGCAAATGATGGGATATTAAAAAAGGAATCGATACTTACCATTTTCTAAAAAAGCTTCTATGTATGAAATTTTAGAGAAGAAAATCGCATTTCTTTTTGACAAGAGACATTGTTAACGCTACAAAATATTCTCCATCATCAGGCAGTTCAATGAAAAAGGGTCATTTCTTGCAGGTTAATTTGATTTTATGTTACGAGAGATTTTTTATTGTTTCCACAATACCTACTCGGCCAAGAGTAATTCACCTTCTTAACAAGATCTCCTTAAAAGTATTTCTCAAAGGCGTTCTCTTATTTTATAACGCTCTTACGAACTGCCTGCTCTGTGACAAGACATGTCAAGTTTTCTTCTGAGGTGTACGTGATGTTTCCCGGCTTTGGTGAATTAAATCATCCTTGTCATTAGCGTTTACTCTTTAAAAAATGCAGCCACGAAATCCCTTTTAGGGGACAAATATGACAATTTTTTTTTAGCGATCATGGCTGTTCCTTAGATACACATTATTAAGTAAGGAGACAATTTGCAAGTAAAAAGAAAAAGAAATGCCGTGATGGAGAGGAGAATGTTGACTGCTTACAAATATATTGATTGTGGTTGTAATCCACTGAACAAATATTGGGAAAAGACCATTTCTTCAAATGTTTGCTGCGTTCCACCTCGTGTTCTATTTGTTTTCGTCTTCATTTTGCAACGCAGTCTAATGAACAGTGGTCCACTTTTCCCGGCTTTAATTGCAGCAAGAAATTTCTGCCTTATCAGCACCTGCTAAGCTTTACTTACCTAAATAGATTGACATAACGAACTCCCAGCAACATTTACTATTCCAACAATGTTTGTACAGCTGTTAATCATGTCGTGGAAGTGTCAAAAAATATTCTTAATGGATTTAGCTGATGTATCGTTTCTCAATCAGTCAAACCAAAAGGGAAAACGATTGTTTTAAAAAGTGGCAAGTGTTTACAATTCTTCCCTTTCTACCAACAATACACAAGAAGAAATTAATAACTCTGGAGACGAAGACCCCTTGAAGGCTAACATTTCTTTTGGCCTTTTCCAGTGACACCGAAATAAAAACTTAAATTTAGGTCTGCATTTGCATTTGAAGGAAAACGTTGAAAGACATCTGCAAGATTATTTTGCAATATGACTAAGCAAAACCTCACTAGGGGTAAATTGTTAGAAAGAAATTCAAAAACCGTAGATACTGTGATCGAATTTTGAAGGAAAAATGAGTTTTTTCAAATCAATACTCCTATTTCATTCCTATTCGAGAAACTAACCAGTACTTTTTCTCCATGATATCCATCGAACCAGAATTAGATGTGATAAAAAAGAAAATGACCGGTAATAAAAAAAGACGCTTTAAACCAGCGTGTCCTTTATAAGAATTTTACATCTCACAATTTCTTCGTTGGTAGCAATTAGCAATAAGAGGCAAGGACAAGTAATTCTTTACTATCAGCTAGAAACGATCCATCTCAGATGGAAACGAAGTTAACTCAGAGAAACTTTCGCTAATAAGGTAATTCTTAAGTTTTGCTATCAACTCTGTGCATTTGCTTCGACAAACTCAAAATTTAAAGGTGAACCTTGCGGTGCATGCATATCTTTCATTCAGGACACAAGACTTGTTGTATTCATGATAGAATGTGATAAGGTTGATTTTTCCATTTCCTTTCCTTCAGTCGTCTTCGTGCGAAAAGCAGACTTCGTAGAAGCCTTGGGCAACAATTTACTGTGCTATTTATCTCTCATCTATTCACATATCTGAATAAAGTAATAATCGTGACTGAATGACTATTCTTATTGGCAGCTAAATGCATCTCTGATCGTTTGCTTTACTGCTTGTCTCACTTCACTTATTTTCCAGCAGTACAGAAACGGATTTAACGTTGAGTTAAATAAAGTTGATGTGCCCGCCACACCCCCTATGATGACTAGATGCGATGAATAAGTTTTGCTCTGTCTTATCATAGTTTCCACGAAACCATACGGCAAATAACAAACAACTAATGCCAACCGAACCCACAATGCATTGTACACTGCCTTTTTGTATTGTGTGGTATTCATTGCACTTGGTTGAACATGATCTCGTATTTGTACTTGATGATGACTTAGAGTGCAAAAGATTTTCGTGTACGAAACAATTGAGATAAAGTAGCACAATGGTACAACTGTAAGGCCATACCAATTGGCTATACGGTAACCTAACGCGTAACATAAAGCAGCGACACTGGATTGAACCCAGAAGATAACGACAACGACATACGTACACTTCAAAGTTATAATTTGTCTGTATCTCAGCCCCAATAACAGGGCGAGAAGTCTGTCCACGCTTATGGCCGTCATTGTCAACAAAGACACTCCACATAATACATGGCTTGTAATAAAGGTCGCGGTACTTGCGTATCGACAAGGAATCCAGTGTTCGTGAGTACTAAACATCCAGCTTGAAGCAGCGAGGGGCTGGCTTACAAGACCAACCAACAGATCAGTTGTTGCCAGACAACGATAGAAGAGTTTGGACGGCGGATGAAGGGAAGAGTCTTTGTGAAGGGCAACAAGGATGAGAGAATTGCCAACAAATGCTGTGATGGAGAGGAGAATGTTGAGTGCTGCGAAAGAAAGTGATTCTTGTTGAAGCCCACCCACCAAAGAGTGAGAACATAGCAGTTCTTCAAATGTTATCGTCTGTGTTCCACCTGTACTGAAATTTGTTGTCGACATTATTCTGTCACATGTTTCCTTTTTCTTACAGTTTATCTTTGATTGCAGTAAGAAATATTTTGTCTGAACAACATGAGCGACGATCACTGAGACCTTAGTGGCTTCTTTGATAATTTTCAAATAAAACTTCTCTTCCAGCCTGTCTTAATTAAACTACATCAGGATATCATCTTGAATGACAGATATGACAATTAACGATCATGGCCGTGCCTTATATTCACGTTATTAAAAAAAGGAGAAAATTTGAAAGTAAAAGGAAAAGAGATTCTGTGATGGAGAAGCGAATGTTGACTGCTCACAAATATATTGATAGCGGTTGTAATCCACCGAACAAATATTGGGAACAGACCATTTCTTCAAATGTTTGCTGCGTTCCACTTCGTGTTATATTTGTTTTCGTCTTCATTTTGCAACGCAGTCTAATGAACAGTGGTCCATATTTTGAATGCCTGTTCCTGTTTACTATCATTTAAACCCCTCTTTCCTATTCTTATCTCAAAAAGACTTCCTCAGTGGCGTTTGCCGTTTACAATGCGCGGGTAAACTAGATGTATGTCGCGTAAATTCGGAACAAACAAAAAGATTTGCCTTTTCGGCATTATGTGCCTTAGGTATGAATTTGCTGTAAGTGAGAAGCAAAGAGACTTTCAAATGCTAATTTTGAGCACTACAAAAAAATCCCTTTCCTCTGTGTCTTAAAATAAAACGTTTATTATGTTTGTGCGATCTTTATACATCTTAGGGCATTTCCACCCTTGGAAAACTGAAAATAAAAAGATCAATCCAAGACGTAAATCGTTCGAGGAGAAGGTTAAAACGGTGGCAATCTATAAATACAAAGGAAAAGTATGTAAATAAATAGAAATATACAATAAAAAATAAAAAATTTAAATTAAGGTTTGCATTTGCATTTGGAGGAAAACGTTGATACACATCTGCAACGTTATTATTTTGCAATATGACCAAGCAAAACCGGGGTAAATTGTTAGAAAAAATTCAAAACCCGTAAATACCGTGATCGAATTTTTAAGGCAAAATGAGTTTTTCAAATCAATACTCTTATTTCATTCCTATTCGAGAAACTTCCCAGTATTTTTTCTCCATGATTTCCATCGAACCAGAATTAGATGTTACAAAACAGAAAATGACAGGTAACAAAAAAACACGCTTTAAACCAGCGTGTCCCCTATAAAATATCACATCTCCCAATTTCTTCGTTGGTAGTAATTAGCAATAGGAGGTGAGGACAAGTAAATCTCTACTATCAGCCAGAAACGATCCATCTTATCTCAGAAAAACTTTCGCTGATAAGGTAATGCGTAAGTGTTACTATCAACTCTGTGCATTTGCCTTAGCAAACTCAAAATTGAAGGTTCAACCCTGCGGCGCATGCATATTTTTCCTTCGATTAAGACTTGTTGTATTTATGATAGAGTCTGATAGGGTTGGTTTTTCCATTTCCTTTCCTTCAGTTTTCTACGTGCGAAAAAGCAGACTTCGTACAAACCTTGGGCAACAACTTTATTTTTCTGCTTATTTTTTACCTATCCATTCACGTATCTGAATAGAGTTCTAAAGTAATGATCGTGACTGAATAACTATTCTTAGAATGTATTAATACGAGCATAATTCGGGGTAGATCTTACTTTATGGACAGCTAAATGCTTGTCTGATCGTTTGCTTTACTGCTTGTCTCACTTCACTTATTTTCCAGCAGTACAGAAACGGATTTAACGTTGAGTTAAAGTAAATTACTGTAGATGTTACACCCGCTCTGATGACTAGGTGCGATGAATAAATTTTGCTCTGTCTAATTGCAATTTCCACTAAACTATAATAATACGGGAAATAACAAACAATTAATGCCAACTGAACCCACAGTGCATTGTACACCGCCTTTTTGTATTGCGCGGTATTCACTGCATTTGGTTGGCTCGGCTGTTGTTGAACATGATCTTGTATTTGTGTATGATGATGATTTAGAGCGCAAAAAATTTTTGTGTAAGACACAATTGAGATAACGTAAGATAATGGTATAACTGTGATACCATACCAAATGTATATGCGGTAATCTAACGCGTAACATAAAGCAGCGACACTGGATTGAACCCAAAAGGTAACTACAACAATAGATGCACGCTTAAAAGTTACAATATATCTGTACCTCAGCCCCAATGAGAGGGCGAGAAGTCTGTCCACGCTTATGGCCGTCATTGTCAACAAAGACACTCCACTTAATACGTGGCTTGTGATAACGGCCGCGGTACTAACGTATCGACAAGGAATCCAGTGTTTGTGAGTAATAAACATCCAGCCAGAAGCAGCGAGAGGCTGGCTAACGAGACCAACCAACAGATCAGTTATTGCTAGACAACGATACAAGAGTTTGGACGGCGGATGGAGGGAAGATTCCTTGTGAAGGGCAATAAGGATGAGTGAATTTCCAACAAATGCTGTGATGGAGAGGAGAATGTTAACTGCTGCGAAAGAAAGTGATGCTTTTTGAAGCCCACCCACCAAAGAGGAAGAACATAGGAGTTCTTCAAATTTTTTCATCTGTGTTCCACTTCTTGTGAAATTTGATATCAACATTATTCTGTCACTCGTTTCTTTCTTCTTACAGTTTATCTTTGATTGCAGCAAGAAATATTTTGTCTGAACAACATCCGCGGAGCGACGATCACTGAGACCTTAGTGACTTCTTTGATAATTTCAAATAAAACTTCTCTACCAGCCTGTCTTAATTAAAGTACATCAGGATATAATCTTTTATGTCAAAGAAAAGTAAATGTTGATTTTTCTTTGAACTTGTGAGGTGATCAGGTATTATTTTTCTTTTTTTTAATTTTGTAATGAAACATTACATCGACTCTGAAAAGCCCTGTGGAGACGAGCCATCATTTCACAACATATATGAAAGACTATTAGAAACTTTGTCTTCTCTGGTAAAATTCATCTACAGCTAAGCGAAGAGGATGTGCTTCAGCAATGATTTAATCGATTCTCTAATAATAACTGTGACTCAACCGTAAGTCAGTTTTGAAAGTTATACCACGATTGCTACACAAGAGCGACCTAAGTGTGTCCTAAGTACGATCTACGTGTGTCCTTCAAGTGCTTAGCTGATTGTTTGTTTTATTGCTTGTGTCGTTTCACTTATGCCCCGGCAGTAAATGATTGGCAAACAACTTTCTTTCGTGTTAACATTCACAAGAAATGACTTCCTTGGTAGCACATCAGCAAATCATCTCCTTTTACACAGAAAAAACAAGAGGCTTTTTTACTTGACTAAAGGTCACGTGTTTGCTAAGCTTATTTGTTCGATCTAACTACTGAAGATATCTTAGGCTGAATTAGAATGAAGGACACACGTAGACATTTGTGCTATTGCTATCATCATTTCAGTATTGGATGAAGAAACTCTTTCCCAGGCTTCTCAGTAAGCGCACTGTGTCAGAGGGGTAGAATGTAAAGAAAATGCATATAATTCGTTTCTTTGCGAAAACAATTTAACGTGTCTTTTTTCTACTCCTTGAAAAAACAAATTACTCAGGCAAATAATCGGGTACTAAAAAAAAAAAAAAAAAATTAATACCTACCATTTTCTGAAAGGGTTTTTATCATGTATGAAACTTAAGGGAAGATAATCGCATTTCTTTTTGATGAGAGACACTATTAACGCTACAAAATATTCTACATCATTAGGCAGTTCAATGAAAAAGGGTCGTTTCCTGTAGGCTAATTTGACTTTATTCACGAGAGATTTTTTATTTTTTCCACAATACCTGCCCGACCAAGAGTAATCCACCTTCTTAGCAACATCTACTTAAAAATCTTCCTCACAAGCGTTCTCTTATTTTATAACACTCTTACGAATTGCCTGCTCGGTCACAAGACATGTCAAGTTTTCTTCTGAGATGTAAGTGATGTTGCCCTGCTTTAGTGATTTAAATCATCCTTGTCATTAGCGCTTACTCCTTAGAAATGCAGCCACGAAATCCCTCACTTTAAGCGATATGACATTTTTTTTAGCGATCATGGCTGTGCCTTATATACACATTATTAAGTAAGGAGACAATTTTAAGTAAAAGGAAAAGAAATGCGGTGATGGAGAGGAGAATGTTGACTGCTCACAAATATATTGATTGCTGTTGTAATCCATCGAACAAATATTGGGAAAAGACCATTTCTTCAAATGTTTGTTATGTTCCCCTTCGTGTTATATTTGTTTTCGTCTTCATTTTGCAACGCAGTCTAATCAACAGTGGTCTACTTTTCCCGGCTTTAATTGAGCTAGACATGTTTGTCTTATCAGCTAAGCTTGCTAAGCTTTACTTACCTAAAAAGATTGACATAACGAACTCTCAGTACCATTTACTATTCCAACAATGTTTATACAGCTGTTAATCGTGTCGTTAAAGTGTTAAAAAATGTTCTCAGTGGATCTAGCTGGTGTATCGTTTCTCAAAACTGGCAATTGTTTTCAATTCTTCCCTTTCCAAAAATACACAAGAAAAAATGAATAACTCTGAAGACGAAGACCCTTAGAAGGCTGACATTTGTTTTGGCCTTTTCCAGTGACACCGAAAGCCACTTAACCTTCACTTTAGCCGGAACATATTTTGAATGCCTGTTTCTGCTACTATCACTGAAACCCCTCTATCCTATTCTTATCTCAAAAAGACTTCCTCAGTGGCGTTAACTGTTTACAATGCGTGGGCAAACTACATGTATGTCGCGTCAATTCGGAACAAACAAAAAGATATGTCTTCAAATTTTTCGACATTGTTTGCCTTAGGTACGATTTTGTTGTAAGTGACAAGCAAAGAGACATATACAAAATGCTTATTTTATGCTAAAACCCATTTCCTCTTAAATATTTATAGGTGTTGAGTCTTTTCCACCCTTGGAAAACTGAAAATGAAAAAAATCAAGCCAAGACGTAAATCGTTTGAGGAGAAGGTTAAAATAGTGGCAATCTATAAATACACACACACAAAAAAGTAAATAATTAAAAATATACAATAAAAAATAAAAAAGAAAAATTTGAATTTAGGTTTGCATTTGCATTAAGAGGAAAACGTTGAAAGACATCTGCAACATTTTTATTTTCCAGTATGACCGAGCAAAACCTCACTCGGGGTAAATTGTTAGAAAAAAAATTTAAAACCCGTAAATACCGTGATCGAATTTTTTAAGATAGGCAAAATTAGTTTTACAAATCAATACTCTTATTTCATTCCTATTCTAGAAACTTCCCATTATTTTTTCTCCATCATTTACATCGCACCAGAAAAAAAACACGCTTTAACCAGCGTGTCCTTTATAAAATCTTACATCCACAATTTCTTCGTTGGTAGTATTAGCAGTAAGAGGCAAGGACTAGTAAATCTTTACTGTCATCTAGAAACGATCCATCCTAACTCAGAAAAAACTTTCGCTGATAAGGTTATGATTAAGTGTTACCATCAACTTTGTGCATTTGCCTTGGCATCTCAAAACTGAAAGATCAACCCTGCGGTGCATGCAGATTTTTCCTTCGATTGAGACTTGTTGTATTCATGATAGAGTATAATAAGGTTGGGTTTTCCATTTCCTTTCCTTCAGTTCTCTTCGTGCGAAAAAGCAGACTTCAAAGAAGCCTTGGGCAACAATTTTATTGTGCTTCCTATTTTTGCCTATCCATTCACATATCTGAGTGTAGTTCTAAAGTAATAATCATGACTGAATGATTATGCTTGGAATGTATTAATACGAGCATAATTTGGGGAGGATCTCACTTTATGGAAAGCTAAATGCTTGTCTGATCGTTTGCTTTACTGCTCGTCTCACTTCACTGATTTTCCAGCAGTAAAGGAACGGATTTAACGTTGAGTTAAAGAAAGCTAATATGTTTGCTGCACCCCTCATGATGACTAGGTGTGATGAATAAGTTTTGCTTTGTCTGATCACAATTTGCACTAAACCATACGGCAAATAACAAGCAACTAATGCCAACTGAACCCACAGTGCATTGTACACTGCCTTTTTGTATTGTGTGGTATTCACTGCATGTGACTGGCTCGGCTGTTGTTGAACATGATCTTGTATTTGTGTATGATGATGACCAAGAGCGCAAAAAATTTTTGTGTACGACACAATTGAGATAACGTGACATAAGGGTATAACTGTAATACCATACCAAATGGATATGCGGTAATCTAACGTGTAACATAAAGCAGCGACACTGGATAGAACCCAAAAGGTAACTACAACGATATATGTGCGCTTCAAAGTGACAATTTGTCTGTATCTCAGCCCCAATAACAGGGCGAGAAGTCTGTCCACGCTTATGGCCGTCATTGTCAACAAAGACATTCCACATAGTGCGTAGCTTATGATATAGGTAGCGGTAATTGCCCATCGACAAGGAATCCAGTGTTCGTGAGCAATAAACATCCAGCTGGAAGCAGCGAGAGGCTGGCTAACGAGACCAACCAACAGATCAGTTGTTGCCAGACAACGATACAAGAGTTTGGACGTCGGATGGAGGGAAGAGTCCTTGTGTAGGACAATAAGGATGAGTGAATTCCCAACAAATGCTGTGATGGCGAGGAGAATGTTGAGTGCTGCGAAAGAAAGTGATGCTTTTTGAAGCCCACCCGTCAAAGAGGAAGAACATAGCAGTTCTTCAAATGTTTTCGTCTGTGTTCCACTTCGTGTGAAGTTTGATATCAACATTATTCTTTCACTTGTTTACTTTTTCTTAAAGTTTATCTTTGATTGCAACAAGAAATATTTTGTCTGAACAAAATTCGCGGAGCGACTATCACAGAGACATTAACGACTTCTTTGATAATTTCCAAATAAAACTTCTCTACCAGCCTTTCTTATTTACATTTCATCAGGATACGTCTTTCATGTCAAAGAAAAGTAAATATGGTTTTTTCCCTTGAACTTGTGAGGTCAGGTATTACTTTTTCTTTTTTTAATTTGTGATGTAGCATTGACTCTGAAAAGCTCTGTGTGGACGAGCCAATAAGCTATGTATGTATTTATGTTTGTATTAAGTAACATAAAGCAGCGACACTGAATAATCCCAAATGGTAGCTACAAAGATATACGATCAATTCAAAGTTAGAATTTGTTCGCATCTCCGCCCAATAACCGGGCGAGAGGTCTGTCCACGCTTATGGCCATTGTCATCAAAGACACTCCACACAATGCATAGCTTGTCATATAGACTGCGTCCGCTGCCTTCATCGACAAAGGCTGCAGTGTTCGTGAACAAAGGACATCCAATGAGTGGCCGCATAGAGAGGTAAGGAACAAGACCAACCAAACATGTTTTGTGACATTTCATTCGGGAGTCTATTGTGCACCAAAACTATGTGAGTGTCTAATTGGTAAAGTTCAATTTGGGAATTAATAATATACATGGAAAAATTACTCAGTTCTGACTGATTAAGATAAATGCAGTTTTCAGGTAATTCAGTGCAGAAGATAGTTAATTCAGTGCAGAAGAGGGTTAATTCAGTGCAAAGAAAGTACTAAATCAGATATTCTGATTGGTCAATAATCGAAGAAACCCACAGATAGCCAATCGAATGCGAACCTTGGATGTCGGAACAAAATTTGAAAATTTGAAAATTTGCGAGCCAAACAGTGGCCGGCGTTTTAAGTAGGTTTTCTTTCGCCACCGCAGCTGTCGTATGTCTTTCCATGTATATTATTAACACGAAATCACATAATTTTTCTCGTGCAATTTGGAATAAACAAGCACTCATTGATTTTTTCAAAGACCACAAATTGCTTTGTTAGTCTTTAAGAAAATTTACTCGTGCCTATTTATTCCAAATTGCACTCGAAATCATGTGATACCCTATACAAATTAGCATCAAGAATCAAAAGTATAGACATCTATGGTAGTTTTATCATTTCACAACATATTTGAAAGACTATTTGAAACTTTGTCTTCTCAAGTGAAAATTCATTTACAGCTACGCGAAGAGGATGGAGTGTTACGTTCAATTTTGGAAAAACGAGAGTTTCTGATAGATGTCTATCGTCAATGTTCTTCTTTAAACACATTTTCGAATGGTTCACAAGTAAATTATTAACATCTCAAATTTACAAGCATTATGGACATTTTCTAATAAAAAAACAAATTCGATTTCATAAAAGGCTTTGTAACCGACCCGTGCGGCAAGAGGGCGTGTGGCAACTATAGAATTTGCATTTGCTGTCAAGTAACTGCGAAATTATTTTATATTGTTTTTCTTTCACTTGAATCACTATTGTGATGTTCTGTTTCTATTTTAGTGAGGTTGTGTATGAATTACGTAACGCCGATAGCGATTTATTTCTCGCCAGCACAAGCGTTGTTTTCGTTAGATAATTCTTATTGCCAGTTGGTTTCAACAAAGTCAGTCGTTTCGTTAGTTTTTACTAGCGCCGTGTTGCTTTTGTTCAAGAGTTTTACTACCGGACCTGGTTACGCCACAAATTGTAATTTTATTTCTATTTCATGTTCCTTGTCGTTATTGTTGTTGTTGTTATATTTGTACTTAGATATTTGTATCAATGATTTATTTGCAGTTGACATTCGCATCTACACTTTTTACATATAGATATTAGTCTATCTGGGAAATAGATTAAATGTGTATTCATGTTGTGGCGTTAAACATACAGTATTAATTTACAGGGCGTCAATGACATGCGCATTTATTCAGAAAAAAACAAAAAATTGACATTGTTTTACCGTCAAGAGAAACACACCCATCAGCTCTCTATAATTAATCCTTAAAATTTTACCTCATACTAACATATGAAATATTACTGAGAAATATTATTAAGAAATATTATTAAGAAAGACAAGACAAAATATTAATTAGAAAGACAAGACGATGAAATAAAATCTAAAAGTTGTCGTAAAAGTGTAAGGATAAGTGCGGCTACAGAGTGTGGTTACAGAGTTTCGATTTACTTTCTTTCATGATATAGAAGTAAAAAATATCAACAACAGCTTCAGCAATGATTTAATTGATTCTCTAATAATAACCGTGACTTTGTAAGTCAGTTTTGAAAGTTATGCCACGATTGCCACTCATGAGGGATCTAAGTCCACGGACAGCAAAGTGCTTGTCTGATTGTCTGCTTCACTACTTGTCTCACTTCACTAATCTTCCAGCAGTATAGGAACGGGTTTAACGTCGAGTTCAAGTTAGCTAAGGTGCCTGATATTCCCAGGGCGACGACTAAATGTGATAAATTTCCTTGTCTGTGAATCATCACAATTGCCACTACACTAACTGGTACGTAACAAGCAAGTAATACTAACTGCACCAACAGTGCACTGTACACTGCCTTTCTGTATTGCGCCATGTTCAGTGCATTTGGTTGGCCCGGCTGTTGTTGAACATGATCTTGTATTTGAGCCTGATGACGGCGAAGAGCGAGGAAAATCTTAGCATAGGAAGCAATCGAGATTATTAGGCAAGATGAGATGATAATGCGACCAAACCACTGCGCTATACGGAAAACTAACATGCGGCGTAGAGTAGCGATAACGGTTATGATCCAAAGAGTAACGGTAATGTAACTTTAAAGTTACAGTTTGTTTGTATCTCAGCCCCAACAACAGGGCGAGAAGTCTGTCCACGCTCATGGCTGCCATTGTCAACAAAGACATTAAAGATAATCCATACCCTGAAATGAAGGCTGCTTCCCATGCGAATCGACAAAGTCTCCACTGCTCACGAAAAACTGACATCCAAAGAGTGGCAACGAGAGGCTGGCCTACCAGACCAACCAACAGATCAGTTGTTGCCAGACAACGATACAAGAGTTTGGATGGCGGATGAATGGAAGATGTCTTGTGAAGTGCAACGAAGATCAGAGAATTCCCAAGAAATGCTGTCAGGGAAAAAAAAATGTTGACTGCCGACAGAAGTAAGGAGTATTGTTGCAATTCGCCCTCCAAAGAAGAGGAGCATACAAGATCTTCTAATGTTCTCATCTGCGTTCCATCCCCCGTGGACTTTGTCGCCGCCATCAGTCTGCAAAAGTTGCAATTTTTTTCTTATAGGTTATCTGTAATTTGTAAACAGAATAAGAGAGATGGTAAGTTTTGAGCTCGGTAAAGAAATAGAGAGAGATGTTTTTCGTCTTGTCAAGAGCGTGGGACATAGAAAAAAACTCTGAGTCCCCGAGAGGAATCCAACCTCAGATCGTCTCTATTCCACCGCCTGTTAGATCAGTTTATGTCGTCACCTTTCTGCAGTTTGGTAAACGGTCGCTTCCTTTTCCCTGCAATTTATCTATAATTGCAACGAGAGATCTTTTGTTTAGAAAGCTCCCGCCCGGTGGTTATCACTTAAACCTTAATTTTGTAAGAGGACTCACACGACCTGACATGCTTAATAAAGTTTTCTATTTTGAAAATCGAGCTCAAACTTTATATTTTGTGGAAAAAAAACATCATCTCATCTCGAATTTTGTAGCAGCTGTTCCTTGCAATTATCATTAGCCATGAAAGGACCCAATTTCTCAGTGATAAGCAATTCTGTAGCCTTTTGTTCTGGCTATACTGAGCTAAATTCCCTTGATTTTTCTAACCTGTTAGTATTTCTTTCATTCTGATAAAATAATTAGTGATTTCAAATTAAAGACCGTAGGTCGTCTGAAATGTCCTTTTCTGTTTTTGAAAAGGGTAGAATCACCCTCTAGGCCAGAAATTAAATATTTTCCTCAGCAAATTAATTGCCTGTTACACAGGTAAAAACAGGAAGTTTATCAGAATGTATTTGCCCTTTTCAGATGAATTTGATTCAGACAAACATGTAAGTATTGAAAGAGAAACACTGACATTGACCTTCTTTTGAAAAGTTGATTAGGTGCAGAAATGTTATCCAGGAGAGTCGCGTTTCTTTAAAGGGAGCTCGAGAGGCAATCAGTATAAACACCAGCAAATGTTCATCATTTTGCAACTCAGCAAACGGTTATTTCGTTTTTATGCACGGTATTTGTAATTGTAAGTAATGAGAGATATTTTTTTTTATGACATCACCAACCTAGCCACGATGACTTTAACTGGCTCACTGTCTGTGATAACATTTGCACAGAAAATTTCGCTGATTTCGCAGTAGGGTTTATCTATTGAAAATGCAAATGCAAACTGCCTATTCAGTCAAAAGATATAGCAATTTTACCACAGGGAGCTCCAGAGGATAACAGGCTTAGATTATCACTCTATCAATTTCAGTTCGTAGTAACAGATGATTCTTTAACACGGTTAGAGAATCACTTAAAATTATTATTAATTTGAAATTATTCTACCTTTGTATTCCAAAATGTCCATGAATGACACTGAAATTAATTTCTCCAAAACACCATTTACGGCACTAACAAGACCAACCAACAGATCAGTTGTTTCCAGACAACTTTACATGAGTTTGGACGGCGGATGGAGGGAGGATTCCTTATCAAGGGCAACAAGAGTAGGAGAATTCTCAAGAAATGCTCTGATGGAGAGGAAAATGTTGACTGCTGACAAATATATTGATTGTTGTTGTAATCCACGGAGCGAATATGGGGAACAGACCAGTTCTACAAATGTTTGCTGCATTCCACTTCGTGTTATATTTGTTGTCGTCTTTTTTGCAGCGCAGTCCAATGAACAGTGGTCGGCTTTCCCGGCAAATTGCAGCAAGAAATGTTTGTCTTATCGGCACCTGCTAAGCTTTACCCTTTTAAAAAGATTGACTTACCGAACTCCCAGCAGCATTTACTCTTCCAAAAATATTTGTACAGCTGTTAATCATGTCGTGGAAGTGTCAAAAAATGTTCTCAGTGGATTTAGCTGGTGTATCGCTTCTCAATCAGATGAACAAAGAGGGGAAACGATTGTTTTAAAAACTGGCAATTGTTTGCAATTCTTCCCTTTCTGCTAACAATACACAAGAAGAAATAAATAACTGAACACGAAGACCCCTAGAAGTCTGGTATTTCTTTAGGCCTTTTCCAGTGAAATCGAAAGGCACTTAACATTCACTTTAGCCGGAACACATTTTAAATGACTGTTCCTGTTCATTATCACTTAAACCCTTCTTTCCTATCGTTATCTTAAAAAGACTTCCTCAGCGGCGTTTACCGTTTACAATGCGTGGGCAAACTACATGTATTTAGCGTAAGTTCGGAACAAACAAAAAAGAATTGCCTATAAAATTTTTCGGCATCATTTGCCTTAGGTATGATATTTTTCTAAGTGGCAAGCAAAGAGACATCTGTAAAATGATTATATCATAGCGCTGCTAAAAACCCTTTCCTCTCTATCATGCAATAAAACTATTCTTTTGTCGATGAGATCTCTATAGGTCTTGAGGTATTTCCACCCTTGGAAAACTAAAAATACAAAAGATCAAGCCAAGACGTAAATCGTTTGAGAAGAAAGTTGCAAATACAAAAGAAAAATAAGTAAATAAATAGAAATATACGATACAAAATAAAAAAATAAAAATAAAAATGTAAATTTAGGTTTACATTTGCGTTTGGAGGAAAACGTTGAAAGACATCTGCGACATTTTTGTTTTGCAATATGACCAAGCAAAAACCTCACTCGGGGTAAATTGTTAGAAAAAATTCAAACCCGTAATTACCGTTATCGAATTTTAAAAATAGGCAAAATGAGTTTGTCAATTCAATACTCTTTTTTCATTCCTATTCTAGGAACTTCCTTGCATTTTTCCTCCATGATGTCCATCGAACCAGAAAAAGACACGCTTTATCACACGAACTGCGGTGTTATACAGTGATTTCCGGCCCTGAGAAAAGCCGCAACAACACACGTGAAAAAATATCGTATTTTTTCACGTGTGTTGATATAGCCAATCAGCTGCTGGCACGTCGCTCGCCTTTGGCGCCACTCGGTCAGGTTGATGAATGAACAGCAAAGCCTTCACGATTCTCAATACAATGAAGTTTGTCGGAACTTCTCGGATTATGGCGGCTAACATACTAAAATATTCGTATTGCTGACAGACAGTGAAGTTTAAACTTTCCTAGTAGGGCAAAAAAAAAAACCAATAAACAAAAAGAAAATCGAAAGTTTCGTATTCAGTGGCTTTGGTGTTACCATTTCTCGCGGCTGAGAATGAAAATCGACAACTGGAAGATTTGCCACTGGCCAATTTTGGCCGTTCACGTGAAGACGTCTTCTGTCGGTAAGGACAAAGTCAATAAATAAGGATTTTGTAAATTGAAAATTACGACCATTGTTGTTTTTGTAATTATTATTCAACACATTTTTCCATCTTGAGAGTCGGCGCCAACGCACTCTACGATTGTTATTTTGGGATTGTCAATTCATTTATTTTCATTCATTAATGATGTCCGCTTTTCTTGTCAGTAAAGGGCTATTGTGTTTGTATGATAAACGAAATAATACATGGTTGCTTGTAGACATGAAATTTCTCTTCTCGTGTTCAACTCGACATCTCACTCGTTCGCTCCGCTCACTCGTGAGCTATCGAGTTAAACACTCGAAGAGAAATTCCATATCTACGCGCGCCCATGTATTATTCTCTATTTAAACAGCGTGTCCTTTATAAAATATCACATCTCACAATTTCTTCGCTGGTAGTAATTAGCAATAAGAGGCAAGGACAAGTAAATCTTTGCTATCAGCTAGAAACGATCCATCTCAACTCAGAAAAACTTTCGCTGATAAGGTAATGATTAAGTGTTACTATCAACTCTGACCATTTGCCTCGACAAACTCAAAATAAAAGTTCAACCCTGCGGTGCATGCATATCTTTCCTTCGATTAAGACTTGTTTTATTCATGATAGAGTATGATAAGATTGGTTTTCCCATTTCCTTTCCTTCAGTTTTCTACGTGCGAAAAAGCAAACCTTGGGCAACAATTTTATTTTTCTGCTTTTTTTATTTTCCTGTCCATTCACATATTTGAATAGTTCTAAAGTATTGATCGTGACTGAACAACTATTCTTAGAATGTATAAATACAAGCATAATTCGGGGTATAGTTCTAACTTGTCTATGGACAGCTAAATACTTGTCTGATCGTTTGCTTTACTGCTTGTCTCACCTCACTTATTTTCCAGCAGTACAGAAACGGATTTAACGTTGAGTTAAAGTAAATTACTGTAGATGCTACACCCCCTATGATTACTAGGTGCGATGAATATGTTTTGCTTTGTCTGATCGCAATTTACACTAAACCATAATGGTACGGCAAATAACAAACAACTAATGCCAACTGAACCCACAGTGCATTGTACACTGCCTTTTTGTATTGTGTGGTATTCATTGCATTTGGTTGGCTCGGCTGTTGTTGAACATGATCTTGTATTTGTGTATGATGATGACTCAGAGCGCAAAAAATTTTTGTGTAGGACACAATTGAGATCACGTGACATAATGGTATAACTGTAAGGCCATACCAAGTGGTTATACGGTGATCTAAAGTGTAACATAAAGCAGCGACACTGGATAGAACCCAAAAGGTAACTACAACGATATATGTGCGCTTCAAAGTTACAATATGTCTGTATCTCAGCCCCAATAACAGGGCGAGAAGTCTGTCCACGCTTATGGCCGTCATTGTCAACAAAGACACCCCACATAATACGTGGCTTGTAATAGCGGCCGCGGTAATTGCGTATTGACAAGGAATCCAGTGTTCGTGAGCAATAAACATCCAGCTAGAAGCAGCGAGAGGCTGGCTAACGAGACCAACCAAGAGATCTGTTGTTGCCAGACAACGATACAAGAGTTTGGACGGCGGATGGAGGGAAGATTCCTTGTGAAGGGCAATAAGGATGAGAGAATTCCCAACAAATGCTGTGATGGAGAAGAAAATGTTGACCGCTGCGAAAGAAACTGATTCTCGTTGAAGCCCACCCATTAAAGAGGAAGAACATTGCAGTTCTTCAAATGTTTTCGTCTGTGTTCCATTTCTTGTGAAATTTGTTATCGACATTATTCTGTCACTTGTTTCCTTTTTCTTATAGTTTATCTTTGATTGCGGCAAGAAATATTTTGTCTGAACAACATTCGCCGAGTGACGATCGCTGGGACCTTAATGACTTCTTTGATAATTTTCAAATAAAACTTCTCTACCAGCCTTTCTTATTTACATTGCATCAGGATATGTCTTTTATGTCAAAGAAAAGTAAATTTTTTGTTTTCTTCCTTTGAACTTGTGAGATCATCAGGTATTACTTTTTCCTGAAATTTTGTAATGTAACATTGACTCTGAAAAGCTCCGTAGGGTGTGTATGTGTGTATGGAATAACATAAAGCAGCGACACTGAATAAAACCCAAATGGTAGCTGCAATGATATATGTGCACTTCAAAATTACAGTTTGTTTATATCTCAGCCCCAATAACAGGGCGAGAAGTCTGTCCACGCTGATGGCCATCGTCATCAAAGACCCTCCACATAATGCATAGCTCGCTATGTAGGTTACGTCCGCTGCGTTTATCGACAAAGGCTGCAGACGACGTCCTTAGTAGCGCATCAACAAATCATCTCCTTTCACACAGAAAAACGGGAGGCTTTTTTTTTTATATTGATACTTGCCATTTTCTGAAAAGGTTATTATGTATTAAATTTTAGATAAGAAAATCGCATTTCTTTTTGACGAGAGACACTATTAACGCTACAAAATATTCTACATTATTAGGTAGTTCTATAAAAAAGGGTCGTTTCTCGTGGGCTAATTTGACTTTATGTTACGAGAAATTTTTGCTCTTTCCACAACATCCGCCCGGCCGTGAATAATTCACCTTCTTAGCAACATCTAATTAAACATCTTCCTCAGAAGCATTCTCTTATTTTATAACGCTCTTACGAACTGCCTAATCTGTCACAAGACATATCTATTTTTATTCTGAGATGTATATGACGTTGCCCTGCTTTTGTAAATTCAATCATCATTGTCACTAGCGTTTACTCCTTAAAAATGTAGCCATGAAATCCCTTTTGAATGACAAGTATGACAGTTTTTTTTAATGATCACGTTTGTGCCTTATATTCACATTATCAAACAAAAGGCGACAATTTGTAAGCAAAAAGCACTTTTGTAAAATTTTATTCAGCTTCATTCCTTTAAGGCCTCAAAATAAAGCCGGAAGTCTATTGTGCGCCACAACTACGTGTTTGTTTAATTCGGCAGTAAAATTTAATTAAGGAACAAATTAGCATCAAGAGTCAAACGCACAGACACCTGTGATTCTATCATTATTTCACAACGTAAGATCAAACTTTTTCAGTTGTAAATTCATTTCTCGCCAAGCGAAGAGGTTGAAGTGCTACATTCAATTTCGGAAATCGAGATATTTTGTAATGAACTCTGTAGGAGTTGGGGATGTTCAACGTTATTCTAAACACACACGCATTTTTCACTGGTAATATGAACATTTCTAAAATCATATGCATTTTGGATTCTTTTACAATAAAACAAATTCAGGTTTATTGCTGACTTGTGACCGACTCGTATCGCAATATAATGTTAACGTCAAGCGCTTTATTTTAGAAAGAAAAAGGAATCCAAATTATTTTATCGTCAAAAAACAAATTCATCCATCAGTTCTCCTTCGCTGGAACGTTAAGATCAGACTTTATTAACTTTAACATGAAAGTTAAACAAGACAGCAGAATTAAAGTAACGTATCTTTATTTTTCCTCTATCATGGATGAATGCATACTCTTCGTTTCGTTTATGTATTGTGGTATTTACGTTAAGTGGCTTCTCTTGAAAAATATTTTAAAGATGTGGTTATAGTGTTTCGGTTTCGCTGCCTTTTGGGATGAGGAAATAAAGAATATCAACAACAGATTGTAAATCTAGAGAGAACTAAGTCCATGGACAGCAAAGTACTTGTCTGATTGTCCGCTTCACTGCTTGTCTCACTTCACTAATCTTCCAGCAATAAAGAAACGGGTTTAACGTCGAGTTAAAGTAAACTAGGACAACTGCTATTTCCCTGATGACCACCAATAAGTAAGGTGGATATGGACTACTCTCGCTAATTACAATTGTCACTATAAAATATGGCAAATAACAGACAACTAATGCTAACTGCACCCACAGTGCGCTGTGCACTGCCTTTCTGTATCGCGCCATGTTCAGTGCATTCGGTTGGCCCGGCTGTTGTTGAACATGATCTTGTACTTGAGCCTGATGATAACTGAGAGCGCAGAAAATCTTTGTGTAAGAAGCGATTGAGATAACTAGGCAAGATGATACAGCTATAGAGCTATACCACGTACTTATACGGCGATTTAAAATGTAAAATGGAGTGCTGACAAGAGATACAACCCAAAACAGAGCTAAAATAGCATATATGCGCTTCAAAGTTACAATTCGTTTGTATCTCAGCCCCAACAACAGGGCAAGAAGTCTGTCCACACTTATGGCCGTCAAAGTAAATAAAGATACTCCGCATAATACATAGCTTGTTATGTATACCCCATCATATGTGAATCGGAAAATACTCCAGAGTGCAGGAGATCAAAAAGGTAGCATAGAGAGGCTGGTTAACAAGACCAACCAACAGATCAGTTGTTGCCAAACAACAATACAAGAGTTTGGAAGGCGGATGAAGGGAAGATTCCTTATGAAGGGCAACAAGGATAAGAGTATTCCCAAGAAATGCAGTGATGGAGAGGAGAATGTGAACCGCTGAGAAAGAAAAAGATTGTTGATGGAACTCACGTACCAGATAGGGGGACAAACCCAATTCTTCTAAGAGAGTTTTCGTCTGTGCTTCACCTTCTGTTAAATTACCAGTCGCCATCATTTCTCAGTTCAACAACGAGGCTGTGGTACATTAAAGAACAAGGAATTATGATCCACGATTCCAGGTATCCTCTGTTCTAAGGTGCCAACTAAAGTTTTGACGGCAGATAAAGGGAAGATTCCTTGTGAACGGGACTTAGGACTTGGGAAGGAAAAGAAAAGCTGTGTGGAAGAGTAGAATGTTGAGCGACTAAAAAATAAATTAATTACTTTCGTAATCCACCAACCAAAGAAGGGGAACATGATTGCTTTTAAAATCTTTGTTTCGTTTCACCTCTTATCAAATTTCCGGTCGCGTTCATCCGGCAATCAAGCTTAATGGACGTCTGCCTCCATTTTTCGGTTTTTAATTGCCGGAAGACATATGTTTTCTTAATAGCACATCCCGGGCCATCGATACTCAAAGGTACTTTGGTTGAAAAGTTGCCTTAAAAAAACTTCCTAAAGCAATTACTCACCTAATTTGATTTTTTTAAAGTTTTTTATTACGAACCAAAGGGAACGATTCTTTGGAAATTAGAAATTTCTGTTCACCATTTAACTCCTAATATCTGATTGTTATTTCTCCTCACTTGCTGCTTCACTTTTCCCTTTAAATTGGCTGCGAGAATTTAGTGTTTGATCAAGATAATATCTTGTACCTGATAAGTTTGAGTATTCTCATTTCCTGTTTGCTGGATATTGTATGAATACTATAGGGAGAAGGTACATGTTCATCACTCCTGAGAGTTTGAGGGTTAATAGCTCTAAAGATGTTCAGTTGACTCCATGATACTATTAAGCCTTTAGGCCCTGAGAGTGATTAGCATCTTGTTTCTCCTTACAATCTCAGCCCTGAATCACACATTAATGTCATGAGAATATAGGAAATGATTACCAACTAAAGGAACTCTTGATTGTTACACAAATTCTCCTTGTCAGCACCATAGTAAATGTACAGAGAACAATATGGAGAATCTGAATGCTGATATTAAGGTGTAAAAGGGATAACCATTATACAAAAGCGCGATCGTTACCACCGATAGAAATTTTTATTGCAGAAAGTCGCCCCGGAAATTTCTTTTTAAATCTTCTTGTTCATGTAAAACGGCAGCAAAATGACAACTCTGTTACCAATTTCTACATGATGTCTTCATTACTGTGTAGGAACTTACTCTTTAGTTACTTGCGGGGATGCAATGATTCAATAATCGTACCACTAGGCTTCGTCTTTCATGCAACTGAGGAAGTCCAATAGAGGAATTTCCACCAACTTCACACTAAGGCACGAATCAATTGTGAAATGTGCCATGTCAAAGTTGAGGAGATACAGTTAACCACGACACACTCGGCCACGTATAGAATCAAGATTTTCATTAAATTGCGTTTCGTTAAATAGTAATTTTTCTCTCGAATCTACATCTATAGGTTAAATTCCATCAATTTATTTATCACCGGGGGTTGACTAGATGACAAACCAGATGAGACATTTATCAAATTGCGTTAGGGGTTCTTTCTATGGAAATATCCTCTTGAATCATTCATGATGGCGTCTGCAGCTCTTACTATAGCTTTTACTATACAATATTATTACCTAAAATTGCTGTGCGTCACAACTGGTCACGTCCAATCTTGAATTAAATTGGCGGAAAAGGTAGTAACAGCCAAAATTAAGGAGTTTGAGATTTGACGCTTTCTTTGGTACTAAGATCCACATTAACTGCTTTCAAAAGCAGTGTTTTTTTTACTTGAAATGCGAATAAAAAGTGTCTGTTTTGTGAAGATACATGTCACTTTTTATCAGATTGTGTGGTTGTGCTTTGCATTTATTATCATCTATGAGAAAACCCGGTTTCTCAGTAATTTGCAGCAAATAAGATTCTGTATTCTGATTCTGCATTAAAAATGATAACAATAATGAAAAAGATAGCAGCAACTGAGCAATTTTAAGCCTTAAATGGTGCGACCTTTCGCTTTTTTTTTCTGTTTGTTTGAAAGAGTACGATCACCTTCTTCACCGGAAACTCTTTTCAGCAAATTGTCTTCTTTTACGTAAAAAAGAAAAAAAATTATTAGAAATTATGTTATGAAATTAAGGTGTTTGCCAAACCTTTTGTGATAAATATAGGTCTTAATTAGAGTTAAGAACACTCATAGACATTTTTGACGCAGGCATCAAAATTTTTCATTATGGGATAAAAAAAACTTTCTTCTGTAGCAATATGTCTGGAAAAGTGCATATCATGCATGTAAATATGAAATATTTTCTGCTTTGCTTATATTTTTTCCTTTTTTTCCGGCTTACGCAGATTAACTTCAAGCAATCAATCGAGCATCAACTTGACCTTGAAGAGAAACAGTAATATGGTTTTGTGGAAAGAAGATTTTAACTGAACTTTTATCCAGGACAAATTCACTTCTTGGAGGCGACAGATAATATCTATGCTAGAAAATATTCCCCTGCACTTCGTAACTTAGTAAACAGTTGTTTTGTTTTTTTTCCAATGCTTATTTGTAACTGCATTTAACAAGAGATATTTTTTATACGATCGCACTTGCCAGCAGGCCACGATTATATAACTGATCACATTTTTTTTAATTACATTGACACAGAAACTTCCTTAGTAACGTCACTTACATAATATGCGAATACTTCTTCCCAGGAGTTGCGTTAAATATAGTTTACTCTTTATAAATTTCATTGTAACAAGTAATTCTGTCTTATCATTCCGTCGAAGTACTCTAAAAGATCCCCCTCCCTCGTTTTTGTTTTACAGCACCATGGATGACAGAAATATCGATCCCTTCCCGGAGTAAAATTTTTGAATTATCATTGACAATGAAGCGATGAGGCATGGTGTGAATCATCTAAAAATGTTGTGCGTCGCAACCAAGTATTTATCCAACTGGTGAAGTTCAATCTGGAATGAATTTGCATTGAGAGACGAAAATATAAAAATTTGTGCTTTAATTATCATTCCACAGTATAGTTCAAAAGCCCCCCATACCGAGGAGAGGTGCCGTTGATAAGACAGATGAATATAGGGGTTGATATCAGCTTCAATTTGTAAATACCTTTATAATTATGATCAGCTTCAGGAAACTGAACCAGATTATTCAGGGTAAAACATTAATCAATTGGAAACCATTTGATCGCAGACGGCGTAAATGAGAATCCCTCGAGGTTTTTTTTCTTTGCGGCTCATATCAGACTAAAATTGAAAACGGAGACTATTACTCGACAGGTACGAAATACCACTTCACCAAATTAATACCCTCTTTATCATTGTCTGCTGTCTATTATCTCTCAAAGCCTCTTATCTTTTTCTCCCTTCAAAATTCATCTATACCCTCCCCTCAAGGTATCAAAATTCTCCACTTACTTCACTAATCCTCCAGCGGTAAAGAAACGGGTTTAACGTCAAGTTAAAGAAAACTATGGAATTTGCTATCAGTTCTAAGACAACTAAATGTGATGAACATGTCTTACTATCAGTGGTCATAATTTTACAGTAAATTAATGGGTGCAGAGCAAAAATAATAATGCAACTGCACCCACAATGCACTGTGCACTGGCTGGCTTGGCTGCTTTTTGAACATGATCTCACATTTGGTTGTGAAGATGACTTAGGACGCAGAAAATCTTTGCGCACGAGGCCAAAGGGATTACTAGACAAGATGTAATGTAAGAACAGGAAAGCTGACTTTTTACAAATCCAAACAAAAAATTCATAACTGTGGCATTTTTATTGCTCTCATAGTAATTTCATGTTACAAACTCTTTTCTCTGAATGTATACTGTCACGGGCTTCCTTGTTCCCAGGACGGACGGACGGACCTTAGGAACGAGGTCCCCTGATGAAAGCGGTTCATTTGGATGAGATCAATTTGATGAACTTCGTCATCACCAGGAAACGAATCCATCTGAAACTACTCTACCGAAATGCTATATTACAGTAAAATAAATAGCTGCTACACATACAACACAAGAAGTCGTCTACGCCATCGTCAGGTACTCTAAAATAAAGGCCTAAACACAACACGATAAATAAAGCGACATTATGTGAATTAACGCTGGAATAATTTTTGTCTTATCTCAGTAACAGACGCCAAAATCAAACTCTAGATATTCTTTCTCCGCAAAATTTTCAGATCCAGTCTTAAGCAAACAGTCGCGTTAAAGAAATTATCCCCAACCCCCCCCCGTGCATGATAATCCTTTACGTCAGTCGTTCGTTAAACTGGGAATGACGCCCTCATCACCCCACCCACCCCCCCCCCAGGTGATAATTCCTACCACAAAATACAGCAATTATGGAGCTTGCGTCAACTATTTCCTATACAACAGATCTGAAAATAGTCCGAGTCATTCGTGTTAATGGTCGCGCAGCCATGCTAGAGTCCTTGCAGGAAGACGGAAAAAGCTTAGGTTTCTGTCGTTTCATTTTACTTCAGTTCAGTTATTCTTGAGCAGTTTTGCCAGTGAATTTGTAGATAACAGATTCTTCTGCTGTCTCGCCTTCCGTCAATCGAACCTCGGTGCGACTTCTTAACTCTAACCTCTCCTGTTCATCTTCTGCATTATCTGCAACAGAGATAATTCCTAATTACATATCTTTACGAAATTCGCGATAGCTCAGAAGGACTGGAACAAAAGCAACCACAAAGCAACCACAGCTTACCATTTTTAAACAGTTGCCCTATGTGTTCCGAAGGCAACTTGATCCAAAACATTGTCCAAAAGGGGTGGCATAGGATGGTAGGGACTAAGCTAGTCTGCGATACCGTTTCTAAAAAGTTCCCGAGCAGTTTTCGAGACCCGAGGCGGTCGCCAGAGGAAGACTAAGTTCAAGTTAGCAAGGGAAAGTAGTCTCGGAAAATTTCCGAGCTGTTTCTGAAGAAAAGTGATTCGAGTCGCTTGTCCCGAAAACCCTAACCTTAGAAACGAGACAACCCGAAAACGAATAATCCCCGTACCAAATAACGGACTAAATTACCACTTACGATACGAAGGTTACCGATGGAAGAAATTATTAGATAACTAAAGGCCTATTTACACAGTACGACTTTGTCGCATGCGACAAGCTTACGACAGGCCTACGACACGAATTGTATCGTGTAAATCAAACCTACCACTCGCTTACGACTGTCGTGCACGTCACGAAAAATGTCGTAGGATTTTAAAACATGTTTTAAAACGCTGCGACAATCGTAGCCGAAATTGATAGAAAATGACGTATTTGTGACAAATTTCTACTGAGTAGGGGAGGAAGGTGAAATTTTCTTGCGTCAAAATGGCGGAGGAAGTCGCCTCCGGAAAGTCTAAGACTGCTTCCAAAGCGAGAAATACATTCTCAGATGAGGAAACAGAGAATATGATATCACTGTGGAGCGAGGAAGAGGTTCTTTTCCTTCTCTTGCAAATTATTGAAACAATGACCGCGGCCGAAACGAGTGGAATTGCACGCGATTTGGCATGTCGTAGGTGAAAATGTCGTGCGCGTGTAAATTGTCCTAAGTCATGTCGTAGGCCTGTCGTAAGCTTGTCGCATGCGACAAAGTCGTACCGTGTAAATAGGCCTTAAAATAATAAAGATTTAAAAATGTGTACGATATAAATCTGTGATAAGGTTATTTACCTGTGGCCAGGGTTCCATGTGATGGTGCATACAGGAAGACTACTGCAAATACGTACGTATTCCACATCCCATAAATTCCAGTGAACAGCGCACCTGTGAGAGAAGAAAAATGTTTAACAAGGGTACTTCAAGAATGAACAGATCAACGAGTACGAACGCATGAAAGAACGACGGAACAAAGGCACGAACGAACGAACGAACGAACGAACGACCGACCGACCGACCAAGCCGCGAACAAAGGAACGGAAGAGCTACCGATATCGCTTGATGAAGGGACCAAACAACGAACGAGAATGAGCGACCGCGCCACCCACGAAAGAAGAAAGGAACAGACGAATTACTCTTAGACCGACGGACGCGACAACAAACGAAAACAAACCGAGGGAAACAAAGGCTTCGGATTTACAAAATTCAAATCGCTCAGTTATTAAATCACTGAGACTGATTGCCAAACAAGAATATATTTCCAGCCTGGCTGGGCGCAACCAGTCAACAACAAGTAGGAGGAACTGCACGGATCCCTGATTTTCTGTTGTTTTCTTACTTAGAAAATGTGTGAACATTTCCAAGGGTGGGACAAGGAAAAGATTCCCAATGAATTTTACGAAATTGTCACAAACAAATTTTGTAATGCCTACTAAGTGATTGGATTGCTTGACACTTGATTAATAGCATCACGGAAAACTCAGATTTCTCTTTGCCTTAAGCTCAAATACTCAGCTTCAACATGTTTCCCTTCAAGTAAATTTGGCACTTACTTGAAAGTTCAACAGTGGACTCCTCTTCTCCAAATTTCCACTGAGCCTCGTTTACGTTGCTAATTATGAAGAAAACCACAGTGAAACCAGCGCACAGGACAGTCACAACCATCAGGAACTCAAAACGGTAGATCAACCCCTACAAATAAAGCACAACATTCAGTACAATCTACAGAGCTTCTTACTCGCAGAATGACACTGGTAAAAAATTACAGAATCAACGAATGGGGGTAGCTTCTGTAGGTGATTGCTTATACTTGGACCTCAACTCTCGACAACTATCCACGGCTATTGACAACTGTCGACAACTTCCTTCAACTTTCATCCATCGTCAAAAATGTTCGTTATCTGTTGTCTACCATCGACAACTGTTGTCTACTGTCGACGACTTTCCTCAATTGTCGACATTTGCCGACCACTCTCGTTAACTCTAAACGACTCTCCTCAATTGTCGTGAACTTTGCCGACCGCTCCCATCGACTGTTGTTAACTTTCGTCAACTATCGTTAACTCTCCTCAACTATCGTTAACTCTCCTCAACTATCGTTAACTCTCCTCAATGGCCTACAACTCCCGTCAATTCCCGAAAACTGTCGTTAATTCTCGTAGACGGTCCTCAACTCTCGGAGACTGTCGTTTGTCTTGTCATACCTGATACTGCAGCTGCCTAGCGCGTGACAATGTCGGAATAGCAGCTCTTTTCCCTCGAATGTTCCAGAAAACTTTGAACACCATATAACAGAGGAACAAGAAGTAAATGCAGGCACAAACAGCCGCAAAAATAATAAAGGCGTACTGAATAGAGTTAAGCAAAACCGGTACATGATAGAAAATTTTAAAAACACTGAAACTCATAGATAAAAAAAAGGCCTATGACTATCTAAAAAACTATTTGGCAAGCATGTTTTAGGAAATCTTTAAAGTGTTGAAATTTCACCAAAACAGAAAAACGCTTTAAAATCTACTAGAACCAAAAAAAACAAAAAAAAAAAATGCGACTTAAGGGAGAGAATTATACTGTTGCTTTTTTTTTGGCACAAAAACATACACAAGGAATAAGACAATTTTCATGTTTCATAGAAGGATACAGCCATGTTTCGTCCCAGTTTGGTTGCCCAAATCGTGTAAAATGGATTATGCAGCTGATATCCTCTAAAATACAACAAAAATAAGGCATAAAGGTGAGAAAAAATATGAGACCCGTATGTGATACCTCTGAAAATGTAGTAGCACTTTCCAGAATCTCTGATTTAGAGGAGAGAGTACTGGGACGAGTTTGTTTTTAAACGTCTTGCAAAATCTTCGGGGGTCTTCGGATATGATTGAAATGTCCCGTCCTTGATTTAAAATACCTTTACAGTTTTATGCATTTAACCCTTTAACTCCCACGGGTGACCAAGACAGAATTTCTCCTTACAATATATATACAATATCAACCAGACAAGTGATGAAGTGATAAAAATATCAATTTGAGGATAATCAGTTGACCCAATACTAAATTCTCTGAGCTAACATTATAAGAATTGAATAGTTGACAGTAAGAAGAATCTCAAATTTAATCTGGGAGTTAAAGGGTTAACGATAAATTTTTACGTACACTGAGGTGATCACCACTTTGGGCCGACGTAAATGAAAAGAAAGAGCAAAACTCGAGTTTAAAAATATAATTAAACCAGATAATCATACCTCTCACACAAATCAAACACGAGTAATGACACACAACCGAATCCAATTGCACCAATTTGTCGCCAGTAAGTCTTTAGTCTGTTTCTCTCTGGCTGGTCCTGTAACAACAGACAACAAGGGTAATCACGTGTTTACATCAGAAAGGAAGGGGAACCGGTGACGAGACAGTGAAACAGTAACTGCAGTCCTAATACTTAACCCTTAACACCCTAACATCAGTATACATATTCTGCCTACTGCTCTCTTTACATTTCCTAAGGCGCTGACAAGGAGAGTTTCCTCACTAATCAAGCGCTTCATCCGCTGGTGATCATTTCCTTTATTTTCGTGACCTACATGTGTGATTCAAGGGCGATATTGTAAGGAGAAATTACATGTTAGTCACTGTTAGGAGTCACAGGGTTAACAGTGCAATCTGATCATCTAGGCGAGAGGAGCTATAAAGGATGTGTAGGTACATGCAGCAGTGACTGTCATCAGAGTCAAGTGAAGGTTGTTTGTCAGTCGAGTGCTGGTAGTCTGCGTCGAGAAAACTTGTTGTTACGTTTTGCCTGATGCTATTGGTTGTGACTTAAGTAGTGACTGTCATTTGTGATGGGTCAGTTTTGACCCAACTGTTGTTATGTATTGGAGGCCTCGTCTGATAATCGATTGCTGTGTCAGAAGATGTTTGGTCGATTTTCGATAAGTTGTCAACAAATAACCTTCTGATAATCGCCCAATGGTCAACCGCGATTTGATCAATAATCAGCCGATGTCTCAGTCGAGATTTCGGACTGCCCTCAAGACATCGGCCGACCATAAGTCTAGCATACAGTAGGAAGACCACCAGCCGAACATCTGTCGACCATCGACCAACTACCGTTCGTCTAACGACTGTATATCAATCGATTATCGATCGATCGACTGCCTCTCTGATTTTCTGTGTAAGGACTGAGACTGCCTACAGCACAACAGGTCATGGTTCCTTACCACTAAATGCTCGCCAGTGAAAATGATCCAAAAGCTCATCAGCATTCCGTAGAACAAACCCTGACGAATGTCGCTGAACAATAACATGAAGGGCATGTTTAACCACAGAGTAAACCACTCAAAAGGAACTGAAATGATGGAAATTTTACATTATTGTGAATAAAAGCCCGTACTAAAGCCAACTAGCCAATCAAGCGCAGCTTGTCCCGGTATCCTGAGCATGAAGCACTGCTTCCCCCACCCCTAAATGGGAAGCCAGTTCATCGCAAAGGTACTCCTCAGGCTTCCCTGACAATTCGCCGAACACAACACAGCGATCCGTCCATGTTTCAAACCCAGACCTCTCGCCCCGGAGTCTAGCGTACTAACCTACCAGCCATCGCGTCTCTCACAATTGGTAATGATAAACTGCTGAGTAAGTTACCGAGCTAGAATACAGATTTACACAGTGAAGTATTAGGGAGTAATGGCAATCTGTCAAGGAGAAATGACCAAATGTTGGGTGGGAGGGGGGAGGGTGGGTTACTTGATAAGCTTTTCTATCCCCTCCCCTGGTGCCTTTAAGAACTTGTAATTGGTCAATGGACTGGAATATTTACCCTTATCTCTCCACTGAAAATCTTCAATTAATATGACTATGATGAGCACCATGCAGTTATTGTAAGAGGTGCTGTCTGAACAGAGCTGAACAACATTGCTTCATAGATAAAACTTACAGTTCATGAATGCTGTCACAGCTCCTAAACAAAACAGTGCCCTGTAAAATAAACAAGAAGGTAACAATAAGTGAAAGTTGTAGTATGATAATTGTTGATGAAAAGTAACTGATTCTGTGAAAATCAGAACTTGGTCGTTTGAAACAGAACAATGACTATAGGTTTACACAAAACCGAATTGTACTTTATGAATGACTGGGTAAAAATTCACTTGATGGAAAATGTTAAGTGCGATTGGAACAACCAGGCACAAGGAATATGTAATCCCTGAATCTTTTTTGGATTTTGGTTTCCTGTTGCTGTTTGCAGTTCAGTTTTCTCAAAACCTAACAACTTCTTCCCAGAACACAATCATAAAAGTCTTCACAAGTCCACGGGTTTTGTTGTAACATATGAAGGAAAATTAACTTCTTACTTTTCAAGAAGAACTGGGTCTCTTCTCAATTGCTTCAGTCGCTTTGCAAACCAGAGGAGGATAAGAATTGTAATTGGTCCCACAACAGTCTTCACTGTGAACCAGACTTTAGTAAATCCTCCATTTTGGTGAATTTCCTACCAATTTAAAATAACACAGTCACCTTATATACTTGTACTGTAAATGCACACATGAGCATCTCGGACGAAAATTGATCTAGATACAATTGTGTGTATATTACTTGAAATATTATATGTAATATTGAGATACAACTGTGTGTAGATACAACTGTGTGTAGATACAACTGTGTGTAGATACAACTGTGTGTAAAATATTACAAGTACATGATAATGCCTATAACCGTTTCACTCTCTGTGAGGAGTGAACAAAAAAAAATGTATTCTGACATTATCAAAATAATATCACACAGCCAAGTGATGAAAAGAGCAAAAAAATATGCAAAATAAGGGATTCTGCAAAGTATCAATTCTCCAACCCTTAAGAATTGAATTCAACTCAACCTCTCACAATCTAACATCAATATGCACATTCTTTGCACTGCTCTCCATTCATTCCTGAAGGTGCTGGCAAGGAGAATTTGTTTCACAATCAAGAGCTTCTTGAGTTGGTGATCATTTCCTTTACTCTCATGACCTTAATGATTGATTCAGGGGTGATATTGTAAGGAGAAATTAGATGCCAGTCACTCAGAGAAGTCAAAGGATGAAACTCCTTTTACTCACCACAAAGTTGATCTCGGAGACAAGTCCAATCCTCTCATTTGAGTGACGAGCATATGGCAGTTTTATGTTTACTAAGTATTCATCATAGTGGACAGATCCTATCTCAAAGAATGGGATTTCTTCACAATCATAATACCCATCATCACCTCCAGTCTGCAGATAAACAAAACAATTTAAAAAAAAAATTGTTATTAATTTATGCTTTGGCTTATGTCCACAGGAAACTTACATCAAAATGGAATTTACATATAGCAGTGGAGATCCTTTGAGATACATTTAGCTCTAATCTGTGCCACTGTTTCCAGTTTGAATTGTAGGAAGGAAGAAATGGAAGGACTAGGAGAAAACCCTTGTAGCAAGGACAGAACCAAAAACAGACTCAACCCACATTTGATGCCAGGCCAAGGAAATGAACCCAGACCACATTGGTGGGCAGGTGAGCACTCTTGCCATTGTGCCTTCCCTGCTTCTCCAAAGATCAAAGTTACAAGAATACTAGTCATGTGTATTTGAAGGAGGAATTGGTAGGTCGAGGTAGAATACTGAAAAAGAATCAGTTCATAAGCGTGCACACATCAGAATCATGTAGAGATTAGAATTTTTGTTTGCACTAACTAGTCACTATTCACCCATTACACCATAACATTGGTATGCACATTCTTCATACTGGATCTCTATACATTTCCAAAGGTGCTAAGGTTTATAATCAAAAGCTTTTTAATTGTTGATCAGTTCTATTGTTGTAACCTTCATGTGTAATTCAGGGGCGAAATTGTCAGGAGAAAGTAAATGCTAATCACTCAAAGGGGTCAATACATCAAAAGCAAAAACTTTACCTTTGATCTTGTGAAGTTGCAGACAAGAGACCTGTTTTCTGTTGCCTCTGCCAGGAGTTCCCATCGACCTTCACCAGAGCTGTTAGACAGATATCCTAGATGGGCCTCAAAAGTTAATGTTGGTGCTTTTCCTAAAAAGATTCACAAAAAAAGAGAACTTTACAGTTTTCTTCAACCAAGTTTCTCCTATTAATATCTAAGCCCAGAGCTCTATTTTGCATTCAGATGCAGAAACATGGGTGAAAAGTTGTCTTTGCCCACTCTGATTGGAGCTAGTTCGGAACTGATTGACAGGCAATAATCTCCTCTGAGCAGCCAAAGTAACAAAATTACACATGAACAAAATTATTATATACCACACAGGTAAATATCATGCATTTTAAACATGCTGATTGGCTAGCTCAGAGGTGATTGGTACATATTAGTCATCGCAGAGCAGCCAAATATAACAAAATCACATTTCAAAAAAGTGGTGTATATCCTTGAAGGCTCCATAAAAATTTGTCACAATTCAATTCCATTCCTACCACATTTCTTCGGAAGAACACTAAATCTTAATTATTAATTATGATAATTAGTCCATAGTCCATGAAATGTCACCATAAACAAATACTTTGTTCCTTTTAAGGAACAGCTGTAAAAACACCACTCTTGAGAAAACAAATCTTAAAACAACCTTACACAAAGGTGTCCCTTTAACGTACCTTGACGATCATCATATTTAAATTCTGGCCTATATTCAATATCCAATCTGATTGATGTTGCTACAAACTGGAACCAGCGAGACATTGATTGACCAGGGAAGGGAAATCTAATGGCAAACACAATCTGGTCCGGTGTGATGCCTCGTGGATCTGTCTCAGCTTCTTTAATGTTATTGAGCCTGTCACAATGTCTTGGATCATAAAATGTATCAAAATTTCCAATTTTTCCAATACAGATAGTTGCTATATGAGAAACAGCACTCGTGGGTGCCGGAGCTGTAAAGAGGTAAATAAAAAAAATTCAAATCAATTGCTAATAACAATTCATTATAGTAGCTTATTTTTATAACCCTTGACCTTTTCCATCCCAAGAGTGATCCCTTGATTCAAACATTTAGATCATGAGAATGAATAAAATAATCATGAACTCAAAAAAATCTTGATTGCTAAACAAATTTACCTTGTAAGTACCATAGAAAACATGTAAAAAACAGTAGGGATCAGAATGTTAGTGGAGTAGTTTTTTCAGATTTATTTGCAGTACTACAACGTAGATGTGAGTCCTCCATTCAAAGCAGCAAAAATTGTATGAGAACCAGAAAATATGAAATAAATATTTTAACAGCAAAAGAGATTTTTCCTTGTCATTTATGACATATTTACAGTATTTGAACCACTTTCATGCAATTTTTGTTAAGTGGGATAAAACTAGGAAATACTATATCTTAAACTTTCAACCCTTATTAGTGACCAAAACAGATTTTCTCATAACAATATCAATACAATATCAAGCAGACAAGTGATGAGAATGAAGGAAAACATCAATTAGAAGATAATTAGTTGATCTGATACCAAATTCTCCAAGCTCAAATAATAAAAATTGTATGGCACACAGTAAGGAGAATTACTAACAAGATCTTGGAAGTAGAAGGGTAAAGGGTTAAGTACAGGTATATCAAGCATGTTGAATAAGCACACACTTAATGTTCATGAAATAAATAATGGAATTTTAACGTATAAATTTGTGAGCCTGATTCAACTATCGCAGAGTATACCATTATATCAAGCTACATATATTTTATAATACAGAATACAACCAAATTCAGATAAGAATTTTGGCAACACAAAAATTTGCAGAATGAAGAGCCCACTTAATCTTTGCCTCACTCCAGTCAACAGTTGGCTTTACGGCTCAGTTGAAAGTAGCATCAAACTAGTATCTGAGAGGAACAGTTTTGAATCAGGTCAAAGCCTGAATTTTTTTGGTTTTCTTTTCTGTATGCAATTTCTTAAAATACAGCATCAACTAAAAGGATCATTTCTTTCCTTATATTTTATCAGAAAGGTCAAAACATGATTTATGACTGCGATAGAAATGTACAGTTATCCGAAAGAGGAAATCAATCCTTACATCTTGGGTATCAACATTCATTACTACGGTAATAAAGTTCAACTGGTCTGGAGGTCTGATTTTCTGATTAATAATTTCTGCTCTTAACATTAATTTTTCAAAACTTGCCCTGACAGATAAATTAATTATCATCATCATTGACAGCCACCATCTAAATGACAAAGTATGTGTACACTGTTAATGTCACAGTTAAATAGCTGCCCATGTACAAATTTATCATAAATTACACGGCACTTAAACCGCAGAGTTGTAAGACTGTATAGAACTTCCACTCAAGTCTGCTGTGTGTATTTACAGTTACAATAAAATGTTGTCTACATGCATCTTCAAATCAATTAAGGCATCTTTTCTCTCATAAGAATGATTTTGCAAGTGCTATTGAATAGAATTGGATTATTCAACAACCACTCAGACAATTCTAATATAGTATGCATGAACAACTATATACAATAAATAACACATATCCGCCACAGCTCTAATGCAATAGCTATCCTAATTTTCATTTTCCGTTATCACACATCGTTACTAAAAATAATAAATAATTGAAGTCACCACAAAATTAATAATTTTTTTTTTCATCAAATGCTCATCAAGTTATAGTGTGTATCATAAAGAGCCAATGCAGCCAAAAGTTACTGCGCTACAACCAAAACAAAACAATTAAATATCTAAATTGTTATCAAAACAATAATTAAATTAGCTAAAAACAAAATGCTTTGCAATAAACTTGATCTTTCATTTTGTTGTTTACTGTTCTTAAAATACCCAGGTGGTAACCGCCAACTTTGACTTATGGAAAACTTCATGACTTTCCATGGGAAAGTGAACGCAAGAACTGACGATGAATATGTTTGAATGACAACAATATTTCAAATTGGGTCATTTTAAAAGACAACTTTTAAGCATAGCTCGATTACATGCATAAATGTAATTCGCAGATAAATCCACTTCAGAAATGTTTCAGGATCACTTTCCGAGCCTCAGTAAAGTTCAGGTTCGCTTCGCTTCGCTTCTTTGAATCTCTTGTTCAGTGTCCTTGCCACGATATTAGACTAAATATCAACTGTAAGTTTGTGTACACGCATCAAGTCTATATTTGATGAATCACCACTTGTGATGGAATCGCTCTCAGTAATAACTCTCGAATGTTCAATTCGATATATTATTTGACATGTGTTCCACTGTTCCTCTTAATTGCTCTTTTGTATACGCAATCTCGATTTCTAACTACTGATAGAAGCGTCTTGAATCACAAAATTCTGACTGAGTGCAGAATTCTCTCTTGGATTTGACAAGGCTTCGCTACATAATTCGCATATTATGACGGTAAATCAAAATTGATTTAACAACACTCACCAATTTTTCCTCCTACAGCGAAAAAGGTCGCCAGAATTCCCACCAAGAGAAGTGCAAACGCTAAAAGATGTCGAAGCCTCAATGTCTCCAAAATTACAGCCATTTCTTACGAATTTCAGCAACGAACACTCGATCTGATGTTTTCTTCGCCGAAGCTGTTGGCATTAAATCATGCTCCCAGACAAAGCGCGCCTGATCCATTCATCACGAAAATACCTCATTAATTAACGCATCAACCAATTGCGAGACAGAACTGACTTTATTATTTTGCACCCCTCAGTGCCGACTGGAAAACAATACTTTTTCAAATGAGTAATAAAATCTCTTTCTTTTGAAAGCGGAATACCGAAGAGACGGATGTATAACACATTCCTTTTTCGGAACATCAGAAGAATGTCGGGCGTGACACCGATTTTATTTCCTGAAGAACTTAAAGAATTCTAAGAAGCTGCGGTCCAAACTCTGAAATTGCTGAACACGTTACCGACAAAATGAGAAATAAAAGTCATAAATGTTATAATTAAGATTTTAATCAGATTATCGGCACCTATCTAACACGCTTGAAAAAGATTTCTGCTCCCCCACCCGGATGTCGGAAGGGCGTCACCCGAGCCCCTTTTTATCGGGAGAGGGGTATGTCGGAGCAATTTCGCCGCTTTCCTTTAGGAAATAGTTTTCTTTCATTAAAGGATAAATATATGGCAGTTTAGTTTATACGACCTTTGTTACGCACAATAAAGGACTCGGGAGAGCACTGTCGTGTGGTAAATATTCTGATGTTGACTAAATGTGTAGAAGCGCGTTGTCCTCAGAGTAATATATAAACGCAGTGATCACATATTGCTGCTTCACACCACGAGAGGAATGATAATTCTACGACCCTCGATAATGGACGGAGCAGAAGGATATTGGCACACGTAGGAGTAGCTGTGTATCAGGGAAATAAGCTAGACTGAGTACTGCTCACAAAAATAATTCTTTAATCACATAGTTTAGTTTCTTTCCTAATCATAAAGTGTTGCCGAGTTCCTCGGTTTTTTTCGTTTTGAAACGCAAGGTGAGATTTATTTTTGCATTTACTCATTTCTCTGCGAATCCGTTAATTTTTCTTAATCATTCATTTGTTTATTCAAATATCTATTTACTTATTTCTGCATCCTAATTTTCCTATTTTGTTTGTTAGGTTCTAAAGCTTTTTTCTTCTTTTCTTTCTCTAATACTTCCTGTGGAATCCATTTGAAGACAAAAGCGTACGTGACATGTAAGACGATATTACGTGTTTGGTTTCTAAGCCTTTTAACAGGAGAGATGTTAAGGGTGACCTTGTTATGATAGAAACCTTGCTGCTTTTCAAATGTAAATTGCCTTGTTAGCTAACCAGATACTGGTCTTTATCACAACAAGGTCACCTTCGGCCTCACTCCAAATCAAAGGCTTGGCATTTAAGTACACAACTGTAAAATGGCCTATTGTTGATGTCTAAGCTCAGTTTCATGCGTGCTGTAGCGAACACGAAGGAAGGAACTGGGGCGAGGAAGGCTTGTTTTCAGCCTCCTCTCTGTCGCTTTTCCCTGGTCATCAGCGGATTGAAAAGAACTTCGAATAACAACTTCTGGTGAAAGAAAGCAAACCGTTTATTAAATTTATATCAGTTACAATGGAGGGATCTGGGATCTCTGATTTCTGCTATAGAGATATTTCCACAATTATCGAAGTTACAGTAATTCAAAGTTCGTTTTGTTTGCCAAACTTGTGAAACCTGCATACTGTCATCTGTTAATGTTATTGTTCCTGTTTATTGTTGCGTTAATAAAATCCCTGCTTATTGTTGTGTTCATGAAAAATGCTTAAAAAATTCTCAATAAAGCTGCTCTATTTTTCCACTCTCCACTAGCCTTCTGGTTGACATTACCCGCTAAACTTAGCGCAGCAATCGCTATCTTTAAGATACACTCGTTTCTACATTATAAATATTTACGCGATCACCCTTTCATTTTCTTCACCAGAAATCCTCCGCTGATTTATAAATGCACAACAGGGCCGTAAAAAGAAACACTTGCTTAACATTTCGTCGTATTTCGAATCATTTATAGACCGTCTTAATAGCATCAATCAATGATTGTAAGATATCACCTTCCAACATTACTTCTGTGACCTCTCCTTGGTTTATTTCAAATGAAATCGCACTTTGTCGATCCTTACGCCTTGTACCCGCTCCGTGTAAAACCGAAGGGAGCTCTACAAAAGATACCGGAATTATTTTACGACGTAATTTTCCATCGTCTTCCTTGAGAACATTGCTAATCACTTTCCCATCGAAGTTTACTTCCTGTCCGCCTTTTGTAACAAAAACGTAGGATTCTTCCTCGTTAATAAGCCGCGTCGCTTCAGAAGAGCAAATCAAAACAGTGCAGTCACAACCTGTGCGGATTTCGTCTTTAAGCGAGAGTCCACGAATAGCAATATCAGCAAGATCTAGTACAAATACTTCACCCTCGCTTTCTAAAACTGTCCGTAGCTTTTCAGCGTTTTCTTCTTGGTCTTTTGTAAAAAGTAGGAGAGTTGTTTTGTCTGCCATGTTTCTCATGGAATCCAGGGTGTTTGATAAATAAATAATAAGGGAAGCTTTTTCATTTTCTTTCAGTTTTGAGAGCGACAGGTGAAACTGAAAAAAACCACAAGCCGGAAAAATTAAAATGAGAGCTGGCTAGCCGTCTTGCTGATCATAGAATTTGATATGGTCTAAAGAGAACCTAGGGCTGGTTGATTTCATACAACACACGTTTAGAAACTCTAATTTCACCGATAATTGCTCTAAGTACCGATGGCTTAATTTACTAGAGAAATTTGACTTTCGATCAGATGATAATTATGCAAAACGTTCTTAGTAAGCACATAATTAATTTAGATCGCGTGGTATTATTTCTTGACTAGCACCTTACTGATTTTTTAACTCAAATTAAAACCGGTACCTGGAAAAATCTCTTTGTTTTCCGGTGGGCTTTGAAGGACTTAGAAGTGTTAGATCTCACTTTGTGTCGTGGTGACGATGAGCCTTAATCATTATCTTGATCAAAGATTCTACTCCCAATCGAGGCCCAGTGAAACTGAAAACGAGGCCCGCTCATTCCAGGCGTATAACACATAAAAAAAACATCTTTCTTTAAGAACACATAAAGATAGGATAGGATAGGACTAAGCGCGGGAAAATGGCGTTTGACTTTGATTGACATTGCACGTTGTCTTAGTCAGATTACATAATGGGCGTGTCCAGGGGGGTGAGGTCTTTAGGTGCACATGATCCCCTTTTTTCCAAAGTGATGATTTGTATGAGGAAAATTGGCCAAAAAAATTTTAAAATGGCCTAAGGAAGCTAGAGTAAGGCCTTTTTTTTAATAATCTCAGGTTTACGCCTCTTTTTCATTTATGAGACAATTGATAACCTTCTCTACAAAGTAACAAGTGTTACAGCACATGCGCACAAGAAAGCGCTTTTTAAGTTGTCACAAATTGTACTGAATTTTGTTATGGGAACAGTGTTAAAAAGGGTTTTTTTTCTATCAACCCACTTAATTGGAAGCACAGGATACACATTCCATTAACTCTTGTGTTCAGTTTGAATAATGTTTTGTTTTGTTCTTGTCTCATAGAGAATGTTGGTTTGAAGAGGACCGAGCTCAGGAAAACCTTTGAAATCAGGAGTTTGATTGGGAAAATCTAATCAATACTTCAAATACGCCAAAATTATCACTAATAAATGTAACTCCAATTTAGACGAATTTTTTTCATTAAAAAAAAATTGAAGTCTTTGAAAGTGAATTGAGGCGGCAAGGTCACCCAAAGAGTCCAAACTGATCTTCTCTCCATTGACTTACAGAGTTGCTTTTATAGTAAGGAAAATTTGTAGAATTTAGTTTAAGTTTGAGAAGAGTTAACCAATGAGAGACGATCCCAGTGAAGGACGCTGATTGGTCAAGGAGTACGGGTAATAGCTAGTTTGAAGAATTCAGGCAAAATTTTTTTGAGATGCAAGCGATACTAAACCGCTGAATTTTTTTAGATCCATAATTTTACTACCTATTTGAAAGGCTCTCTCATAGGGAGATCAATTTATTTATGTCGGTTTATAATAAGTTCTTAGCAGTTTTCAGTAGGGATGTTTGAGAACAGGCGCCAAAACATTTGTTTTTGTCTCAGATAATGAGCTCAGTTTGAAAAAGAAAACAGGAAATCTGATGGCCATCTTGGTTTAGAATTGTCAAACGCTCCGATCCTTCAGTGGTCTCCTAAGCCGAGCTCCTTAGCTGTTAACATTCTTACATAAATTACCATGCAGTTTTCGGTGATATCCGTGTAGCGTGATTCATAACCTTTTCCCGCCACGATCCCTCGGAGCAGTTTAGTCCATAATAGCACGTTGTTATTAAATGGCTCACTAGATCAATTTTTAAGAAGACAGCCTTAGGATTTGGCAAGAAAATGAGTAATTAACGAGTTCGCAGAGGCCCTGCGATACAGTACATCTGAGGAAAACCGAAAAGATAACACCTCTCGGCATCTGGGTAATATTAATTCTGCCTTTCAATTTTCCTTTTCGCCGGCGGGGTTACATTACTGAACCATGGTACTCTGTTTTATCTGATATTTATCAGCATGATCAGGCAAACACTAAAGCATCTAGAACACAAAAGCTGCTAAAAAATGGTGTTTGTTTCATTCTATGTTCTTATCTCTTTCCCTTCAAATTACGCCCTACTAATACAAGTCTCCGAGAAAAATATGTCGAGGTCCATGGAAAGCAAAGTGCTTGTCGGTTTGTCTGCTTTACTGCTTGTCTCACTTCTCTGACTTTCCAGCAGTAAAGAGACGGGTTCAAAGTGGAGTTAAAATACCTAAAAATACTTTTAAATCTATCAATATAGACTACCCGTGAAGAATAGGTTTTTCTATAAGTGATCAAAACCAGCATTGTAAATTTTGGTGCATAACAAACAACTAATGCTAACTGCACCCACAGTGCACTGCTCACTACCTTCCCGTATCTTGCCATGTTCAGTGCAGTTGTTAGGCTCGGCTGTTGTTGAACATGATTTTGTACTTGAGCCTGATGTTGTCTAAGACTGCAAAATATATTTCTGTACGAGGCGATTGAGATCACTGAGCATGACGGTTTAATTATAATACTATACCAAATGGTTATTCGAGTATGTGAAATGGAAAATGATTTAGCGGCGACGGATAAAATCCAAAACGTAGCTGTAATGATGCATGTGCGCTCTAAAGTTACTATTTGTCTGTATCTTATTCCCAACAACAGAGCGAGAAGTCTGTCCACACTTATGGCCGTCAACGTCAACAAAAACTTTCCACATAAAACAAAACGAAAAAGGAAACCAAATTATTTATTCCTTCTTTCTTCCTTTCTGTCCTTGCAGTAGAACATCCGCCCTCAGGCTGATGTTTCACCGATGAAACCGAGAATCGAATGAATCATTTTTTATTCGGAATGTCCGTCATGTAGAGACGGACATAGATAAAACTCCCGCAAAATGTTCATGCCACGCGAAGAATAACATATGGCTCGAGATGTCAAGCACTTTTAAGAAAATGTTTAACGTTTTGTTTTACCATTTGGAAACATCGCCCAGGTATTTCTCCTCCTCTTGTCGCATCTGATCAGAAATTATAAAAGGAACCATGACAGGTGCAATATGTTACTTGACTAAACCATCACAACCTTAGAAAACCATTTCAATGTTTATTCATTATTCCATCCTCCTAAATTTTACTCAGTCTCATTCGAGCGGCAGCTGGTTGTGATCTTAAAATCTATTTTAGAATGTTCGATATGTGTTAATTCTATCTTACTGTTTTTGCCCTTCGGACAAACGATCTATCCTCAAAAAGAAAGCCATCTTGGAAACCGCGACGGCCAATTTTCCGCGTTTTTTAGACTCCCCATTGATCTCTGTCAGCGACGACTGATTTTACAAGAAAACAAGCAACAAGAATACAGAATGTCGGAGGAAAGTCAAACAGATAGTATCTCTCGGCGTTTGGGCGATATTAATTCTACCTTTCAATTGTTGTTTTTGCCGACAGGGTTAGAATACTTAACAATGGCTGTGGTTTTATCTGATATTTATCAGCATAAATAGGTAAACACTAAAGCAATAGATGCTGAAAAATTCCCCTCTGTTTCATTCTATCTTTTTTCTCTTTCCCTTCAGATTACGCCTGATTGATACAAGTCTGACGACTCCGAGAAAATATATCTAAGTCCATGGAAAGCAGAGTGCTTGTCGGACTGTTTGCTTTACTTCTTGTCTTACTTCTTTGATTTCCAGCAGTAAAGAAACGGGTTCAAAGTGGAGTTAAAATATGTTAAAATACTTGTAATTCCATTAACAACGAGTACATGTGAAGAATAAGTTTTTTTTCTATAAATCTTCACAACCAGAATTATAAGTTTTGGTGCATAACAAACAACTAATGCTAACTGCATCAACAGTGCACTGCTCACTACCTTCCTGTATCTTTCCATGTTTAGTGCAGTTGTTTGGCTCGGCTGTTGTTGAGCATGATCTTGTACTTCAGCCTGATAATGACTAAGAGTGCGAAAAATCTTTGTGTACGAGGCGATTGAGATCACTGAGCATGACAGTATAAGTATAATAGCGTACCAAATGCTTATTCGAGTATGTGTGACGGAAAATGATCCAGAGGCGACGGATATAACCCAAAACGTAGCTGTAAGGATGCGTGTTCGCTCTACAGTTAATATTGCTCTGTGTCTTATTCCTAACAATAGAGCGAGAAGTCTGTCCACGCTTATGGCCGTCAGCGTCAACAAAGACACTGAACATAATGCAAAGCTTGATATGTTGACTACGTTCCTTACGTATCGACAAAGACTCCAGTGTTCGTGAACCAAGGACAGCCAATAAGTAGCATAAAGAGGCTGGGTAACAATACCAACCAACAGATCAGTTGTTGCCAGACAACGATACAAGAGTTTGGACGGTGGATGAAGGGAAGTTTCTTTGTTAAGGGCAACAAGGATTAGAAAATTCCCAAGAAATGCTGTGATGGAGAGGAGAATGTTAACTGCTGAGAAAGAAATCAATTGTGGTTGTAACCCAACTAACAAGGAGGGGGAACACGGCGATACTTGATATGTGTCCGTCTGTGTTCCACCCTCTGTTGAGTTTGTCGTCGCAATCATTGTGCAGCTCTCAAAACGGCTTTCCTCCTTTCGCTACGGTATTTTTGGAACTGCTAGCAATACAGGATAATTCTTCTTCACAGCAACCACCTTGCCAAGAAACAGTTAAATCTTATATTTATATCATCCAGGCTAGAGTCTGTTAGCCAAATTAAAAGCAACAAAAGGGAATCAATTACAAGTATCCAGAGCACATTCTTTGTTTTCGGACTCACTCGAAACATATCGACTAATCGACTACCAGCTTTTTAAAACTATAGAGAAGACGGAAAAAGGAAATAACACAAATTCAAATTCTCTTTTTCATTTCAGTACAAAATCCGCCCTCAGGCTGATGTTTCACTGATGGAACTGTCAGTCATGTAGAGACAGACTTAATTTTTTGCCTGAAAAGCACAAATTGTCTTCATCCGCAAAATAAACAAAAAAAATCTCGCAAAATGGTCACGCCACACGAAAAGCAGTCTTGAAATAAATTTAACTGACAACTAAAAAATTGATCTATGGACGTAGATGTCAAGAAATTTGAAAAATACATTTAACGTTTCGTTTTGTTATTTGGAAACATTTCTCAGTTATTTCCTCTTCATGTCGCATCTGATCAGAATTTATAAAAGGAACCACGACAGGTGCAAAATGTTCAATATTTATTCCATCCTCCTTAATTTCTCTCAGTCTCATTCGAACGGCAGCTCGTTGTGATCTTAAATTCTTTTCTTAAATTGTCTTCGTTTTAAAAATTTAAAGTTACTCGATCGTGAACACTGAGAAGCCAAAATTGATCGATGTATGACAACGAATTGCCAAAATGGATCGAAAAATTTGGTTCATTAAAGCCTTTAAAACTCCATAGCAGACATACCTATTAAAATGTCAAAATATTGGAATATTCAAGAAATCATTACTTATCTTTTTTTTGAAATATGTATTTCTATGTCTTTGAGTCACTCAGAAAACATTATTTTGGGTTTTCGAGTGATCGGAAAATAAGGACCATTCATTGCAGTCACAATTATTTGGAAGGAGATTTTTAATTCGATATTGAAACTTAAAGTTTTTTACTAAAGGTGACGCCTCTTCCGCAAACGTGTAATAACACGAGAAAATATCCTATAAATTCCGTATTCCTCTTTTTTCCGCAATAAAATGTACAATTTAGAATGTACAATACGTGTCAATTCTATCTTACTTTTTTCTTGCCCATCAAAAGTTTCTTTCTGAGAAACGATTTATCCTAAAAAGAAAGCCATCTCAGGAACGGCGACGGTCAATTTCCCGCGTTCTTTAGACTACATAAACAATAGACCCCTTATTCTTCAGTCGTCCCTGTCGCACTCTGTCAGCGACGGCTGATCCCCCCCTCACTCCCCCCCCAAAAGTCTCGTATTGGGAACCATATGATCCCTCAAATTCTTCCTCAGATTCTACTATATTTTCCTAGCTCTAAGAATAAATTTTAAATTTCACGCATTTGGAATCGGAGACACATTGTTCCCGCTAAGCATAACTGGTCTCCAATTGCATCACTAAAGCTGTCACCGCAAACTTTGCATATTACACGGAAATACCTCTGAGATAAAAGTCAAACCCGAACACAAAATTATTCAAAATTATCAGGTTCTGTGGACTTAGATTCCAAGTAATTTCAAATAACGTCTCATTGATGTCTTGTTATTAAAAAACATCTAAAAGTTATTTTCTCTTCCTTTCGCTTCTGAAGGAAGCGTTACACGTTTCACCTGTTGCAGTTCCATCGCAGAAGGAACTGCAACAATAGCGTGTTGTTATTATACGGCTTATTAGATCAATTTTAGAAACATGGAATGAGCAGAGGCTAGATTGCTTTAGAATTTGGAAAGAAAAAAAGCAGCGAGTTCGCAGAGGCCGTGGTATTCTCTGTTCTTTAAGCGTATTTTGAAACGCTCTATGTTTTATTAAGCTGGGAGTGCGATGAATTTATTCATAGGAGGCATTGTGCTTCTCCTCTCACGAATCCTTTTCCTTTTGCCTGACACGGATGAAAACTCAAGAATTCGAACATCTCCGTCTCTTTGTAATGCGTAACACTTTTGTGTCCAAGAATATAAATTCTGAGTCTGATATTTCAGCCGTGAATAGTGATTGTATCGTGATACAATGAACAGATTAAAGCTGTTCGCCCGTTATACAAACGTTTTGCTTCTGTTCCACAGACGGAAAACGTCGTCAATATACCTCTTCCAAAGTAGCGGTTTAGTTGTGCTCAGGGAAAAAGTTAATTTGTCGCTAAAAAAGTATCGAGTTCCCGGACAATAACAATAACACGTACCTCTCTTATATAAACGCAGTTATCACATATTGCTGCCTCAAACCATAAGACGAATGATAATTCCAAGACCCTCGGGATTACTAATTGATCCGATACCAAATTCTCCAAACTAACATAATGAGAATCTTTTGGCAGACAGTAAGGAGAATTACCAATGAAATCTTGGGAGTTAAAGGGTCAACGCTGCGGCACGAGTGGCCAAGCCTGCGAGATGCAAACGAGCGCAAGGTCTGTAAGGGGTCTGGCGCTAGAACCCTCAGGCTGTTCTTGCGCGCTCATATCAATCGCTGATTGGAAATACGCGGCATCCTTTCCACTCCCCTTCTAAAACTAAAACGAAATTAAATATAAACATACAGGAAAAAATACTCATCTGTAAACTGAAGATGAAAATTTCATGAATAGTTCTGCTTTATTAATCGCTTAACATGGTTTGAACAATGTAGAAATCATTTTCATGTTTCGGAACTTTTCTTCTTCAATCCAAAGAAACAAAAAGACCAAAACCACTCTCCCTCTATCTCGCAATCTTATTCAGTATTCTTTATGTCTGTACGCCGTTCGGTATCCAGCGAGGCAATAGGTAGGGGTAGGTCAAATGATCCCCTTTGAACCGGTTTTGATTCCTCTTCTCTAAGCTCGGCTGCACGCGTCTTTGAAGGAAGTTAAACCACTTGGATATTACATCCCTTCCACGTTTGTCCGGCAGTTGGCTTCCATAGTCGAAGAGACTATCGTAACGGTAATTTGTCAGGGAGAAGGCGACAATTGCGTGTTGCTTTTGGAAGAAAAAACAGCAGTAGGTATTAGTTTGATAACAATAAAATTACGTCATTAACTGAAAGGTTAAGTGTTGTCCTGTTTGCGCCTTCGTTATCATTCAGCGTGTAGCTGCTCAGAAGAAAAAACCAGCAGAAATTAGCGAGTTTGTTTTTATTTAGACCTGCTGAGACACAGAAAAAACACAAGAGCGCTACATGCACTTAGAGACCTAAGCCCTGTGCCCCATGGTCTTTTTATCCTGCTCAGTACTCCGAGCTCCGTGTTCCGTGCCCAGTGCCCCTCGCTTACCCCGTGCTCGTTGTGCCTTGGTTCGTAAACGATCGGTTCTAACCGCTCAACTTTGAAAATACAGGGGGCAGGACCTAGTTTGTATGCTGGGTTTGGCGTCCTTTCACTAGAATATTACATCGTCAGACCATTTGCACATGTCTTCAAAAAAGCAGGAAATTCATTTCAGTTATTTCAAGACCATTGAGTTGGTTCTATAATGGAGCTGGCGCTCCCGAACTTCCGCAGGGGAAATCACACGCTAAAACGACTAAACTAACTGGGTCACATTCTTAAACCCTGAAATCAAGTTGTTACATGAGGCCCGCACAGAAATTGTACTGCAGGCCATAATATAAACTGTTAATTAACCGTTTATAATCTCTTGGTGAAATTAAAACTATGTGGCGATATAACGAGGAACGAATGCTCACCGCAGAAATGTTAGCATTAGGAAAATTGAACAAGGATAACACGTCATCGGAGACTCGTGAATCTTGATACAGCTTCGTGGGCATGTTAAGTGTAAACCCTCCATAGTCTGCCACGGGATAATTCAAGGCTGCGTGTTGTGCGCTTAGTTGCCACAAAAGTCTTGTCAGGAAAGCCATAAGACTATCAACTGAGGTCAACTCATTGGGAAGATCCTTTACCTGAAAGAGCAATACGTTAGTCTGATTCATCTGCAGAATGTTGCCTCACCGGGGACTATTTGTACTCGCTAGAGACACTTCTGCGATCAACGCCCTTCTCATTACGATGGGATCTTTGATCCGAGTCGTGCAAGTGATTTCCTGTGCGAGAAAATTCATGGGCCAGCAAACTTCATAGAATGCTTCAAAAGACAAAAATTTTGCTTTTCTTACATTTCCATTGCCTCCATCAATCCCTACGCCGTCAGCAGATACCTCATTCATGAAATTTTGCAGCTCATAGTCGCTTTGTACGTCCTCGTCACATTCGTAATACCTGGAGTGGAGAAAAAGAGAAACTAGTTAAATAGGCTGTCAATGCTTGTATAGCTTGAATATACGATAATATTGGCTCACTGATCAGGAAATAAGTACGCTTATGCACGCATATGCACACGCAACTTACTGATTGACATAGTCTCGGACCGCTTTTTGGATCGTATCGAAGATGAATTTACCATCATCTCTGTAAGGAAAATAACGGAGGGTTCTGAAGTCCAGTCCGCGTTTCTGGAGATAAGGTGAAAATAGCAAACATCAGGCACTTACGTGCAATGAAGTACTTAGCTTTTTGAAAAGCAGAGTTGGAGTCGCTTCCAGCCGCGAAATCCGATAGTCTGAGGTCAATCCCTTGGATGCAGATTAAAATTAGAAAACCGTTCATTATAGATTCCGCTCACAATCCAAACTTGAGTTTTACAGGCTCCAGCGTGAACTTATGTAAGTTTTGCTCCACCTATTAGGCAACCATTGTCAACTAAGGAGAACCATACCTTATTATATTGTACGCCTACGAGTACAGGATGAAATTTTGGAGAAAAATACCGGTATGCGATAAGCTTTACCTTAATATTTCCCATAAAATCTGTATCTTTCCAACTTGTTTGCCTGTAGGACTTCAGAGCAATGTTTACAGCTCCACGATAACCGTACGGGAACAGCTTGTGCAGGTTTTCATTCGGTCCTAACAGAAGTTGAAAGGCCAACTTATCTGTTATACTGATGCCTCTGCAATGATAGTGATAATCACGATCACGGTCACAATTTTGTTACGATCACGATGGCGATCTCGAAAAAATCACGTCATGAACACAATCACGATTTTAATGGCGATACAATCACGAACATGATTTCGATCACGATACGATACGATAACGAGCACGAGCACGATTTCTATAACGACAAAATCACGATCAAGATACGATCATGATCAGGATATTTCTCATATTACGCGTATCTAGATGCAAATTGCCAAAATCAAAAATTTAAAAACGATGCACAACCTGCAGTGATACTTGATGATCTGATGAAGTGGGTGATTCTCGGACAGCTGTCTGTCCTTACTCACGCAGAAGGGCTCCAAGAGAAGATGCGTCTTCGCCAAATGTTCAGCGACTTGGTTGTAGCCGAGATCTGCGCCTTGGACGCTGAGCTTTGCCAGCATCCAGAGGCCATCGTCTTTCGGCGTGTAAACTGGAGAACCTAAAAATAGATGAAATCAAAGAAAATTTTTATTAAATTGCGACCTGTATTGAACAAACGTCAAGTCAAGCGGAAACTAATTAATTCCGAAAGTTTCCCTCCCTCCTCAAAGTGGACCAAGATACTTTTCGGTCACTTTCATCGAGTGGACGCAGATGGATGAGGTCTTTTTACAATAATCGACATTCTTTTTCAGGGTCTTGTCTTGTCTTTTCACAGCGCACGTTGTACTCTGTACAGAGAATATTCATACCGGGCTTGACGTCCATTTGAATGGCTATTGGGATCAGATTATTTCTGTTGTTTGGATGGACAGCGAAGAACGTTATCGGTGAAGTAGGATCCCACATCTTTCTATGAGGACGCGACTCCATGATGTCTGGCATCGCTGGTAGATAATCCAAAAGTGGATAACGTAAAACAAACACCATTTTGCTGCTTATTGCCTGTGGATGAATGGAGGATTGTAGATAAAGGTTGTGTGGGGGAAAGCGGGAGAGGGGTCTTGTGGCAGGGATCACAACGGGAAAAGGTTGTGAATCACGCTCCACGGATATCACTAAGAACTTAGTGGTAATTTGCCAAGGAGCTCGGCTTAGGAGACCAATGAGAGATAGGAGCATTTGATGATTCTAAACCAAGATGGCCGTCAGATTTCCTGTTTTCGCTTTCAAACTGACAAAACTAAGCTCACTACTTAGGCCAAAAACAGATGTGCGGCCCGGTTCTCAAATATCCCTACTGAAAGCTGTCTAGAACTTGTTATATACTGACATGAATAAATTGATCTTCTAATGAGACAGCCCTTTAAATTAGTAATAAAATCATGAATCTAAAAAATTTCAGTCTTTTTAGCATCTCTTGCGTCTCGAAAACTTTGGCTTAAACTCTTCCTGTTCTCCTTGACCAATCAGCGTCCTTTACTGGGATCGTCTCTTATTGGTTGACTCTTCTCATACTAAAACTAAATTCTACAAATTTCCCTCACTGTAAAACTAACTCTGTGAGTCAATGGAAAAGAGATCAGCTTGAAATATTTGGATGGCCTTGCCGCCTCAATTCACACTTACAAAAACTTTCGTCTAAATAGGACTTACTTTTGGCAGTGAGATCTTTGGCATATTTGGAGTATTGATTAAAAGATTTTCCCAATCGAACTCCTGATTTAAAACTTTCTTGAGCTCGCTCCACTTCAAACCAACATTCTCTGTGAGACAAGAACAAAAAATTAGTCAAACTGAACATAAGAGCTAATGGCATATGTATCCTGTGCTTCCAATTGACAGGGTGAATAGAAAAAAATCTCTCTTTTCCGCTGTCCCCATAGAAAAAATGCAGTACAATTTGTGATAAATTAAAAAGCGCTTTCTTGTGCTGTAATACTTGTCACTTTGTAAAAAAGGTTATCAAATGTTGCATAAGTTAAAAAGCGGCGTAAACCTGAGATTATTGAGAAGAGGCCTTACTCTAGCTTCCTTTCCCTTTCCCTAATATAAATCATCACTTTGGCAAAAAGGGGATAGTGTGCACCTAAAGACCCCTTCCTCCTGGCCACACCCATTATGTAATGTGATTAAGACAACGTGCAACATCAATCAAAGTCAAGCGCCATTTTCCCGCGCTTAGTTCAAAATTTTTCTTTTGTACCCCTATCGGTTGAGATCCTCATCAATGTCATAGGATTGACTCCCGCGAGCCTCTGTTCAGCGAACACTTTATCACGCATCCAGTACTTGATGATGTTCTGGAACGGTTCTTCGTCGGAGGGATTTTTGAAATACGGATCCTATCGGGAAAAAAAGTTTTGAGCGCAACATGTAGACGTAAATAGCTAATAAAACTGCAAAAAAACAAGGCGGCAATCCATTGCTGATCATTCGATAAGCCAACACAAGGTGAATAGTGAGCGAACAAGAATCATCTTGTGAATTCATCAAAAGAATGAGGTTTCTTAGCCTATTCTAGATCAAAATGTTACATCTGCTTACCCCCAATTGTTCTTGCGCTTTTCGGAAGAAAGTATATATCTTCACAAAGTCCGCAAAACTTTGTATATCTTCTCCTGCATTAAGTTTGTGCCACTGTTTCAAAATCTCAGCACCTCCCACGGTTTTTGCAAGGTATATATTAAATTCCCATTGCTCGAACGGGTGTTTACTGAATACAGCTCTCTGAAGGAAACAAAACAAACCATACAAGGCTCTTGAAATAAAACAAAAACACCACTGTATTTACCTTCGAACGTTTCAACCCCTAAGGACTGAATTTATCTTTTCTACAATTTTTCTGGAGGATTTTACTTTTACTCTGGTAATTCGTAGTAGCCATTTATTCACATATGTGTAATTTTCACTAAAATTTGATGAAAATTGACTAGAAGTTAATGAAGATATTGAAGGAGAAGGGATGAATAGTCTACCATTAATGTAGGAAATAAAATTACAAAGAGACGAAGATGAAAGATATTGTTGGGTACGTAGTTGTTAGTTCTGTATCTTGGTAGAGAATTGACTTTGGGAGGGAAAAGTTGCTCCTGAAATTTGAGAAGAATTAATTGCTGTTTTTTTTTTGCCCTTTTTTTTTTACCAATCAGTCATCATCTTCAAAGGCAATTGGACCTCAGAAATGTTGTTAAACTGCAGTACCTTTAACCTTAGTTTTATCACCGTGTAGTAATCAGGAATGATATTTGAAACCGTCTAAAACCCGTGCGTCATGTTGGACAAAAGAAAGAGTACTGTCATAAACTACAGGAAACGAACAGATAATCACTGGGCAATAAGCTGGGCAGAGTATTTTTCAGATGAGTATCGAAGTAATCCGAAATTACACGTTTTTTTTTTTGCTTGGTGCTCTGTGATTGGTGTTGAAAGTTCAACCCACATTACCAACCAATCAGAGGCAAAGCTATAACCTATCGTGACCTGGTCATATGCGCTTTCCCACTTTTCAGGTTGTTTCGAGTTTTTTTTTTTCGGTTTCTTATTGGCTCCCTGTAAAATTTTCCTATCCTTTGATTGGCTGCTGTGGTTTCGTTGGTTTTGCCTCCATCGCACTCTATCAAAATGTGTTCTGAATGGATAGAGATTAACCAATTAATCACCAGACCTCCGATGGGCGGAATGTGAGTCTGTAGAGCAACTTACCATCTTATCACTTGTCATGTTCAACCATCTGATTGGTTCATTAGGAAGAAATGAAATGGGAACCAACTGATAGATATTCTTATTAGCCAGAAGTTGTCGATAACGTCTTTCTTGGCAAGCCCTGGAAGTCTTTTGTGAAAGTTCAACGGGGCACTCATCGCCAAAAATCCCTTTAAGAAAACATAAATGTTTTTCTTCTTAAACAATTCAATTTTTTAGTTTCACCCTGGAAATCATACACACTGGTCACCAGTGTTCGAAATATTAAGTCACCCTTCTTTTTTCATCCTATCTACAAATCTCTGGTTAATCTTACGTCCTTCGCTCATTGATAGCCATGAACACATAAAAGACCGTTGGAGGACTGAACGCTAATGACAAGGGAAATACAGGAGAAGTAGGGGGGGAGGGCGGGGAGAGGAAATCGCTCAGAGAATCTCAACTTCTTTGCGCGATGCGCGTGCGTCAGCCGGTTACTCTCGTTCTCGTTCTGTATTAAGCTTTGAAAATATTTAGACTCGTGGACATTCAGTACCTGCCTCTCCTTCCCTCAGTAATTTTTATCCACAAAGTGTCGCACTTACTCATCATTCAGTAAACCTGCACCAAGATCCCCCACATCGATTCCGCAGCCAATTGACAGTAGGAAGCCTGGGCACAAGACTAATACAACGCAGGAAGGAGGAGACTGGGTATAGGAAAAAGCCGAAAGATCTGGCTGATTCCATTTTCATAAAACCAGTTAGGTGTTGAATTAAATTTCTGTAGAATTCAATACCTGCATATCCGTTTACTAGACACATCGTGCACAGGAGAGCCACAGAAGTAAATTGAAAGCCAATCATCGTGTTGTTGAGTGGGTATCCTGTGTAAAGAAAGTATGATTCAATTTTGAACAACACGGAATATTCTGGCTTCCTTTGAAACTAAACTGAGAGACATTTAAAAACCACAGGCAACAGATTTCGAGAGGATAGAGAAGTCTCATCTGTCAAGCGTTTACTTCAACTCATAGAGCACATTGCCAAGGCCTAGCTCTGTTTGCTGGGAATAAGTTATGAAAATGAGATCAAGATTTTGCCATCTTTTGGTCACAATCGTGGCCGTTTATTTGAATTAAATTATCTAGAATCGTGATTTATTTCCAGCAAAGGTGAACCCGATGACACCCTATACGAATGAACTGCCTTGGGAGGGACGAGGTTCGAAAAAACGTTTTCAAACCTGGTCTACATGGATTTAAGTACTCATGACTTAGATTCCCGTATGTAAACTGACCCTAACTAATGAAACATTATCTGGCGTGGCTAGCTACATAAAATCATTCATTCTTTAAAGGCATAAATTTTCTTAATTTGCTGAGGCGGGATTGGAAATGATGGATGATGGACGCGAAAAAGTGTGGAGGAAATAATTTTGAATGACTCTCGAAACTTAAATGGCTTTAATTTGAAAACTTTATGTGGAACTAAAACTTCTGTTAACAGACTGTTAAGCAAATTGCTGCGTCCACAAAGTGATTGAATTCAAGGCATGTTATTAGTCGGTAGTAGACAATTCCTAATCACAACAATGGAATTCTATCATACATACCTTCGACTCAGATTGTTCTATTTGGGAATGAGTGTTGAAAATTTCAGAGCTAAATTGTCCGCAACGGCAACATACATAGAAACGAAATTACTAGCACTGTTCGGGCTGGCCTTGAGTAAACAAGCATGGCCCCTTTGAATTTTTATGTAGATGACTTAACTACAGTTTGCTTTTCGGCATAAAGGTTTGTTGACAGATCAAGAGGGATTTGTTTTGTATTGTTCTTGATGAAGTAAAAAGCTTTTGAAGAAGGAAAAGAATTTGAACTGTGACATCATATCTACGTATAAACTAAGTGAGGTCAAGCCACGCTATCCGTTCATATGCAGACAAGTAACAAGACGTGAGGTGGAAGCTGAAGGATTTCTTGCGTAGATAACCCCTATTTACATAAGTACATAGCTTCTGAAACAAGAATCAATCCAGGTTACGACGAGATGCACTCGCGTGGATTTTTCGCCTCGCGAGAGATCTTGCGCGTCTCCTTTTTCAGTTAAAATTATGAGCAGGCGCGGCAGTGAAGAAACGTATGCCCTATTTTTATTAGAATCTGCACTGAAACAGTCAGCCACTAGTCAAGAACTAGACTCTGTAAGCAAGTTCTTTATCATCAGTTTTAGGTCACTGAATGCTGTATCTTCAGAAAAATTGAATTAACTCTCTAACTTTGCTGTAGGGATTGATCTTTGATTGACTTTTTCAGACTTGCCAGATTAGTGAATAAAGACCTATCGAAAGCATCAATTAAAAGTCTTCATCATCAAATCGTTTTTTTCCTCCTTTACATCCTACAGTTCTAAATGTAAACTAAACTGTATGATTTCAGTATGGAATGCAGCTAATATAATTAGGGTTAATACAGAAGGGTCTCAGAAGTTTTTTTGTGCCCAAAACCTTCGAATTCAGTCTGATATCTTACCGGAGCTATCTTGTGATTTCCGTTCAAGATTTAAAGCTAAAATATTTTCTTACCCAAGACAACGAATGGAGTCCGCACTTCTAAGTTTCTCCTTCCTTGGTCTGGTTTCAATTCTGTCGTCAAAAAAAACAATGCCTTGATTTCGCGAGTCACACGAAATTCTTGACGGTTTTGTTAGTACTGATAGCTACCTCATTCAGCCTTGCTAAAGATCAAAATTGATATGATTCAAATGAACGCCGTATTTGCTCTTTGTGCAAATAATAGTGTTTTCCGCTTTGTTAACAAACTTCTTTGAATAGGTATTACACCCTCCCGAATGTTGATTCTTAGCTCATTAAATGCTTTTAAAATATTAATTTGTTTCTTTCTTGTTTAATACTTGGCTGTAAAATAAATGTCGGCATTGCAGATTGTAAACAAAGATTTCATTAAGTGACGTATTTTATTAAATAGAAGGAACTAAACTTGCTAACACAGAGGATGTGACAAATTCCGTTATTTCCGCCGTTTGCTTTCTGGTTTTACGATTTTATTGCTAAGTTCCTGTTGTATTTCAGCCAATATCTCTGTACCATGTATCTATTTTAAATCAGATCCGTCGTTTTTATAAATCTATTGTGAATGGGAAATTGGCGGGTACTGAAAAAGCCTTCCATTAAATAACAAGCTTAATAATTCCATTTGATCTTTGACTGATGTCTTTTCTTTTCTAATTTGTTTTTTTCGCTCTGCATGCAGGGTAACCAAGAATAGAAAAATATGTTGGATTATCCCTTATTAAATAACGCCCCCTATAAATCACATCGGATAAATTTTAAAACTCAGCTTAACTCAAGTTCTGCGTCAAGGCCCACCGTCATATCGAACAGTGCGGATAAATGTTCAACCGAGTGTCGGGGGTTTTTCAGGATTACACTAGTTGTTTTTTACCTCTCTCTGTAATATGTACAGACTAAAGAAAAAAAAACCAGTAATTCTAAACAATTATTCGACTTAGGCTAATAACCCTTACCGAGACCTTGACTATTCTGGATATCACAAAAGCCAAATCTAATTGTTTTATTATACATTGAACGAAAAAAAAAAATGGTCACCACAGTAAGTGGAACTAATCATTTATTTCTAAACGTGTAGAAAAAATACCAATCAGCAAGCAACGCAAAGGGCGCGAACTTGACGTGATTACTCTTAGAAATCATGCACCGCGGTCATACATAACAGGATTATCCGTGACCGTGAGTGTCCTTGACATGATTATTGTGTAATCTGTAGCTAGATGACGTCCCAGGTGCTGATTTCGAAATTTCATCGTCACTTTCGGCCGATCAGAAAAGAGATAGTGAGTTGAAATTATAATAATCTGTATTCGATGCAGATTTTTATTGATACCTTTGCTCAATTTTAGGGAAAATCCTCGACAACCACTCGAAAAAAAAAAACAGGTGAATTTAAAGACGGACAACGTTCTATACTTTTGATAAAGGTTTGTATAGTGTCACGTCAAAAGATGCTTTGCAACGATTGGGTTTAACTGCTAACATTCAGACTTAAAAGAATAACTGCCTCTAACATATTTGTTTTTGCATCGTCTTTTCTCTGTTCCACCAAAAATCGTCATTTCAAATGCACAACACATGGTTTTAAAATCAATGGAGATAGGGCATCATGTCAGCGGGGAAATGATAATTTATGTAAAATGACAAGAAGCGTAGTTTGCGATTTCACCACCACGCCCCTAGTGGAGTAGCCCGACTTTCAGTTCCTTACATTTGACACTGAAATTAACTTAACTTACGCTGATTAAAAAATGCTATTTCATTTACGTTTTTCCTCTAATTCTTTTAAAATTATGTACTCTGATATCGCTGATTAAAATTAATCATGAATTGATTGTCGAAACTTTCCAGATTTTCAAAGCTGACCAAAATGGGGGAGCCTAACTTGCAGTTCCATACATTCATCAATTAGATTAACTTAACTTACAATGATCAAAGAATTGTGTTTTATTTACGTATTTTCGTCTAATTCTGTTAAAATTCTTTATTCTGGTATCGCTGATTAAAGTTACTCGTGAATTTATTGTCGAAACTTCCAAAAACATCCAGATTTTCACCGCTGACCGAAATGCGTCGCACGAAAATTAATCGCAGGCTCATCCTTCTAGAAGTTCATTGACGTCATATGGGTTGTGTGGCATACTTCACAATCTTTCACATACTATTCTTTGTGGCTGCACAGGAACGACTTTTATAGTAAATCCTTCTCAAAGTCTTCGATTGACGTTGTTGAGAATACACAGCTAGAGACTCCAATCTCGCTTCTGGGCGACTTCACTGAGCGCTACCTTGAAAAGGTGAGCAAATTTCCTTCTGTTTACTCGATTGTTTACTGCCGTTCTGTCACATGACTCACGCTTGATTACGTGCTGATTCAGATGGTTTAAAGCATTTTAGTCGAATGGCACTCTTCTCGATTGACTAATTGGCGAACGCATATTTAAAGGCGCTTCAATTTGCCTGCCATTTAATTTCACCAAGGAGAAAGTAAAATTTGATGTATTTTAAAGCTATATTGGGCCTTAGATGACCACTATATGTAGATTGCTTCAAGCGACTGTCTTTGCTTCTCTAAGATCTGTCTTCGTCTCACCAAAATGTATATAATTTTTCTCGCAAAATCACGCCACTGATCATGTCTCGCACTACTATATCTGCGTCTGTTACGCCAATTTCTTGACGGCTGTTTATATCTTTTGTACCAGCATCAACTGAATCACTATTCTTCCAATATTTAATGACATTGAACGTCAAATCTAGCTCTTTAATCCATGACATCATGTCACGCTACCTACCTTGAGGGCACACAATCTAGGTGTCTCTACCTCACCTGTAAGTAAGTCACACTCGAATTGATTTTGGGAATTTTGCGTATTTTGTTTATTTACATTTTGCTTTTTTTTTTCACGTGTAGATTTGTCGATGTGTTTTGTTTGTTATGGCTATCTTTCTATGTAAGCTGTGAGCATAAAAATAACTGAACAGAACTCAGCCTAAACATCTCGGGTGAATCATATGATGCATTCTCCATCCATCAAGCGATTACATCTGATCTAAGATTACTGCCGACGAAAAAGGATTGTTTATCTAACTTACTGCTACATCAAAGGCGATAAAACCTAGTTTTGAGATGTTTAGACACTCCTAGAAATTTTGCCATAGATCCCATACAAAAAAAACCCGAGGTGCCCGGTGGGTGGGCAGAATGAGGCGAGAAATATTAATCAAAACGTTCGCGTGTGATTATATTTTGTCTTTAGCTTATTTTTGCGAAGGCTGGTGATCTTATTCGATCTACACCTTTAAACTTATAGCTTTTACATCGTTGGTGACCTTACTAATGAAATCGGATCAAAAGCCTATAGACAAAATATGAGTTCAGTTATTTTATTTTGTTGTTATATTTATAACATGACTGTTAATAATTAATTAATTCGCCTTACTCGAACAAGCGCTCACATTTTCAAGAAGGGGAATCATAAATTTCTCATTCCGAACTAGCTAGAAAGCGCATCGGTGTAACCTGAGCGGGATATACTGACTACCTTAGCTTTTCTTGTTTTGTACTTATCAAATATGTATATGAAACCTGTCTCTGCAGATTATGGGCAACGAGCCGTCGAAAAAAGGAAAGGAAAAACCAGCACATCCAAAGATAGTCTCCAAAGGAAAAAACAGCTCCAAAAATCTCCGTTTGCTAATTTTACACGACGTAGGGTCCAAGCCACAGATGGATGCCGTTGATCATTTCTGCGATGCAGTAAACGCCTTTAAACCTCCAGGAAGCTTAGTAATCAAAGAGAGAGATGTGAAAATCCTGGAACTTGATGTCTCAAGTTGTCTTTCTGGTAATTCCCTCACGGATGCGAAGCAGTGGATTAACGAATGGCTGGGTCAAAGTGGCGTGGTTCTCGTTTTCTTGCTGTCAATTCAAGATGTACAGCCTTTCGCGGATGATATTAATTTGCAAGGAGGGAAGATCGTGGCGTTTTCCTTTGGAAAATGTCCGACTTCATGGAAGGAATGTGTTTCTTTGAACGTCGACTTCAAAGCTGTGAGAAGCCCAAGCGATTTTGAAGAAACGTTGAAAGAACTTATTGCCGTTGTTAGAGCAGAGTGAACGGAATGGAACTTGAACAGGTCATCTAGATGTAGCAAAAGAGCCAGTAATTCAGTAATTTTAAGCCAGTTTTCCATTGTTTCTGAAGTAATCTAAATCCAGGATTATTTTGATATAAATCTAATTCCCTCCGTGATTGGTCCAGGTATGAACTCCCGCCACCGTCTCAACCAATAAGATAGGAATCTAAGTCCGATCGTATTTTCGTCACCATTGTTTTCCCACATTTCACGTCGTTTCCATGTTTCTTTTTTTTTAACTCTCATTGGCTCCTCTCCCTTTGCCTTTGAATTTTCCTGTGCTCTGATTGGCCATTGTAATAATCTGAGCATTGCTCAAACGGCACTCCACAGAAAATTACTCTATAGTTTCAAAATAAACGTTGGCATTATTAAAATCACGATGAAAATGAATCGGCCAAATACTTTTGAAACAGTCATAATCTGTATTTTGAACAAATTAAACTTGCTCTCGGATAGTAACTAGAACCGTTTGATTTTCAACATTTTCCATTAGGTTCAGCTAATTTGTGGCACGAATAAATGTTTATTTTATGACGTTCTTGTTTGTTTGTTTGGTCTACGAAATCTTTTTTTAGTGAGTTCTTCTTTTGATCATGTAATGTTATTGGACACGTGAGTTAATCCGGCTCAAACTATTTGTAAATGAACGTTTAAAGCTCAATAAAAAGGTACCAAAGTTTTGCACTATAAGGGCGCCGACTACAAGAATCGTGACGATAGGTTTTTCGCAGTAAAAGTACTTTGCGTGGAACGCAACAATAACAGGCGAAATAGCTTGGTAAAAACCACTTGGCAGCGGTAAAGAAAACTCGTCAAGGTTTCCCTGACTCACGGATCGACTCGAGACCTGCTTAAGGCGAACTTGCTACGCGGACCTCAAGAACTAGACAGCGTTTGGTTCCACAGTAACTTTATTTTAGTTCATGTCGACAACCGACCTGACCTCTAGCCTACTTTACTTCGTAATCGTAAAACAATCTTCAATTTGATCGCCACGCGGTCGTCTAAGTAAAAGCCTTCCAAGATACTTCCTTGAGTGCTATGGAGCGCGTGGCTCTATTCTTCTCTAAATTTACTAGAACAAAAGAAGCGGAAAACTGGTCTTTTTGTAGTTAGGCGATTCCATTCAATTATTCCATTTGTTCGGAAAGAATTTCAAAACTAAGAAACGGATACAATAGACTATAGGCCATCAAAGAGAGCAACCCTAAGTCATTTTCACGGCTTTCATATTACAAACACCTGTCCTTAAGTTCTGAAAAGCAGTAACGTGGGAAATTATCCTATGAAAGGAAAGGGAACTTACGAGCACGAACTCAGCTGCCAACTTAATGTCTCGAGAACCAATTTTCCAGAAGGCTCATCAGCACTTACATTTATATTTCCAGAGAGAGCATTGACGCATATTTACATACACTTTCAGAAGAATGAAATCAAATAAACGCTTAATTTGGGCGCTGTAAAGCTGTAACGTAAAATAGAATCGTACGGTTCTACGAAGTTTCTGAAAGGATGTATTTGAAAAATTCACTTGATTAGTCCTATTGTCCCTGTCATATGCTTTTTTTCGCTTTTACCTCAAAAATAATTACAATAAAATCACTTTGAAAGTTGTCACACATGATGACGTTAAGACTGAGGTTATATAAACTCAATAAGAGTCCTTTAACAGATTCGCATAATAAATGAAGGCAGGTTCTTAAATTTCATTTTAAATCAAATATAATCAATAAGTAAATAAATCAGCTTTTTTTCTAAAGGTTTCGAAAAAGAATACGTACTTTTCGCACTGAAAATAGTTCGCCTATAGACAAGGCACGTAGCAAAATAAAAGATAATTTACCCTTTCTCCTTGAGTAATCGATATGCGTTATTGTTATTTCACGTGACAATAATTTCAAAAACTTCAGGTTGAAATGAAAACAACATTAAAAATACATAACATTTTCTTATATGTAAAGTGAAAATGAAATCTTTGTTATATCCACTCAGCCGGTTGAAAAGTGAAAGAACTTGCTGCTGAGGGATGGCAAACAACACTGTGAAGCGTGTGCTTATACTATACAATCCAAAACCAGAGCACACAAGCGACATTATAGATCATTTCTGCGACGCTTTAAATGCTGCGAAACCCTATGAATGCGTCAAAGTCTCGCCTGATGACGACATTGTGGAATTTTCGGAAAACGAACGCGAAGCAATCAAGGAACGTTTTGTGAAATGGCTGGAGTTCCCTAATAACATTGTTGTTGTGTGTATCTCGAGCTCAATACCGCGTGAAGATTTTACTAAAGACCAAGTACAGCTAAGGAGCAAAATATTTCCTGTTTGTTTTGGAAATAAGATTCCTTCTCACTGGCTTCCAGGTGAATGTTACAGTCTTGGTTTGGCGGACACCGCAGCGATAAATGAGCCGAATCAATTTAAAGGCGACGGCTGGGACATGCTTATGGCTGCCATTCGAGGAGCGAAATAAAACACTGATCAAGAACTCTAGATCCTCATAGAAATGAGACATTTTTCGTCGGCGTGTGCAAGATTTTTTCTGTCCTGGCCAGCTTGCTAACAGTCCAAAGTTCGATATTTTATCCGGCCGCTGTAGTTGAGAAAATCAGTTTAGAAGGTAGGAGCGTAAATCTCACTTTATTGAAAAAAACATTTTTTTAGAATAGATCTCGAAGACAAGGGCTTGGTGCCGTTCGAGAAACGTAATAAAACACTGAATAAGAACTCTTCATAGAAATGGAACACTTCTGTTACTATGCAAGATGTTTTCGCTGTTCAGGCCAGCTTATTTGAAGGCATTTTTATCAGTCCAGCTTACTTGAAGGCACTTTTATCAGTCCAAAGTTCGCTTTCCGATCCCGCCGTAGTTCAGTTCGAAATGTTTTTAAAAGGTAGATATCATTTTATCAAAATATTTTCTTAGAATAAGGTAATTAAGCAAGAAAACTTTAAATTTCAGTTTTATGAACAAAGTTCAGTTATATCAGGCGATACCGCGTGATCAAAATAAGTATAAATTAGCGAGCTTCCAGCGCTCACCAAATAAAATAATAATAATAATAACCCAGAAAAGTCGTGAATTCAGCAGACGGATTTTATACAAACTTAAAAAATTCATGTACCATTCTATTATTTTTTTGAAAAGATTAGCGACTGTGGAGTTTTTTAATTAAAGGTTGCTTTGAAATGTACGAATGTTGTGGAATGTTTTTTCTTGATTACAATCAAAATTACAGAAAGATCAGAATGACGCATAACTGTGTTCTTTGCGTGTTAAATTTTTTTGCGATTCATTAAAAGTTCTGGGATTTTTCGGCAATGTAATATTCTAAATAGAATAAGAATGGCAGACTAAAATGAGACAAATTACGAGCAGATGAAGGTAGTTGAAAGAATGAAATCAGATAAAGCCTTATTTGGGCGCTGTAAAGCTCAACCTTAAATTACAAAAAAAAATATTTTTTATGGTTTCTCAAGGGAAGTATTTAAAAAAAATCCACCTGATGAGTTCTATTCTCCTTGTCATATGATTTTTTTCTCTTTTACCTAGAAAGGGATTACAATAAATTAGATCCAAATAAAGTCATTTTGAAAGATGTCACACTTTCCGGTTTTGGGTTGGTATCACATCCGTTTTGGTTTTTGAGCCAATCAAGAGCCAGAATAGAGCCAAACCTTCCTTTGCGTGACCTGTGGGTTGTTGATTTGGCTCCGAATTATTTTTAAGTGTTTCTCGACTATTTAAAGGGTTCAAGCGTCCAACTTCTCGTGTGCTTAGTTCAAGCATTGACTTAACTCACGGGAAGTTGGACGTTTGGACTGTAATCGACGAAATTCTTGCTCTCGAACTGTGAAAAGCCGATCGGTTTTGCATCCTACGTGAATTTTCACTTATCAGACGTTACAACTATAATCACTGGTCCGATTTCTCACGATTCCAATTTGCAATGGGAAAGGACTCCAAACAGACGAAAGATGTCAGAGCCGCGAAACTCACTCCTATCAGCAGTAGAAAAGGGGGAACTAAGCATGCGCTTTTCCTGTACAAATCAACATCAGAGCGCTCGAGTGAAATTATGAAATATTTCTACGACGCTTTGAATCAGGTCAACCCTCCTGGTTGTGTGGCGATGTCAAGAAAAAACGCTGTCAACTTATTGGAACATGATAATGTATTAATCAAAGATCGAATTTTGAAATGGCTGGCAGTTCCTAACAATATCGTCATTTTGTGTATCTCGAGCTCAAACGATCAATCGGTAATAATACCGCGTGAAGACTTCACCAACGATCAAGGAAAGCTACCGAGCAAACTACTTCCTTTATGCTTTGGAACGGAGATCCCTTCACAATGGTTTGGGGGTAAATGTTACAGCCTTGGTGTGGAAATCCCCGATAAGATACAGCGGCCGAACGAATTTGAAGGCAAGGGCTTAGATTCACTTGTAGCGGCGATCCTAGGAGTCGCGTAAAACACCATTGAACTATAAACGCTAAATGTAACATTGGAACAAATTTGTAAATATAAACGTTTCTGGTATCCATTTCCAATTAGCGATTCGAATGAACAATCTGAACTACCAGATTTGGTATTTGTAAAGATGGGTGTATTTTCCCTTTTTAAATTATTTCATAAATATGCGAAATAAAATTTTTAAAAGAAAAAAAAATACAAAACATCGAGTATGTAATTTCTAATAAATCGTTACTTCGAACGCTATTTAGAAGTCGCCGTGAAATAAGAACTTTAGTAATATGATTATGCTCTGATAAAATTATAATTCTCTACCGAGCATTTTTAGAGAGGGGAAAGCGGAGGAAAATAAACCTACAATCCGCGCTAGCTATTATCGGTGCGATGTGTCGATCAGGGCTAATTTTCATTCACATCAAGATATAATTCCTAATAAACTTTCCGCGGTGTATGTTGACTGCGTAGGAAATAACCTTATCGATCCAAATAAAGGAAGGTTATTTGGAGCTCTCGATTTCCGGTTTTTGCTTTGTTCCACTTCCGTTTTGTTCGAGAGCCAATCAGGTGTGAGAATAGACCCGAAGCTTCTGGATCGTGACCTGAGGGAAATTTGCGCTGGTTCAAAATATTTTGGGCTGATTTGTCACGAATGGGCAGGGTTTGCTCCAAATTTACCTGCTACTATTATGGCGAAAAAGAAAGACGCATATACAGTGATTCCAGTCAACGTTGAGGAGAAGGAAATGGAAGAGATGCAGCCAGTTACGGATAAAACCGATCAAGCCGAAGATGAGATGGAAGAACGCTTTGATAAAGAGTTCTGGCTGATGGTAAGAATTTGCAAAATTGTATGTGTCGCTTAGAGCTTCGACTTTTTACAGGAGTAATCCTCACAAACACTATGCAAGATGTAAGCACTTTACATTTCAACTCTATGTTGTATATTGTAAGGCAATTAGCGACATTTTGAAATTTTTGTTTACAAGCTGCCTCACAAATTATAATGGCCAATATACTGATCTTTTTAAAGTTATGTAGCCCTTCAGTGCAAAATTCGTGGACTTTGTGTATGCTCTTTCACAACAAAATGCTCGGATTATTCTTGAACTAGTTTTTGAAACACTAGTAGCCTGAAAGGTCGCAGTTAAAAATTAATTTGACCCTGAAAAGGGTCATTTTATTAGAAAACTAAGCGCACAAATAAATCCAATATTGTTATTGATATGAAATCAAAGTCTCCAGTATGAGCTTACCCCTCTTAGTAACGCCTTGAACTGATTGATAAATATCTTCTCCTAATATCAACATTATCTAGCACATAGATGACCGCGTGACGAAATATATATTTAGCCAGAGGTCGTTATCCTGATAGATTGTAAGTTAGCTAGATATTAGATCAGGCCCTGGTTGTTTAAAGGTGGATAACGCTACCCACTGGTAGATATTGTGCAGTATGTAATGGTAATAGGACTGAGCGGAGTCCAATTTGGTTGGTAATCATATGAGTAATAACAAACTTACATGACTTCGCAGCAGGGGTCTGATTTGTTTATTACAAGTATGATTACAGATGGATTGGGATGATGCAAAGTCTTATTACCAATTTATCTTAAAAATGACAATTTCTGAGAACAGATGAATAGCCAAGTTATGGAAGTAAGGAAAATTTGCGTTAAAAGACTAAACCACAACTTTGAGTGTGATTGGCTTATTGAACTTGTGGATAACACTGTCTAATAACAAACTGTCCAATAACAAACTGTCCAATAACAAACTGTCCAATAACAACTTGGCATCAATCAGTTGGTGAAAAATACAAGTTTCTTAAACCAACCACAACTGAGAAAATTGAAATTTTTATGATCAATTTTGTTATTTCTTCTCTTCTGGATGGTAATTTATTGGTTGAATAGGGTTTTATGCCCTTCAAACATATCCTAGCACCCAGAAAGGTGACAATAGATATTCTCAGAATAAAGGCCAATGGGATTATCTCAAATAACTGTGCACTAGGTAAATAATTTACAAAAACAAGGTGAATCAGTTCATTTACCAAGGCTTCTATATATTTAACCCCTTGAATGGCCATACCATTGTGCATGCTGTGTGCCACACCAGTTTCACTGTAAATCAAACAAGAAATGCAAAGGTTACATGCAAAGACCTTTGGACATAAAAACTCATTACCAGTCTCCCTAAAAACCTCCCCCGAATCTCTGGCGCTAATCAAACTTGCTTCTGGTATGCCGAGATTTTGAATGAATCTCTTAAAATATTGATGTACTCAGTACATTATGCTGGCACCTGAGAAGATAACATTTTGATGTACTCAGTACATCATACAGGCTTTCAAGAAATTAAGATCTTCACAACTGGAATAACATAAAATGGCTCTAAAATGAATGTCATTTAGATGAATGATTTAATTTTAGATATTACCTAATTGTACATGTAATACTTAGGTCCAAAACAAAGTGAAAGATGCAAACCTTTCATGGAATAGAGCAATGGATGAGGTCAGAGTGGATCGGCTCATCAAAAAATATGACAAAAATGCTCTTCTTGTCATTATTCAAGACTGGCCACAGAAGAAGAAATACATAGATAAACCAGAACTGATCCCAAGTTTGGAGTATCTGGTATGGAATTGCTGTTGTTTTAAGCTCCTTACACCCTAATATCAGTTTGTATATTCTCTATACTGTTCTCTGTACATTTCCTAAGGTGCTAGAAAGGAGAATTTGTTTAACAATCAAGAGCTAATTGAGTTGGTGATCATTTCCTTTATTCTTGAGGCCTTATTGTGTGATTCAGGGGTGATATTGTAAGGAGGAATAAGTTGCTGGTTGCTCCTTGAAGGGGGGGAGGCAAAGAGTTAATTTTTTACTCAAATGGTTCAGGTAATGTTTTGCAATTACCTATAGTAGCAGCTGTTCAATGCTTGTTAGTGGTGCAGCATTATTGTGCATGTGCTCCAGGTTGCCAAGTCCTTTTTGAAATGACAGTGTTCCTAATCAAACTTTTGATATGTTTGAAGAGGGTTTTTGAGCAGTTTGTAGGTTCTTCAGAATTTCAAACAGCAGGAATTAAGTTTTAAAGCAGTGGTACTGTTAGGAAACATTAGATGCCAGTCATTATTGGGCATTAAGAAGTTATAAGGGAAACAGAAAAACTTTGAATCTTCTAATGTTGCAGAAACCCTGGTTAAGGGTCAAACAGCATGAACTGCTGAACTTAAAAATGTAGTTTTCTTTTACTTTCAACCTTAGATCAGTCGCCTAACAGAGATAATTCTTGAGAGGGACACAGAGGAAGTCTACAAATTTTTCCGTGTTCCAAAAGATAGTGATTCAGCCCAACCAACACTAATGCATCTGGCAGCAGAACAGAACTTCTTGCATGTCACAAAGTCATTGGCAGAACGTTACCCAGGTCTAATGTACCTGTGGACCCGCAAGAAAGATGATAATCCCAGTAGTTTACCAGTTGAGTTGGCCTTAAAGAAATACAAAGATGACACAGCAGCTTATCTAATATCTCAAATGAGGCACGATCGGTGAGTTTCTACTGCCTCTGTTGAGTTAACCCTTTAACTCCCATTAGTGACCAAGAAAGAATTTCTCCTTACAATATCAATACAATATCAACCACATAAGTGATGAGAATTAAGAAAAATATCAATTTGGGGATAATTAGTTGATTCAATACTAAATTCTCTGTTACTAACATGATAAGAATTGTATGGTTGACAGAAAAGAGAATCACAAATTTGATCTGGGAATTAAAAGGTTAACACACTCGGATCTGTATACTAACCAGGCAACTACTGTAATATTATAAGGGAGTTCTGTCCAGATTACCCCAGTTTGTCCCACTGAAAACTTGGAAGAGATAATTTGATTCATTGACACTTATTTGACCAGTTGTCTGAGTTTTTTTTTTTTCATGATATATTCATACCCTCATCTGCGAATTTACATTCATTTCTAGTTCTCAATATGATCATACACAAATTAATTTAATTTCAAACGATCTACAGAACTTTAATACCCAGCTTGTATTAGTAATAGTTTTTTTTTCTTTGGGTAACTAGATATGTTAATTTTTAATCTCAAAAATTAATCTGTAATTATTCTAATTCTGTAAACAGTTAACCCTTAACTCCCTGAAGTGATTAACAAGTAACTTCTCCCTATAATATCTAAACATTATCTAGCAAACATGTTATGAGAATATTCATACTTATCAGGTCAAAGTTGTTACCTTGATCTGACACCAAATTCTTGTATCTCATTTACAAGGAAATGTGTAGAGCCAGAGGGGAGAATTAACAAACTGATCTTGGGAGTTAAAGGGTGAACAAATTGTTGATATTGATAAAAAGGAAATAGTCAATTGGTATAGTCATTCTGATGAAATTAGTCTTGCAAACAGAAATATGACTGATGACCTGTGAACAAGTACACAAATTGATAAACCTGGAAAATTTTGGCACCAGAATGAAATACTGGTTTTTGTGACTGATTTGCTTGTTTCTCCAGAGTCCAGGAACTGTTCCTTTGTAAAGATGATGAGGAACAGTCAAGTGCAAAGTTTTTTTTTGGACATTATATCAGTTACAAAAACCCACGGACAAATGAACCTGGCATGAAGGTAGAGAAAAGTTTGTAAAGTATAGTTCTTAAAGGGTCATTGTCAAAAAGGGTATTGTAGCTTAGTGTTAACTTTTTGGTGTCATCCTCTTGAAATGCTTTTATCATGATAATGATTGTTGTTGTGTTTTAAACTTTCATGTAGTTGAAGGGGATTGATAGATGTTGCTATTAGAGGCTATTTGGTGTCTTTAGACAAAATATCAGGCACAGTTTAGTGTACAACATTCCTTTTCAGAATGCAACCCCCAACCTTCACAGTGCATGATGATACCTTTTTCAGACAATTCCTTTGATGAAACTTATTTTCACTACTGCCTAAGTAGTGCACATCACTGCGAGGATCACTTTCATTCATGTCTTTATCTGCAGTTCAAATATATGAGTTTCATATATTCTTAACCGTCTATTCATCACTTCATGGGTTTATTTAGAACCACCATCATGACCAGCTCCCAGTTGGCTTGTTAGCTCAATTGGTAGAGCACTGCACCGATATCGCAGAGGTCATGGGTTCAAATCCCGTACAGGCCTGAATTTTTTTCAGGCCTTATTTTCATTACTGCCTTAGTAGTGCACATCACTGCGAGGATCACTTTCATTCACATAACTTTTATTATAGGGCATTCATTAGATGATTCATAAATAATATTTGAATTGGGAAAGTGTGGGTTAATTTAAATGGGGTTATACTCTGGAAATTTTGACAACTAGGAAAAATAGTGAAAAAAGCATTATGTCTTAGAAGGTTTAAGATCTGCTGCTGTGATCATAGATTTTGCTTTTGACTCAATTCTTTTCCTTACTCATAATTTGCAATGATAATTTTCTCATTTTGAAAGTCAAGTGGCCTATTAACATTACCTTGATCCCTGATTAGAGAGTAATTTCTCCTTCAATTCACCTTTAGTTTTAGTTTCATTAACCCTTTATCTGCCAAGATTTCATTAGTAATTCTCCTTACTGTCTGCAATACAATTTATGTGATGTTAGTTTAGAGAATTTGGAATTGGATCAACCAATAATCTCCTTATTCATATCATTCTTTATTCTCATTACTTGTCTGCTTCATATGGTACTAAGAGTGTGAGGAGAAAATCTGTCTTGGTCACTAGAGGGACTTAAAGGGTTAAAGCCAAATACCTGAGGGAACATGCACTTGATTTCTGCCATGTTTATGTAGTTATTCACTTTTAAACTCTTCTTTCATTTTCTTTGGTCATAATTTTATGTTTTGCTTTCATTCAGAAAACAGTTATAGCAATTTTAGACAAGCTTATAAATCCTCATTGGCCATACCTACCACGTGGGATAGAATATGACGATAATGAAGAGGATATTGCAAGATGTTTAAGCAGCGTTCCTGATGACCCCATGAACTATGACTTTTTTTATCACGTACTGGAAGCGGACGAAAGCGGAAGACAGCCAAAAATAAAAGTGGCTACCGAAGTTGATGAGCAAGGAACTCCAATCAAGACTGAAACTGTGTCTAACCTGAAATTTAACCACAAGTCTCTATCATGTTTGAGACGAATTGCAGAGAGTGGAAATAAGGTATTCTTTTGTCATTTCAGTTGCTCTCATGAAAGGTTGATGCTTGAGATGTTAGCTTAGAAACTCTCTATGGGGGCTAATTAACATTATCAACTCAAGTGGTTACACCAAATTATCTTTTATACTTCCCAAACAATACGGCGTCTCAGTTGCTATAGAAACCTACCCCTTAATGTTTTTGGTTAGTTGATCCTTTCATGCCCAGGAACAATCCAAAGATGATTAGCATTAGCACTACTACTCTGCTTCACATGGGATGCCAGTCGTATACAAAGCCCTCCCCCCCCCTCCACCCTCAGCATTTCCCTAGGTTTCCGCCCTTTAGGTTCACTGGTACCTCGTTATACTTCAGGGGGGGGGGGATAGGCACTGTGAGAGTAGAGTGTCTTTCCCAAGCACATAACACTATTAAACGTGATTCTTTTTATCTGGATTCCAGTCCAGCGCGTGCCATACAAGTTTCAGTGCGTCTCACCCATCAAGAGTGGAGTCCTGTTTGATCTTCTACCTCGAGTATCTAACTCTTTGAAATTTAGTATTATGAACTGAGCTGATAACGTAAATTGGCCACCTAAAGAGTTTGAAACTTACGTTTCAAGCGTTAGCCTTTCGTCAGAGCGAAACGTCAGCTTTAGAACTCTTTACGGTAGCCAATTTACGTTATCAACTCAGTTCATAATACTAAATTACCCTGTTCAGTATACTCTCCCACCGACGCAGCACCACAGTTTATTCAGAAACTTACCCCTTTTACTCTTTTATCTAACTCTTGAATAAATTATAACAAGCTTTCTATCTCGGACTAAGTCGCTTAATTTTTTTTCCTTGAAATTTTGGCCCTTTAATATCAAAAGAAGAATTAGTTGCAATTGAACTTAAATCTCCTTTGCAGTCGTTGTTTGTTCTTCTCACGCAACAGATTTTCATCCACGCAAGGAAATGTGGTTCTAATGTAAGCAGCTTTTGGTGTGAGAGAGAACGCGTGACTGCCTTGTGTGACTAACTTGCGTGACAAATTCAAACAACGCCTTGCCTGCAACTTATTTTGGTTTTTTCAGGCAGCAGTGCAACACCCTGTTGTGCGGATGTTAGTCTCCAGAAAATGGAACAAGTTTGCTCACTGGTGGTTTTGGTAAGAGCCTCTTCGGTACAGATGATGAAGTCTTGTGTTTAGTCATCTAAGACAGGCCATCAATAATCTTAGTACACCGTTGAACTCCATGATCTGATCCTTGACTCTCCCCTCTGGCTGCTACTCATTTCCCTCAAGCTGCTACTCTTGTAAATAGTTTCAAGAATCTGTTGTTAGGCAAAGGTATCAACTTTTACCAGATGAGTATTCTCATTACCCGTTTCCTGGCTGATGTATAGGTCTTCTTAGGAGAAGTTACTCGTTAATAATTTGTGGGAGTGGAAGGGTTAAGCTGGTGACCTCTTCTCTTCCGTCTCGCTGAAATTCCCATCTTTTGTTGAGTTTCTTTTCATGCAGCCTTCTTGCTAATACCAACACGATAAGATCACTCGTTTTTACACGTGATGCTTTCTACGTCTTGAAATGGTTAGACCAAATTTTCAAGAGTATCATTGTTAATCTTCTTCAGCTTTGTTCCTTCATGGTTCATTATTGTCTATGAGGAGTTTTTTCATTTTACTGCGATAACATTTTTCTAGCCTCTTCCAAGTTGTTGCCACTGTAGTTCTGCGCATTGCAAGAAATGACTCGAAATTTCTACGCGCAGGTTCAGTCATCGGCAAAGCCACACGTAATTTCCGCAAATGTTAAAATTTAAATATCTTCCTATTTCAGTGTTGAAGGCTCTTTCTACATTGTGTTTTTAACACTGTTATCTTACGCCCTTATCTACGGTTCGACGCTTGACGATCCAACGCAGTACGGTGGCAGAGCGAATGGCCTGCGTTTGTTCTGTGAAGTTCTTTCCATCATCTTCCTTATGTTTTACTTCTTTGAAGAGGTCAACCAAGCAGAACGGTCAGTATTTCAACCTAACTTAAAACTTTTACATAAAAATGGTTAGATTCAAGTTGAAAACTAGTTTGACTTATGGAAAATTGTTCAACTGTGTGCTAAAAGTAATCCGGCATATGAGCGTTCTCACTATTGCGCCATCTCTGCTAAGCTTCTATTTGGAATAGATTTCAAGGTAGTCAATTGTGTTCTAACAGCCCAAGAGGTTCAAGTAACCGTCAGTTTAACTGCTGTGTTTATTTTCAGGGAGCGGAGAACTTATTTCAAGGATCCGTACAATTATTTTGATTGGTTGGGTCTCATTTTGACCTTCCTTGTGATTCCTCTTCGATTTGCCGAAGTTAGATATCAGTGGAACGTGGCAGCCCTTGGTTATCTGTTTAATTTTCTCCGACTTTTCAAGTTTTCGTGCGTTACAAGGTAAACTGCTTATGTGCATCCCTTGGTTTTTGAAATGTTACTTGATCTCCTTGGCTCTAGCTTCTTTGAAAATAAGTGTGTCACGCAAATAAGTCAGAATTGAGAATTGTCGGTGTGTGGTCGCTTCGGATCAACATTTGCGGCCACTGGAAGCTTCGCCCCATTACAAGTTCGCCCACTCTGAGTTCGTTCCCGTTACGACGAAGAACGTCTCATTTTTGGTACATCGCGGAGGAAAACAAACTATATTTAGATTATATTTTGTACCCATCTCGATCATGTTTTCTTATTAGCCAAAACGTTTCTAGAAACCGATCTTTAGTTATCTTTCATTTGTCGAGACAAGTTGGTGTCAGGAGCGAACTTCTAATGGGCAAACTCTACATAAACCGCACCTACCAGGATTATTCCGTCATCCAGTGCTGACTTTCTTAATTTTTGCTTCGTAGAACCACGGGTTTGTATACCAAGACTCTTGCCAGGATCATCTACCGCGATATCACTCGCTTTAGTGTGGTGTTTACCATAGTGTTTCTTGGATTCTGTGGTGCCATGTTTATGGCGCTGAAAGCTACTGGTTCTCAGGAGCTTTTTAGGTAAGGTAGAGGTGAAATCGAGTTTTCAAGTTAAGTCAGTTGCTCAGATTACCGGAGCTGATCTCAATTTCTGTAGCATGAAGCGTCAAGGGGTGTTGCGGCTTCCCCCGGATGGGATGCCAGTCCACGGCAGATTCCCCCCCCCCCTACCCTGTGCATTTCCTCAGGCTTCATTGCTGGTATTTCTTTATACTCCAGGGGGGAAAGAGGCGCTGTGAAAAGAAAGCGTCTACCTGAACATATGTTGGGGTTACCTACGATGGAATTGGAGGAAGTCGCAAAACTTTAAGTCGCTTCAAATTTCAAAAGCTTGATATGCTGCGCAGAATGAATTAATTGGCACATGCAACGAGACTTAACTTTACTCACCACGAGCTTAAGACACCCTCGAACATATACGCTCCGTTGTTTGGTGGCCAATCATTTCCCTTGTTAGTTGCTGAATTGTTATCAGCGCTGATGAAGCCATTACATTTTTGTGTTCTTTCTTTCAGTAATTACGCTTGGTTGATGTTAGCTGCCGTACGAGCTCTCGTCGAGCAGCAACCGGCCGAAGAAGACTACTCAAAGTTCAGGTGAAATATGATTTTGTTTCATTCAGCCCTCACCAGGCTGTCGCGGTCAGTGGAAACGAGCGAAAAGAAAAAGGGGCGCTCCGTTTCCCTGAAAACTGAGGTTTTTCGCTCGCCCTGGCTCTTTCGCTCGTCTGCCCTGATTGAGAGCCAGAAACAGGTTTCATATCGTATTCTCTTGTTTTACTATAAGTAGCCTTGTGAGTTCTCGGTTTGGAAACTGATGACTCTTTCAGTGCCACTTAATCAAACCGTTGTGTGTTGTTTTCCGTCAGCTGGTTGTCAATCTTGATACTTCTGGCTTACATGGCGATGGTTATCGTTATACTCCTCAACATTCTCATAGCCCAGCTGAGCTATACTTACAGTGAAGCAAAGAAGACCGCTAAGCTGCAATACGCCATCGACACCATGTTTATTGTCACCCGATTGGAGTACAGCAGATGTTTAAGATGGGTAAGCAATGCACTTACTCTTTTAAAATGCTTAGAATGCCATTCAATTTTTTAGTGCGCTAGATCGTCGTAATGGTGTGATCTAGGTTCATTAGAAAGTTTCCTTTCGGTTTTCACCCTTATCATACGTGAAAATTTATATGCATGTGAAATTTGCCATGTGAAGGCGACTGAAAAGCATTCTAAGCATGAGGAAAATCTTGCCTTCTCCACAAAGTGTTTTGAAGTAGTTTTGAGAGTTGTTGTTGGAGCGTACACAAGTAAAACTTGAATTAACCCATGCGCTTTAGAACCTCGACGTCGATTTGTAGCTGGACCAATTGCAAATTTTGAACTGAAAGAACAATCTACAAATCTTCGTTAGTTCTGCAGGGTAAGATAGTAATTTGTTTCTGCTATTCGCCCTACATGTAAGATAATTATCAAGCAAAAGGAAATGCGCTCTAAGGATTCTTAACAACATCGGCTCTGGAGTGGTTGTTCTCGACTATTTAATTGTTGACGGCTAAGTAATTCATTTTACTTTGTTTTTTTTATTAGAATTTAAGGATAAAGAACTACTTAGACGGTGCCTGGATAAGCGAGGAAGATTTAGCCAAAGGTATCTTCCCTAAATTTCCGTTGCAAATTTAATAGAATGGACAACGTAACGATCAACTTGTGTTTACGATCACAGTTTCGTCCTCAGAATTAAGTGTAGTAATTGCACAATGTAGGCCACCCCTGTTTGATGTTTCGTTTCCCTTTATCTTGCTTGAAATAAAAACAAAAAAACTCAGGAAGCCATAATCTGGGAAGGCCTGGATGTAGGAGCCAGAAGGCCTGGTTACACATACACTTTCACTTACAAATGTTTTCCCAACCAACACAAAATTGTTTCATTCCCAGAACTTTTGGAATACACGGATAATCGACATCCTTTTGAGACAATGGAGGAAAGACTGACTGATATCAGGTGACTAGAAAAACCTACAAACTGAAAACTACAAATATCGTCGTGTGTTTGTACTCTAGCACGTTTGTAATTGTGATGTTTATGACGGGCCTGGGGATGAGAAAGCCGAGCTTGCGAGGTTAAGCAAGAGGCCTGGATCAAAGAGCCTTCACTTTGAAGACCTTTAATTTTTTTTTTTGAATAATTTTCGAAAAAGAGTCAGCAATCACTGCAGAAGCTTTTAATTTAATAAAAATGTACGTGAAAAATTTACGCACTTCTGCCTGGCTGAAAAAGATTGCATTCTCATGTAATACGAGTGCAAAGTTGTAACACGGGTGCAAAGTTTTTACAAATAGCGCGCGCACACTTTCAAAATTTGTGTTACCTTTCTGTGATGTTTTTGCATTTACATTATTATCAAGTAATGACATGATTTCTCTTGCAATTTTGTGAAATAGGCACACTTGCCCTACGCGCTCGTGCAATTTTGTCGTCCTTGAAAAATTTACTCGTGCTTATTGACACCAAATTGCACTCGAAATCATGTTGTTAACTTTACTTAATAACGTCATTGTTCTTCCTCACTCAGGGAGATAATGAGAAAAGTTGTCAGGAAAGGGAAAGATAAGGAAGCTTAGAATGTTGTGGAAGAAGAACTGATTCTTCCAATGTAAGTAAACGTATTTGTTTGCAGAAGGTTGTAACGTTTATATTTTTCCTAAATTTCAACATCTTATTCCTTCAAATTCAAAAAGGGGGAAACTGGAACATATTATTTTTCACTTTTTCATTTCGTGTTGTTATCTCTTGTTTTGTAGTGCTCGTACAGAAAAACCGCTGGGATCAAAAACTAATCCTCAGTGAATGATGAGCCCTGTTCCATGAGACATCAAGTGCTTGTCGATAAAGTAACTAGTTTGTTTTCCATCGGCACCAATTATGAGAACTGTGACTGGATGAATGGGAGGTATATTGAACATATGCAAATAGTCATTTAAAAAGTAAACACCCAGCCCGATTTAGAAATAGACCTCGAAACCGTTTGACGGTTTCTATAAAGCTTCGTTTTTGACGGTTGATGGTAAGGAGTTCATGCTTTGTGAACCAGCCGCTCAAGCGTTGTAGTGGAGGTAACGATTACAGTGCCGTAAATCACAGCTATAGCTTTGCAGACTTTTTAGCCGGACAATGTGACAGTACGTTGTGACGATCTTATAAAAAAACCTACACCTTATATTTGTATCTCATGGAGTAATGAGCTAGGAAAGATAATTATTCTCGTCTTGGTCCTTTTTCCAATTTGTGTCAATTTGTGTAAGTGATAAGAAGTATGAACAGGTAATTTTCTGTGAATCAATTCAACGATAAATCGACCCTCCTTTTAGGTAAATGTAATAGTCTTATGTGTTAATGCATTAAAGGAAAATTAGTTGAGACTTTGTGATCAGGTCAGTTTTTCTCACACAGTAATGCCCCAAACCTTAAAAGAAAGAAAGGAAAAGAAAAAATTGAAAGTAAAATAAAGGAAGAAAGAGAGAATGAAAGAACGTACGAACAAATGTGGGTACGAACGCACGAACTAACGAACGAACGCACGAACTAACGAACGAACACACGAACTAACGAACAAACGCACGAACTAACGAACGAATGCACGAACTAACGAATGAACGTACGATATAACAAACGAACGCATGAATTAACGAACGAACGCAAGAAAGAAAGAAAGAAAGAATGAGATAAAGAAAGAAAAGAGGAGGAGTATAGAAAAAGAATGGTAAGTTTTATGTTCTGACAGCACCTAAGGAGACAGTTGAGTCTAGGGAGGGGAGGGTGGACGGGAGATATCTTTTCTTCCTTGCAGAATTACAATAAACAGTTGTCCTTTCCAATATGCCACTATCCACGCGACCCACACGCTGTTCCACTCGGTTGTATCACCACGTCACTCACGTGTCAAAATCAAGCGGAAAAAAGCAACAAATTTTTAATAGAACCAAGCGCTGTTGTTCAAAACACATTTTCCTATCACAAAATCACCGGAAACTACAGCTGTAACCCATCCTGAAATCAATTTCCATATGCCCCAGTCTCCGACCTAACGTGACAACCGCGGAATTCATTGTTTGTTATTGCGTGCGTGTATTGCTATGCTGAAATTTCAGCTTCACTGGTTGAACGAAGGTAGACAATATATGTCGCAATAAGCCGCTGGACGCCGTATGATACTTTATCTGAGAACACTACAAGAAATTTCTCAGTCGTTTTCGACTCTACATACAAGAAGATCGTTTCTCGATCCGCTAATCACGAGATGAAATATTTGTCTTTCTTCGTTTTACTCCTCTCGCTTCAAGACCATTCCAAAGGTAAGTACTTTGACGAAACAAAATTGCTTCAAAGCGCAAAGTAAGCGTAATTTATTATTTATCAAAGATGTCCAGTGAAGCTTCACGCCTGTCTTGGCGAACAATTTCCATATTCTACATCATAAGCTTTGTTTGAGTTTCAAAACCAAGTTCAACTATTCTCTGAAATCTCAACAATCTGAACTTTGTTCACAGATCTGGTAGGTTAGGGTGTTAATTTGACAGTAGCACCACGAAGGAATCATAGAATTGAAGTAAAATTATCACTGGATATTGCGACATAGCCATTTTGTTAAAGTTTCCTTTCCTCCTCGCTTCAGCGACTCAATCAATACGAAAAGCGTTCCCTTGGCATTTGGCTTCCTCTCACGCTGTTCAGAGAATCAGCTGGTAAACTGAAAAACAGGAAATCATCTCCAAAACGTGAAAAACCTGAACTTAATTATAGATAATCGTCTGAACCAATTATGTGTCAAAAATTCCTACTGTAAACTGAGAGAAGCGAGCAGAATTTGTAAACAAAAATCCCCCTAAACCATTGAAATATTGAAAATTACTCTTATATTTCCATACTCGAAATCCCACTACACGATCAAATATTTATTGACAAACAATTAAGTTTTGTGTCTCTGGGACAGAAGTATATTAAATTTCTATCCTATGACCAATTCACTACAGAAAAACGTGTTCAGCTTAATCAGAAAATTAATTAGAAAAACTGAAAGGCTTAATTTTTCACAGGGTTCAAGTAATCACTAACTTGGATTTTTATTGCGCTAAATTTCGAGTCGACAAACGTCAGTTTAACCAGCTTCTGTCAAGGAAACAATTTCAAACAGTGTTTCAGTCTCCATGAGGAATTGAACCTCAGACCTACGGATTCAGCGCTCCCACGCTTCACCACTGAGCCACAGAGACTCTTCGGTGAGCGAGGTCTATTACGAGGTTCATTCGACGCGCGTCCTGCATACTGCTAGAATCAGCGATGTCGTTAACGTCATGTTTGTAAATAGAACAAGAAAGATGGCGGAAAAAAGGGTTAAGGAACGGGTGTTAGGGCAGGTATTCTCACAACATGGTGAGAATTTTTGTACCAAATAAAACCAGGTAATTTATCGAAGATTAATTTTCGAGGTCGTTCAACCTGGTCATTTTTCGAAGGTCAATTAAATAAAGTAGATTTCGTTTGAAATTAAGAAAATTTCGGAATAAAAAAATGTCTTGAGAACAGACGGTCAGCTTTAAGCTCGGTAAAGAAATCGAGAAAGACGTTCTTCTTCTTGTCACGAGCGTGGGATAAAGGAAAAATTCTAAGTCCCTATGAGTTAAAACGTGTTTTAGATAATAACGATTCGTTCGCCTCCTTCCGCCTGTGTGTGTGTTTTTCACATTCTGGCCGAGTGCCAAGAACGCAAACTATACTCATTTTCTTTTTTCCCTTTGTACAGCCTCTAAAGTCTGCTATGGTAAATACGGATGCTTTTCAAGCGACCCTCCATTTGACAAGTCACTCATTTTACTACCCTCTGATCCTGATTCGATCGGTACGAAGTTTATCCTGCACACCAAAACGAACGCACAAAGTAACCTAGAAATCCTCAATACAGACAACAACACCTCAATCGTTAACTCTACGTTTGACCCTTTGCTAAAAGTGAAGTTTATTGTGCATGGATATACCCAGAATGGAGAGAGTGCCTGGGTAAAAAAGATGGCGTCGGAGCTTTTAAAAAAAGAGAAGATGAACGTGATTGTGGTCGATTGGGGACTAGGGTCTAGTGTCATGAATCTTTATGACATAGCAGCCGGAAACACGCGGCTTGTTGGAGCACAGGTAGCTGATTTAATCGACGTATTGCACCGGAAGTTCAATGTGGCGCTGAACAAGTTTCATATTATTGGACACAGTCTTGGCGCACAAGTAGCAGGTTTTGCCGGAGAAAGACTGGTTAAGAGCGGAAAAATTATTGGGCGAATTACAGGTAATACGCAAAATCGTTTCACCTGGCTTGGATTGTTAAGAAGACTCTAAGATTGTAATATAAGCATTTATTTCTCTGATTCAGGGCTAAATTTTTAAGAAACTAAAAAGGTCACGGATAGATTCAAGTCTTTTGAAGATTGCATAGTGATTTGCGCTTAAACATTGTCAGTTAAGATACCTGGACTCCAGGTGGGAAATTTGTAATTAGGCCGGCTTCAGATGTTCTTCTGATACTCGCAATTCCTGCTCTTTTTATTTTCCTTTTTTCCAGCGTGAGCTAAAACTTTGACCTTATAATTTAGTCGCCTTATTTGCACTCCTATTTCCTCCATCTGATTTGCCCGTATCAAAAAGAAAAGATATCAGCTGCTTAAAGTGAACTGTTTAAAAATGACATCTTGCGCTTGGTACCATTTAATAATAATAATTAATTATTAATGATATTGCAGGTCTGGATCCTGCGAGACCTGGGTTTGACTTTGATGACGGGCGAATTAGACTGGACCCGACTGACGCAATGTTTGTCGACGTCATTCACAGCGACATAAGGAATGGTGCCATCGATAGCTCTTTAGGACTCCAGCGTCCCTGTGGTCACGTGGATTATTACCCCAACGGTGGGATAGAGCAGCCGGGATGTGCAACTTCTCACGTCGTTGGAGGTGTTCAATCCTCTTTTAATTTCGTTTTCTTTAGCGCTACCATCATTACGTAAATATTTACTTGAAAAAAATATACTGTGTCTCGATTGCTTTAGTTGACAACAGTTTAACAAAACTTTATTCAATCATTGTTTAGGTGCGGTCGATTCCTTATTGGACAGTGGTCAAGTCTCTTTACCATGGATGGTAGCCTGTAATCACATGAAATCAGTGGCCTATTTCACTGCCTCAATCCATAGCGCATGCGCGTTCAAAGCTTTCCCATGTGACAACTGGACGGATTTTCAAGATGGAAAGTGTCTCTCGTGCGATGGAAAATGCTCTGAAATGGGATACAACGCTAAAAAACATCGCGGGAGCAAGCCTGTGCTAGCGTACTTGAAAACAGTAAAGCAGGCACCTTTCTGTGGTAGGACATCAATAAAGGTTGAAAATTGCACATCGTTAGAATTTCATGTTTGTCATCTTTTATTGTATGGCTATGTTTTGTCTTACAAAGTTTGGCTTTTGGTCCATTTTGCATGCTTTCTTTTAGTGGAGGGAAAAGTGTTTCCCTAAGGGAGGTTGTCGCCGAAAAAAAAAATAGGTCCGCAATACGAACATGTGTGACTCCTAAATTAATTTTTTTACGCACATTTAATAAATTATGCTAAAATGTGAACAAAAAAAATTGGCAATGGTAAAAAAATCGGGCATGATGTTTATAACTCAATGAGCAATGAATTGAAACAAGAATATATCATCTCTAGATTGAAAGGTATAATGAGTACAGCGGACAATAATATTAAACATTGGAATAAATTGTTTTCGAAGCTGAATCGATAGAGGTTGTTTTGTTCTTCTTTTCATTAATTTCTTTATTCGTTTTTATCTTTTTTAGTCAGCGACAATTATTACCGGGTTGTCGTCCACTCAAAAGCTGGGTCTAACCTGTTCTCGATCTCCAGCATTATTAACGACAGAATTTCTGTCAAGCTCATTGGAAGCAAGGGGACTGTGGAAACGGTCCGTCCAAGGTGAGGAGACTAGGATCAAAAACTGACGTTTCAGCCACGTTAATGGAACTCACGAGGAGATATCGTCCTCAACTTAACAGGCCAAGAGCAGCAACAATATTTTGTGACAACAGATTACTTTGTAAAAACAAATATTGATCACAGCTGAAAGAAAAAATGGAAAAATAAATGGCTGCACAGAGACTGTACACTTTTTTTTTTTCGCCAAGAGCCAGTCATCCGATGCATCGACTACTAAAACTTTACATCTATTACATTGTTACTTGGTTCATTTGTTAACCTCCCACTCGCTCTTTTTCAGAAGTTTAAAAAACGGAAAGAATAGTTTTGTGCTTTCATCTGCTCGTGACGTTGGAAAACTGCGATCTGTCCAAGTCCAACTTAATGGATACGGCTCCTTCCTGAAGAAAGTTGTCGTGCACTCCAGGGCGACGAACAAAAGGTGATAGCAAATAAGAACGTCTTGACCAACCTTGAGAGACAAATGTTGGTTACAGCTTTAGAAATTATTTATCAAAGCTTGCTATAATATGGCCGAAACTCTTAACTGATCTTGTATTCTTGAGAAGTAAGACGCAATCCTTTCATTGGAAAAACCTTGATTCCAATGCCCACATGGGATGCGGGGAGGGGGGGGGGGGGGGGGAAGGTGGAAGTGGGGAAAGCCCAGAATCCTCGCACCCCCTCCCTGAATCTGTTACTGAAGATTTCATGACGAAGATTGTGAAAACGTCGCTTTAAAAATTAGCTTTCACTTCTCCTGAGAATTTCGCGAATTTGTCTACATACATTGTCTCCAGCAGTAGGAGATTTTTCCTCCGGCATAATATGAGGATGCAGCATTGAATTCGAAATAGAAGCGTGAATGATTTTCCTTCGGGTTCCCGTTCTCTGATTTCACAAATACGATGGAATCGCTGGTTGCTGGTTGGCAGCTGGTTGGCAGCTAGTTGGCAGCTCGCTTATGAATAGTGGCTAGCGGGAGGAACTACTAAACATTATATCAGCTTTCGAGAGTACGTTGACTTTTTTTTTATCAAGAGTTAGGTGTTGTTCAACATTGGTTTTTTTTTCCTCTCCTTTCCAGATACACTGCGTGCTTTAGGAAACAACTGGGAGGCTACTTCTCATATCTGATATCTTTTAATTACACCCGAACCTTCGTGGAAGGGAAACACCACCATTGTTGAAAAGGTATAATTGACAGTATTTTTCACGTTCAGAATTCTGTGGATTGTTTAAGGTTGAATCACGCTATTTTCAAATTTGAAATTATTTCTTTCATCTTTTTATTTCCAGGGTAAGGAATGGCTATAGGAACAAACCAAGCGTGTAACGAGGCTAAACGAAGCCTCAGAACACGAAGATTGTGTAGCTACTGCTATCATCACACCAGCTTTTCAATCTAGCATTTTACAAGTCAGCTTACATCTCTTACTTTAGGCGATTATAGACGCTACAATGTAATCCCTGATATAACCAAACAAGTTTGTTGAGGGAAGAAATAGTTTCAGTAAGAGGGATCGGGAAGGGGTTTTTTAATTTCAATTTTTTTCTAATACATTTAATTTCATATTTTCTTGTTTATTTGTTTCTAATATAATACTTAACTCAAGCAACTTCAAACACGTTTTCGTTTTTTACGTTATTTTCTCAATAAAGAAAATGACGTATATAGTGAAACTAGTTTTCTACTAACTGAACATGTAGGAGAGGGTAACATATGGGTGTGACAAAGGGGGGGGGGTCTATATTCATGGGAGTTCCCCCTTAGTTTTCAGAAAGTGATAGTAGGTTATGATAAGAATGGACTTGTCATGGTCCTCAAATATCAGCAAGACACAAGTGTGGGACCCTCCCACCACACTCATACCTCCCCTATTGAGAAAAATCTTCTGCTTGAGCACTAGGTAACGGCTACCTCATAGTTGACGCAAATATCAATACCTTAATGTTTCTAAAGAGGTCAACACCAAATCATCATATAGGTTACCTCTCTAAAAGTAATTCAATAACTGTAAAAAGGAAACATATCAATAAAATGTAGTTCATACTTATGCTTGAAATACTATTTCAGTCTCCAAACGAGATCGCTTTTGATCTTAGACCTGCAGAAGTTAGAGGCGATGTTGAGAGAGTTTTGAAAATTACCAAAATATTCAAGATCGAACTTCCTTATCCAAAGAGCTATTTTTTTTAGCGCTAAAGACGATTTTTTTCTAGTGTTAACTCGCGGGGATTTGTTTTAAATTTTACATTTCTTTCCTATTTCTCTAGACAAATGCGCTAACAAACAAATTCGTTTCCAGGGGCGTTAAAATTCTAACGTTGGACTGTACTCATAAAATGTTTCCCACTTTTTCTCTTTTGTACCAGAAAAGAAAATAGCACTTGAAACCAAGACTAACATTATTACAAAACATTTACACCGTGAGCTATAACAAAGTTATCTTCAACAAAAGAAATATTTAACTTCTTTACAAAAATCCTAGGAAAAATAAAATAATATTCTTAGCTAAATAGACAACAAATAGGATTTGACGATGCCACCTTCATTCCGATTTTTCGGAAACTTTTCGCACAACCTTTCTCATCAGGTCTCTGCGAAAGAAAAAATGGCGGAAAGATAGAACTTAGAGAGTAAACTTGTAAGCTATTCTTAAAAGTCCGTCATGAAGGGCTGACTCATAAACGTTGGAAATAAACGTGTTTCAAAATTGCATTTGACGAAGCGGTTTGTCCAAAGTACAACCAAGAACATTTTTAACACCGCAGATGTTTATCCATTAATAAGCTCATTCAAAAACCTTTGGACTTATGGTTGGGCTGATGAAATGGGGTTTATTACATCTCAGAAACTCAAATATTGAAGACATAATTTTTTAAGCGGAATGTTTCGACGGGCAATGCAGGCATATAATCACGCTCGGCTTCAAATTTTCTCTGCACAAATCCGTGTTAATCCACTTGGAGAGGTTCAAATTTTAAACCAAATCTTACGAAATTTAGGAAATCATTCGCGTTTTTTTCCTGGCAGTATAAATGGAATTCTTCAAGCTGCTGTACAGAGAAGATGAAATGAATATAACTAAATAAATTACAAACCTGATAAGAGTCAGTTTCTCCTCCATTGATTCCCAAGGTCGTCTTTCATCACTGTACTCCAGCATCTCTAAACGGAGGTAAAAAACAAACAGAAATTTAGGCAGAACGGTTCCGCTTTCGAAATTTCAATTCTCTCGTCGCAAAATAACAAGTTATACCGAAAGGTCCTTCAATTGTTATGAAGATTTGCTTTCTTTCTATATCAACGCAAAAGCTGCAAACCTTTGGCCAGTTCTGTTTCACTGACTCTGTCGCCCTGCTTGTAGTATTTCACTCTTAAACTCTGAAAGACAAAAAAAAAAACAACAAGAATCTCGTTTGTTCATAGAATCGTTTTTTATTGTCGCTGCAGTTACTGTTGTTTCCATGCACAGCGGTCAGTAGTAATGATGAGACGCCTCGCAGTTTTTAATGTCTCAAGGACACTGGTCACGGTTTGACTATGTTCAACAATATAAACTTCATCTTACAAGTTCGTCAAATGCAATCTGTTTTAATCTTCTCCATAATTTGCCATTCTTTCTCTTTGGTGGTTAAACATAGCCTCTTTAGTGTTTTTCTATCTAACCAAAAAAAAGATTTTTTTTTCTCTCTTGCGCTGAGGTTAATTTTTGGCAGTGCAGTGTCTAAAGATATCGTAGCGTACTATTCCTTTTAACACTTCAACTCCCATGAGTGACGAAGACAGAATTTCTCCACAAAATATCAATACAATATCAAGCAGACACGAGATGAGAATAAAGAAAAATATCAATTAGGGGATTATTAGTTGATCCAATACCAAATTCTCCAAATTAACATCACAAGAACTATATGGCTGACAGTAAGGAGAATTACTAATGAGATCTTGGGAGTTAAAGGGTTAAGTTTACAAAAGTCTACTGAAAACATGAGCAAACGTTCAAACAAAGATAATATGAAAAGAAAAAAAGCAACCGAAAGCCAATTCAAAATTGATAACAATTCAGGAGTACTTACAAATCTGGCAAATCTGCTGTGCTCCAGGCGCGTGACAATTCGCATTCGATCGATAGCATATTGCAGTTTTGCGTTGGTTTTAGCTTCGCTGTACGTGTAACTCAACTGTGCGATAAGAACATTGAGCAGAATCACAATCACCATCGCCATGTAGGCCAGGAGAATGAGTATCGCTAACCAGCTGGAATAAAGGAAGAACAGGGTACAAGTTATGCTTCGTGTTACACTAAATAGAGCCTCTTATAGATGGAGGCTGGAAATTGAAAACACAAAACAAAAATAAACAAAACCGAAAAAAAGCAACAATTACAAAAAACAAAATTTTTGTCAATAACGCAGACAGCTCACTCCATGTGACCATAGCAACGTGTGACGTAATCACCTCTATAGTTACCAGACACACTGCACCCAACAGCAGTTAGTGTAATGGCCAGGAAACAGCACCAAGTTTTCGATCGAATACTTCCAGCGCCTATTGCGTTTGGTTCCTAAGCAACACATTCTAAAGCAAGCAATGTATTTACCACGTTTCCAACAAAGTCTAACGTTCTGAAAAACGATAGAGTATGTATTAACGCGAAAACTTCGCTTACCTGAACTTCGAGTAGTCTTCTTCAGCCGGTTGCTGCTCAACAAGCGCTCGTACGGCCGCTAACATCAACCAGGCGTAATTACTGCGAACGTTGAGGAAAATAATAATTTCAGTTATTATCTCATGTGCCCGCAAATGACGTTTGTTGAGCTTGTACACTCTCTCATTTTGTTCCGGTGGAGGCCTTTCAACTCCTCTCGTCAATTTTCGTAAGCCCTCGTAAACTCTTGACGTTGCAGCTATATTTTCGAACCAATTTTCGTAAGCTCTTAGCGTGATTTCTCATGGATTCTCGTGGACTTCCGCCAATTCTCAACGATTTTCGTAACCTATCGTAACCCTTCGTTGACCTTTTTATTCAATTAAGGGGTTGGGCTCTTGATTAAAAGGCAGGAGAAAAAAAAACCATGTATTAAACAATATAGGAAAGAACCTCACGTAAAGAGTTCTTGCGAGCCTGTGGCTTTCAGCGCCATAAACATGGCGCCACAAAATCCGATGAAGACGATCAGAAACACCACACTGAAACGAGTCATGTCACGGTAGATGATCTTGGCTAGAGTCTTGGTATACAGACCAGTAGTTCTAGACGAAAAACAAATATTGATTTAACACAAGCAAAAAAATAGAGCAGCAAAAGCAAGTAAAAGGAAACCTCAAGACCAGCGCTTTTAGTTGAAGGTAGGTGAATGCAACTCGATCCACGGCATGGCATGGGCAGACAATTCAAACAAGAACTGGTAACAAATAAAACACTCACACTCTCTTTTGAACTGAGGTGCAATGACTGCATGATGGATTTTCGCCAAAAATGAAATCAGTCAGAATAAGACTAACAAAAATGACCATTTTTCAACTTAAGGGGCATTTTAAAAACTAATGATCACAAGAAGCTCATGCTTCTCTCTCCATTATCCAATAAAGGTCCTCTTGTTGTGAGTTAGACATTGTACTCCACAATCTTTAGAACACCATGTTCTACTCATCAAGAGATAGAATTAAAATGTTTGAACGGATGAAGTTGCAAAAGGTTAGTAAGGCCTTAATCGCAAAGATCCCTTGTAACACTCCACTCCCCTTCCAGTTTGAGTTTTCTACAGGCGGTCCTATAGTCCCACTATCAACATGAACAAAGGGAAAGGGGAAATATTTCAACAATTGTGACAAGGATTGTAAATTGACAAATCATGAATACCTTGTAACGCACGAAAACTTGAAAAGTCGGAGAAAATTAAACAGATAACCGAGGGCTGCCACACTCCACTGAGATCTGACTTCGGCAAATCGAAAAGGAATCACAAGGAAGGTCAAAATGAGACCCAACCAATCAAAATAATTGTACGGATCCTTGAAATAAGTTTTCCACTCCCTGAAAATAAACACAGCAGTTAAACTGACAGTTACTTGAACCTCTTGGGCTGTTAGAACACAATTAACAACCTTGAAATCTATTCCAAATAGATTCCGTTCTATAGAAGAAAAAAAATTAAAATTCAGTGTAGGTTAAGACGATCTTCCCATGAAATGGCTCCATTTACATCACGTGTTTGTGTGGACTAAGACAATTAGTCAATTCCCACTCGCAAACGGATTTTTTTTAAACTATAGAAATTTGTCAATGTTGTTGATTCGTAAAGAAAAGCTTCCATATTTCCCTGGTCTTACAGAAAGAGCAATCGATGTGAAATGGCTTGAAAGATTCAAGAGATATTGGAAATGACTAAGATAGCTTTAGTCTTACTTCTGTTCACAGCTGTATAGCATGTCACAAAACCAAACCCGAAGTAAGTTAAAAGTCAATCATAACAAAGGAAAAAAACACAAGGAGCCGATAAAAACTCGACGAGAAAACAAGCACACTGTCTGAAGCGCGGGGAAACGCAGTCGCGATTGGTTTCACTCTTGCATCTGATTGGTTAAAAAGACAGCACGAAGATTGGTTGAGAGGATAGCGCCAGTGTCCAAGTCGCAATTGATTTTATTCTTGTATTTGATTGGTTAAAAGGATCAGCCAAGAGCGTACTAAAGTTCAGTTCAAAAGTTCATAAAATCCTGGATGACAGCTGAAAATGACTCTAAACTGCGAGTTTTCTGGACTCACCGTCCGGCCTGGTTGATCTCTTCGAAGAAATAAAACATCAGAAAGATAATAGTGATAACTTCACAGAACGCACGCAGACCGTCCGCACGACCACTGTACTGTGTTGGATCTTCAAGGGTGGAAGCGTAGATGAGGGCGTATGATAACAGTGTTAGAAACACGATGTAGAAAGACGCTTGAACGCTGAAATGGAGAAAGATAACATTCGTGGGAGTGACATTTACTGCAGCACATCTGTAGTGAATGCGTATTTGTGTTACGAGCAAGACGTAATTATTTGAGCTTCTCAGAAAAAAGAACCGGTTTTAGATTTTTCCAAACTATGTTTATAGGCTATTTGTCTTGACCCTGTAACTACCAGAAGTGATTAACACGTAACTTCTCCCCATTATATCCAAACACTATCCAGCAAAAAGGTAATGAGAATACTGACTTATCAGGTTGAAGTTGTCATCTTGATCTAACACCAAATTCTCGTAACTAATTTACAAGGAAATGTGTAACAGCTAAAGGGGAGAATTAACAATCAGATCAAAGGGAAGTTCACGGGACCAACAGCATATTGAACCACAGGTGTCCCAAGCTCACGTCTCGAGAGAAAGCAAACGTATAAGACGCCTTATAAAAGTAATAGCAGTGATGGCAAAGCAAGCTTTAAACGGCAGAGAAAGGCAGAGACCACAACGGACATACAAGATGTGAGTAAGTTCTGTTGATTTTACGTGTAAAATGTTCATATTTCGAAATATTTATCGTTGTAAATCGATCATATTTCGTTCCCCCTTACTATTCCATATAACGTATTAAAATTCTCAACGATTCCTCTCGTAACTTAACACCGCGTCACACAATGCATGATGCTTTCATGAATTTTAATTCTGGAAAAAGTCGTTTGCTTTCATCGAGACGTGGGCTGGGACACCTGTGCTTAAACGTGCGAATCCATCGAGCGAACGGTAATTCAAAATTCTTACCAAAACCACCAATGACCAAACGTATTCCATTTCCTCATAACCAACATTCGCACCACAGGATGTTGAATCGCCTCCTAAAATGAAGAAAAAAAAACAGTGATGTCAATACGGTCTTCATTGTTACTTTGCTAAATATTATATATATTGCTATTATATCCAAACAACGGCCTCAACTCAAAGATATCGAGCAATTTTTCACTGAGTGTCAGAAATAAGGCGGGATTTTGCAAGTTTCCCTTGCTCCGCCCTGTGATTGATCAGGAAAGCGTGCGCCAACTTCTCGACCAATAAGATGCAAAACTGAACTGCATCACAATTTGGTCGCTCGCGTTTTCCCGCGCTTAAATATTTATTCTGTCTCTTTTCTGACTTAAACTCCTTTTGGCTTTCGTTTAAACTTTTTCTTTGTTCTGATTTCCTGTTTTGATTGCCTTGCTTTTGTTCTCGCGACGCCCAATCGAAATACACTCTCGATTAAGTTACCGACGATTGTCACACTGCCCACCTATAAGTGTTCTATAATTATTTTTTCTGAAAAAAAATTGCACTTATTCCGGGTACAGTTCAACTCAAAGTCAAGCCGCATGAAGCATGGAACAGGGATAAGATGGGAGAACATATAAAAATAGCAAGAATAGTTGTATTGGTTGTGTTAAACGAGGTTAAGTAGGGTGGTTTTGGTAAGGTTTGAGATGGTAAGAACGGAAGTCAACGAAACTGGCGCATTACTGGAACCATTAGTTTCGCTACTAAATTTGAACAAAATCGTTATATTTTGCAAGGATTGCTTGTCCATCGCGAATTGTTGCATCTCAAGAATGACAATAATCTAATAAAAGGATTCCAAATGGAAATCACTGTTTAAATTTTCGTTGAAGATCTCACCGCAATAAGCTACTTAACAGAGCAGATCTATAATTTTTTTCCTGGAATATTTTTTACCTCCCAGGAAAACAGTATACTGCTGATAAAAATAGCTTGATAAAACCACAAGCACTAAAACGTCTCAGTCACTAAATATCCTCAGACACAACTTCAAACTGAGGACTGAGGTACAGAAACACACCAAAAAAATTATGGTATACAAGTTTATCGATTACTATGGTCTTATAAGCGACACGACAAATATGTAGGTCACCTAACAACTGCTTTGGCTAGTTTGGAATGAAACCAAATATATATCAACAAAAATAAAGACATCTCTTTCTCATCTCAGCCTTTGTAGCTCAGTGGTTAGAGCACTGGTCTTGTAAACCAGGGGTCGAGAGTTCGAGTCTCTCCGAAGGCTAAAAATTAATTATTTTCTTCCCCTTTTTTTTTCCTAAAAGGAACGCATCAGTTCCTTCTCTCTTCCTTTCAGAATATCATTTTGCCAAGTCTCGCTCTTCTTATATAAACAATCTTCCTATTTCTCCTTGTAAAATTTACCATATTTCAGTGCTTTAAGAATTATTTCTTGTTTCCTCCATTGCAATTCCTATTCTTAATCGGTTTTTACCATTTTCTGTCACTGAAATATTCCTTTGATGTTATCAACAAAATGTAGAAACTTTAAGATTGTTTCTAACGAAACATAAGCTTAGACAGAGGCCTTCAAAGTGACCGTTACGAGCAAGCTGCCTCAATATCCCAGTTTGCACCACTTGCTACAGTGTACATGTAGCTGCAAGTTGAAGAATTGGGAACTAACTCTGGAAAACGGAATACGTTACCTATCCACTCTTTTAACCCAAGCTAGGCTATTAGTGAGTGAAAACAAGTTACTTCCATAAAGTGAGAGCCTCCAAAAGGCTGCTCCTCCTTTTGGGGGTTTGGGTTCAGGGCAGGGGAGGAGGGGGGGGGGGGAATTGACAAAAATTTACTGTGACCATAAATTGCAACAAATTGCATTCAACATTGTATTGACCAACAGCCTACCAAAAGCACACAGTATGTTTCACAGTATGAATAGTTTTTTAGGTACCTTATCATCACTTTCTGCAATACATCGAAGGGGGGACATAGACTTTGTATTAAACTCCTCAATCAAGTTCCCTTCATCATCCTTTGGTTCCTGTCCCAGGTCATCAGCTTCCAGCACATGATAGAAAAAATCATAATTTAATGGATCATCAGGAACACTGCTCCATGCCCTTTCGATACGATCACTTTTCTCTCCTGTCTCCTTTATCTTCTCTGGAAGGTATGGCCAGTGAGGGTTGACAAGCTGATCTAATACAGCTACAACTGTTTTCTGGTGAGAAAATTTAAAGGAAATAGTCTAATTCTCTTGCTGGTGTTCTTGGACAAGACACTTCGCTTGCTCATTTCCATCTCTGTCACTCATTGCTCATTTTCTTTCTTATTCCATCCAGGATATTTAACAGGTCCCAAATGAAGAATAGAGGAAATCTGATAGAATCATGGGAGGGAGGGGTGGAGATGTAACTAAATTGGACTAGCATTCCATTGGGGAGGGGGAGGTTGCTCTTTATGCTATTTCAGTAGAGGAGGGGGGGAGTATTTGTCTCTATTGAAGACCTAAATGCGCAGTTGTCACCTACTGTTTCAAAATAACCCCACTAAACAATGTATTTCCTGGAGTTTTTGGAGAGGTGGTAAGGTGAGGAAACATAACATTAATTTGTTTATAAATAGTATTTTATACCTGCATGTCCAGTTTCTTTGTTTCTGGATCTCTATGGCTGATGATCTCCGTAAATTTAAATTTGGCTCTCTTCAACCTCATGTCATTGTCATACAAAAACAGTTCATGGACCCTGGAAAATAAAAACAAAATACTTTCCTCAAGAACAACACAGCACAATTATTCATCCAAATCAGGGCAATAGCCATTTATAGCCTACAAAAAAATCAAGCCATCAAATGATGACAAAAATAGTGCAACTTGAAATTTTAATATTATAATGTCAGAGTTTTTTTTTTAATTACTTTTTCTGAGCATGAAATCTTATCTTATTATCCTTTATTTGTGAAAAACAGAATCTTGTCAAGTTGAAATACTGTGGATAATTCACTCCCTTTCTAAAAATGTTAAAAATTCAATGAACGTAAATTCATAGTTAAAAACAACCAATAAGTGAATATCAATCAAATAAAATTTCTTCTACCAGTACAATGTAATGATATCATATTATAATATCAATATTATGGAAGAAAAAATTCCAAACAATGTTACTGAGATCAAACCATTTTTTCCTATACTTTTATCCCAAATCAGAACACTGTGAGTCAACAGGGTTCCTGTACTGACCAGTCATGTTTCATCTGCGATATCAGATAGGCCGCTGTTTCATCCTTGTGTGACATCAGAGCTTTTTCAACAGGTAAATATGGCCTTTCACCAGCCACTTCCTCTGTTTCTAGGTAAACAAGTGAAGGGTACTTTTCAACAAGCAACTTGGTCACATGAAGAAAATTCTGTTCTGCAGCCAGGTGAAGCAAAGTTGGACGAGCAAAGTCTTCATCCACACGGAAATACTTGTACTCTTCGTCATTGTCTTTGTCCAAAATAATTTCAGTAAAACGGCTGATCTGTGAAGAAGGAAGTACATGTAAGACAGTTAAGGATATCTTTATCAGTTCTTGTGGAGATTTTGAATGCTGACTTTCACAAGAGAAAAAAAGCAAAACTGTTGGTTTTTCTTTGTGATCTAGCATGTTGTCTTACCAACCAAAGTGGAACACTCCAATTTGGGTCAAGCCTGGGCCCCATAACCCTTCACACCCTAACATCAGTATGCATATTCTCCATAATGTTCTCTATACATTTCCTCAAGTGCTGGCAAGGAGAATTTGTTTAACAATCAAGAGCCTCTTCAGTTGGTTATCATTTTCTTTTTCTCGTGACCTTATTGTTTGATTCAGGGATGATACTGTTGAGAGAAATTGGATGCTAATCACTCTTAGGGGATCAGAGGGTTAAAGTGATTATATCCTGCCTAATACATTGTCATTCACTGCAATCAATTTTGAAAAGTCTTGATCAGAGTCCACCTTGCGTAATAATGTGTTGTGTTCTTGAGAAGGACAATTTACCCTCAGGGGGTGTCTCTCTCTGTTTAGGAAAACAAATGATTGCTGGCAAACTACTGCACCAGAGATACCTGACAAAATTCTGGAAGGTTGAGCCTGCCATGGGCCAGCATCCCATATATAGGAGGAGGAGGTGGGGAGTAACAATACTAGTTGTAGCTTTATGCCGATGAAAGCCACACAAAATCTGACATTTTAGGGATTTTGGCAAGCAAGATGTCTTTACCACACCATAGATACATTGTAAATACAGCCCATACCTAAAGAGTCAATACTACCATCGCAAACTTTGTCGATACATACCAGGTATTCGAGACTTGCTATCAGTTCTGGTTTATCTCTATACTTTTCACTGATTGGCCAATCACGAATGATCACCAAGAGGGTGTTTCTACCATGAACAGCTATCAGTCTGTCAGTGCGAACTTCATCCATGGCTCTATTCCACGACACGTCTCCTGCATTAAACTTTTCTTGTACCTTATAGTTAAAATATTTTCAAAGGTCAGATCTGTTCACTTACTACATGTGTGCTCTGGAGAAGAGAGATGTGCAAAGCAAACCTAGTCTGGTAAGATTTATAATTCTGAGAAGAAAAAAAAAATGCATCGGAGCAGATTTCCTTTGTTCTTGTGACCTTAATCTTTTACACCCTAACATCAGTATGCATAAACTCCATACTGTTCTCTATACATTTCCAAAGAAGCTGAGAAGGAGAATTTGTTTTACAATCAAGAGGTGCTTTATGGTGATCATCTTCTCTATTCTCATAACTTTTAGGTTTGATTCAGGGGTGATACTGTAAGGAGAAATTAGATGCTGGTCACTCTTAGGGGCTTAAGGGTTTACTTAATATATGATTCGGGGCTGATATTGTAAGGAAAAATAAGATACTAGTCACTATAACAGGTTGAAGAGTTAACAACAACAGTATTGCTACCTAGTAAGTAGAGTAAGAGCAAATTGGATATATTGGAACCATACAGTTTGCAAATGGTACTGCATGCACAGCAATAATATGATCCCTGAATTATGACTTGTTTTGGATACAGTATACTTGTATATCATATGCTTTGCCAGCGAAACCTGTTGCACAAGCTTTTATAGCTGTTTTGTGTCTTGGCTTAAGAGTCATCTGAGATAAGTGAGGTACATATCACTCCACTCTGAGCACTTCCTCTCCAAGATCTCAGAAGCAAATTCCTCCTTACTGTTTGTCATACAATTCTTGTGATGTTAGTTGTGAGAATTTGGCATTGGATCAACTATTTAACCCCTGACTGATATTTTGCTTTATTCCCATCACTTGTTGGCTTGATGTTGTATTGATATTGTAAAGAGAATTTCTGTATTGAACACTTATGGGAATTAATGAGTTAAAAGAAAGGAAGAAAGGATGACAGCAGTCATCACAATTGAGTTATTCCTTGATATCTTCCAAGAGAAGGCATTATCAACAATTACAACAGACTTCACTGCCTTCATAAGTGATTCAAAGGCAGTTCATGTCAGAAACATCGAACGCGAATGAAAAGTTAAGTGACAGTTGACATTTATATTCGAAAAATCAAGGATTGTATGCTTTTCAACGCTGTACGTTTAATAGCCAAATTTCAAACGAGAAAAACAAAGAGGTTCGTTAATCACACAGCGTATATCCAAGAATAAACTGTAACCAAACCATCTAGCTCAAAAGGAATGCTATGGTATATTAGCTTTCATTCAATCCTACGATTGTTATATTAAATATAACATGCTTGCGATAAGATTCAACTTAGGAATAAATAACACGATCCTTTAGTTGACAAACGCAACTTATTTGTGTTTACATGATCTATTATGAGGTTTAGAGTAAATACAAACAGCAAGCCCATGAAAATAGTGTTTGTGAAGATCAAGAAATTATGTTTTAGTAATCAAAACAAACTGCATGGATAAAAGCGAAAGCGTGCCACTCACCTTCACCCAGAACTCTTCGTCAAAAGGTTTTTCCAAGGCATGTTCTTTGTGATCGCTGTTAGGTCGCCTTTGTTCCATCGGAACAGCTGTATAGTTGTTGTCTGAGTTTTCCATGCTGGATTCAGTTGAATTTATGTCCAAAGCGACGGAATTCCATCGGCTATATTAAACAATTCCACACACCCGAATCACACTATGCACGCTTGAAAAATCTCCTGCTCTGTGATTGGTTACAATCACTGTGACCGGAAGCTGCACTAACTTCCGGCAACAATGCATCTTATTTACCGCGTAGAAAGACCTTACGTACTAGTATTTTTACATCCAAATAAGCAAATATTTTTAAATTGTTATTTGGAACACAAAATCCCAACAAGGAAAACGCATATTTAATATATTTATAATGAATATAAAGCAGAACTGAGAATATCCTCTTCAACATTGGTTTATTGCAAAACTCGGTGACATAAATTTAAATCAGATGATCTCTATACCTAGGTTAACGAATACAAAGAATTTTGTAAAAATCACTAAAAAATTTTCTGAACTGACAACGCATAAAAAAGGGAAGCATTTATCAAAATCTAATAAAACTCGTAAATAACAAAACACTAGGCGAAAATCCAGGCTGTCTTTTACAATCATTCGTAAACGCGAAACCTCTTGAATCTACGCTAAATCTTAGTTCGTTGTAAAAATGTAACTAATCACGTATTTCTGTTCCGCGACCATAGTTCAGAAGCTGTAGCCGACACCTTTTGAAGGTAAAGATCATTTCTAATTTTATACGAGGTATTCAGGACTTTAAAAATACTTACAGAAACAAATTCCTTTCGAAGGGAATCAGTTCTGTCCTAATCTGTTCCTTTGATCGCGGCGACAAGAGCATTCATTTTTTCCGATTTTTCAAAATCTTTCGTCAGTAACTTTTCCACGTTTGCGAACCCGAAGTAGAAATCTCGGGCATTAAGTGTACTTCGTTTGATCCCCTTCGGTGGCCATTCAGAAGACATGTTTTCCCCAAACGAAACGCTGAAAACTTTTCCATGAAGGTGGCCGTTTTCATCTGCCAGCCGCTTCTCACGAAGTATAGTTTCCAACTGGACGATGGCCTCTGACGTTAGGCAGATTAAAATAACGTTGTTTAATTCCAGTTCAAGCCAGGGAAGCCCTTCGAAATTATCTGTTCCTTCATCGATGTTGACAGAATTTATCACGCGAATGCCGCCATTCGCTGCTATAGTCAAAGCGTCACGGAAATTCTTCACGACTTTGAGCTGCTCTTCGCCCGATTTGTGAAGAAGAAGGATTTTCTTTGTGTCGCTCAGAGTTTTACCTCGTGAAGACGGCGGGTGGCGCTGTGAATCTGTTTCCTTTTGACTGTTTTTCTTTGCCTTTGATGTTGCGCTACCCATTGCTGAGATTCTGAGTCGAGAAAAAGAAAACAACCCATCAAAATGATAAATTTCGGTAGCCACCAAGAAGATACAGCTCTTTAAAACGAGACTACTAAAACTTCTCGCGATGAAAATTACATCTAATTATGTGTAATAATATGCAAAAATTACCAAAAACGACACTGAATTTATTATCGGACCGTAAAAAGGCAAAATAATCAAAATACACCTGCTCTGTATGAATTAATAATTAACACACTTCAAGAGAACTGGAATGATTCTTCTATGTTGCTGTGGGTAAATGCCCGGCAGTCGGGCACGGTCTCCTGAAAATAGACTAAATGCCCGGCAGTCAGATATTTTAACAGAATTTCCCCTGAAAGCTTCTCTAAACTTTTTAAAGAATATCAGATGTTTGTTTTGAAATACCTAGCGATTCCAAGATTTAATTTTGTTTTTTTCGGAGTGATTCTTTAATTCTGATATCTTGAGAGCATCATCTCGTTCATTTCTTTGTCTATTTACATGATACTCCTGATATCTATCAATTTTAAAAAAGAGAAACAGAAATATTGGGTAAAAATATTGAGTAAAATTTTGATAAGCCATCCACAAACCTAAACGCGTCCTTTTGATACGAGTCTTAGAAAGGCATGGTTTAATCGCTGTTCAATTCCAAATCATGTCTAAATACCGGAAAGAGATCATGTTATTTAAATTTTAAAACGATTTTAAAGAAGATATTTACAAGAGGGCTGAATTTTGAATACTGCACTAGAGGTTTCGAAAGTAAAAACCAGAAAAATTGGCAACAAACATAATTATTGTTTCGTGATTCAAAATGTTACGTTTCCTTCGAAAGTTATATTCAAACCCTCTGATAAATTCTCACGTACATTTACAGGACACTGTACCTCACGCGAGTGTCTGTAACAATTAAAATGCTTCTCATTGGCCAATGTAAACAGCAGGTAAGACACGTCACGCTAAGTCACGCTAGGAACTACACTCAAAATTTATCTTCGATGGTATCAGCCAAAAGTCACGCAACAAAAAGAGAAATATCAGGGAAAAAAGAGAAAATCGTGTCCTCTATCTGCGAAAAACCTTTGTTTTAAACGTTAATTTTGGCAAAAAAATAATAACTGAGATATCACTTACAGGTAACATAGAGAAACTTAGGTATCGCACCCTGTCAACTTTGTAACCCTGACCAGCCTAATTTGGAGAGCGTGACTGTAACGATGTAATTATAAAATCATTGGCCTTTACTTTTTCTGTTTAATCACAAATCGAGTAATTTTCTTACAACAGATGTAAAAAAATCTTTGAAAATCATAAATTCTTTGAATGAGTACTTATGGCCTAACGATGAGCGCGGTTGTTCGATGAAATAACATGAACTCAAATTTGGCATTGAAATGGCAACAAAACAAAAGCCGATCAACATAATATCAAATCTGAACTGCTTCCCACAACCAATAAATCATGATGAAATGCAACAGCTTTCGATTTAAGGGAAGAACTGGGGTAAGGTTAGTTCAAAAATTGTTCCAGAGCGCGTGAAAGTCATAAGATGTCGCCAGAAACCAACGAAATGCACAGCAACTTTGAACATGCGAATGTACTCAAAACGTTTATAATACCGTAAACAAAACGGGTTTTACGAATATCAGAACTATTTTACTCACCAAATGACGATGACAGCGGAGCAGAATTGTGTCTAAGATTTCCTCTAACACTGTGCTAGCTTGGGAACGAAAATCGAAAGTTGTAAAACACGACAAATTGCGAAGAAAGTGAAAGTGCTTGCGTGTTATGTTTAGGAATGTGAAGCATAATCAGGGCTATTAATATCTTGACACGTCACGTGAATTTTGATTTGAAAACCTGTGACTTAGGAGCGTGACCCCAAAGGCCAGCGGTTGGTTTTCTGAAAGTCGCGTTACAACGCGCTGAAACCATCTCTTCCATTCTCTCTTAAAATATTTCAAAATGTCGCATTTCTACTTGTTTTGAACTAAATCAAAGTAAAATTGATAGAAACTATCGACTCTTTCCTAATTTCAACACCATTTCAAGCAAAATGATGCTTTAAAATTTAGCTCTGGAATGGGTGTGGTCGCCCTATACACATTTATCGACAGCGAAAAAGTTCTTATTTTCTTTCTTTTTCTTCCAATTAGTTCATAAATGGAGAGAAGCACAGATTGGTGTGAAAATTTTTTAAATTATTTTTCCTTCTTTAATTAACCCGCTTAGAGGCTTTGTTTAGCTCTCTTGTCATGCTAATTTCGACACAATACGAGTTTTACCCCCATCTAGGGAGCAAAAGCGTTATGTCTGGGTTCAAGTACTACACTACGGCCTGATCATATTTAAAAAGAAAAAAATTCATCGTTCGAGTGTGTCATTTACAATCCGTTTCAATCTTCCTCGTCCTCAACCATCGTTTTTCCTTCTTGATCTATGCGTATACTAGATAAATTGTCTCGTGCTAGCATTGCCTCTTCTGGCAACAAGGGGGTTGAAAGAATCTGACTATTGACTGCATCTCGGGTTTACATAATTATCTTGAACATGCACAGTTCGAATCAGGCTTTACTAAAGCTTTACTATTATTGATAATATGTTGAAAAAAAATACCAAAACGGTACCAAAAGATACTACAAGCTGATAACTTATGTGATTCATACATCTATTCATAGTATTTCTCTTGAAATGCTCATTTCTGCAATGTCGGAGTGAACAGTTAATTGCTATCTAAATGTATTCTTCTCTATCATTGCATATTTCCTGGACGAAAGGAAAACACAGTTTTTTAGCCACGTTTTCGACAATCAGCATTTATATCCAAGTTTACATGTCGATAATACTGAGTACATTTTGAAAAACTAACAAATCTGGTCAAAGTGATACTACTGAGAAGTTCGTGTAAAAAACGTCAAAGTGTATGGAACTTCACCCTTCAATCAAGCTTCAATGGGTTTTTAAGAAGGAGCTGAAAGCGATCGAAATCTTCGAGAAGCCAGAGGCCACTTTAATTGGAGACTATAATCGTAAACCATAATATCCATTTAAAATAGCTGAACGAAACAAGAAGTCAAATTATCGTTCATCCTATGAAATGGTCTTTATTTATCCCGAGGAGGGGGACGGAGGATTTTTTTTGGGGGGGGTCACATGGTTTTCAGGGGAACGAAGGGAGGATCCGTTGTCGTCAACAGAGTATAAAGGGGACTAAAGCGCTAGTCGAAGAAGAAAGAAAATTCAGTTAACCTACTCGGAAATTCCGCTTTAATTTTTTTCAAAAAAAAAAAAAAAAGAACAAGACAAATCAGTTTATACATTTCATCTATGATGCTCATGTACAATAAAAGTATATTATCCAAAGAATCAGTTTTCCTGCAAAATAACTCAACGGTAAATATGAATAGTATCTGTTTCTTATATTCTTGACCCCAGTTAAACCTTAAACTGAAATGTTCAGCTTTTTGGGTGTCTCTTTCGATCTGTATGCGAGGCTGTAAGACTTGTACTTAAACTCAGAGTCGACTCTTTTAACAGATGGCCGATGAATTCTACAAAACTTTTCCTCATTTTAAGTTATTCAAGTAGCAAGAACCTTGACAAAAAAATTGCATCATCGGTACCAGTTAAAACTTAGACTAAAACATCTAACTTTTCTGGTCTGCCTCTTCTCGGTATGCACGTGGGACTGTTCAACTTACAATGAGGGTTGACTTTTCTAAAGCTGCACAAAAATAACTTTCGTTTTTTCACTTTTATCAAACAAGGTTCAAGTAGCAAGAATTTTGACAAACAATGCATTCAATTTCCATAATCAATACGAAAAAAAGCAGTCACTGAAATTTCAAAAGTTAGACTATGTATGTAACCACAACAGGCTAAGTTCAACTTCTGTCTATGCTTTTTTAAGGAAAGGCATTCCATCCAAAGAAAATTCCAATTTCTCTCGAAATTCATGTTTGGAGACTACTAAAACTTTATGTGCACATTTTAAACTATCCATGAAGAGCAAAACTCGGACACAACCTTGCATGAGCTTAAACATAGTAGGGGACTAATGTCCTAGTGTTTTTGCTCCGGTACTGTTTGTACAAATCCTTAAATAAATAAATCAGTAAATTCATGTTGAACATAAGCTAGGAAATGATCGTATAATACTTCCTTAGACTATGGACAAAGATATGAGACTAATAGAATGCTTCGTTGACTGTTACTTTTAGACTTCTTTCTTGCCCTTTGCGATCAAATTCTTCTTTTCTAAAACAAACCAAATAAAAAGCATTAAAAAACAATCATAATAAAGAAAATATAAACCATTTACAATCACCGATCTGAAAATTTTCACCGTCATCATCAACATCCTCGTTGCCCTAACAACCTACTGACCCAGGTCGTTACTATAAACCGTCAACTGAGGACAAAAAGTATAACTTGTCAAACAGAATGTTTTAAACGCCATGGGAGTCCTATTCCATAGAAAAAAATAGTTCAACTCCATTTTTAATATTAATTTAATATAAAATATATCAATATATTAACGACCCGGGTCGCATAACTCGATTGCTTGTAGACTGTATTTAGCGAGTTTTTAAGGAAGTTAGTGATAACAGTATCTATAAATATGATTTGTTTAATTTTTGCCTTGTTGTTCATTATCGTTCCTTCGTGTAAGTTTTGGAGGATCCTCCTTGAAATAAGAAAATTTAAAAAAATTTATTAAATTGCCAAATTATTGAGATTACAACATTGATGTAAGTTTTATTTGACATCCTTTTATTTTTATTTGCGCCAATTGCTTTCTGCGTTGTTTTAAGTAATCGTATACTGTCTATTTTGAAACTTTATTTTGGCCGATTTTTTTCCAAAAAAATTCTGTATAAAACAATGTTGAATTTTATGTATTTTCCTTATTAATTTATTTCTCTAGTGAATCTTTAGTTGTTATAGTAAAAGTGCGCATTCAAGTCTGTTCACAGCTGCCGTTTAATACTGTCATTCTACATCGTGAAAATCGTTATTTTCTTGTAGTTATTACGAAGCCCTCAGCTTTTCTCGTAAGCGGAATCGTGAAACCGAATTTGTTGTCAAATTTAAACAGCCTTGCGCAACGTTTTGCTTGTTTGAAATTTGTTTCATGTCAACAATTGATTCAATTCGCGCTGCAACAGTTTTGAGTGTCAGGTTGAACGAGCGCGTTTCCTGTAATGCTTTGCTTAGCTAGTTGGTAAGAAGTTGCAACAGATGTCTTTCATTTTCCTCTTATATTATTGGTTTCTGTAAACTACTCTTGAAATTTGATTGATTGTGGTATTGTAGTAAAGATTTCTGATTTGCTGGGAAAAGATACGATTTAGAGCAAAAAAAAGATGCTATACGCGAATTAAGTGTCACCAATGAGTGCCAAATAGATTTCAAGGATCACCGTTGATTTCAAAATGGATATTATAAACGTGTAAACAAGGTTTTGTCTTCATTAGCAAAACACCCTGGCTACAAAAATTTGTTTTAACAGCACATTGAAATTTTGATGTCTAGAAAAGCCAAAGAAGTGTCGGAAATTTCCCAGGTATATTTAAGAGCCGGATGGAAGGAATTGACGGCGGTTATAAATTGAGTGAGCTCCTCTCTGGTAGAGGAGGTAGCACGGATACAATCGTCAATGTAACGGACGTAGAGTTCAGGTTTTAAGCCGTGGTATTGACTAAAGAATTGATGTTCGATAAAACCTACGAAAAGATTGGCGTAGCTGGGTCCCATTTTAGTACCCATGGCCACGCCATTAGTTTGTTTGTAATAGTTACTACCGAATGAAAAGCAACTGAGTGTGAGTACTAGTTCGGCCAGACGGAGTAGTGTTTCAGAGCTAGGTTCCTTAACAGTGCGATGATCGAAAAAATGTTTGAGGGCCCGGAGACCTTCGTTATTGGGAATGACAGTGTAAAGAGATGTTATATCCATACTGAAAATATGTTTGTTTTGGCCTAGGAAACTAAAGTCACGAAAAATTTCAAGTGCGTGTTGGCTGTCCTTAATGTAAGACGGTAAAGTTTTGATAATAGGTGCCATAATTTTGTCTAAGTAGGTTGACCTGGGCTGTTAGGTTTGTGGATTTTGTAAAAAGTACGCACACGAAGTTCTAGGAGTGGTGATGGTGAGATTTTTAGCGGTGGCCGGCAATTCTTGTTTAGCTAGAAGATCGTTAATCGTATTTTTGACAATGTTTTGGTTAATTAAAGTGAGATCTTTGTCGACTTTAGCATAAAAGGAGGTGTCGGAAAGTTGCCGCGAAGCTTCTTTTTAGTAGAGGTCAGCCCGCCAAACAACAACTGCGCCGCCTTTGTCGGCCGCTTTAAGGACTATATCTTTGCGTTTTATTTTTAGACTTTTTAGTGCCGACCACTCTTCCGAAGAAAGATTGGAAAATTTGGTGTTACGATTGAATTTAAGTTTGTTGATAGTGTGGCGACATTTTTTGATGAAAAAATCTAAAGATGCGAACTGACCCTTTGGGGGAGTCCATTTAGACTTTCGAATCTGAAGTGTTTCGAAAATATCTTTGCTCGAGATGTTAGAATCATCCTCTTTGTCATGAAAAAAGGCTTTCAATTGAACGCGGCGAAGGACCGCATTCCATTTACTCTTACATTTCACCCTCACAACCACGCAGTTAAATCTATTGTTCTTAAAAATTTCAAATTACTCCAAAACGATTCAGAAACTGGCACTATCTTTTCACAACTCCCACTTATTTCATTCAAACGTGACAAAAATATAGGCAACTTTTTAGTCAGGAGTTCATTTCAAACCAATGATCAATCTGGAACTTTCAAATGCGCTCGCTCACGATGCAAAACTTGTTCTTTCATTCATAACGTAGAGAAAATATCGGGACCCAAGAGATCCATTAAGATCACTGATCACTTTACGTGTACCTCCGCCAATGTTATTTACTGCATAACTTGCACTTATAGCAATAAGCTATACATCGGCGAACAGGAAGACGACTGGGTGACCGATTCCGAGAACACCTTCGCGACGTGGAAAGAAATGACAAGGACGCATCCGAACCCGTCACCTAAGCATTCTAAACAACATATGGCAGTGTGCGGTCTTTCCTTACAATATTTATTAAATAGTTGCAAATAATACTAACAATAATTATAATAATGATAATAAAAAAATAATAATGATAAAATAATAATAATAATAATAATAATGATAAAATAATAATAATAATAATAATGATAATAGAAACAACTTAAATCATATTTATATTACTCCCTTCCAGTATTTTTAGGCACCTCGATATATGTATATGTGACAACCTGTTAGACAATTTAACTTTTCTGGATACATACCATGGTAGATAAGTTATAAAATATATTCACTAAATATAAATTAAGATGCAATATACCAGTTTATTATTACTAGCAGTGCTCTTTGTATAGATATGCAAATAAAATTTAAAATACATCTATGTTCTGAGATTATAAATATGTGCTTTACAAGTTCCTCAAAGTTCATTCGTTTGACTTTACTGTAATAGTTCGTTTTGTTTCCTTTGATATGCGTATTATAAACCAAGCAAAAACAACTCTGGCTATCATCTATGACTCCGTATTTTCACGTCTAATAGCGTTCGACGTAAAACGTTAATTTATACATTGAGCTGAAAGCGTTACGGAAGATTTCACTCAGAGATATCTCGACTGACAGCCCTCTGTTCTCTATCAGGCCTCATCTGCTTGACCATCTTTCTCATCATATCCCTAAAAAGAAAAACAATCAGGAGATCTTCAGATGTATCCGAGTAAGTTAGTGGGTGTCCGCGTACATGGATGACCGTTGCTTTCATGAAAGAGTCAGCAAGTACCAAGAAAGATGCATGTGTGGGTTTGAGTGTGCATGATTGTGTGTCTGGATGGATGAGTATGTGTTTGGGTAGATGGGTGGGTGTCTGATGTAGGTAAGAGGATGACTAAGAGTTAGTGAATAACTGTCCAGTTGGGTGAGTGGGTGTCTGGCTGCACAAGAAGGTGTCTGAATAGATAAAAATGTTGGCTAGGTAGATGGCCAGGTCTTTCACTCTGCGGATGGTCGGATGGTTGATTTAGTGGGTGTCGAGGTAGGTGAGTGACTTTCTGGCTAGATGAGGGAGTGGGTAGATTCTGAGAAATCTGTTTGAATAGTGGTTTGGGTGTCTGGGAGGTTTGTGGGCGCATGATTGGGTAGCCAAATAAGTGAAACGAAGACAGGAAATAAAATCACAACATTTACCTGATCGCATCAAGCTTCTCTTCCACTGACTCCCAATGATGACGATCTTCAGTGAATTCTAGCAATTCTAGAAAAAACCGAAACATTCGCTTAACAAAATTCCAGAACTTCGAAGAACAAAGCAAGCTAAAGCAAGCCAAAGTAAGCGACGCTTGGTCCTTTGGAAGGGGATTTATTGTGTCAGTACTTGCTGAAATGTTTTCAGTAGTTTGTGTCGGAGAGGATGGTCCATTTTTTTTTTTTTTTGGTTGCCAACAGAGAACGACTAAGAAAAACCTGTCTTACTTTCCGGATTCAATTTAGACGTCGCTCACAGCAGTTTTAATTTACTCCAAACCTTTGGCGAGTTTCATTTCACTGATCCAGTCTCCCTCTTTGTAATACTTTACGCGCAGATTCTGCAGAGGAAAAAGTCATTGTGAGATAAAATACCAGCAGCGCTGTTTCGTTGCCTCAAACCCAGTCTCCGGGAGGGGACGTCCTTTGCATAATGTACATTAAGCATGTAACAGAAAAAACTTAAGCCTGTTTTTACTAAGACTCTACACACTCGTGCGCACTCTCGCACTCAAAAAACACGAGAGCAGGAAGGTGAACAATCTTCCTGGCTTAAAATATTTCAAAACTCGATCTCCATGCGCTGTCACTTACTTACCAGAAAAGGAAATCTCTCCATGCGTGTGAGCAGGGAAATACGATCCACATCATATTCCAGACGAGCGACTTTCTTGGCCTGTGTGTAGGTCGTACTCATCTGGGCAATGAGAATGTTGAGCAGAATCACAATCACTGTTCCCATGTACGATAACATCAACAGAATCGACAGCCAGCTGCCAAAGAAAAAAACAGTAAAGAATAGTAGAGTTATTTGACAATCAAGGCATAAATAAGCCAAAGCGTGAGCCAAAATTTTGCACTCATTTTCAATCCGTTTCAATCGTCTCCATCCTTAGGCCTCCAAGTTTTCTCCCATTTTGATGTTTTCTGTGCCACCAAAGTATTGTTTATAATTTTCTTCACCGCGTTGAAAGTTATTTCGCATGTCACAATAAACGAGTCACAATATTGAGATGAATTGTCTTCATTGTTTATTTTGTTAGGAGAAGTTAAAAGTCAGTGTAACTTACTTGAAAGTCGAGTAATCTTCTGCAATAGGTTGCTGTTCTGAAAGTGCACGAAATCCGCTCAACAAGACGTCTTCAAAACCCCTGTAAAATGCAAGAAAAAAATCAGCTACTCTTTTCATTTTTAAGGGAAACGAAAGCATACAATTAACACGCACCTGAATTGTTGATTTTGCTTGGAAGACTGCACAGATAAAAACAATGCCCCACAGAAGGAAAGAAATACCACGACAAAAACTGCCATAAATCTCGTCACGTCTCGCTGAATAATCTTAGCCAAAGTCTTGGTGTACAACCCTGTGGTCCTGGAAAAAAAAATATTGAGTTGGATCTAAAACTTGAGCTTAATCAAAGCTGCAGTTTGACAAATTTACTACCAGAAGTGAATTACAAATGAGTGTTGTAAAACCAACACCGCATTCATCACAGCGGCCAAACGGAACGAAGAAAGATATCGTAATATATAGATTTAGCTAAGCTTAAAAGCGGAGCTCGCATTTTTTTTCCCGCACGTCTCAAGGGCACAACGAACCCGGGTCGTCAGACTCGGAGCCCAGTGCACTGACCATTGGACTACTGGACAAAGCCGTGGTGTTGGCGTGCCCGCGGTACAGTTGACCACGTATGTTAAAAGTAGCACTTTGTCGTACGGTCGTACGGTCGTACGGTCGTACGGTCGTACACTCCAAATTTTTTCGGCTTGATGGGTTCCTACTGTTTTGTATAATTATGGGGCTACGCTCTGCGAGCTCCGTTTATAGGAACTCAGACCGGAGACGCGATTAGTGGCTGAACTTCAAACGCGGGAAAGCGCCAGTTACCAAGTAGCACTTGGTTTTAATCTTGCATTCGATTGGCGGAGAACGTGGTACGAATTTTTTTTTTTTGACCAATCACAGAGAAGAGTAACCCAAAACATTTCCAGATTAATTTCAACGCTCAACTGAAAATTGCTCTAAATCGACTTCAATCGAATAGAATCTGAGAAACAAAGAGGCTTACTTACCTTGTTACACAAGAAAACTTAAAGATCCTAAGGAAGTTGAACAAGAAAGCCAAAGAAGCCACTTTCCACTGTGCTTTGTTATCAGTGTACCGTAAAGGTATTATACACAAGATCAACACCAGGCCTAACCAGTCAAACAGATTCATCCATTCTTTAAAGTAGGAGTGTCGCTCTCTGTTAAAATGTAAAGAAAAAAAATAAAAGAGTGTTTCAGAGAATGGCGGTGTTTTAAACTACTCACTGGAACATAGCGAACAGAACATGCTCCATGACCTTCTTCCTGCTCGTAACACAATCACTTTGAACCTTAGAACAAACGGAAGTTTAAGCCGTGTTCAAGACCAAAAGATTTCAGCTTTATCACTTTTCATACCCTTAAGGCCTAAACTATTTTGCCGGAATTTTACATTTAATCGACATATTTTATTTACAAACGAAACAGATATACAAACAAGTGTTTTAATACAAACTTGCTTTAAAACCCACAGATAGCTCTTTTTAATTATCATTGATATCATCCAATGTAACTATCGTGTAATTCAATTTTTCAGTAGCGAAGCGATTATAAATAAATAAATCACTTATCTCATAACTTATCTATCATAATGAGCATAGTGTAGGACACGTTAGAATTTTATAGTAACTAGAATATTGTATTGTAAGTAATGTAAGTATTTCGTATAACGTAACTGTATGTTTAGCAAGTGACGTATTAGATAAGTAGAGTATTGTATTGTTAGTAGTGTAAGTAGCCCATAATGCAAGAAATTGTATTTTCTGCAAACAATGTATTCAGTAATTGTATTGTCAGCATAACCCATATTGTAAGTAACGTAAGTGTTTTTCTGTTAGTAGATTAATGTAACGAGACCTGCAGTAAATATTGAATTGCAAAACACAATTATTGTGTTTTGCAATTAAAATTATTGTTAAAAAAAAATCCATAGCTCACACCCCATAATTTCTGTACATCATAAACATGCTTTCAGACAGGAACATTCATCCCATTGTTACAAAAAAGTATTATAAACAAGTAACTCACTTTCTCATTTGATTGATTTCTTCACAGATGTAGAAGACAACCATGAAAAGGGTAAAAACCTCACAAATTCCTCTTAGTGAATCAGCAGCACCCTTGTATTGGGTGGGGTCCAGCTTGGTAGAGCCATAAATCAAGGAATAGGACAAGAACAGCAAGAAGATCACATACAATGCTGCATGAAGACTAAAAATGAACATAAGATTATTTCAGTATTTTGCATTCTTTTGAGATGAACACATGGTTGGCAATTCAAGAAGCAACAACCAGTTGCAAAAATGTTAAGACACCTTGAGCAAAAATTGTAATTACCGACCTCATCAGATGGCCAGAAGTTTTCTACATGGTACTACTTAGTTACTGACATTGCAAAGGGAGGAGTGGAGGAAAACATTATGTTAAAGCACAAGGTGAACAATTATCTCTTGTCTTGGTAACATGTCTTAGCTACTTTAAATTTACAACTGCTTGAGGCCATGTCTAAAAGTTTGAAAGGTAGAAGGGAATCCGTAAAAATGACTGATTTGCATGACTGGCAGAGCTTACTACCATCTCTGTGGACCTGCCCCTCCTGGATGACATGATGTTCTAATGTAGGTTACCCTGTGAACTCCATCGGGTTTTTATTAGAGATTGACTCCAGCATTTCCTGCATTTCCCTTGCAGTTAGAAATCACCCTTTTGTACTCCTGAGTGGAGAGAAGCACTGTGAGGGTGCCTAATGTGTATCTATTTCTTTAGAAATTCTCCTAGAAGAGTGGTATATTCACCTGAGAAACCAATGTCCAAAACGGTTCCATTTTGTCTTTATCAGCATTCTGACAACAGGATGTTGCAGAGCCTCCTAAAAGTATGATTCAGAAGATTGCAGTGTCAATTCTGTTTGGGAAATGAATCCACTCTGCCTATCTCTGGTTACACTTCACTTTTTAAGTGCATAACAAAATTAGATCATCTTTTCTAATTACCATTAAATGTTTGACATCAATCATTAAACAAATAACAACAAAAAGAGATAAAATTCATGTTTTTGATGATCACCTTATTGTTACTCTTAGCAATCAAATGCAAACATGACTTGTCCCTCTGATTAAAATATTCATTGTCTGTCTGCTTATGTCCTTCAGATGACACAATTTTTGGAGGTCGTCCTCCCTCGTCACCATCCAAAATATGATAATAAAAGTGATAGTCCAGTGGGTCATCAGGGATGGTGGTCCAGGCCCCTTCAATTCCTTCTTCCTCATCATCATTATCATACTCGTCCTTGCGCTTTGGGAGGTGTGGCCAGTGAGGGTTTACCATCTGGTCAAGTACAGCCACTACAGTTTTCTACAAACAAACAAACAAAAAGAAAATTAAGGAAAAGAATGAAAAAACAGAGTTACAGAGAGCAAAATGCAAAGCCTTCTTCATGGACATGGGAAAAGGAAAACCCAAGTCCCTGTGAAGATGTAAATGGCAGCAGGAGCAGATTTCTTGCCTATGCTCTACAAAATGAGCTATAGATAACTTGTTGTCCCTGGCTAGGCCATGCACTACAGACATGTGCATGTAGGTTTATGTGTTTCATGAAATTATTACATTGTACCCAATGGCATAGAAAAATGAGTAACAGCTTTACCAAAACATCTGAAACAGATATTGATGGTATCAAGTGTGTGGTCCTAAGACTGAAAAATCCTCTGGCTGATGGGGTTGAGATTATTAGTGAAATGCCACTTGACATTCAAGGGGTCCTGTAACTCTCAAGTAACAAAAACTTAATGAGAAAAACCTACTTACATGTATTTTAGTTTATATTCAGAAAATTGACAAATGTGTTCCAATGGTTACAAGCATGACAACATTTAATGAATTTTGGGAAAAATTTCCCTTTAAGTACACTTGAAATTTATGAAATCTCACCTTCATTTTGGGATTCTTGACAATTGTCTTGAAACTGAAGAAAGATGGCTGTGGATTGGTCATGTCTCCTGGTCTCCATGAAAATAAGCTCTGTACTCTAATGAAAGCAAAGCAATTGACATTTAAGTTAATGGCTGACATCTACTGAAAAATATTGGAAAACCTTTGATAAATCACATATATGTATATTCTTCACACTGACATCTATATATTTCCTTAGGTGCTGACAAGGAGAATTTGTTCATTGATCAAGAGCTTCATTAGTTGGTGATCATTCCTAATTGTGACTTGATGTGTGATTCAGGGGTGATATTGTGAGGAAAAATTAGATGGCAAGTGACTCTGAATAATAAGGATTAATAATCAGGAGCAACATTCATTTCAAATTTTTAATGAATACATGCAAATTGTAGACACCTAATTGACAGCGCTGCTTTCTGAATGAAGAATTTTAATTCAAAACCTCTCTTTCCTAATTATATAAAAATTCTCATTTGTTTTCTTTTAGAAGTTCAGCCCTAGTTTCCTACTTTGTCCAGTCTTTTAGCAAAATGTTTCCCTTTTCCTTTCCATCTAACTGTTTCCAAAATGTTTCTAAGTCACCATGAATGATTGCAATGATAAATTTACATACATGTATACCTTTCATGCCACATCATTCTAATCATATATGCTGCCACTTCATCATTCTCTGCTATTAATGCCAATTCAATTGGTAACATGCCTCTTTTCTTCTCGGGCTTAAGCTGAGCTTTTGTTTTCAAAGCAAGCAGTCCTGGACATTTCTTCACAAGTGTTTTGGTGACATGTAAAAAGCCAAGTTGTGCAGCATAATGTAGCAATGTCTTTCCTGTTTTGTCATCTGCATCTCTGAATGTTTCATATCTGTTGCCTGAGTTCAATTCACTTTCCAATAGAATCACCAAAAACTTACTAATCTGCAAAGCACAGGTCAATGATAATATTAATATTGATAATATCGAAAGTCAATTATATTTTAGAGGTGTGGGAGCTGAATTGGAACAGAACAATATACAAGTATGACATAACTATACTACACCATGTCCAAAGAGAAAATGGCTCAGAAAATTCAGTATACCAGTAATACCTGAAGCGTCATCAGATCTCTGAGACCTAATCAGTATTCTCCAGAAGCATCAGCAGCCTGCATTTTGCTAGCTACTCTCTTCTAAAGCACCAGCTTCTTACATGTAGATTAGACAAAAGAGTAAAACATCTGTATTGATCTAAAATACATGATTATTATTGCTAATAAATCTCTAGAGAACACTGCCTAGTGAACCCTCCAAGTGTGTTGTGTTCTACATGTCTCTAATTGGTAAATCTGAATTTTACAAACAAAAAAATTCAAAAGTTTGCATAACCTACATACCAGCTGCTCAAGGCCTAGTAGTTTATCAGGATTGTCTTTGTATCTTTTGGATGTTGGCCAAGTTTTTAACATCACAAGTGCAGGATCCTCACTGTCCAGTTCCCCATTATCTTTGTATTTCTGGATTAGTCTTTGAACTCGAACTTCATTCATAGCACTGCTCCAAGACAGTCCTTCACTCTGCTTCTGACGAACCTAAATATGAAATTGATTGCACAATATCTTTGGGTTAAAAAGTGGTTTAGATTTTTAGTGGAGAGGTCTGAGGCCAGTTGTATTCCAAAATCATCTTCCTCTTGAGATTTATGAGGAAAATACCCTGAGAGGAAGCCCTTTTCTCCTTCCCCCAACTGGTAGAGAAAACACATTATATTTCAGCCAACAGTTTGTTTCAGAGGAACTCAAGCATAACAAAATCAAAAATTTTTGATAGAATCCCACAGAAACAGATTTTTTTTGGTCTGGTAGATTACTAACAAACACCACTGTCAAGAAGAAAGAGACTTACATTTGAAGAATACCTTGCATCAAACAATGTCCAAGTTAAATACCGTTTGTAAATAAAGATATGAAAATAATATAGTCGGATCGATCGTGAAGGCAGAGGTAAATTTTAGGAAAAAAACAGTGTGTTTTTCAATCTCTCTTATAGTCCATTACTTTTCTTTAGAACGAGATCTCTCCTTGTCCCATAAAAAAATTTGACTGGGTAAATGCTAAATCACCTGGCGAAAAATGTTTTTGGACAAACAGCGGCTCACATTACCTTCACCCAGAACTCTCTGTCAAATTCATCTTCGAAGAAATCGTCTTGTTTATGTATTTCATTTTCAGGTTTTTCTTCGTTATTCTCTTTCTCCTCAGCTCGCTCTAACAACTCTTGGTCCTCTCGTTTCATATTTGAAAATAAATTATTTTATCATCAAACAGTAGCTTTGCGATCAATTATTTTCTAAACAGCTGTGATCGCAGTTTTCAGCTGATTGGATCGCCAACGGCTCTGAATCCAAAATCCTGGAATGATTTCCTTCTTCAAAGTCGAAAAAGTTGACTTTAATGCACACTTCCACTAGATGAAGTGCGCACAACAATGTGATCTGAGAGATTTAACTTTAAAACATCCATCAGCATCTCGAATATGCGATCAACATCAACAAACGACTGCAGTAGTTCGAATATTCGCTAGGCGTTACTTCATCACTGAGTTAAAGATCACGGAAGACTAGGAATAGTTTTAGACAGGCGCGAACTCACCTCGTTCTCATAGTGAGGCAAACTTAGGCGAATAAATTTTGAAGCTGCTGCATAATTTTTTAATTATGCCGATTCTAAAAAATTCATACATAATTTATTACAATTTTTCGCCTTCTGGTTTTAAATTTATCCGAAACAAAAAAAATTAGCCTTTTTTATTGGTTGCTTTTAAAATGGTTGTTGACACCTCTTTAATCATTTTGAAAGCAGAACACTTGAAATAATTAAAGTCGTGATGTCTCAAATTATTTACGCTCAGTGGCCGTGATATATTTCTTGTCCATTCAAAGCATGATTTAGAGGAATATGGGATATTGAAGCAGTTTTGTCGACTGTGGTTTATCGAGGGAACAAAGGTGCGTTTGATTTTGCCATCTGAGTTTTAAAGAAGCGGAAATTCCCTCGAATTATCTAAGTTTACGAACGGAAAGTCAGTGATACATTTGACGAGCGTGTTTATCTGTTTCAATTGTCCTCACGCTCACTGAAAATGAAGAGCGTTTTGTTCCTGTACTCTGGAAGCGACAACTCTAAAGCTGAGAAGCTTAAGGATTATTTACAAGGAAAGCTACGAAAAGTGGCAGATGTACGAAATATTACTGATATTCTGGCAGAGGAACAGGATTTTAAAAAAGAACTGTCTCACAGCAGCTGCGTCGTTTTGACAGGATCGCGCCATGCTTCGTCACTCATTCAAAACAAACGCCAAGAAACCGAAGATGATTTTATCACTTTCGACGGTAAAGTGATACATGATGAGTTCACAGGAAACAAAGAACTGCTAGACAGATTAGTGATAGTTTTTTTCACGGAGAGAACCAAGAATGACTGGATCCCAACCGGTCTGGATGAAAAGAGAATATTTAACTTGCAAGGTGAAGAAATTCAGAGAGGAAATCCTTCCTTAGACCATCTCGAAGATTGCATTAAGGGAATCTTGACTGGCAAAACTCGTGTGTAATGAGACAGAAATACGACATATTGTAAAGCCCCGTCTCTTTCGAGGAGAGCCGACTAGCTTCCAATGAAGTAGATTTTTAAAATCTAACGATGCGTGTGAGCAAAGGTTTTAGTAATAGATTGCCATGAGTGTATTAAACAATCTCGAATTCCAGCTATAACTGTTTTAATGCGATCAAGAATGGACTTTGCGCTTAAATTTTCTATCTTCTCAGTTGGAGCGTATAGCTTCAAAGCGGGAACCTGCGACAGATGAAATTTTACGGTACTTCATTTATTCAGTTTAGCCCGACATATTGTATTTTGAAGCCAACTACTGCGTTAGTCTTGCAATTGTGAAGCAAATTCATTGATTTCGTCATCGTAGTCAGGGTACTTGTCGCACGGGGTCCGCTACAATATCAATCGTTCTTATTTTTTTATGGTCGGTAAGAAGAACCGGAGATCCTGGAAGCGAGATTCATCACACTTGTCACCATTTCACTTTTTCCCTGTTATCGACCCTATGCACCAATACTGTGCTTTGTAATTCGTTTACTACTATGAAACTAATCAATATTTTTCATACTATGTATGCCCTGAATAGCGCTGAACAGAGGTTAATAGTATACCAATGCTTTATTAAGTTACACAGAGAACACTAATATCTTTAAATTTTTTAATATAGCACAATGCATAGACTAATAAATAAACATCGACTCCCTAACGCAAGAAGAACATGACCGGAACATTTAAGGAATCTAAAGATTGCGAAACTGACACTAGTCACATCAATCCCCACTGCTCTGTTCGGAAGCTTTGCAAATTCTTCGAACATTTTCAAGCACTATTTAAGTATCTACAATATTTTTCTTGAGCTCTTTCAGCTGAATATTTTGTCTTCATAATTCCATATCATTTACTCAAGTTAGTCACACGGTTGAGCCAAGAGTGTAACCATTAAACAAGGGTTTTGATTGAAAATTTATCCACACACGCAACCAAGATTAATTATCACTGTCTAGCATTTTGAAACAGTCATTCTAAAGAAGGTTATTTTAGCAGCCAGCTTTTAACAAAAAGAAAAAAAAAAAAAAAAAAGAAACGGTTCTTGCTCTCTCCTTTAGGAAACCTTCAGTTCGTGTTAAACTCCATTATTCTGGAGATCAGTACAAGAAATCGTCGCCGAGTAATATTTTCTTCATGCGATATTCAAGGTGGCATAATGTGGGAGATCCATCGAGAGGAACTATTCCATCTTCCACATGAAAAACTCGCTTTTCATCAAAACCATTTGGGATCCAGTCATTCTTGGTTCTTTCTGTGAAGAGAATGATGATGAGTCTGTTCTTGACAAGTTCTTTGTTCTCTGTGAACTCATCATGCATTACTTTGCCATCAAAAAGAACGTCGTCCTCGTCTTTCTCTTGCTCCTTGTTCTGGATGAGGGATAAAGCTCGGGGTGACCCAATTAGCACAACGCACTCACTGCGGCGAAGAATAGTCCTGAAATCTTGTTTCCTTACAAGAATGTTCGGGATGTTTCTCATGTCGGCAATCGTTCGCAGCCTGCCTTGAAAATAATTCATGAGTCGCCGACCTTTTGCGTTGTCGCTCTCAGTGTACAAAAACAATGAGCATTTCATTTTCGACTTCAATTTTTGTGTGGAGATATAAACAAATTGGATGAAACTGCTTTCGGATAGTCTTTTTTAAATCTGTTAGACAGGAAACTAACAACTGTACTAGCAAACAAGATTAGTCGAAAATACAGCGAGAACACACCCTTGGTTTCCACAATATATACCAAAACAAAAAGTGTGAATTGCATTTGAAATCACTATCGAGTTGTGTGTGAAGACCTTCTATACAAAACTGATTGATGATATGTGTGTTTGGACTGAAAATTCACACAACTTGTGCTTTTTTTGTTTTCTTAGCACCGTATTAATAATAGAAAAACTCAGCATGCCGGCCTGAGCTCGTGCTTAATTTTTTAGGCATGGATGTTTTTAAATACTTTCTCTGGATTTGATACCGCAACGTGCCACGGGAACCAATTCCTTTTTGTCTCTCTCAAATCTCTGCCTGCACACATTTTTGGAAATTATGAATATTTCAACAGCTTCTGTAACTCGTAGTATCAGATGACTTTGGTTTTTGGCCGATACAACGCGCGATCTGATTGGCTAAGAGCGATATCAAAGCAGATCATTGTACAGCGGTATATTATGCAGGGGATGATTTAAAAATTTATATCAGAGCATTCTTAAGCATTTGTATTTTCTTTCACCAAGCGGCCGAATGTGTTTGAACTATTTGAAAGCATTTCTTTTCTTTCCTGTTTGTATTCCAGTTGACGTTTTGCCTTGAAAATCGGACACAATTTCTCTTATCAAGTTGTGACACCACTATCACTCTGAAATACTTTTTTAAGGGTCTAAGAATTATATATTTTTTTAAAAAATGTGCGTTCCTGACGGAATACGTGATACAGTGGTGAAGTTCACTTGTTGCGAAGTTTTACTGTGGATTTGAGTCAATGAATGAACAGGTAAACGAACGCATCGACGACTTCCGCTTGAATAAATTTTTCGTTTCTATAGTTTAAAAAGCCATATAATGAGTAGGTTTATATACATACATGCATACATACATACATACATACATATATATATATATATATATACATATTTATGATCCATCAAATATTTAATACCCGCGATTGTTCTAAACGCAGCACGTGACCGTCCATAATAAGGAAAAAATAAGGGCCAATATTCACCCTAATGACCTCACGCTTGTTCAATAACACACCCATATATTTTTAGTTATGAACCACTCTTTCTATCGGTTTACTGACTAATAAACCATGCGGAATGTTGGGAGAACACGCAAAAAGTTGGTGAACCATGCGGCGAGATATATATTTATATCTAATATATATATATATATATATATACATATATGTATTCATATATGTATACTTAGCTCTGCTATCACAGCGTTGAGTACTTTATGCTAAGGTAGACTCTACCCCCACATTCATTTAAATTCATAAATGAATGTGGGGGTAGAGTCTACCTTGGCATAAAGTACTCAACGCGGTGGTAGCAGAGCTAAGTATACATAAGATAAAGAGAATAAAAGAAAAAGAATAAAGAAAAAGGATAAAGAAGAAGAATAAAGTTCTGTCTGCTGAGCGCTTAGGCACGAAACTCAGAGTCACAGAGAATCGATGCGTCCTCTTTAATTCTTTAAGTCATGCATATATATATATATATGCGTCTACGCAGAATGCGCAGGAAAGCTTACTTCTTCCTCAACCCTGATACGATCACCCACTCCAAAGACACATATGGTTTCAAGTCTACCAAGATCCCCCTCCGATCGACGAGTCAAAGGGATTTGAAGACGACATGCTAAAAATGATACAATCGACGAAATTCAAACAAGTAAACAACCCTTTTCTCAACAAACTCAAAGGCGACACCAAACGCATAAAAAACGAAACCAAGCTACTCATCGCCGCTGACTAAACAAAGAACTCTTACAAACTAGAATCGTCAACATACAACGATCTACTAAAGCAAAATATCACAAAGTCCTACAAAAAAGCACAACCTAACACCACACAAGCCATCCATTCAGAAAACAAAAACATCGCAACGAAACTAGGCATCGATGACAGGGTGGACATCACAGCTAACAAAGACGCATTCATAACACTGAAAGACCACAAACCGAACTTCGCTAACAAACCGACCTGCCGACTAATTAACCCCACCAAATCCAAGATAGGCAGAATCAGCAAAACAATCGTCGACAGAATCAACAACAAAATCACGAGAGCATCCAAATTCAGCCAATGGAAAAACATAGCACCCGTGATCGAGTGGTTTAAATCCATTAAAAACAAGCAATACCATATTTGCTTTGACATGAAAGAATTCTACCCCTCCATTAGCCAAACCTCCTGAACCAGAGCACTCGACTTCACCTCAGCTTACGAAAACATCACCGAGGACGAAAGAAACATCATAACACATGCAAAACATTCAATCCTTATGCACAAACAACAACTCTGGCAAAAGAAGGGTGATACAAAATTTGACGTCACAATGGGCAGCTACGACGGTGCCTAAACATGCGAACTAGTAGGAAGTTTCCTCCTTTCCCTTCTGCAGAAACTCACCATCAACACTGGACTTTACAGAGACGACGGACTGGCCGTTTCAAACACCACACCGAGAGACACAGAAAACATCAAAAAGGAAATATGCCGCATCTTCAACCACAATGGACTACGGATCACCATCGAAGCCAACAAACAGACCATCAATTTCTTAGACGTCACTTTCAACCTGAACAAAAACACCCATCAGCCCTTCACAAAGCCTAACACCACACTATAATACGTCCACCGCGAGAGCAACCAGCCACTAACCACCCACCACCCACTAACCACCCACCAACCACTACAAAGAACGTACCCGCCGGCATCAACAAAAGACTGTCATCCCTTTCATCTGACAAAGCATCCTTCGACAAAGCCGTACCAAAAAGCCATACCAAAATGCACTAGACGAATGCGGATACCGGTATATTCTACAATGCGAACCACCCACGACTAACAATCGAAAAAACAGACAACGGAACAAAATTCTCTGGTGCAACCCCCCATTCAGCAAAAACTGTGTAACGATTGAAGTATTATTTTTATGTAAATTTATAAAGTATATAGAGGATGGTAAGAATATTCTTAACAATAAAATCCCCTGATGACTGAGCAATCACGTTTTTCCCCTATCGCAACATATATATATGTGTATATATGTATGTATAACTAATTACCGACAGTACTGTTTCGACCCTCTGGGCCTCATCAGTGCAGTGCTGATGCTGCTTAGGGTTAGGGTTTAGGGTTAGGGTTACACAATAAATAAATAAATAAATAAATATACAGAAGGTAAAGAATTAGAGAGGACGCATCGATTCTCTGTGACTCTGAGTTTCGCGCCTAAGCGCTCGTCAGTCAGAACTCTAACGACTAACGACTCTGACTCTGACGAGCGCTTAGGCGCGAAATTCAGAGTCACAGAGAATCGATGCGTCCTCTTTATATATATATATATATATATATATATATATATATATATATATATATATATTTATATATCGTCATCTATACGTCTGTCCTCCAATAGAACTTTTTTTCCGTATATTTTAATTTTTTATTATATAACACAGATAGATTTCAAGTTGCCGTGCGTCTGTTCATGAATAGATCACAGATGACGTCAAAATGTGGTGAGAACAAAAAAGTGGCACTCAGGGCGCATGACCAAGTAGTTTATTTGTCTTTTTCCTCCCACAATATATACATCGCTCTACTCCTATTTATTGAGCACTGTTTTACGTAAGTCAAATTACTCTTATATACATTTATATACAATCACTAATCATATATCATAAAATTTCCCAATTTGCTTTGTGAAAAATTCCAAGCGATTGTACAGACATCAATCTCTGGGCTGTGACGTGACAAGTCGCACTATTTAATGGTGCATACTTGCCTCCTACGAGGAATTAAAACTGGTGCCCAGGGGCACCTTGGTTTTTAACGAAGAAGCCGATAAATCCCTGGGGACGAGTTTCTCTCCATCTGCTGCCATTTAGTCATTTGCAATACTGGCCGACTAGCGAGATCCTGCGTTACTAAAAGCTAGTTATATTTGACCCCGAAGTGTGGTGGATATTCAATACACGTAACTTAAATGTGGCTGCTTTTTAACGAATCAAGAATGAGTAAAAGGGAGCAGGAGTTGAAGTGTGTTGAAAAGGGCAAAGAGCTACGAGATGTGGAGAAAATAGATCGCTGTCTCGGTCTTCAGCAAGAAAACTTTGAAGATGAACTCGACGACAACTTTTGGATTAAGGTAATGAAAGTGTGATGTTTTTTAAAAGTAGATCTTTGTGAGTAACATGCATCTATTTATTTTTCTCCGTGAAATTAATCATATATATTGACTCTGTAATGTTATTTAAAAAGGTGCATGAGAAGCAAAACGAAGGGTCTCCATGGAACAGAGCAATGGATGAAGTTCATGTCGAAAGGCTCATTGAGAATTACAAGGATGGTGGGGAACTTTGCAGTGAGGATCCAGCTCTTTTGATGTTAAAAAAATGGCCAGTTTCCAGAAAGTACTATGATAATCCAGAAAAACTTCCCGGACTTGAACAATTGGTGTGTGTACATAGGTTTTCACACAAAAACGTACTTGTCTTTTCTTCTTCTACCCAGCTAGTTTACAAAATTTCATCAAGAAGTCTTAATTTTTGCTATTAAGGTTATTGTTAAAAATATTTTCTCCGATGTGAATTTGTAGATAAACCGGCGGCTGGAGATTTTGTTGGAAAGTGAACTAAACTTAAAGAACAGATACGAGTCGTTTCAAGATGAAGATGACCAAGCAAAGAAGACACTTTTGCACTATACAGCAGAACTTGGCTTTTTACATGTCACTAAAACACTTGTGAGAAAATGTCCCAAGCTTCTGGCTGTAAAGACCGAAGATCAACGAAAACCTGTGGAAAAACGAGCCATGTTGCCTGTGGAATCGGCGATAGAAGCAGAGAAGGATGATGTGGCTGCATTTTTGATTAGAGTTATGTGGCATGAGAGGTAAAAAAATTCTTTTTATTTAGACAAGCCGAAACAAGTTTTCTACATCAAGGGTTCAAGGGGCATGAATCTTAGAGAGATGAATTTATTCTTCTGGCAAAATTAAATTTTTCAGATGACCAGGTTTTAAAATGTGTTTGAGTAACATCTGATGTTCATTATTCAAATAAATTGCTGAAATATTGGTAAAAATACAAAAAATTATTTATTGAATTCAGATAATTTCTTTCAAACATCTTGATCAAGCCAGACTGCTGTGAGTAACCTGTTAACTCAAACACTGAAACCTACAGCATGCTTTTAAAGTGATGATAAATTTGTAACATTATTTTCAGAGTTCAAAGTTTATTTTCCTGGATAATTGAGGATACAACAAATCCTGAACCATCCTTACTCAGTTTTATAGGAGTTATTGAGAATCCAAAGATGAAGGTGAGCCTTTTATATATATATATATACATAATTTTGAAATGGACCACAAGTTTGATTTGAATTCTGAAAATGACTTGGTGAGTTAAAAACCTGTTGGTGAATCCTATACAGCATAATGAGAGTGAGTTCTGCAGTTTTTATTGCATCATGTATAACAAATCAGCTCCTGTTTCTGATATCTGATCACAAAAATGGAGATAGGAGGGGAATCAAAGGTGCTATGGTCCTGGCCAGTTATTCAAAGCCAGTTATAAAATTGTAGGAAATTTTTCTACCAAGTGCTTTCAATTTGGTGATACATTTGTTATTGACTTTTGCAACCTTTGTTTAGTACATGTCCTATTTATGAATCCAGAATTGGCTCATTCTTATCCTGCCTAAATAGGCTGGTTAGTAACTTCTTCAGATTTCAATCTTTTTATCTGCACATCTGCTATGTGTTCGAAAGAATAGAGAATGATCATGTTGATATTTTTTTATGATTTTTACCACCACATCATTGTAACATAACTATACTGTTATTAGTATCCTCACCATTAGTATTACTATCATCATTACTATCATAGTTATTCTAAGTACTATTTTCATCAGCGCTGTCATTTTAGTATAACTATCATAACTGTTATTATTATTAATCAAGCTCAGAATTAACATTATACTTTGAGCATTATCAATCCTACACATACAGTAGAGATGTTTTTTTATTTGACATACATTGATTTGCTTTGTCTGTAGAAAACAGTAGTGGCTGTATTAGACCAGATGTTGATCCCTCATTGGCCATATCTTCCTAAACGCCAAGAAAACTACGAAACTGGAATGGAGAGGGAGGCAGTTGAAGGAGTTTGGAACACAATATCAGATGATCCATTAAACTATCATTTTTATTATCATATTTTGGACGGAGATGAGGGAGGACGACCCCCAATGATTGTGACTTCTGATGGACACAAGCAGACTGAAAACAAATATTTCAACTGGAAAAGCAAATCTTGTTTATGTGCCATTGCAAAGAGCAACAATAAGGTAAGATCTAAAGAAATTGAAATGTTGAGAAATTTCATTTGAAAGATATGTAATGTCACATGTAGATATCCAGATTCACATATCAGCAAATGTTTACTTATATTGGAGTTAATTTATTCTTAGAAACCAGTTCTTGTTTTTTATTCTTAGGAAGCTTTGCAACATCCTGTGGTCAGAATGTTGATTAGAACAAAATGGAAAAGTTATGGACACTTGTTTCTCAGGTAAATCAGCTGATTGCAGGCTCCATCCTAAATTTATAGAAATACTGCTATATCATGCTTATGCATACCACACTTAAGATGATAGCTTGTAAATTTTTTCAGTTTAGTTTTGTCCCTGTGATTCAGACTAATTTTTCTGTGATCATTGTGAATGCATGATACTGGAAAAAGTTAAATCCATTTTTAAATTTCTCAGGGGTTGCTGACAAAAATACTAGCTAGGTTACAGAGAGGAAATACTCAAGCATTTGTATATTCTTATGAATCTCCAAAAACCTCATCCTCTTCAATTCCTTTCCTGCAATCAAGGTGATAACTCTCTTTCTGTTCCTTTAGACTACAAGCAGTATTGTATGTGATATTCTTGCTGTGTTTGTCATATTCTCTGCTACATGCTTCTACTAAAGTGGACCCCACCCATTATAGCGATGTGCCAGACTCATTGCGTGGACTTTGTGAAGTTGTCACTCTTCTTATGGTTGTGTTTTACATCTGTGAGGAAATAAATCAGATAAGAATGTAAGTAATTATAGTAGTAAGGGGTTACTGTGGAAGTTTCATCAAGGCCCTCTTATTTGAAGGACCAAAAAACACCTCATAAAATTTTTAGACAAGGAGCGAAGTAATGGAAATTGTTTGATTTCTTGCAGAGAAGGGCGTGGTTATTTCACAGAGTGGATGACTTTGTTTGACTGGTTAGGCCTGCTGTTGATATTGTGTATAGTACCGTTACGATACATGGATCATAAAGCACAGTGGATGGTGACATCTTTGGCCTTCTTGTTCAACTTCCTGAGGATATTTAAATTTTCATGTGTGTCAAGGTAACCTACAACTCCCAATTGATTACTTGAGTTCGAAAAGAGCACTGATGAATTAAAACTCATCCCTTCGTCAATCTAACCTGACATTACACTGAATCTCTCTTAGGACAACAGGATTATACACAAAAACCTTGGCCAAGATCATTTTACATGATGTGACAAGATCCATGGCAGTTTTTATTGTGATCTTTTTCTCCTTCTGTGGTGCCCTGACTTTATCACTTTGTTACTCCGGATCCAATGAAAACCAAGAACTTCGGTGCGTCTCTGTTGAGTATATCTCCTCAACAAAGCTATGAAGTTGTTTTGGAAAAAACAACTTGGGGTATTGTTTGTTACAAGTCAATAAAATATTTGATAATTTCCTTTGGAATTTGTTTAATTTGATCTGCTCTTTATTAGCTAGATGTTTTATTTATTCGAACTATTCTTATCCTTTCTAGCAAAAGCAATTTACTGATCGCGGGAATTTAGATGTTGAATAGAGCGCGTGGGAAGTGCAAAAAAGCCCAACATACTAATTTTAATTTTTGATTTTGCCTTTAGTGGTTTTGGAGACGTCTTGATGAGCGGGTTTCGAGCACTGTCCGAGCAGTATCCAATGGCGCAAAATTACTCGCCTTTCAAGTACGTGACACTAATCTTTGAAGTAATTGCTGAACATCTCTTTACGCATAACGACTGTTACGATTTGAGTCTTAAAAGCTAGCTCAGGGAAGATAAGGTCACAAGTCATATCAGGTCTGTAATAAGGGAGCGGTGGTGTTTAGTAAGTCACACATATTTTCCTTCAGTAGATAAGCTTAGCTTTGTGAATCTTTCTTTCCTGCAGCTGGCTGTCAGTTCTTCTAATGATGGCGTATATGGGAACAGTGACTGTGATTCTGCTCAACATTCTCATTGCACAGATGAGTACAACTTACACACAGGCCAAGAAAGTCGCCCGTCTGGAATATGATGTGGATCGTATTTTACAGCTCACTCGCATGGAGAGATTTCCTTTTCTGGTGAGTATCCACAAGGTCATTAGAATAAAGCCGTTATAATATTGACGCCAGGTGCGATCGCGCAAATGTGCTGCTCGCCTCGTACAAGTGTGAATGAGGGGGTGGAAGGTGAAGGTCATTGATTTATTATGCAACAACCTTTCTCTCTCTCTGTAGAATTTACGCGTGAAGTATTACAAAGAGGGAGACTGGATCAGTGAAATGAAACTTGCAAAAGGTCGGTAATGAAATAAATGAGACTAGTTATTAAGACATACCATCAGTCACAGGATGTTGTTAGCTGAAAGGTGGAACGGCTATTTGTAAGAAGGACAAATTTGGCGTGGCTACTAAAAGGAGTGGTGTGGAAACGAAAAGAAGGGCTGCTTAAATTACAAACCTTCCTTTAAATTAGCAAGAGCTATGTAGCTATTTGAGCGAACAGTCTCTAATTCAATTCCTCGTTGGTGGGTGTAGGGAGTCTCGAAAGTAGTATGTAAAAGCAAAACATCTCTTGCTTTCCCATGCTATAAATAAGGTGATCTTGGTTGTATTCATAGAACTTCTGGAATTTAGTGAAGATCGCAGTCCTTGGGATTCGGTTGAAGAGAAACTTAATGAGATCAGGTAGGAACAATTCCCTCAATTCCTTCGTCAGAACGAAACTAAATTAGCCACAGCGACAAATCGGAAGGTGGATACAAAAAGTAGAAAAATGAAAAAATAAAAAATAAATCAATTAAATTTTCCGAATCGGGGAAACGATTGTCATCAAGTCTATATCTGATTGATTGAGAGGATAAAGCAAGTTTCCACAACCAATTAGAGAACAAAGTGAAAGAAAATTAATTGAATAAATTTCCCGTGGCTCGTTACTAAATTTTCTTACCCAACCCGCCTTCTTATTTGTGTATCAGCGATTTTCTTTATTGTGAGTTTCTCATTTTAGGGATCTGATGAGAAAGATGGTGAAACAGATGAGGCCTGGACGCGAATAAACGGGTGTCTGTTGCGTGACGGCAATAGGAGGGATGTATTGCTTCCGTTTTCTTCGCAATTTTTCACCACTTGCATTTTGTACGACTTTTACCAGAAAGATAGGACGATAGTTTTTGAAACTTTTTTCAAACGAACGGGATATCGTTTTGATTGTAATTTTTTTTTTAATGGGGTTTAAAATTGAAGACCTGACAGCACACACTCACCAGTGGTAACATAACCAATTGCCTCTGGAATAGTAGAACGTGTAGGACTGTGGTCGTCCTGTAAGGCTAAGAATTCATGCATTTTGCCTCTAAAATGTGAGCCACAGTGTGTCATGTGAAATTTACGTGACAGTCTCAACCCCAAATTTGTTCCTAAGAAATGCGAAGATGTTAGATGAGTTGGATACAGCTTTAGGTTTCGTGATTTCCTGCTGTGGCCATAACAGCTCACTGCTTTGTCAGATACTCAAGACTGAATATAAGTGGTCCTTGAGATGGTACTAAAGCGTTTCTTTTGGAAACTTAATTCAATGAAATAACTTAACAAATGAGCAGTATTTTTCATTGTCTAGATGCATGCACGGTTGAAATTTAAACTGTAAAGATGTTGAATCCAGTTGCCTGCCCCATATCAGATCATTACTTTGATCTGTTGTCAAAGAAGTACGCAGTAAAGAAATTGTTTTTTTACAGGCAACTAAGCGTGCACGAAGCCGGTTTCTCAAGGATACAAATTATGACCCCGAGAGCAACGACGCGAGGAACATTTTGAGTCGCTGTCGTTAAAAACTGCGTGATTTTCTACAAATTATATATCAAATGGTTCCAGATCCTTGAGACTTTCTATTCAAGTGTTACTTTAATAATCCTTGCTACTGCAAAATGTACAGTGAACCAGTGAAATGACGCGCGTGATAAGTGTTAGTATAGGCACAAATGGGGTAAACTTGGTCCTTCGTATCTCCTAAATAAGAACGGTGACCTATCTTTTTTATTGTATTTTTCGGAACAGATATTGAGAGGAAATAGTTAAGGAAAGTTTAAAAATTGTGCGATTACTTATTTATCTAAGGAATTATCTTTAGTAGGATCTGGTAGCTCTGAACAGACTAATCAGTCACCTGTGCTTTATAAAAATTACACAAAAAAGACCAATGTCTTTTACTTTTTCACAACACAGCGGGCAAAAAAATCTTTAACTCTAATTCCTCAAAGGCCATAACCTGTACATTCTTTAGAAAGGAATTCAAAGAATACGACCGTCGAGACTGCATTGGTCACAGATTTATTCTCCTCCACTATATCTATGTAAGGACGCGAATTTTTTCAATATTGAGGTATCCTCGAGACAACACTCAAGTAATTATCTACAAAAGCTGTCCCGACTAAATTTTTTCTTTTTTTAGAGGATTACACATCATCCTCTCAAGTTAATCACACAGTCAAGCCAATAGTGTAAGCATCACACTGTCGAACTTAAAACTTTCGATTGAGGAAAAATTGCAATCATAAACAAGTATGATCAATTCAATATATAACATAATGGAACTGTCATTCAAATGAAATCGGCTGCTAAGCCAGCATCTGTGACTTTTCTGTTTAAGCATGAAGAAACCTTTACCGCACTCCCTAAGGTCTTTAAGCTCAGTACAAGAAGTCATCTCCGAGCAATATTTTCTTCATGCGATATTCAAGGTGAGTCAAGGTAGGGGTTCCTTTGGGCGGAGCTTTGCCGTCTTCCACATGAAAAATTCGCTTTTCGTCGAAACCAGTCGGGATCCAGTCATCCTTGGTTCTTTCAGCGAAGTGAACAATAACAAGTCTGTTCTCGACAAGTTCTTTGTTTTCTGTGAATTCTTCGTGCATAACTTTGCCGTCAAAAAGTATGTCATCTTCGTCTTTTTCTTGCTGCTTGTTTTGGATGAGGGACAAAGCTTGGGGTGTCCCGACCAAAACAACACATTCGCAGTGGCAAAGCTCATATCTAAAATCTTGTTTCCTCACTAAAATGTTCGGAATATTTCTCATATCTGCAACCGTTCGCAGCTTGCCTTGAAAATAATTCATAAGTCGCCTACCTTTGGTGCTGTCGCTTTCTGTATACAAAAATAATGCGCATTTCATCTTCGAATCTAATTTGTACGTGGAGATACCAACGAATTCAATAAACCAGCTTTTGGAAGCTCTGGTTTAAATCTTCTGACACGCAAGAAACTAAAACTCTGCTTGCAATTTACTGAGAACAGTCGACAGTACAGCAATGTAACACCCTGAGCAACTATGATATACTAGAAGCAAAATGTGTGAATGCACGTGAATATCAAACTTGATCAGAACTATAACAAAATTCTCAAAAGTGATTGGTTATCAACAGCCCGATTTGAGCACTAACCTGCCTATAGGACAGTGTACGCGTCACGCTTGTAATTGGACAGTGTAATAGGACAGTTGACACGTCATGCCTGTGTAACTGGACAGTACGTAATGTTCACGCCCTGTTATCTCACATTTCGCTAAATCAATTTTTGTTGTTTTTCTTCCTAAAAATGTACAACCGATATCTAGTTTCTTTCCCAAATTTTTTCACAGTTTTGATTAACTGGTAACAGGAATTTGTGTCGTCCAAATGTGTTTGTAATCATACTCGTGATTAACAAACCACTCATATGATTACAGACCGAATTGGACACCACTCAGTTCTAATACCATTATGTATATGAAGAATTGCCACCGAAAAAAGCTTTGAAGTAATAGCATGCGTGTTTGAAATAAATAGCACCTCGTATCATCAGAAGCACTTGTCACACAGACCTGAGTACGAGCTTGATTTCCGCAGTATTGGAATTTTTACTGAAATACCTACCCTAGTTTTTGACGCCAATCAACGCGAATATATTTTTTGGCTTCTAGGTAAATTCAACTTTCTTCCTGCATGCGTTCCAGTCATTTTAAATTCTTCCAGGACTTGCTTAACTTGAGATATTTGCATTTCAACAGTTCCAAGTCCTTGTATTAGGCTTTGAAGCGACGACTGGTGCCCAGGGGCTTCTCAGTTCGCAAACGTTAGATCCCTGGGCCGGGTTGTTCAAAGCTAGGTTAAGATAACCCAGGGTTAGTGTGAAATCTGAATTTAGAACTGAGAGCTTTAAAAGAAAATTCATTCAAATTCTTTTTGTTTATGATATGACTCTCTGACGCTCTAAAAATAACACAGGACATTATCCCAAAAAGGCCTTTGAATAAAGGAATAAAGAAACCCAGATTAAAATTTAACCATGCCATGAGCGCTAATCGGCCTTCGAACAACTGGGCCCTGGGTAAGAGTTTAGCCTTTACTTACAGCTCGTCTTTGACGTTTGCCTGACAAGCGAAACAAAGCCTTGTGTTTCTCTTCTCTAAAACGTTATATTTCCTAAAATTATGGTGCATATCTAAGACAAATAACTTAAATGTGGCTGGTGTTAAGCAAATCAACGATGAGCAAAGGGGAGCAAGAATTGATGCCTGCTGGAAAAAGCAACGAACAAGGAAATCGGCATGAGGTTGATCGCTATCGTGATCAGCAGAAAGGAGATGAATTTGATGAGGATTTCTGGATTAAGGTAATGAAATTATTTTGCTATGTTATAAATCCTTTATCGACTGAGTTTGAATTATTTAAACAGGTTCATCAGATGCAGAACGAGGGGTTTTCATGGAACAGAGCTATGGATCAAGTTCATGTTGAAAGAGTGATTCAAAAATACAAGGACGGTGGGGAACTAGTCAGTGAGGATCCAGCGCTGTTGATGTTGAAAAAGTGGCCAGTATCTAAACAGTACAAAGATGATCCTGACAAACTTCTTGGACTTGAACAACAGGTTGGTACTCATAAGCTTTATTTGCAGGAACTTGTCTTTCTTCTAACCAGCTTATCAAGACAATTTTTGGTAAATACGTCATTTTAACAAATTTTATAGTGGAAAATTAAATCTTTGATATGTGTTTTATAGATAAATCGATACTTGGAGATTCTTTTAGAAAGTGAACTTAACTCTGAGAACAGATACGAGGAATTCCAAGACGAAGATGACAAAACAAGCAAGACCCTAATGCACTATGCAGCAGAGCTTGGCTTTTTACATGTCACAAAAACGCTTGTGAAGAAATGTCCTCTGCTACTCGCTGTTAAGACAGCAGATCAACGGAAACCTGTAGAAAAAAGAGCTATGTTGCCAGTGGAATTGGCGATAGAGGCAGAGAAGGATGATGTTGCAGCATTTTTGATTAGAACTATGTGGCATGAAAGGTAGACACAAGCTTACCACTTGAAAAAAATCTAAATGAGAGAATTAAGGGGTGTAGGGTCATGATCGTATAGATACAGATTATTTTTCAGGAAGACTGAAACATAAACAAGTTCAGATTCGGAGAGTAATTTATGTAGAATGTTTACCAGTTTCTCAAGTCCTGTTGACAACCTTGTACGATCAACCTAATTGATCAGGGCATTGGAATACATTTATTACTGTTATGTAATGATTTATTTTCACTATCACTTCTAGAGTCCAAAGATTATTTTTCTGGACACCTGGTAACATGACAAATCCTGAACCATCTTTCTTAAGTTTGAAGGCAATTATTGAGAATTCCAAAATGAAGGTGAGCTTTTTGTCACAAGCTACTAAAAGTTGAATGGGTTACAGGTTTAATTTTCCCATTGAGTAAATAATATAATGGTCAAGAAATAATGGCTTCAGTAGATTTCCAACCTTAATGTGATGGTTTTCAGCTGTTTTTATTGCATAATATTTTGGATCAGTTCACAATTCCTATTTAAAAAGGTTTGGAAAACCATCTACCTGACTACAGATTTTGAGAAGGAGGGGATGTTGGGTGGGGGAGGGGGGTGGTGTGTGGAAGGGATTGTAGAGGAACTATTATCTACTCTCTCAACCCTATCATCCCAAGGCCAGGTGTATTTATCATTTAAGTTCATCTAAACTGTCCTGTTGAGCACTTTTGATTTTTTTTAAATTCAGAATTTCCCATCTTTTCTAGGAACTATTTAGAGGCAGGTATTTCTAAGTCTTGTCTTAAATTACTCATCTTCTGTCTTTTGTCAGGGGTACATGACAAGTAACCCTCCCATAATCCAATCATCTAATCTGAACATCTGCCATTATCTTAAAAAGAGCAGAAAAAAATATCATTATTATTATTATTATTATTATTTGTTTATACAAAACAAATAAGAAGTATTTTTCATGTGCATTGATTGGTTTGTTTAAAAATGAATAGCAATTAAGTACCATTCACCGGGTGGCTGAGGAGGCAAAATCATGCATCAAGATCAGTTTAATTTCTGACCATTTTTTAGTATTTTGAAAGAAATAAAGCAATTTTTTGGCATCTGCGTGGTATATACTAAAACAATTATTCACCTCAGTGTTGGTGAAAGTAGTAAATGTTTACCTTGCTGCTTCATAACCTGGCAAATATCCACCTCAATCACCTCCACTTTAGTGAATAATTGTTTATCACTGGTGTTATACTGTATTTGTTTTGTTGTACATCCCTGATTTTGTTCATCCCTGTTGTCATCATCACTATCATTATCAATAACATTGTTATTATCATTATTATCTTTATTATTAGTATTAATATGATAAATATTATTGTCATTATTGAAATCATTACTGGTAAGGTTATCATTTTTGCAGTGTGCAGCTTAGTGATGTTGCTGTTTGGATATTGTGATTACACTATGATTGTTTTCTAACATACATTCATACATAACACACATATAATAGACATACTTTTGAAGGAATTAACATCTACTGATTTTTTTTTTGTCGCTTACAGAAAACTGTAGTGGCTGTATTAGACCAGATGGTGAACCCTCATTGGCCATATCTTCCAAAACGCCAAGAAAACTATGAAACTGAAGAAGAGAGGGAGGCAGTTGAGGGAGTCTGGAAAACAATTTCAGATGATCCATTAAACTATCATTTTTATTATCATATTTTGGATGGTGATGAGGGAGGACGACCCCCAAAGATTATGACTTCAGATGGACGCAAGCAGATAGAAAACAAATATTTTAACTGGAGAGACAAGTCTTGTTTACATGCCATAGCAAAGAGCAACAACAAAGTAAGTTTAAACTAGAAAAAAATTTCTGGTAAATGCTAAGCAATTGTAGCTGAATTTAAATATGAAGTATGCCACTTAAGATATTTAGAAAGAGTAGAAACATTTAGATTTATCTGTTGATGTTACATAGAGCTGCGGGAGTTTGATTCTTAGATCACTCTTGACTCATGCTTTGGACAGAAATCAGCTCTTGATTTTCATCATGTTAGGAAGCTTTGCAGCATCCTGTGGTCAGAATGTTGATTAGAACAAAATGGAAAAGCTATGGACACTTGTTTCTCAGGTAAATGAGTTGTGTTTGCAGGTTCCAATATTGCAAATTTTAGAAATAAGGGTATCATATTTATTTAATTATATAGATATTGAATTTAATATTGATGTAACTCTAAGTATGGGCGATAAAGACAGAATTTATTGAGTTTTTCTTTGGCACTTAACACACATTATTCACTAGTGAAAGCACTTCTATGCAACATGATTCAGTCTTATGGCAATTTCTTTTGGGACAGTGTCAATACATGCATACTGTCCAAATTTAAGCCTTTGATTTCTCAAAGGTTTATCACAAAAATATTAGACAGGTTACCAAGAACTTAATGTTTTATATCTTCATTTGAATTTCTAATCCTGTGCCCTTTCTTCATTTTGCTCCTGCAAAGAGTTATCATAATTTCTTTTTCTTTTCTGTAGCCTCCAAGCAGCATTGTTTTGCATCTTCCTACTGTCCATGTCATATTCTCTGCTGCATGCCTCTACCAAACTGGACCCCATCCGTTACAACGGTGCGCTGGACTCAGTGCGTGGATTTTGTGAGGTTGTCACTCTACTCATGGTTGTGTTTTACATCTGTGAGGAAATAAATCAGATAAGGATGTAAGTAATTATGGGGATCAAGGGTTACTGTGGAAATTTCATCAAAACCTTCCATTTGACCCCATATCGCAATTGATGACCCCACATTTGAAGAGGAGCATAGTTGTGAAATTGTTCGATTTCTTTCAGAGAGGGGCGCTCTTATTTCTCAGAGTGGATGACCTTGTTTGACTGGTTAGGCCTGCTGTTGATATTGTGTATAGTACCGTTACGATACATGGATCATGAAGCACAGTGGATGGTGACATCTCTGGCCTTCTTGTTCAACTTCCTGAGGATATTTAAATTTTCGTGTGTATCAAGGTAACACAGAACTCCCAATTGATTACTGTAGAGCACAAAGATGACTTAAAACTCCTCCCTTCGTTAGTTTAACCTAAACTTACGTTTTTCATAGGACTATACTACGGGATTATACACGCAAACCTTGGCAAAGATCATTTTACACGACGTCACAAGATCCATGGCAGTTTTTATTGTGATCTTTTTCTCCTTCTGTGGTGCCTTGACTTTATCACTTTGTTACTCCGGAACTAGTGAGAACCTAGAACTTCGGTGCGTCTCTGTTGAGTGTATCTCCTTAACAAAGCTATGAAGTTGTTTTGGAAAAAACTAATTCAGGGTATCGTTTGCTACAAGTCAGTAAAATATGAAATAATTTCCATTGGAATTTGTTTAATTTGATCTGCTCTTTACTAGCTAGATTTTTTGTTTACTCAAACTGTTCTCATCCTTTCTGGCAAAAGTAATTTACTGATCGCGGGAATTTGGATGTTGAATATACCGCGTGAGAAGTGCAAAGAAACCCAACATACTAATTTTAATTTTTGGTTTTGCCTTTAGTGGTTTTGGAGACGTCTTGATGAGCGGGTTTCGAGCGCTGTCCGAGCAGTATCCAATGGCGCAAAATTACTCACCTTTCAAGTACGTCACACTAATCTTTGAAGTTATTGCTGAGCTTCTCTTTGCGCGTAACGACTGTTACGATTTGAGTTTTAAAAGCTAGCTCAGGGAAGCTAAGGTCACAAGTCATATCATGTCTGTAATAAGGGAGCGGTGGTGTTTAGTAAGTCACACATATTTTCCTTCAGTAAATAAGCTTAGCTTTGTGAATCTTTCTTTCCCGCAGCTGGCTGTCAGTTCTTCTAATGATGGCGTATATGGGAACAGTGACTGTGATTCTGCTCAACATTCTTGTTGCTCAGATGAGTACGACCTACACACAGGCTAAGAAAGTCGCTCGTCTGGAATATGATGTGGATCGTATTTTACAGCTCACGCGCATGGAGAGATTTCCTTTTCTGGTGAGTATCACTTGGTAATTAGGATAAAGCCATTAACATATTGACGCTAGGTGTGATTGCGCAAATGTGCTGCACGCCTCGTACAAGTGTGAATGAGGGGGTGGAAGGTGAAGGTCATTGATTTATTATGCAACAACCTTTCTCTCTCTGTAGAATTTACGCGTGAAGTATTACAAAGAGGGAGACTGGATCAGTGAAATGAAACTTGCAAAAGGTCGGTAATGAAATAAATGAGACTAGTTATTAAGACATACCATCAGTCACAGGATGTTGTTAGCTGAAAGGTGGAATGGCTATTGGTAAGAAGGACAAATTTGGCGTGGCTACTAAAAGGAGTGGTGTGGAAACGAAAAGAAGGGCTGCTTAAATTACAAACCTTCCTTTAAATTAGCAAGAGCTATGTAGCTATTTGAGCGAACAGTCTCTAATTCAATTCCTCGTTGGTGGGTGTAGGGAGTCTCGAAAGTAGTATGTAAAAGCAAAAGATCTCTTGCTTTCCCATGCTATAAATAAGGTGATCTTGGTTGTGTTCATAGAACTTCTGGAATTTAGTGAAGATCGCAGTCCTTGGGATTCGGTTGAAGAGAAACTTAATGAGATCAGGTAGGAACAATTCCCTCAATTCCTTCGTCAGAACGAAACTAAATTAGCCACAGCGACAAATCGGAAGGTGGATACAAAAAGTAAAAAAATGGAAAAATAAAAAAATAAAAAATAAATCAATTAAATTTTCCGAATCGGGGAAACGATTGTCATCAAGTCTATATCTGTTTGATTGAGAGGATAAAGCAAGTTTCCACAACCAATTAGAGAACAAAGTGAAAGAAAATTAATTGAATAAATTTCCCGTGGCTCGTTACTAAATTTTCTTACCCAACCCGCTTTCTTATTTGTGTATCAGCGATTTTCTTTATTGTGAGTTTCTCATTTTAGGGATCTGATGAGAAAGATGGTGAAACAGATGAGGCCTGGACGCGAATAAACGGGTGTCTGTTGCGTGACGGCAATAGGAGGGATGTATTGCTTCCGTTTTCTTCGCAATTTTTCACCACTTGCATTTTGTACGACTTTTACCAGAAAGATAGGACGATAGTTTTTGAAACTTTTTTCAAACGAACGGGATATCGTTTTGATTGTAATTTTTTTTTTAATGGGGTTTAAAATTGAGGACCTGACAGCACACACTCACCAGTGGTAACAACCAATTGCCTCCGGAATAGTAGAACGTGTAGGACTGTGGTCAGCCTGTAAGGCTAAGAATTCATGCATTTTGCCTCTAAAATGTGAGCCACAGTGTGCCGTGTGAAATTTACGTGACAGTCTCAACCCCAAATTTGTTCCTAAGAAATGCGAAGATGTTAGATGAGTTGGATACAGCTTTAGGTTTCGTGATTTCCTGCTGTGGCCATAACAGCTCACTACTTTGTCAGATACTCAAGACTGAATATAAGTGGTCCTTGAGATGGTACTAAAGCGTTTCTTTTGGAAACTTAATTCAATGAAATAACTTAACAAATGAGCAGTATTTTTCATTGTCTAGATGCATGCACGGTTGAAATTTAAACTGTAAAGATGTTGAATCCAGTTGCCTGCCCCATATCAGATCATTACTTTGATCTGTTGTCAAAGAAGTACGAAATAAAGAAATTGTTTTTTTACAGGCAATTAAGCGTGCACGAAGCCGGTTTCTCAAGGATACAAATTACGACCCCGAGAGCAACGACGCGAGGAACATTTTGAGTCGCTGTCGTTTAAAACTGCGTGATTTTCTACAAATTATATATCAAATGGTTCCAGATCCTTGAGATTTTCTATTCAAGTGCTACTTTAATAATCCTTGCTACTGCAAAATGTACAGTGAACCAGTGAAATGACGCGCGTGATAAGTGTAAGTACAGGTACAAATGGGGTAAATTTGGTCCTTCGTATCTCCTAAATAAGATCGGTGACCTATCTTTTTTGTTGTATTTTTCGAAACAGATATTGAGAGGAAATAGTTAAGGAAAGTTTAAAAAATTGTGCGATAACTTATTTATCTGAGGAATTATCTTTAGTAAGAACTGGTAGCTCTGAACAGAGACTAATCAGTCACCTGTGCTTTATGAAAATTGCACAAAAAAGACCAATGTCTGTTACTTTTTCACAACACAACGTGCAAAAAATCTTTTAACTCTGACTCCTTAAAGGCCATAACCTGAACATTCTATAGAAAGGAATTAAAAGAATACGACCGTCGAGACTGCATTGGTCACAGATTTATTTTCCTCCATTATATCTATGTAAGGACGCGAATTTTTTCAATATTGAGGTATCCTCGAGACAACATTTAAGTACTTATCTACAAAAGCTGACCCGACTAAATTTTGTCTTCTTTTAGAGGATTACACATCGTCCCCTCAAGTTAATCACATCATGAGTCGAGCCAAAAGTGTAAGCATCACACTGTCGAACTTAAAACTTTCGATTGAGGAAAAATTGCAATCACAAACTAGTATGATCAATTCAATATATAACATAATGGAACTGTCATTCAAATGCAATCGGCTGCTAAGCCAGCATCTGTGACTTTTCTGTTTAAGCATGAAGAAACCTTTACCGCACTCCCTAAGGTCTTTAAGCTCAGTACAAGAAGTCATCTCCGAGCAATATTTTCTTCATGCGATATTCAAGGTGAGTCAAGGTAGGGGTTCCTTTGGGCGGAGCTTTGCCGTCTTCCACATGAAAAATTCGCTTTTCGTCAAAACCAGTCGGGATCCAGTCATCCTCGGTTCATTCAGCGAAGTGAACAATAACAAGTCTGTTCTCGACAAGTTCTTTGTTTTCTGTGAATTCTTTGTGGATAACTTTGCCGTCAAAGGTGATGTAATCATCGTCTTTTTCTTGCTGCTTGTTTTGGATGAGGGAAGAGGCTTGGCGTGTCCCGACCAATACAACACACTGACTACTGCGTAGCTCGTACCTGAAATCTTGTTTTCTCACTAAAATGTTCTTGATACCTCTAACTTCTGCAATCCTTCCCAGCCTACCTTGGAAATAACTCATAAGTCGCCAACCTTTGGTGTTGTCGCTTTTAGTATACAAAAACAATGTGCATTTCATTTTCGACTCGAACTTGTGTGGTGATTAGTTTTTTTTATTGGTTGCTTTTAAAATGTTTGTTGACACCTCTTTAATCATTTTGAAAGCAGAACACTTGAAATAATTAAAGTCGTGATGTCGCAAATTATTTACGCTCAGTGGCCGTGATATATTTCTTGTCCATTCAAAGCATGATTTAGAGAAATATGGGATATTGAAGCAGTTTTGTCGACTGTGGTTTATCGAGGGAACAAAGGTGCGTTTGATTTTCCGATCTGACATTTATAAAAGCGGAAATTCCCTCGAATTATTTAAGTTTATGAACGGAAATCCAGTGATACATTTGACGAGCGTGTTTATCTGTCTCAATTGTCCTCGCGCTTACTGAAAATGAAATGCGTTCTGTTCCTGTACTCTGGAAGCGACAGCGCTAAAGCAGAACAGCTTAAGGATTATTTACAAGGCAAACTGCGAAAAGTGGCAGATTTACGAAATAGTACTGATATTCTGGCAGAGGAACAGGATTTTAAGAATGAACTTTCTCGCAGCAGCTGCGTCGTTTTGACAGGATCGCGTCATACTTCTTCACTCATTCAAAACAAACGCCAAGAAACCGAAGATGACTTAATCACTTTCGACGGTAAAGTGATACATGACGAGTTCACAGGAAACAAAGAACTGCTAGACAGATAAGCCAATTACTCCGATAGTTTAAAACATAGACGGTTTCTTCATCGCAGTCATCCATATGACAAAACATTTAACACCAGAGCGTTTTTCTTTTTTTTTTGCTCTTAGTTCCCACTTGTGTGACCCGCCTTGAATAGGCAACCGTATTATTAAACATCTTTAGATTTTTTCACACCTCAGCGTGAACTAATAAGTAAACATTAGTAAGACAAGAAAACTATGACCTTAACATTTGTTAAGGAATTTCGAGTATGCAAGTTGGACGTTAGGCAATTTTCTCCACTTCTCGGTTCAGAAGCTCTATGTGTAAATGCAATAAACATTTTCTAAATTCTGTGGTCTCCTCGAAACAATGTTTAACTACGTATCATCGACAATATCCTAAGCTCTTTCTGCTAAATTTTTTATTTATAATTTTATACCATTTACTCTTTTTAATCACTCGGTTGAGCCAAGGGTGTACCCATTAAACAAGTGTTTTGTTTGAAGAAAACGATTTATACACACAGCTTCGATTAATTATCAATGTCTAACACACTGAAATGGTTGTTCAAGAGCAATCAAGTTAGAAGCACGTTTTTTTACAATTGTAGCTCTTGCTGTCCATCAAGAAGAAACCTTTATTATAAACTCCATCATTCTTGCGCTTAGCACAGGAAGTCATCTCCAAGCAATATTTTTTTCATGCGATATTCGAGATGTGTTAAGGAGGGACTCCCATTGGGAGGAACAATTCCATCTTCTACATGAAAAATTCGATTTTCATCAACATCTGACGGGATCCAGTCATTCTCACTTCTCTCCGTGAAGAGAATGATGATCAGTCTGTTCTTAACGAGTTCTTGGTTTTCTGTCAATTCTTCATGTATGACTTTTCCGTCAAATGTGATGTAATCATCATCTTTTTCTTGCTGCTTGTTTTGAATGAGGGATAAAGCTTGGCGTGTCCCGATCAACACAACACATTCACAGGAGCGAAGAACTCTCCTGAAATCTCGTTCTTTCACCAAGATGCTTTTGATATTTCTCATATCTGTAATCTTTCGTAGCCTGCCTTGAAAATAATTCATCAGTCGCCTACCTTTGGTTCTGTCGCCTTCAGTATACAAAAACAATGAGCATTTCATTTCGAACTCGAATTAGTGCGTGGGGATACAACTGAATCAGAAATAAATCTGCTTTCGGGTATTCTGGTTTACTCTTTCAGATAGGAAACGAATACTGTACTTGCGAAAGGAGAATTCGACAAAAGCAAAAGAACACTCTTAGCTATTGCATTTTATACGAAAAGCAAACATGTGAATCGCACGTGAAACAGTAATTGCATTTTATGCGAAAAACATATCCTCATGAAGGTTTTTTCAGGAATTTCTATTCGAATTCTATTTTCCTTTTGTGTTTGTTTGGACGTTAAATGTATCAGAGATCGTACTTTAGACGAAAAAGAATAGTTATTCTGCACGCCGGCTTAGGCTTGCGATTAATTGTTGGAGTTTGGCACTTTTCATAAAATATTCATTGGGGACTTCGGTAACCTACAAAACTAACAAATAATTTGGCATTGTTCACAGCTAGCGGCTTGAATATATTTCTTTTTTTTTTTTTTGCTTTGTGGTGACTTGCGAATCGCATGCTTATACAAAAAGGGGAAGGTTAGGCGGAAAAATTCAATTTTTTTTCGATATCATCGTTATCTTGATTTACAATAATTCAAAACAATACCTCACACCCAAAGTTTCGTGCCAATAACACTTACCGGCGCTTTACGTTCTGGTTTCCATGGGACTGTTAGTTTATCATTTAGAAAGCCGCTAAATTTCTGAGGATGAGTTGAGCTAATGCCTTAGTTATCAACTTCGTCCTAGCCTGTTCCAGGCATTCAGATTGTAAAACGGAGCCATTCATAGCAAACGGCGCAAAAGTAACGGAGGATTAAAAAAAAAGCGAGGTTTGGGTCGTTCATTACGCGATCGAACCCAAATCTCTTACGCTTTCACATTCCTATGCTACCGATGATGGCAAGTTTCTCGGGTCCGAGAATCAATGGTTGTTCCTGTCGACACGCCCTCTGATGACTGTGCAAGCCGATCCTTGATCTGCACACTCTGCCACTCCACTGAAATCCTTGGGCAGGGGGGCTCAGGACGGCTGATGTCCTTCTTCTCCTACGTTTCTCCAAGGACTGTTTACTATCGTGCTTCCTTTTACTAACTGAACGCCTGGAACAGGCTAACTTCGTCCCCACGGGTTCCTTGGTCAGGTAGTGGTCGGCCAAGGTTATTGTGATTGCTGAAAGACAGCTGATCGGCTGATTACGACCTTTTTCACTACCTCCATGGTTTTTTTCCAGATGGTAGTAAATCAGAATTTCAAATTGACCGGATCCTGAGATTTCCATGTTTAGTTTCGCAATAGAGAAACAATACTACATTACCCCTCAGTATTTCATAAAATGGTAGGCCATTCAGTATAGTTCCACCCGAAATTTTAATTCCACTTTACCGCAAATGATCGAGCGGGTAGAAACTAACTGCTCTAATCCACGAGTAATCTTTGCAGTTTAGGCTCGTTACTTCATATCTGCTTCCAAAAGCAGCAAACTTGTCACATTTTCAGGTTCGCATAAAACTTACTGCTGCTTAGAATCAACTAAAGGCCAGACCTCCCAAGCAGTGCCATCTTCCACCATATTCGTCATAAAAGACGTGAGGTTATGAAAGGTTATTACATAAGAAAAGCACCAATCAGCGGTCGTTTTAATGCTTTGTTTGCTACTTTTTCCCCTCGACCCGCCGCCATCTTGAAAACTGAATGAGGAAGCCCTGGGAACGAGGTTGGCACTCGCACGGTACTACCTACTTACAGATAAAAAAGTTAGCCAAAGTTGTCCCCAAAATATGGTGCCTATTTAAAACATACAACTTAAATGTGGCTGCTATACGACAATTCAAGAATGAGTAGAGGAGAGCCTAATTTGGACCGTGCTGAAAACGACAGCGAAAGAGGAGATCAGAATGAAATTGATCGCTGTTGTGATCACCAGCAAGACGATTTGATACGAGATCAATTTGACGAGGAGTTCTGGATTAAGGTGAAAGACCCGAAATATGTGTTAAAATGCAAGTTTCTGGATTTATTTTGCAATTCTTTGATGCAAAATTTAAGCCATATAAAAACTTTTCAATCGACTAAGCTTTTTTCCTCTGTTAAGGTCCATGAGAAGCAAAACAAAGGACTGTCATGGAACAGAGCTATGGACGAAGTTCATGTGGAAAGATTGATTCAGAAATACAAGGACGGTGGGGAATTGGATGGCGAGGATCCAGCTCTTTTAATGTTAAAACAGTGGCCAGGATCTGAAAAGTACAAAGATGATTCCGACAAACTTCGTGCACTTGAACAACAGGTGGGTACACAAGGCTTTGACATGTAGGAATTAACTTATAAATCTAATACTAATTATGGAAATATTATCTCTGACATTTTTTTTTTGTAGATAAATCGGATTTTGGAGATTCTATTAGAAAGTGAAATAAACACAGGGAACAGATACGAGTCGTTCCGAGACGAAGATGACGAAACAAATAAAACACTAATGCACTATGCAGCAGAGCATGGCTTTTTGCATGTCACCAAAACGCTTGTCAGGAAATGTCCAGAGTTACTTGTTGTGAAGACAGAAGAACAACTCAAACCTGTCGAAAAGAGAGCCATGTTACCTGTGGAATTAGCAATAGTAACAGAGAATGATGATGTGGCTGCATTTTTGGTTAGAGTTATGTGGCATGAGAGGTAGAAACATGCTTGGAATTTGAATAAACAAAAGTTTCTCATATTATGGTCTTGAAGACATAAATGTCTTTTTTGAGTTTCTAAAAGCTCAAGATTTACCCTTTAACCCATTTAAGTCTCAGGAATAAAGGAAATTATCACCAGTTAAGGAGCTGTTGATTGTAATAAAAATTCTCCTTGTCAACATCTTATGATATGTATAGAGAACAGTATAAACAGTATAGAGAATATGCATACCGACAGAAGGGTGTAAAGGGTTAATTGGAATATTGCATTTTAAACTTTTGAAATAATAATTTATTTCTTTGTCACTTTTAGAGTCCAAGGCTTATTTTCGTGGACACAAGGTGACATAACCAATCCTCAACCCTCCTCTTTCAATTTCAAGGCAATTATCGAGAATCCTAAAATGAGGGTAAGATTGTGATGTTAACAAAATTTGAAATAGCTCACAGGCTTTGTATACAGACTACCATTTTTTGTGTGTGAATAACTTGATGGGTTTAAAGTTACAAGAGGATTTGTGCACTCAATAGGGGCGAGTTGGCAGTATCTATTGTATTAAAATAGAAGTGAAACAGGCATGAAACTATCTCATTTATGTTATTACAGAAAAAGTGGAGTGGGTGGGGAGGAGGGAAGAGGGAAGAGGAGGGTACCGTCTGGAGTCCCAAGTTATTTTTGTTAAGCCAGTAATACATATTGTGTAAGTAAATTTTTGATTTGTTAATTTCTCTACCAAGCCCTTCAAATATGGAGTCAGATTGTGGTTGAGAAGTACTGTAGATCCAGTTAAATGCAATTTAACGGAGTAAACAACAAAGGGCATCAGCATTCTTTAGTAGTGAGCGATTTTTTGTATATGCACATGCACTGGAATTCTACATGCTCTTCGTTTGAGGCATTCTTGCGTGTACTTTAAGTGTGTCTTTGCAGCATTGTGAGGCAGTTTTCCCCACCCCATCCCTCCCTCTTTCCACTGTTTATTCAGTGTGACCGGTACCTGTTTCCCTTTCTTGTGTAGGGGCTCATGGCTGGGTTGCCAGGATTTGCCGGCAATGGGAGAAGTCTCCATCTAGGAGCTGGCTGCCAATATAGAGGAAGCTCCTGGATTTTTCAGGCACCCAACCTCCACCTAGCAATACAGTTGTTAATTTTGTATTATCCAACATGAATTTAGAGTGGAGCAGGACTTAGATACTATTGATGGACCATAACTGTGATTTGTGTTGTTTCCAGAAAACAATAGTGGCTGTCTTAGACCAGATGGTGGATCCTCATTGGCCATATCTTCCAAAACGTCAAGAAAACTATGAAACTGAAGAAGAGAGGGAGGCAATTGAGGGAGTCTGGAATACCATATCTGATGATCCATTAAACTATCATTTTTATTATCATATTTTGGAAGGAGATGAGGGAGGACGGCCCCCAAAGATTATTGCCTCAGATGAACACAAGGAGATGGAAAACAAATATTTTAACTTGAATGACAAGTCTTGTTTACATGCCATTGCAAAGAGCAACAACAAAGTAAGATTCAGACCTAAGGATGATCAAGCTTTTAAGAAATTCATTGGTGAAATATGTAATATTGTCAAGATCTGGTATTAAAAAGGTATCTTGAAAGAGTAGACACATTTTATTTATGACTAATAATTATTACTGCAGGAGTTTGATTTTTATATCACTCTCATCCTAAGGTTTGGGCAAAATTAAATCAGTTCTTGATGTCCATTTTTAGGAAGCTTTGCAACATCCTGTTGTCAGAATGTTGATTAAAACAAAATGGAAAAGTTATGGACACTTGTTCCTCAGGTAAATCAGTTATATTTGCAGACTCCATACTGTTAATTTTAGAGATAGCTGTATCATATTTATCAATTAAGGCATGTAGGTGTTGAATTAGGTATTGATGAATTCTTAAGTGTATCTTGGTACAGAGTCAAATTTCATTGAGTTTATTTTTGCCAACACACATGATTGAGAGCCAGCGAAAGAACTTCTATGCAGAGTGATTCAGTCTTAATAAATATAGTATCCCCTGGAATACTAGCTGTGAGTGCATAATACTGTCCAAATTTCAAAGCCTTTGATTTCTTAAAGGTTTATTGAAAAAAAAATAATACAGGTTACCAAGAACTTTAAGTTTTATATCTTCATTTGAAGTTCTAATATTGTGCCCTTTCTCCATTGTACTTTTGCAGAGGTAATTATAATTACTATTTCTTTCCATTAGCCTCCAAGTGGCATTGTTTTGCATCTTTTTGCTGTGTATGTCATATTCTCTGCTGCATGCCTCTACCAAAGTGGACCCCACCCATTATAGTGGTGCACTGGACTCACTGCGTGGATTTTGTGAGGTTGTCACACTACTTATGGTCGTGTTTTACATCTGTGAGGAAATAAATCAGATAAGAATGTAAGTAATTATGGTGATCAAGGATCGCTGGAAATCTCATCAAGACCTTCCATTTGACCCCATATCGCAATTTAAATGACTCCACATTTGAAGAGGCGCATGGTTGTGAAATTATTTGATTTCTTGCAGAGAGGGGCGTTGTTATTTCACAGAGTGGATGACCTTGTTTGACTGGTTAGGCCTGCTGTTGATATTGTGTATAGTACCGTTACGATACATGGATCATAAAGCACAGTGGATGGTGACATCTTTAGCCTTCTTGTTCAACTTCCTGAGGATATTTAAATTTTCATGTGTTTCAAGGTAACCTACAACTCCCAATTAATTACTTGAGTTCAGAAAGAGCACTGATGAATTAAAAATCATCCCTTCGTCAATCTAACCTCACGTTACATTAAATCTTTCTTAGGACTACAGGATTATACACACAAACCTTGGCCAAGATCATTTTACATGATGTAACAAAATCCATGGCAGTTTTTATTGTGATCTTTTTCTCCTTCTGTGGTGCTTTGACTTTATCCCTCTGTTACTCCGGATCCAGTGAAAACCAAGAACTTCGGTACATCTCTTTTTACTCAATCTCCTTAACAAAGCTATAAGGTTGTTTTGGAAAAAACAACTCGGGGTATCGTTTGTTACAAGTCAATAAAATATTCGATAATTTCCATTGTAAATTGATTAATTTGATCTGCTCTTTACTGGCTAGATTTTGTATTCATTCAAACTATTCTCATCCTTTCTGGCAAAAGCAATTTACTGATTTTGGGAATTTAGATGTTGAACATAGCGCGTGAGAAGTCCAAAAAAACCCAACATACTAATTTTAATTTTTGATTTTGCCTTTAGTGGTTTTGGAGACGTCTTGATAAGCGGGTTTCGAGCACTGTCCGAGCAGTATCCAATGGCGCAAAATTACTCACCTTTCAAGTACGTCACACTAATCTTTGAAGTTATTGCTGAGCTTCTCTTTGCGCGTAACGACTGCTACGATTTGAGTTTTAAAAGCTAGCTCAGGGAAGCTAAGGTCACAAGTCATATCATGTCTGTAATAAGGGAGCGGTGGTGTTAAGTAAGTCACACATATTTTCCTTCAGTAGATAAGCTTAGCTTTGTGAATCTTTCTGTCCTGCAGCTGGCTGTCAGTTCTTCTAATGATGGCGTATATGGGAACAGTGACTGTGATTCTGCTCAACATTCTTGTTGCTCAGATGAGTACGACCTACACACAGGCTAAGAAAGTCGCTCATCTGGAATATGATGTGGATCGTATTTTACAGCTCACTCGCATGGAGAGATTTCCTTTTCTGGTAAGTATCCACAATGTCGTTAGAATAAAGCCGTTATAATATTGACACCAGGTGCGATCGCGCAAATGTGCTGCACGCCTCGTGCAAGTGTGAATGAGGGGGTGGAAGGTGAAGATCATTGATTTATTATGCAACAACCTTTCTCTCTCTGTAGAATTTACGCGTGAAGTATTACAAAGAGGGAGACTGGATCAGTGAAATGAAACTTGCAAAAGGTCGGTAATGAAATAAATGAGACTAGTTATTAAGACATACCATCAGTCACAGGATGTTGTTAGCTGAAAGGTGGAATGGCTATTGGTAAGAAGGACAAATTTGGCGTGGCTACTGAAAGGAGTGGTGTGGAAACGAAAAGAAGGGCTGCTTAAATTACAAACCTTCCTTTTAATTAGTAAGAGCTATGTAGCTATTTGAGCGAACAGTCTTTAATTCAATTTGTCGTTGGTGGGTGAAAGGGAGTCTTGTAAGCAGTACGTAAAAGCAAAACATCTCTTGCTTTCCCACGCTATAAATAAGGTGATCTTGGTTTTGTTCATAGAACTTCTGGAATTCAGAGAAGATCGCAATCCTTGGGAGTCGGTTGAAGAGAAACTTAATGAGATCAGGTACGAACAATTCCCTCAATTCCTGCTTTTTCTTATCATCAGCTTCTTCATTAACCCGGCAATCACACATTGAGCGCTTTTTATCAAGCGTTTTTGAATGACTATGAATTTATGACTGGGTTCAGTCTCTTAAGAAACTGCGGTGCTGCAGGGTAATTCAGTATTATCAAGTGAGCTGATAACGTAAATTAGCCTCCGTAAAAAGTTTCAAAGTGGACCTTTCGAGCGTCAGCCCTTCGTCAGAACGAAACTAAATTAGACACAGCGACAAAGCGGAAGGTGGGTACAAAAAATTAAAAAATTAAAAAAATTAAAAAAAAAATGAATTAAATTTTCCGAATCGGGGAAACGATTGTGATCAAGTCTATATCTGATTGCAAGTTTCCACAACCAGTTAAAGAACAAAGTGAAAGAAAATTAATTGAATAAATTACCCGTTGCTCGTTACTAAATTTTCTTACCAAACCCGCTTTCTTAGTTGTGTATCAGCGGTTTTCTTTATTGTGAGTTATTCATTTTAGGGATCTGATGAGAAAGATGGTAAAACAGATGAGGCCTGGAAGCCAATAAACGGGTGTCCGTTGCGTGACGGCAATAGGAGGGATGTATTGCTTCCGTTTTCTTCGCAATTTTTCACCACTTGCACTTTGTATGACTTTTACCAGAAAGATAGGACGATAGTTTTTTAAACTTTTTTCAAACGAACGGGATCGTTTTGATTGTAATTTTTTTTTATGGGGTTTAAAATTGAAGACCTGACAGCACACACTCACCAGTGGTAACATAACCAATTGCCTCTGGAATAGTAGAACGCGTAGGACTGTAGTCGTCCTGTAAGGCTAAGAGTTCATGCATTTTGCCTCTAAAATGTGAGCCACAGTGTGTCGTGTGAAATTTACGTGACAGTCTCAACCCCAAATTTGTTCCCAAGAAATGCGAAGATGTTGGATGAGTTGGATACAGATTTAGGTCTCGTGATTTCCTGCTGTGGCCAAAACAGTACACTACTTTGTTAGATACTTAAGGCTGAATATAAGTGGTCCTTGAGATGGTACTAAAGCGTTTCTTTTGGAAACTTAATTCAACGAGATAACTTAACAAATGAGCAGTATTTTTCACTGTCTAGTTGCATGCACGGTTGAAGTTCAATCTGTAAAGATGTTGAGTCCAGTTTCCTGCCCCATATCAGATCATTACTTTGATCTTTTGTCAAAGAAGTACGCAGTAAAGAAATTGTTTTTTTACAGGTAAGTAAGCGTGCACGAAGCCGGTTTCTCAAGGATACAAATTATGACCCCGAGAGCAACGACGCGAGGAACATTTTGAGTCGCTGTCGTTTAAAACTGCGTGATTTTCTACAAATTATATATCAAATGGTCCCAGATCCTTGAGACTTTCTATTCAAGTGTTACTTTAATAATCCTTGCTACTCCAAAATGTACGGTGAACCAGTGAAATGACGCGCGTGATAGGTGTAAGTACAGGCACAAATGGGGTAAATTTGGTCCTTCGTATCTCCTAAATAAGAACGGTGACCTATCTTTTTTATTGTATTTTTCGAAACAGATATTGAGAGGAAATAGTTAAGGAAAGTTTAAAAAATTGTGCGATAACTTATTTATCTAAGGAATTATCTTTAGTAGGATCTGGTAGCTCTGAACAGAGACTAATCAGTCACCTGTGCTTTACAAAAATTACACAAAGAAGATCAATGTCTGTTACTTTTTCACAACACAACGTGCAAAAAATCTTTCAACTCTGACTCCTTAAAGGCCATAACCTGAACATTCTTTAGAAAGGAATTCAAAGAATACGACCGTCGAGACTGCATTGGTCACAGATTTATTTTCCTCCACTATATCTATGTAAGGACGCGAATTTTTTCAATATTGAGGCATCCTCGAGACAACACTCAAGTACTGATCTACAAAAGCTGTCCCGACTAAATTTTGTCTTTTTTTAGAGGATTGCACATCATCCTGTCAAGTTAATCACACAGTCAAGCCGAGGGTGTAAGCATCACATTGTCAAACTTAAAACTTTCGATTGAGGAATAATTGCCATTACAAACAAGAATGATCAATTCAATATCTAACATAATGGAACTGTCATTGAAATGCAATCGTCTGCTAAGCCAGCATCTGTGACTTTTCCGTTTAAGCATGGAGAAACCTTTACTGCACTCCCTAAGGTCCTTAAGCTCAGTACAAGAAGTCATCTCCGAGCAATATTTTCTTCATGCGATATTCAAGGTGAGTCAAGGTAGGGGTTCCTTTGGGCGGAGCTTTGCCGTCTTCCACATGAAAAATTCGCTTTTCGTCAAAACCAGTCGGGATCCAGTCATCCTCGGTTCTTTCAGCGAAGTGAACAATAACAAGTCTGTTCTCGACAAGTTCTTTGTTTTCTGTGAACTCTTCGTGCATAACTTTGCCGTCGAAGGTGATGTAATCATCGTCTTTTTCTTGCTGCTTGTTTTGGATGAGGGAAGAGGCCTGGCGTGTCCCGACCAATACAACACACTGACTACTGCGTAGCTCGTACCTGAAATCTTGTTTCCTCACTAAAATGTTCTTGATACCTCTAACTTCTGCAATCCTTCCCAGCTTACCTTGGAAATAACTCATAAGTCGCCTACCTTTGGTGTTGTCGCTTTCAGTATACAGAAACAATGTGCATTTCATTTTCGACTCGAACTTGTGTTGTGATATATGAACTTCGCAGTTTGTTGAACACGCTTTCGGATGTCCTGGTCTAAATCTTTCAGGGAAAGGAACTCAACTTGTGCTTGCAAGAAAAAAAACTGTCCACAGTACAGCAAGGAATCAACCTTTGCCATTACAATATATACCATGGCAAATGTGTGATTTGCACGCGGAATTTTGAACCGTGTGTGAAAGATTTATCTCTGAGAACCTGTCTTCAGTACTTTAAAAAAAGTGCATTCCATCTTTGAGTTGAAAATTAATCATGACGCATACTTTATATGAGTATCCGCACAGCTGGAAACAATAGACGAACATGACACGCCCAAATGTGAGGAATGATGACGCTAATGAATATAATTATCCTCAACAACTTTTTGTGGACTGTACAAATCACAACTCTTTCAAAAGGCGAAAGTTATGCTGCAGATCTGTTTGTTTACTTGAATGTTTTTTGTTGACCCAAATTATCTTTTTGTGGAATTGCTTAGGGAATTGTCTTGTACTATGAATGTTTTGAAAGTACGCGTCTTGTTCAATCTAGTACTCGGGGGCTCTCGCATCTTCAACCGAGAGGCCGATCTTGGATCCGTGGGGGACTGACTAGGGCAAGATGTTGTCGCTGGGAGTCGCTAAGGACGCTGGGTAGTGTTTGATGCTCAAGTGGTACTGCCCGATTGAAGAGAGAATGCGTTTGGAAAAAGATTATTTATTGAAAAAATATGGTACACATTTAGCACATATTGCCTAAATGTGGCTGGTGTTAAACAATTCAGGGATGAGGAAAGAGGAACAAGGGTTGAAGCGTGCTGAAAAAAGTAACGAAATTGGAAATCAGCGTGAAATTGGTCGCGGTCGTGATCAGCAGCAAGATTTGCTTAAAGATGAAGGTGTATTCGACGAGGAGTTCTGGATTAAGGTATCAAAAATGAACATTGAAATGCTCGTTACACGATGAGGGCTGTGAATTTATTTTGAAGCTCTATAGAGCAATTTGTTCGCGACATAGTTACAGTGTATTCCTTGATTGACCTAGGTTCATCAAAAGCAGAAGAAAGGGATATCTTGGAACAGAGCTATGGATGAACTGCGTGTCGAGAGACTGATTAAACAGTTCCTGGACGGTGGAGAAATGGACAGTGAGGACCCAGCTTTAGTGATGTTAAAACAGTGGCCAGCAAGTAAACAAAACAGAGATAATCCAGATAAAAATCGTGGACTTGAGCAACTGGTAAGTTGATTTGTATGTAAGCGTGAGCTTAGGTTAAAAGGTTTTTATATTCATGTCATGTATTTGGCCAGGTGAGTAAGATAATTTAGCTCAAACATATCATATCTGATAGTGTTAATAATGATGTGTTTTGCAGATAAATCGGTGGCTGGAGATTCTTTTAGAAAGTGAACTAAACTCTGAGAACAGATACGAGGAGTTCCGAGATGAAGATGACGAAGCAAAAAAAACACTGATGCACTATGCAGCTGAACTTGGCTTTCTGCATGTCACCAAAACACTTGCGAGGAAATGTCCTCTGATGCTTACCATGATGACGGAAGATCAACTTAAACCTGTGGAAAAAAGAGCCATGCTGCCAGTGGAATTGGCAATAGAGGCAGAGAAAGATGATGTGGCAGCATTTTTGATTAGAGTCATGGAGCATCAAAGGTACTATTTAGATCAGCTGAAGTGAAATTCTTAAAGTTAGAATTTAAGACACTAGGGAAATATGGCCTTAAGAAAATGAATATCTTTTTCATGAAAATGCTGAAATGAAGGCTACAGAGTTAAACTTGATGAATAGTTACATTTCTTTTTTGAAATTGATAAGTAGACTATGCAAGCTTACTGTGAGTGGTCTGAAAATAATTTAAACACATTGGATAATGATACAAACCTAGCTTTGAAATGATGATCCATTTCCACCTTCATTGTTAGAGTGCACAGTTTATTTTTCTGGACATCAGGCAATATGACAAATCCTGAACCATCCTTCTTTGGCTTCAAAGCAATTATTGAGAATCCAAAAATGAAGGTGAGATGTTTTAATATTTTACAAAATTTAAAACAGACCAGAGTCTCTTAGTAAGCAAATTTTTTTGCCATAAAGTAAATAACTTGATGGTTCACTGGCCAATGATTCTGAAACTAATAGTAGATGTCATGTAAGTAACATTTTTAAACTTATTTTTAACAAATCCTTTTAAATTTGTAGCAAGATGGTTATGTTAGATTTGTTTTTGATGAAACTCATGTAATGATTTGTGTTTTTTACAGAAAACTGTAGTGGCCGTATTAGACCAGATGGTGAATCCTCATTGGCCATATCTTCCAAAACGACAAGAAAACTATGAAACTGGAGAAGAGAGAGAGGCAATTGAAGGAGTCTGGAACACCATTCAGGATGATCCATTAAACTATCATTTTTATTATCATATTTTGGATGGAGATGAGGGAGGACGACCCCCAAAGATTATGACTTCAGATGGACACAAGCAGATAGAAAACCAATATTTTAACTGGAAAGACAAGTCTTGTTTGCTTGCCATTGCAATGAGCAGCAACAAAGTAAGATGCAGATCTAAGGATTATCACATTTTAACAAAATTCATTGGTGAAATATGTAATGTCTAGCTCTGTTAATCAAAAAGATATCCAGGAAAAATAAACACATTTCATACATGAATGACACATATTCTGCTGGAGTTTGAGTTTTAGATCACTCTCCCCTGAAAGTTTGGACAGAAATCAGTTCATGATTTTTATTTTCAGGAAGCTTTGCAGCATCCTGTGGTCAGAATGTTGGTTAAAACAAAATGGAAAAGTTATGGACACTTGCTCCTTAGGTAAATAAGTTGTTTTTGCAGGTTCCATACTGTAAATTTTAGAAATAGTTATATCATACTTATTGACATAGGTGTTTAATTATGCATTGATCAAACTTAAGTACCAGAAAAAATTCATTTTTGCCACTACACACATAATCAGCCAGTGAAAGCACTTCCATGGAGTATGGTGCAGCCTTATTGTAGTGTTCCTTGGAACATTGTGAATGCATGTATCAATGTCCAATTTAACCATTTGATTTCTCAAAGGTTTGTTACAAAAATATTAGACATTTATAGGTTACCAAGCACTTAATTTTTAATTTCACAGCTTTATTTGAATTTTCTAGTCCTGTGCCATTTCTCCATGTCACTTCTGCACAATTAAATATTATTGCTTTTCTTTTCTGTAGCCTTCAAGCAGCATTGTTTTGTATCTTCTTGCTGTGCATGTCGTATTCTCTGCTGCATGCCTCTACCAAACTGGACCCCACCCATTACAGTGGTGCGCTGGACTCACTGCGTGGATTTTGTGAGGTTGTCACTATACTTATGGTCGTGTTTTACATCTGTGAGGAAATAAATCAAATAAGAATGTAAGTAATTTAAAGGTGAGGTAACATCAGACTGATGAGTGCAGTAACCTGGAAACTAGTAAATATTGTTGATTATTGTTCCACATTTACGCCATTTTACCATATTAGGAACGCACCAAGTATGCCTCGGTATTACGCTGTAGAAGAGGGCAAAAATACAGACGGAAGAGGAGCAAAAAAATGGCCGCTCTGAAGCATCCAAACACTCCCTTTTTTTCGTTTTTCTGATTCAATTAAAAAAACCTGAACCTTTAAGCGTTTCAGATTTTTTGTTAGCCATTATAACACTTAAACGGTTCATTTGTGTTTTTTCTCGCCTTATACAATTGATACGAAGTTCATATAATTTTTTAAACCAAAAACCTGCGCAGAATGCTAGAAGAGGAGAGATTTTCACGCTAATCGTCTTATTTCTTGCAGAGAGGGGCGTTCTTATTTCACAGAGTGGATGACCTTGTTTGACTGGTTAGGCCTGCTGTTGATATTGTGTATAGTACCATTACGATACATGGATCATAAAGCACAGTGGATGGTGACATCTCTGGCCTTCTTGTTCAACTTCCTGAGGATATTTAAATTTTCATGTGTATCAAGGTAACACAGAACTCCCAATTGATTACTGTAGAGCACAAAGAGCACTGATAACTTAAAACTCCTCCCTTCGTTAGTCTAACCTAAACTTATGTTTTTCTTGGGACTACAGGATTATACACGCAAACCTTGGCAAAGATCATTTTACACGACGTCACAAGATCCATGGCAGTTTTTATTGTGATCTTTTTCTCCTTCTGTGGTGCTTTGTCTTTATCGCTCTGTTACTCCGGATCCAGTGAGAACCGAGAACTTCGGTGCGTCTCTCTTGAGTATCTCTCTCCGTAACAAAGCTATGAAGTTGTTTTGGAAAAACCAATTCAGGGTATCGTTGTTACAAGTCAGTAAAATATTAAATAATTTCCATTGGAATTTGTTTAATTTGATCTGCTCTTTACTAGCTAAATTTTTTTGTTTATTTAAACTATTCTCATCCTTTCTGGCAAAAGCAATTTACTGATCGCGGGAATTTGAATGTTGAATATAGCGCGTGAGAAGTGCAAAAAAAAAAAACACTAATTTTAATTTTTGGTTTTGCCTTTAGTGGTTTTGGAGACGTCTTGATGAGCGGGTTTCGAGCACTGTCCGAGCAGTATCCAATGGCGCAAAATTACTCACCTTTCAAGTACGTGACATTAATCTTTGAAGTTATTGCTGAGCTTCTCTTTGCACCTAACGGCTGTTATGATTTGAGTTTTAAAAGCTAGCTCAGGGAAGATAAGGTCACAAGTCATATCAGGTCTGTAATAAGGGAGCGGTGATGTTTAGTAAGTCACACATATTTTCCTTCAGTAGATAAGCTTAGCTTTGCGAATCTTTCTGTCCTGCAGCTGGCTGTCAGTTCTTCTAATGATGGCGTATATGGGAACAGTGACTGTGATTCTGCTCAACATTCTCATTGCACAGATGAGTACAACTTACACACAGGCCAAGAAAGTCGCCCGTCTGGAATATGATGTGGATCGTATTTTACAGCTTACTCGCATGGAGAGATTTCCTTTTCTGGTGAGTATCCACTAGGTATTTAGAGTGAAGCCGTTAGATGATTGACGCTAGGTGCGATTGCGCAAATGTGCTGCCCGCCTCGTGCAAGTGTGAAAAATAGAGAATGGAAGGTAGAGGTCATTGATTTATTATACAAGAACCTTTCTGTCTGTAGAATTTAGGCGTGAAGTATTACAAAGAGGGAGACTGGATCAGTGAAATGAAACTTGCAAAAGGTCGGTAATGAAATAAATGAGATTACTTATTAAGACAAACCATCAATCACAGGATGTTGCTAACCGAAAGCTGGAATGGCTGTTGGTAAGAAGTACAAATTTAGCTTGGCTACTGAAAGGAGAAGTGTGAAAACGAAAGGAAGGGCTGCTCATGTTACAAGCCTTTGTTTTAATTAGCGAGAGCTATGTAGCTGTTTGAGCGAACAGTTTCAACTAATAATCATTTTCCATTTCAATTCCTCCTTAGTGGGTGAGAGGGAGTTTTGTGAAGAGTACGTAAAAGAAAAACAAATTTTTTTTCTGATGATATAATACGAAAAGATTTCTTTGTGTTCTCAGATGTGATCTTGGTTTTGTTCCTAGAGCTTCTGGAATTCAGTGAAGATCGCAGTCCTTGGGAGTCGGTTGAAGAGAAACTTAATGATATCAGGTACGAATAATTCCTTCAATTCCTGCCTTTTCTTACCATCAGCTTCTTCTTTAACCCAGCAATCACACATTGAGCGCTATTTATCAACTTTTGTAAAACCGAAACTAAATTCATCAATGAAGGGGGTTCGTTTCTTAAGAAACTGAGGTGCTGCGTCGGTTGGAGAATAAAACAGGGTAACAGAGTTATCAACTGAGTTGATAACGTAAATTGGCCACCGTAAAGAGTTTCAAAGCTGACGTTTCGAGCATTAGCCCTTCCTCAGAGCGAAACTAAATTAGACACAGCGACAAATATAAATCGGAAGGTAAATAAAAAACAAAACAAAACAAAACATTAAAAAAAAAATCAATCAAACTGTCCGAAGCGCGGGAAAACAATTGTGATCAAGTCTAACTCTGACTGATTAAGAGGATAAAGCGAGTTTTCGAAACCAATCAGAGAACGTTATTGTTTGTGTATCATTTCTTTTCTTTATTGTGAGCTTTTCATTTTAGGGAGCTGATGAGAAAGATGGTTAAACAGATGAGGCCTGGACGCGAATAAACGGGTATCCGTTGCTCGACGGTGATAGGAAGGAGCATTTTGTACGACTTTGACCAGAAAGATAGGGCGATAGTTTTTTAAATAAAAACGTAAACGAACGGGATAACATTTTGATTGTAAAGTTTTTTTAATGGGGTTTAAATTGAAGATCTGGCAGCACACACCCACCCGTGGCAACATACCCAAGTGCACCCGAAGGAGAAGAACGTGTAGGGTCGTCCTGGTTTACTTTTATAGTGCTAAGTATTCACGCTCCTTGCCTCTGAAATATGAGCCACAGATATTAAGTACGTACTTATACATCCTCTAAAACCTAATTGCGTGTAAGTTACGTCACAATCTCAACCAAAATTTGATCCGCGAAATTCGAGTTTGGCTGAGTAGGATACAGAGTTAGGTCACGTGATTTCCTGTTGTGACAAAAGTAGTTCATTACTCTATCAGATATTCAGGAAAAAATGTAGATGGTCTTTGAGATGGTACTAAAGCGTTTCTTTTGGAAAGTTTATGGAAGGAAATCATTAAATAAATGAGCAGTGGTTTTCACTGTTTGGTGGCATGTATGGTTGAAGTTCAAACTGTAAAGTTATTGAATCCAATTTCCGGCCTTAGATTATTCGTCAAACCCGTTGTCAAATTGGTAGGCGAAAAAATTTTGTTTACAGGCAAGTAAATGAGTGAACATTACACATCAATTTAACTATCTTATATAAGCGCTTCGTTCAGAATCATTATTAATGTTACTTCGCAGCAGCTAGTCATAATTACGCCATAAAAGCATCGCTATTCGCTCTTCTACTTGTGTCCCGCCTTGAATGTGACAACCGCTTGGTTGAGGGAGGTCTGGGTACGAGATTGCGCAGCCCACCATGGCATCAATCTGGTTCTTAAAGTTGGATTGGAAGGAGAATGATCTTGGAAGAGAGGTTCACCGTTTTATTTTTATGATTTTTTACAATCGACCTTATGCGCCAATACTTTGTTTTGTACACATGTAATCCCGTTACACAGAGGAAGCTATATGAATGAGAAATCAACATTTCCCTTGCAGTGACCATATTATATTTAAACAGGAGCCTGTATGATCAGGCAGCTTTGAACAGAGGCTAATCAGTATACCCATGATTAGTAGAATTACACAAAAAATACCAATAGCTTTGACCTTTTTTATAAGGCACTGCGCAGAATAATAAGTATTGACTCATTAAGATCACGACCTAAACATTCGCATATAAGGAATTTAAAGAATGCGATACTGACGTTCACTGCTCAATGTATTCAACCCGACTCTGTTCAGGAGCTCTCTATGTAAACACTTGAATATTTTTTTAGTATTTAGGTCTCCTTGGAGCATCATTTAGTAAATTTTAGTAATTTTATCACACAGTCAAGCCAATGGTGTAACCATCGCACTGTTCAAAATTAAACTTTCGAACAGTAATATACTTTCATTAAAACACAAAGAAATACGATCAGTTATCATTAACTAAGATAATGAAAACTGTCATTCAAACGCGATAAGTTAAGAAGCCAGCCTTTTAAATTTATGGTTCTTTCTGATTTTCTATGAAAAAAAACCGTTACGGTATAAGTACTTTCTGTGGTCCTTAAGCTCAGTACAAAAAGTCATCTCCAAGCAATATTTTCTTCATGCGATATTCAAGGTGGATCAAAGTTGGAGTTCCATCAGGAGGAACTATGCCATCTACCACATGAAAAATTCGATTTTCATCAAAACCCTTCGGAATCCAGTCAGTCCCAGTTCTTTCCGTGAAGTGAACGATGAGGAGTCTGTTCTTGACAAGTTCTTTGTTCTCTGTGAACTCTTCATGCATAACTTTGCCATCAAATAGTATGTCATCTTCGTCTTTTTCTTGCTGCTTGTTCTGGATGAGGGACAAAGCTTCGGGTGTTCCAACCAGCACAACACATTCACTGTCACGTAGTTCTTCCCTAAAATCTTGCTCCCTCACCAGAATGTTCTCGATATTTCTCACTTCTGAAATCCTTCCCACCCTTCCTTGAAAATAACTCATGAGTCGCCTTGCTTTGGTGCTATCGCTTTCAGTATACAAAAACAATGAACACTTCATTTTCAACTCGTACTTGAGCTTGAGATATAAACGAGGTGGATAACTCCACTTTCTTTCGAATGCTTTCAAGGCTTAAATCTTTCAGACTGAAAACTTAAACTAAGCATGCCGACAAGAAAAGTCGTCAATGCAAGAAGATGCACGAAGTTATCGCAGTTTCCTCGCAAGTATTAGAAGCACAAGGCGCACTGGCTTAAGTCCGTGCTTCACCTTTAGAGTTTGGAAATTTTCATCAAATAATCACTCTCTGTGGGTTTTGTTATTGTTTTCGGCGAATACTTTTTTTCGTACCTGTCATACATGCGTACATTTTGGGCCATTTTGACGTGTTTCCAGTGTTGTATACCCTGTGACATTTTCCTTTATTCGTTATTCGGCATCATAGACAATTCCAAGCTAATTAAACATGTATAAAGCAATTTCTTAAACAACAATCTTCGGTCTCTTAACATAGCTATAGTTTTTTCCAAAAAGGGAAAGTTTGTCTGTTGTATGTTTCATAAACCTCATTAACTTTAATGTGCTTTGGCTCGTGGGTGGCGATGTATTCCTGGAACTGATCTAGAGAAGTACCCAAATTTCGACCCAACCTAGTGCCCAGTGGCCTCTCGGTTTTCAAATATGAAACCGATAAACCCTGGGGATAAGTAGTGGTTATTACTCGTTTCGTTTACGTCGCTGTTGAAGTACTGACCGACAGGAAAGAGCCCGCTTACAAAAAAGTTAGATCTATTTTTTTAAGGAAGATGGTACTTATTTAATCCCTATAGCTTCGATGTGGCTAGTGTTAAAAGATCAAGGTATGAGTAGGGGAGAACGCGCTGTAAAAGGCAACGAACGAGGAGATCAGCATGAAATTAATCTCTGTCGTGACTACGAGCAAGACTTCATTGGAGCTGAATTTGACGAGGAGTTTTGGTTAAGGGTAATGAATTTGAAATATATGTAAAATGACGAGTTTTGCTATTTTATTTTTCAGTTTTTTTGTGAAGCCGTTTATCCCTATAATGAATCTGTTATAGACCATTAGCTTGATCCATTTATCAAGGTTCATGAAAAGCAGAACGAAGGGTTGTCATGGAACAGAGCTATGGATGAAGTCCAGGTTGAAAGACTGATTCAGGAATACAAGGATAGTGGGGAACTGGATAGTGAGGATCCAGCACTCTCAATGTTGAAAAAGTGGCCTACATCCGTATACTTCAAAGATGATCCCGAGAAACTTCGTGGACTCGAGCAACTGGTATGTTTATATAGACTTACTTGTCCTGGAAATTAACTTTTTAAAGTACGGATCAGTTGGGGACTTAACAATTTTCTTCAGCGGCTATATAGAAATAGTTGGTTACAAAAAAGCTATGATAAAGGGATTTTTCTTCACAAAAAGATCATTACGTGAGGTTATAAAGATGTTTAGTTAAATTATTAAAAAGAAAGTTCCTGCTCGTGAACAATCACCAGTACTGTGCACAAAAGCACAGTCTATACAAACCTGACGACTTATAGAGGGATCCCGTTCTGCCCAACTGGCTTCGAACATTTTAGGTAAATGTGTCATATTTTTATGATAATTTTGATTATGTATTTTGTAGATAAATCGCTTTTTGGAGATTCTTTTAGAAAGTGAACTTAACTCAGGGAACAGATACAGAGTGTTTCAAAACGAATATGACAAAACAAGAAAGACCTTGATGCACCACGCAGCAGAGCTTGGTTTTTTTTCATGTCACAAAAACACTTGTGAGGAAATGTCCCCAGATGATAACCATGATAACAGAAAATCAACGGAAACCTGTGAAGAAAAGAGCCATGTTGCCCGTGGAATTGGCAATAAAAGGAGAGAAGGACGACGTGGCGGCCTTTCTGATCAGAGTTATGTCACATGAGAGGTAAAAACCGTTTACTTTATAAATAAACATGCATGTATTTTCCACATGGTAGAATTTAAGAAGCCAGGATATTATGGTCTTTAATCTATTTAAAATTGATTTCCAGGAAAATTGATATTCTGAAAAGTCCTGCTTGTGAGAAAAAATCAGTGGAGGTTGCTCTCCAACAATTTATTGTAATCCCATCCTTTGAACAAAATACCAAACCAATGAGGCTTTAGTATTGAAATAAATGAATGAAAAAAAAATTTTCCTTATGATAACTGGATTAAGAGAGCTTGGTTTGAGAAACCTGATCGAACAGAGCTTGGGCACCTATAGAGTATTTTTGAAGTAATTATTTATTTTGACTGTTACTTTTAGCATTCAAAACTTATTTTCCTGGACACCAAGCAAAATGACTGATCCAAAACCATCCTTCTTCAGTTTCAAGGCAATTATTGAGAACCCTAGGATGAAGGTGAGGTTGTTTTATGTACATATATTTAAATGTGCCACAGGTCTACTTTAGATGATGACAATGATGATGGTGGTGATTATTATAATTATTATTACTATTATTATCATTATTATTGTTATGTTGTGGTATGCAGCTACGTGGTAAAGATCAGATCCAGTAGTATTATATCTTGGATTATTGATGTTTTTTTTCTCTTTCACTGTAACTTACATGTTCTATAGAACTGTTTATAATGAAAAAGGTCATGACTGTGTTGTTCACAGGAAACAGTGGTGGCTGTACTAGACCAGATGATGAGCCCTCACTGGCCTTATCTTCCCCAACGACAAGAAAACTATGAAACTGAAGAAGAGAGGGAGGCAATTGAGGGAGTCTGGAATACAATTTCAGATGATCCATTAAACTATCATTTCTATTATCATATATTGGATGGAGATGAGGGAGGACGACCCCTAAAGATTTTGGATTCAGATGGATACAAGCAGATAGAAAACAAACATTTTAATTGGAAAGACAAGTCTTGTTTGCATGCCATTGCAAAGGGTAACAACAAAGTGAGATTCAGATCTAAAGACAATCAGATTTTAAGAAAATTTATCAGTGAAATATGTAATGTCTAGCTCTGTTATTAAAAAGACATCCAGAAAAAGTAGACACATTTTATACATGACTAATGCATATAACTGCAGAAATTTGATTCTTAGTTCACTATCACCTTAAGTTTTGGACAGAAATCAGTTTTTAATTTTATTTTTAGGAAGCTTTGCAGCATCCTGTGGTCAGAATGTTGATTAAAGCAAAATGGAAAAGTTATGGACACTTTTTTCTAAGGTATATGAGTTGTGTCTGTAGCCTCCATACTGTTAATTTTAAAAATAGCTGTATCAATTATTTATCAATTAAGGCATATAGGTGTTGAATTAGGTATTGGTTAACTTTTAAGTGTATCTAGGTGCAGAGAAAGAAAATTATTGTGTTTATTTTGCCACTACACACATTATCAGCTAGTGAAAGCACTTCTGTGCCGAGTGATTCAATCTTATTGTAGTATTCCTTGGAACACTATGAATGCATGTTACTGTCCAACTTTCTAAGCCTTTGATTTCTCAGGGGTTTATTTTAAAAAAATGGACAGGTTACCAAGAAATTTATGTTATATATCTTTATTTGAATTTCTAATATTGTGCCCTTTCTCCATGGTACTTTTGCAGAGGTAATTATCATTACTTTTTCTATTTTGTAGCCTTCAAGCAGTATTGTATTGCATCTTCTTGCTGTGCATGTCATATTCCCTGCTGCATGCCTCTACCAAACTGGACCCCACCCATTACAGCGGTGCACTGGACTCACTGCGTAGATTTTGCGAGGTTGTCACTCTATTTATGGTTGTGTTTTACATCTGTGAGGAAATAAATCAGATAAGAATGTAAGTAATTTAATGCTGAGTTAACATCAGATTGTTGAGTGCAGAAACGTGGAAACTTGTTAATATTGTTAATTATTATTTCACATTTACGCCATTTTACCATATTAGGAACGCACCAAGTATGCCTGGGTGTAGAAGAGGGCAAAAATACGGACAGAAAACGGAGTAACAAAATGACCGCTCTGAAGCATCCAAACACTTCTTTGTTTTCGTTTTTTTATAGTTAATTTTCTTAAAAAACGAACCTTAAAGCGCGTCAGATTTTTCTTAAGACATAACAACACATAAACGGTTCATTTGTGTTGTCTCACGCCTTATACAATCGATACGAAGTTCAGATTATTTTTTCTACCAAAAACCTGCGTGGAATGCTAGAAGAGGAGCGATTACATATACTAATCGTCTTATTTCTTGTATAGAGGGGCGTTCTTATTTCTCAGAGTGGATGACCTTGTTTGACTGGTTAGGCCTGCTGTTGATATTGTGTATAGTACCGTTACGATACATGGATCAGAAACCACAGTGGATGGTGACATCTTTAGCCTTCTCGTTTAACTTCATAAGAATATTCAAATTTTCATGTGTGTCAAGGTAACCTACAACTCCCAATTGATTGCTTGAGTTCGGAAAGAGCACTGATGAATTAAAACTCATCCCTTCGTCAATCTAACCTAACATTACATTAAATCTTTCCTAGGACTACAGGATTGTACACACAAACCTTGGCTAAGATCATTTTACTTGACGTCACAAGATCCATGGAAGTTTTTATTGTGATCTTTTTCTCCTTCTGTGGTGCCTTGACTTTATCACTTTGTTACTCCAGATCCTGTGAAAACCAAGAACTTCGGTGCGTCTCTGTTGAGTATATCTCCTATATCTCCTAACAAAGCTATGAAGTTGTACTGACAAAAATAATTTAGCCATCGTTTCTTACAACTCAGTAATATATTCGAGAATTTCCTTTGGAATTAGTTTAATTTGATTTGCTCTTTGCTGGTTAGATTTTGTATTTATTCAAAGAATTCTCGCCCTTTTGCAAAAGCAATTTACTGGTAAACATAACGCATGCAAAGCGCAAAAACCTAACATACTACTTTTAATTTGGATTTTTCTTTTAATGGTCTTGGAAACGTTTTGTTGAGTGGACTTCGTGCGCTGTTCGAGCAGTATCCAATGGCGGAAAATTACTCAACTTTTAAGTAGGTGCTACTATTCTTTAAAGATATTGCTTCTCTTTGCACGTAACGACTGCGTCGAACTGAGTTGTAAATGACAGTTCAAAGAGATCAGATATTAGGTCTTTAATAAGAAATTGGGCTGGATTTGGCTAGGCCTGCTGCACCATATGATAAGTAACTTATGCATTCGTTTCTTGTAGTTTAGCCGAAGTTTGTGATTATTTTTATTTTCCTGCAGCTGGCTGTCGGTTCTGTTAATGATGGCCTACATGGGAACAGTGACTGTGATTTTGCTCAACATTCTCATTGCACAAATGAGTACGACATACACACAGGCCAAAAAAGTCGCTCGTCTGGAATATGATGTGGATCGGATTTTACAGCTCACACGGATGGAGAGATTTCCTTTTCTGGTAAATATCCGTTATGTAATGAGAAAGAGCGTGAACAAGTTCACGCCGATTGCGAACGTGCAAATGCGCTGCGTATTCGTGCAAGTATAAATGAGAAAGCGGATTGGGCAAGCACAGTGAGTGACAGTGAACGACTTTTCTCTGTGCAGAAATTACGCGTGAAGTATTACAAGGAGGGAGGCTGGATCAGTGAAATGAATCTCGCACGAGGTCTGTAGTTTAAAATTTGATTTAGTCAGAATTTAGGCTGCCGAATTAGGCGTATTATGCTCTTGTGATATAATTGAAAAAGTTAGTTAGCGAATGGAAACTGATAATTAAACCAATTAAGAAGTTGCTGCTGAGTTTCGCTAGATTAAAAAGGGAAGAAAGGTTGCTCACGATAGAAGCCCTCCTCTTTCATTATTTAGAAGTCTTGAAGCAATAAGAGAGAGCATATTTTTTTGTTTCTTCTATGCCAGGGAGAACAATGTGCTGTATCAAGTCGATACTTTCCTACACCTATCAAATTGTTAAGAAACATAGAACTAAAACGTAATTCAAATTTTTAGCGCATTGATACATTGAAGTTTCTTTTTGTGTTGGTTTGCGATCTTGGCTTTTTTCTAGATCTTCTTGTATTCTATGAAGATCGTAATCCTTGGGAGCCAGTGGAAGAGAAAATTGAAGCAATCAGGTAAGAATAACGCTTTTTTACACCTCTTTCGACTCTTAACTGAAAGTGATCGAGCTCACAACGAGGACATCGGATTGGTTGACAAGGTGGCGCAAATTGTTTGGTCAAAATCCTTCCAATACAACTGTTCAACCTACCTAATCCACCTTACTCATTCGCTGTTGAGTATTGCAGCATCCTCCTAAGTGTGTGCTGCCTTTTCCAGGAATATGACGAGAAAGATTGTCAAACAGATGAGGCCTGGGCAAGATTAAAACAAGTGCTAGTAAACAATGACGACAACAAAAATAGAGCGTAGAGGAAAACTGAACGTCTCACTAGACCTCAAAATTTCACAATCCAGTACAAAACGCAAGAGGGCGCAAAAATTTAAGTTCATTTTAATTGTTTCGAAATTTTTAGTTAGATTTGATTTTATTATTCTCTTATTCATTGATTCGTTGATCAATATAATAAATTTTACGAAACTAGGTTTAGTGTTTTGGTAGCAATTAAACCCATAGAAAACAACTAAAAAACTTTTGGACAATATCTGTGTTCTTTTTCGGATGCCTTAAGTTAGCCTTTTCTGGTTTTCAGGTGCGAAAAATTTTCTAGTCTTTTGAGAATAGCACTAACTCTGTGTTTGGGTCACATACGCTATTGAATTATACCTAAAAAGCCTATTATAGTACATACTCCATTTTGTATAAAAGAGCTTTTTCAAATGTTGTACGAAGGTATTTCTTATTTAAGGGGAAAGCTCATATTGAACAAATCAAAAGTTGCACAGCAGAATTTCATTTTTAACTATCTTTTGTTTATAAACCAAATTTAAGGCACAGATTCACCGATGCACGACTGAGATAACTGAAAATGGCACCATTTTGTAAAATGAAGGGAAAATTCTCTCAGTTTTCCAAAGCCTGGATAGATTTTCATTGAATTTTATCCCCTAAAATCACCTATTTCTTTATTCTTCATTGAACTCATGCATCAAAGGCAATCTATTCTTAGCACTATGGTTTTCTGTCTACAAAGAATTGTATTCATAATGAAGTATGGGTGTGTGCAGAAATATTGCCTTAAAATGGGCATTACTAAGAACAATTAATAAATACATTTTATCAAGAGATACAATTGTTTGTCCGCTGTTTAACAGTATGATTTCAGTTTTCCGCCAACAGGGGATTCGATAAGGCGAACTTCTTTGTTAATCTGTAAACTTAAAACAATTTGTCTTGCTCACTCAAGATAGCGTGATAAACATTTTCTTCTCGGCTTCCTTGCTGCAAAGTTCCTACCAATAAGTCAACTTAATTACGACGAAAGAACGAGCTAGATCTTACAGATCAACTACAGTTTATCACTTTTCAGTTGGGAGAGATTTCCGTAATAGCCCCATACCTTGCTAAAGCAAAGCCGTACTCCGAAGACAATCTATTATTTCCGCCATTGTTTTCTTTACACAAGAACAGTTTGCATAATGAAGTATGGGGCTGTGCGGAAATCTTGCTCGTAATTATTTTTTAACACAATGAATCAAACATCAAAAAACAACGACAACAAGTACTTTAACAGTAGGAGCTAATTGTATTTACCAGTTTCTCTAATTCGTGCAGCGAATGAAGTGGAAATATAATTGCAAACAACACGATAATTATGGTAACACACTAAAGCCACAAAAAAGGCCTTCTGCAATGTCTAATGGTTCAGTCAGTCAAAAACCCACAGTTTCACAGGTGGCAAACTGTGTGTGGGTCAATTGTCTACCTCGACTCTACAGCATTAAATATCTGGTCCGAGTAGTACTCGTCGTATGGAATATTCAAGCTGGTATAGCAAGGGACCTTCCTTAATTTTTCCACCTTGTAGATTAAATACTCTTTTTTCGTTAAAACCATCTGGGATCCAATCATTCTTGGTCTTCTCTTTAAGGGAAACAATAATCAGTCTGTCCCTGACAAGGTCTTGGTTTTCTGTCAACTCTTCATGAATCACTTCACCGTCAAAAGAAACAAAGTCGTCGTCGACTTCTTGTTTCTTCTCTCGAATGAGGTTCGAAGCACCATGGGACCCAATAAGTACCACACAGTCACTGCGACGAAGTTCTTCCCTGAAATCTTGTCCTTCAGCAAAAATTCCAGTGATATTTCTCATATCTGCCACCCCTCGTAAGCGGCTGACTTGCAAATAATCCTTGAGTTCTTCAGCTTCGTCGCTGTCTCTCTCAGTATACAGAAACAAAACGTATTTCATTTTTATACCTGAATCAGGGCGTAGTGGTTAGATGGGGCTGAAGACTGAAACAAACCCTCTGTGGTTCGTCAGTGAATTGACAGTGACTCAAAGTGACGGTTGAAGAAAGCTTTTTGAAATCGTAGCGAAATCTTGGAACGTGAAGTCGATTTTATTCCACAAGAGCATCGGCCCGCAACTGGTTGCAAACGAACGCCCATCGTTTATTCCAGAATCACGTGTAAATTGCGTGCGAAATGAACGTGGCATTCATGTTAAATAGCATCTGCAGTTATGTGAATGCTGTCATCGGCACTTCTCAACTCTAATTTAAAGTGCTAAAATGAAGTTGCAGGCCGTTTTTCTCATTTCTTCAAGGTATCGGAAACTCTGATTAAACACAAAGTTGATATGACACCTTAGTTTTTAAACGAAGCCATGAAAAAAGACCATTTTCCAGCGAACATTTTTTCTCAGTTCTTGCCCTCTTTGATTCATGTAATTAGCGGCTCCATGAACGCAATGAAAAACAAAAGCGCTCGTCTAACATTTTTCTCCCCCTTTCGCCCGGAGGCAGGGTTTTTGATAACCAAAGGTGGAAGGACTATGCCTTGAAATTGTTGGTACAGGTGTGTCGCCCAGTTCTTCAGATCCTGACGTGTGTCAGATCTGAAATAAACAGGCCATTTTCCTCGTAAGTTTTCAGACTAGGCTTCTGAAAGCTATACCTAGTTTTGTGGTGCGTCAACATGTGTGCTTCCCGTCAGTCTTGAGGTCGAGAATTATTTATTAAAAATTCGCCCAAAACTTCATTTCGATTAATTTATTCAGTTACTTCCCTTTCTATCTTATCTATTTTTAACTCGTTAATTGTGCGCATGCGCAAGAGCGAGTTGTAGATATGATGCGGAGAATGGCACTCGCTCGCTCGATTGGTCGATTCCTGTAAGTGCATTTGATAGTTTTTGGCGTGTAATAAACAAACGAAATGGCGACCTTTGTTGCTAAGAATAGTGGTGAGGTGAAAAAGAAGCCAATGATGATCTTAAAAGAGTTATTTTTTTTCGTTTTAGTTTCAACGAGCGGCGTTAGCGACTGGAAGACGTGCGAGGATTCACACTGAAATAAGAGAAACACCTTCGTTTTCCATAAAATTTTATGAAATAATTCAAATAGTACGCGCGCTCTGATTGGCCATAACACCATTTTACATGAGCGTATGTTTACACGGTTTTCGTTCCTCTTTCATTAGTTATTTTATAAAAGAAATGTAAAATGATTTCCGTGTTTACATAGCCTGATGTAAACTCTTGGGAGGTTGGGAGAACACTCGATAAGCTGGAAACCACTCCGCATCGCATCGTGGTTTCCTACACTTATCTCGTGTTCTCCCAACCTACCGCGTGTTTACATCAGGCTATGTAAACACGGAAACCATTTTACATTTCTTCACTGTCAATTAGGGAGCGCATAAGAAAAAAAAAGCGCAAGAACATTTGAAAAATAACGGAACTAGTTTGGCTAGGACTGTCACCACAATATTTTCTTTAAAAACAGTCAATGATCTAACGGAAAGTATTATTCACTCTTATCCACGATTCATTCATGAGCGAAGATTTACCTCTGTTCATTAAGTAAACGGCGGGGAAATGCGAGTAAATTCGATTTTTTTTATTTTGAAGTTGTAAGAGTTTGTTCGTTTGTTTACTGCAATGGCGTGTGTAAACCTGGTCTTTCCTCCACGAAAACTAAATTCGAATGGCACACTCCAACGAAACAAACGGGGATTTAATGCGGCCTTTTCTCATTGAGCTCCTTCAGTTTCTATTGTGCAAGTTACGGTACAAATGTCCAAATTGAACAGACTCGGAAAGACTCACCGAGAGCGTAAATTTGTTGTAGAACTTAAATTAAATCTTCGCTCGCTCTTTTATTACGAACAAATTGTTTGAGAAAATCCAGATATTAAATGAATAAAAGTTGCATCGTTCAGTTTAACTGTAAGCAAATACTTCACGTTTTAACTTTCTATGTACTTTTTGTGAACGATTAAAATTAACTGTAGACGGTTTTTAGGCCGCTTGTCAACCAACGTAATTGACACTATTGCTTATACAAATTCACTCTGAAACCAATATTTTTCCGTCGATCAAAGTGATTTGAGAGAGAGAAAAGAGAGGATTCATAAGTTATTTATTGGCTTGAGGTAGTGACCGACGTGTTTGCTTAAAAATACTGCCCAGCCGAAAAAACGAGATATATTTATGAAAAATGGCAACAAAAGTTGGGACGTACTCGGCGACTCAAGAAAGCGTTACCGTGGCCCGTGGGCAGAGATAGGAAAATACTGACCGAGTAAAGAATCAATAAGATTGCAGGATTCGTTACCGTGCCCTCTAAAAAAAAAAATAAATGTTTAAAACACATGACATCATTCTCCCTTGTCAAATGTAATAGCATGATCATCTCAATTGTAATGCCTTCTTATCCCAACGTTACTTTGCTTCTTTGCTAAATTAGCGAACACTGAACTACTGCTCGTACTCTAAATATGACAATCAACCACAAAATTCCCTAAGCCAGATAACCTTAAACATAATCCAAAAATTATGTAAGTCATCTGTCAATTCACGAGTTTGCTCACAGAGCACTTTGATTAGTTGAGTGGGCCCTTGTGTTAAGGGTGTTGGGATAGAGTGGGCCTGGGAACAAACCAATCCAGTCTCCCGATCCTCCTCCAGCTTAAAGACATGGGAAGAGATGAGCAGGCGGCGGGCGGCTCGACTCGGCACACATTTTGGGTCAGAGGGAATCGTTGTGCATGCTAAATGTGGCATAAATTTAAGACTAAGAGGCGCGATAGAACTGGTTATAACTGATCTACAAATGTGGAAGGAAATACAGGATGACATCGAACGCGAACCTCTAGCTCAAACTGATCAGCAAGTGGATTTCATGGACATTAAATTTGACGAAGAGTTCTGGATCAAGGTAATCTAATATTCTTCAAGCTTATCATTGTGTGCTATAAAAGAGACCTAAAGTCACAACCTTCGCAGAAAAAGAAGCTATAAAACTAAACTGTCTGAAAATGATGGTTTTCAATTTAATCATTTTAAACGATATGCCATAAGTTCAAACAGTCTCAAATATATTACTTATTAAATACTCTTTAATTACCTAAATTAGGTTCTTTGTCCATTGGACCAACATTCTTGAGATTTACACTCGTTAATCTGGAGTAAAAAAATCTCTTAATTTATCAGCTAGGCTGTTCAGAAGTCTTCTACATCCAAGTTCCCTTAAACTATTTGAAATTCCATTTCAGAAGAAACACTGCATCTTTTGTTTTCAGAAACAAGGTACCATATGCTTTGATTTTAAATGAGCAGTTAGATTGGAAACAGTAATGCATCTGTTATAATCCTTTTTGGGATGTCACCATGACAATATCTGGAAGTAATTAATATAGCTGAAACTGACAGGTTCATCAAAAGCAGAATGAAGGATTATTGTCTTGGAATAGAGCTTTGGATGAAGTGCAAATTGAACATTTAATTCAAGAGTACAAGGACAATGGAGAACAGGAAGGTGAAGATCCAGCACTGTTGATGTTGAAGCAGTGGCCAGCATCTAGCCAGTACAAAGATAACTCTGATCAACTCCAAGGTCTTGGACAGAAGGTGTGTAAGTTAATTAGTGTTGAACAATACCCTGTTTGTTGATCTATACATTCAAGGTATTTGGACATCATTGACACATAGGCACATCTCTTTTTGAGAAGAGTTTTTTAATGCAATTGGTTTAATTTATATATTTATGTACAAATGCTTCTTTGCAGATAAATCGATTTTTGAAGATTCTTTTAGAAAGTGAACTCAACTCAGACAATAAATACCAGAGGTTCAGTGACAAAGAGGACAAGTTAAGGAAGACATTGCTGCACTACGCAGCTGAACTTGGCTTTTTGCATGTCACCAAAAACCTGGTGAAGAAATGTCCAGGGCTGCTGTATTTGAAGACAAGAGATTATAAGGATAAAAGGGCCATGCTACCAGTAGAGTTAGCACTGATAGCAGAGAGGGGTGAGGTGGCAGCATATTTGATAAGGATTATGTGGCATAAAAGGTACAGTTACTTGCTGTATTGAGTTAAGGGGAAATGGAATCAAAACAAAAACTCCCTTGCTTTTGAGTGTATTTAACTTTAAGAGCATGTTATTGACAAAGTTGTCCCTCTGAAAATCAAACTGCCCATTTGCTATCTAGTAAACCTTTATTCTTCTATGTTCTTGTCTAAATGAAAACATACAACATTGAAGGATGATACCCATCTTTTTGGAAAATTAAAGGATTAGTCAGTCTTGGTACAATACATTGCTTGCTTTGTCATTGTTGCTAGAGTCCAAGGCTTATTTTCTTGGAGACCAGATGGCAAGATGACAAATCCTCAGCCATCTTTCTTCAGCTTCAAGAGTATTATTGAGAATCCTAAAATGGAGGTGAGGGTTTTATATAATGGCCCATGTACAGTCTCAAAGACAGTCCATCAGTATACAGTTGTAATCTATATAAGGTAAACATACTTCACATACTTCCAGTTATATTGAGATGTTATTATCACAGAAGAGGCTAATAACAGTACTAGAGCTTCTGGTTTCTGTGCATTTTGCTCAGATGTTATTATTATGCCCCAGATGTATTGACATGTGTGGCTGTTTGCTGTGCCATAACAAACTTTATTATGAAAACTTGAAGGGGGTGATCATACACATTATTAAAATGGAATAGTGTGTAATCTATAGAATTTATCAACCTTAGAGATATTTTGTGGAACATTCATAGAAAACAGTAGTGGCTATACTGGATCAAATGGTGAATCCTCACTGGCCACACCTTCCAAAACACAAAGAAAGCTATGAAAATGAAGAAGAAAAGGAGGGGATTGAAGGGGCTTGGAACACAATCACAGATGATCCATTGGAATATCACTTTTTTTATCATATCTTGGATGGTGATGAGGGAGGACGGCCCCCAAAGATTGTGACCTCAGGGTGGAAAGAGAAGATAACTAACAAATATTTTAACAGGAGAGACAAGTCATGTTTACACATGATTGCAAAGAGCTATAATAAGGTAAGGCTAAGAACAAAAAAAATTTGTTTATTAAGATTGTGTATTTTATTTTGTTGCTGAGAAGGTTTTCACTTCTAACCTTAGGAGGCTTTGCAGCATCCTGTGGTTAGAATGTTGGTTAAAACAAAATGGAAAAGTTATGGACACTGGCTTTTAAGGTAGAGTTGATACAATTACTTATTATCAAGGTGGTAGAATTCATTGTAGTGTGTATTCAATGTTGATTAAAAGCATCTAGCATTGGCACATAAATGGATGGGAGTGGTTCTTTATCTACTGATTCCAGGCAAAAGAGAGATAACTCTGGTATTTATGATAATGATCATAATAATTGTTAAGTTAGAGGGTTGATTATTTTTTGTTTTAGAGAGGAAGACTGATGATTCAACTTAGAGAAAATGCTGTAAGGATTATAAGAATGGGAAACAAAGCAAACTGAATGAAATTTTTAATAATCAAGTCTTACTATTACAGCCACAGTACTTAACACACACAGTGAGCAATATGTAGAGATAGTTCAAAAGAGGTGCAAGCTGCTGGATTTTTATGCAGTTGCATTATTTAGATCTAATCCTGTTACAGAGATAATTAAAAGTAACTCAACTTCATAATTTAGTGTCTGACTTTTCTTATCAATGTCCCCTTCAGAAATTACAGTTTTTTGTCCTAAATTTGGTATTAAAATATTGATGCTTTCCTCTGGAATTTATACAATCTTATAAATCTTGTTATTGCTCAACAGTCTTCAAGCAGGATCCTTTGTCATGTTCTTGCTGTTCTTGTCATATTCCCTGCTGCATGCCTCTTCAAAACTGGACCCCACACAGTACACTGATGTACCAGATTTCCTGCGAGGATTTTGTGAGATTGTCACTATTGTTATGGCAGTCTTTTACATCTGTGAGGAAATCCATCAAATGAAAATGTGGGTAATTATAGCTACATATAGCTATAGGTAATCCTATCATATATTACACTGACTCAACATAACAACCTGTGAACTGAAGAGCAAGGTGAATAATTTAGTCCTTATTTATCTTTCAATAAACAATGCACAGATATTTGTCTGCTGACATTTATATCTGTTCTAAGATGTGAACAGTTTTTCAAGAGGGATTACTTTGAGGAAAACTGTGAGCTGTGAGGAACAGATAATCTCCAGGGATATTCCCCAGTTTAGATGGGGAATATTTGGTCATGTGATGCCTTTAGACCAATCACGCAGGATGAGCAAAAATATTTGATGGGTTATAAGTATTGGTCTTACAGCATCCTATTTTTGCTACAGTCCCGTCACAGGGTAAACGTATCTTAATTTGTCTGATTTCCCACAGAGAAAGGCATTCCTATTTCACAGAGTGGTTAACCTTGCTTGACTGGTTAGGCCTGCTGTTGATCTTGTGTATGATTCCCTTGCGATATGCTGAGAGTGATATACAGTGGCTGGTGGCATCTTTAACTTTCCTGTTCAACTTCCTGAGGATATTTAAGTTTTCTTGTGTAACAAGGTAAGGTAGCCCACAATCAAGGTTTACTTTATTGGAGCATTTGCTACTTACCTCCAAATTTCCTCCTTGTATAAGCAAATCTGTAATTTATCACAACGAGTATTTGATGTATCGTTATGCATATTCCGTACTTTTAAGATAATTCCCGTTCGCTGTCTTGATTTAAGTCATAAGTAGTCCGCTGCCTCATCTTTTTCAGAACCACAGGATTATACACACATACTTTGGCTAAGATAGTTTTACATGACGTCACAAGATCCATGGCAGTTTTTGTTGTAATCTGTATTTCCTTCTGTGGTGCCTTATCATTATCGCTTTGTTACTCAGATCAAAACCAACCGTTCAGGTGCGTTTTCAATATTTACTTGTTACTTCAGTCCAGGTTGTAACTCGGGAATGTTGTGTACGATACAAATTGCTAAAAATATTTAATTTACCTTTAGTGGCTTTGGGGATTTGATGTTGAGCGGATTTCGTGCTCTGTTCGAGCAAAAACCAATGCTAGAAGATCACTTACATTTCAAGTAAGTGGTGGTTAGCGTTCTTTCAGGTAGTTTTTTATAAACGGACTATTTTGTTTCCTCCTTTACATAGTTGGTTCAGGCAAATTTACCTTCAAGAATTGAATATTTTTTTCTCCTTGCAGCTGGCTGTCAGTTCTGTTTATGATGGCCTACATGGGCACGGTGACTGTGATCCTTCTTAACATTCTCATTGCACAGATGAGTACGACCTACACTCAGGCCAAGAAAGTCGCTCGTCTGGAATATGATGTGGATCGTATATTACAGCTCACGCGCATGGAGAGATTTCCTTTTTTTGGTAAGTGTTCAGTGAAAGAGCCTATGAGAATCGAGCATTGAGAGGCATGTGCTGGTTTGTGTTATTGAGACCATGTGCGATCACGAAAGTAATTGAGAATGCGAGAACGGATGTGAGGAAGTGATTGATTTTTTTTGTACGAATTTTCTCTCTGCAGAATTTGCGCACTAAGCATTACAAGGAGAGAGACTGGATCAGTGAAATGAAACTCGCAAAAGGTCGGTATTAAAATACTTTGGAATAATACTGCGGTGTTAAATATATCATCTTAAGCTGTTGTCAGTTGGAATGGAGACTCGTAAGAGAATAATAGGGCGTTGTTACTGGGCCCGGGTGAAGCAGCGTGAAAACGATAAGTTGGGCAGTCTACCGGTTATAAACTTTTTTGATCAGTGAAAGCTATGAAGTAAATCTGAGAGATAATTTTTTCTTCTATTCTTTGTTATTTCTCCTCCACGGTAGGTAAGGAAGTCAAATGCTGTAAGTTTCTTTTTGTAAGAGTTTTTCATTTCTGTTTGTTTTGTAGAACTTCTTGAATTCAGTGAAGATCGCAGTCCTTGGGAATCGGTCGAAGAGAAACTTAATTCGATAAGGTAATGAAAATTTTTCAATTGTTTCCTTTTCTCGCCGTAAGGTTATTGTTATTCATGGATCCAATGAACCAAACAGAGCACATTTTGATTGAGAGTCATAATACCAAAATTGAACTAACCATACCGATAATCATCTCAAAGGAAGTATCAGAAGGAGCCAATTAGAAAAAGAATTGGTGGAGTAAATTGCCCCAAACGCTGCTAAACTTTAGCCATACCGATAATCATCTCAAAGGAAGTATCAGAAGGAGCCAATTAGAAAAAGAAATTGGAGTAAATTGCCCCAAACGCCGCTAAACTTTAGCGGAATCATTGGATTTCGAGATTAATTTTTAATTTCTCTGAATTCAATTAGAAATCATTCCTATTCTTTTTTCTTTTTCAGGGATATGATGAGAAAGATGATAAAACAGCTGAGGCCTGGGCAAGATTAATACTAAGATTAGTACCTGTGTACATTCCATTAATAGAAAGTTGATCTGTGCCACTTTTTTTGGCCATTATCTTCACTTGATCATTGGATGTTAACTGCCTTTGAGGGGAAGAGAGAGAGTGATGGTTATCATGATAATTTCGTCAGATTGCTAACTAAGCTGCAATTAAGGCTTTTCTTCTAAATCAGGGCTTTTATGTTAAAAAAAAAGTAACAACAACAATCATTGAGAACAAATGTGGTGAGACAGGTGATTCACCTACAAAAAAATTGCGTAACCATGTGAGAAAAAACGAAGCCGACCAAAACAGCTCAATTCAAGAAGAAAATACGGGAAATGATGATTCAATGCAAATCGGTATGATACAAGGATTAAAATTACTAAAGTCCGCTTTCCAAGTTATCTTGCTTCCACGTCCATGTCACAACCAGTCTAGTTATTTACAGTTCTGTGAGTGTATAGCCAGATGTACATTTTCAATTCTCAGGAAACTCTAACATTTCTTGAGCTTGGTAAGGGTCTGTTTTAGTCCTCTCAGGAAATATTTCATGACTAGGTAACTAACTATCGTCTTCTCGTTAACATGTTAAAGCAATGAACACTTTCGGGGGGGAGTTGTTCGCCTAAGGTTGTGACAGTGACACTTTATTTTTCGCACCAACTTTCTAAATCAAGCGGTACTTTAACAATGGATTGATTGCACACTTTCGGTCTTGATCGCTGAGTTAGTCAAGAATCTAATGATTTATAATTATTTGTCTTTTGATTGCAGTTTCCGTGGCATTTCCTTCCATCCTTTATAACACATTTCTTAGAATTTAAACTTAATTGATTACACTCTGATCAAATGTCAAAAAGATCAATTTTCGAAGTATCTGCCTGCACACTATATGAACGTTAAATATTTAATTTATAATGTAAAGGACTGCCGCAAATACTGCTCAACAGCGCAAAAACTTATCAAATCGAAGTCCCTTTAAACGTCTTTCAGCCTCAGTTTCTAGAAGATTACTTACATTTCAAGTTTTCATGTCTCGGAGTTATGAAACGGTAGGTTCTCTACATCATAAAGGAGTCTCCAAGCAATATTTTCCTTATTGAATACTCAAGCTGGTACAGCAAGGGACTTTCCACAATTTTTTCGCCTTGCAGATTAAAGATTTTCTTTTCATCGAGACCATCTGGGATCCAGTCATCGTTGGCTCTTTCCGTTGTCAAGTATACAATTATCAGTTTGTCAATAAATTCTCTGTTTCCTGAGAACTCTTCGTGTATTACCTTTCCATCAAAAGTAAGAAAGTCGTCGTCGGCCTCTTGTTGTTTGCCTTTGATCAGGGAAGAGGCGTGGCGTGATCCAACCAAAACGAAGCAGTCCCCATGGTAGCGAAGGTCACATCTGAAATCTTGTTCCTCAGCTGATATTTGGGCGATAGTTCTCAAATCTGCTATGTTCCGCAGCCTTCCCTGCAAGTAATCTCTTAGTTTTCTAGCTTTGGTCTTCTCGCCTTCAGTGTGCAGAAACATCACGTACTTCATTTCTGACCTCTTGAATTCGGGTGTGCGAGGGTACTGAGAAACGAACAGAGAAGCACTGCACACCAGGGTTCGTTTTTGAACTTGAATAATTCAAATTTGACTGAAACAGACTGGTATCTCTCAATCTTTGAGATAAGTAGCCCAAAGTGCAACTTTCAACCATTAAGTGCAAGTGAAAGAGAGCATTCTCTATTCAGCTATAATATATACCAAGGGCAAACGTGCGAAATGATCATGATTTGAATGGTTACGAGAAAAATCTGACTCGCTAAATTTTATTTCATCCCTGAATTTGCATATGAGAAAAGCAAATGCATGGGATTTCCTTACCGTTTTGATTTGAGGTGTGAGAAACTCTCAGGTGACACCTCACACAAATCGTAGTCCCGAAAGCGCACATCAAAATGCCGCGTCGACGACATGCACTACTGTATGATCTGATCCACTGGAAGTGGGAAGCAGTTAGTGCGTGCATTCTTGTTTAATTTCACAATTCTATACGTGCAAAGTTTTAACAATACTTCACGCTGCTTGGTTTGCATTGAACGGCAGGAGTTGATGCAAGATGGTGCAACCAAGTGGATCGGACGAATCTTTTGCGTGTGCATTTTTCTGTAAACTCTAGGCAAGAGGTATATAGACGAATCAGGAATTTGCAATTGTTCCAGCGTTGGCTGGGAAAGATATATAGTCTACTGTTTTCGCACCTGTTCTTATCTATCAATGAATTGCTTGCATCGTGAACTAAGGGGTTGATGGAATTCTTGCTGAATCGTTTTTAAATTTAAGTTTTATACATTATTTGTCCGTTTTATTATTGACTTCAGGCCTCCAGGCGCTCTACCGCGTGTAGTAAGTTTACACACGGTATATTGTGGGGTGTTCTTCTACCTTTAAAGATTATGATGTAATCAGTTTGCTGCTTTAGTCCGCAGTGCGCGCGATTCACCACTCGCCATCTTATTTACGTTTAAACAATCAAATATCGCGTACAGCCGAGCATCCAGATATATCCCTTGATATTTATTTGTTATTGATAACAGATAGATGGCATTGACCTAAGCTCGATCAGTTTTACTTGGTCTCTTTTCACGTAACAAATCTCGCTTTAAGATACGCTTACTTTTCCGTTATTCTTAAAACATTTTACGGTAAGTAGTATCTGCAAGTCTCCCCACTTCCACGACCATTGCATGTGCTCAAAGAGTTTGCGCAGTGATCGTAGCCATTTATTATTTTTGAGAGGAAAATGGTCACAAGGGATCCTTTGCCTGATTTGTCTACGCATGCTCTGTGAGCAACCGCTGTGCCATCAGTACTATTCGTACCTCGCTGCACTGGTTGTGAAGAAACTGTGTGAGACTCCAAGAACTGCATTTAAATGACAACGTGCGAAAATTAATTTTGGATATGGCCGGTAATTAGGGATTTAAAATGAGTAAAGAAGATCAAGAACTGTTGGAGCAAAACGGAGAAATTGTCAACAATAATCACGAACCTCAGCCTGAAGTTGACGTTTCTCATCCTCGAGAGGATGGCTTTCAACATGAATATGACGAGGAGTTCTGGCGAAAAGTAAGCTTAATCAAGAGATTAAAATCCTTTATCAGTTAAATCTTAAAAGCTTTTTGAACCTCTAACCTATAGAATTTTAAACTTCGGCATATAACTTAATTTATGAACGACAATGGCGAAAGGAAATATGAGAATCTGCATGACTACCATTGTTTTGGTTCCGTGAAATTTATGGGAACCTGTTTTGGTATTTGCTGCTTTCATCACTTGAATGACTTTTAAATACAGTGGAAACTTTAATCTGATTATTTCTCAGAAAATTTGATCAGTTACGTGTAGATTGCATTTCAATGGCCGCGAAATCCATTTTTAAACATTTCATTCCTTCACTCGTGTTTTTAGAAAAACAGTGGTGATGACATGGTAATGGCAATAATCTTTGCAATAAAATCCTTGCTAGGCTTTTCTTATTTGCCATTTGCGGCTGTTCTCCTAATCCACCATAAAAGGAAACACCTGTCACCCCTTTGTGTGTAGGTTCGTTGTAGGCAGAGTCAAGGACTGTCATGGAGTAAAGCCATGGATCTAATTTCTGTTGAAAGACTGGCCCAGAAGTACAGAGATAATGGAGAATTGGAAAGTGAGGATCCAGCACTTGTGATGCTGAAACAGTGGCCAGCATCTAAACAGTACAAAGAAAATCCTGATAGATTGTTAGGCCTTGAACAGAAGGTAAAATTATATGAGTTTTGTTTGAGTAACTCGTCGACTAATTTTATCATCGTGTGGCATTGAAGGGTATGTGAGCACGTAAAAAAAATCAGGTGGCACTTGACATAGTGAAATGGTAGGTACATGTGAAGTGCAGTATTAGAAAATAAGAATTTCATGTGCATGATCAAGCCTGGGTTAATGCCATCAAACAATTGAATATCTTTCCAGCAAAGTAACCCAATGTGTGATGATAACATTGAGACAATGAATTCCATCATTAATCAATAATTACACCCATGATGTTGCTGTCTTGCAGATAAATAATCTTCTGGAGATTATGTTAGAAAGTGAACTAAATGCAAATAACAAATACCAGACATTCAGGGATAAAAAAGACAAAGCAAGAAAGACATTGTTGCACTATGCCTCAGAACTGGGATTTTTACAGGTCACCAGAACATTTGTAGAGAAGTTTCCTGTGCTTCTAACTATGCAGACAGAAGTGGTTAGGAAAAAGAGAACTATGTTACCAGTTGAGTTGGCTTTAGTATCTGGAAATGATGAGGTGGCTGCATATTTGATCAGGATGATGTGGCATGATAGGTATGGTGCTTACTGAAACTATAAAGAAATTGTTCCCTCTTGTTTAATTAGCTAGGAAATGTTCTCAAATAGAGCTTTCAAGGCAAGGTGGACCTCTCCGTTTAACAATCAACTTTTTTGCTTGCTTATTCACCTGGAAAAGCTCAACACCAAGCTACATTTACTTAAGCTCCAAAAGGGTAGCTCAGTTTCAGAATTCTTTTAGGGCTGTTTTTTAAAGCATCTTTCCAAGGAAGAAAAAAACTTGCAAAAGAGCCTGAAATATTGAAATGACATAAATTTTCCTAGTTTAAGTGTTGTGGAATTTATATTTTTTAACATTTACAGTATCTTGCTGTCACCAGGGTCCAGATGTTGTTTGTTTGGAGACCATTTAATATGACAAATCCTCAGCCATCTTTCTTCAGTTTTAAGTCCATTATTGAGAACTCTAAAATGCAGGTAGGTATTTTGAATTTGTGTATTTATCAACTGAAAAAACGCTCGGCGTGTTCCTATAAAAACACATGATTAAAGCATTTTATGATAACTTGTTATGAACAGATCTCTTTCTGTAAATTGTGACCCTCATGCTGAAATCTTAATAAACATATAGCTTAGATTTTAAGTCATGCATGTCATCAAGGAAAACCACATCTTAGCTGTATAATTTTACATTTAATTTACAAGTACCATTCAGAAATTGAAAGCTGGCATACACTGTATGCATGTGCTTTCCACAGAAAACAGTCTTAGCTGTTCTGGATCAGATGATGCTCCCTCACTGGCCACACCTTCCAAAACGGAAGGATAGCTATGAAAATGAAAAAGAGAAGGAGGTAGTTGAGGGTGCCTGGCGTACAATCACAGATGATCCTTTGGACTATCATTTTTATTATCATATTTTGGATGGTGACGAGGGAGGAAGGCCCCCAAAAGTCTTGATGCTAGAAGGACATGGACAGACAGATAACAAATATTTCAATTGGAGGGACAAGTCTTGTTTACATGTCATTGCGAAGAACAGAAATAAGGCAAGGATAGAATTTTTTAAAAAAATGATCATTCTTTGTTTAGTTCTCACACAATGTGTATTTGGAGAAATGCTCTTAAGAGTTAAGAACAACCAACACATCCTGTGAAAAGATTTTGGAATGGTACACGCAAGAAAATTTCTTGTTGCTCTAGTTTTAGAGCACTTATATTCTTACCTAGACATTTCCATTTGGCTTCACAATTTTTCAGGAGGCTCTGCAACATCCTGTAGTTAGAATGCTGATTAAAACAAAATGGAAAAGTTATGGACACTTTTTTCTGAGGTAATTCTTAAAATTTAGATGTATATTAATCACAAAGGAAAAATTGAACAGTTTTTTTCTGGATTATCATTTAATTCACTTAAATATAAAATTGTTATGCTGATGACCAGAGCTACCAGAGATGTATCAGAACAGAAGAAGGGTTAACAGTGGATTTAAGGAGCAGAAAAAGACTTTTAGTTTAAAATAATAAAAAAGTCATGTAAGGATGTTGTTTGCGAGTCCTGACCTTCTTTTTGCAAAAGAGGAACATGATAAATTGTGTCTTAGCAAGATGTCATGATATGGCTTGTTGATCATTCACTAAAAACAGTTAAAATAGAACATAAATTAAAGCAAAATAATGGTTAAGTACAATTTAAGAATTACATGTACTTATACAACTTGTAACCTTGTTTTTTACTCAGCCTTCAAGCAGCATTGTGTGTGTTTTTTTTGCTGTGTTTGTCATACTCTCTGCTGAGTGCTTCCACAACAGTAGACCCCACCCAATATGGGGGTGAAGCTGATTCACAGCGTGGTGTTTGTGAGATTTTCACCTTAATTATGGTGGTCTTTTACGTATGTGAAGAAATTAATCAAATGAGATTGTAAGTATGCAATTGTAGAGATTGTGAAATAAGATTAGAACACCATGTTTCCCCAAAGCTTAGGACATTTTATCATTTATAAGTGTACATGCAAGTTGTAATAGATTAGGGAAGACCTGGTAGCAGTTTAGAGGTGGAATTAATTATTTTACACCCAACTTTGAGCGTTAGTCCTTTGTCAGATTGAGTGGAGGAATTGTAGGTATTGTTTGATTTGAGTGCTGGAAATTGATGAGAACATGGTAAGGTGAAAAACACAAGAATGAAATGGTTGAATGAACAGTGTGCTTTGCAAACCTTTATTTCGTCTGATTTCCCTTAGAGAGGGGAACTCGTACTTCACAGAATGGATGACCCTGTTTGACTGGTCAGGCCTGTTACTGATCCTGTGTATAATACCCTTGCGGTACACACAAAGTAAAGCTCAGTGGCTTGTGGCATCTTTAGCTTTCTTGTTCAACTTCCTAAGGATCTTTAAGTTTTCTTGCTTGACAAGGTAAACTGCATCATAAGCTACGTTTGATAGGTTTGAGAGAATGTCAGCAAATTAGAACAAGAAAATCATATCTGTGAAGCATACTCACACAGTTGGCTTAGGTTTGGATTTTGGTTAACAAGCCTAATTTATAATTAAGGCAACCCCACCATCTTGGCACCTTCATGATGGAAATTTGGAAGTTTTTAAAACGTCTCAACGAAAAAAGATATAGAATAGAAAGATTAAAAAAAGCGTCCTAGGAGAGGAGACAAACGGGAGTAATGAAATTAAAAGAATAAAGAAGATTGGCAATTTGTTTAAAACAGCCAAATGCTTTCCATGAAGGCGACGCATGGCAACGTATCCACCTCACCTGAAATTTTATTAGAAGACTGTTGAAAACTGTTATATTCTTATTAAGTATAATTCGAACATCATTATGTATCACATAACATGTGTCCTTAATGTAATAGAACCGTGTATATTTTTTTTCAGGACAACCGGGTTATACACAAAAACCTTGGCTAAGATCATTTTGCACGATGTGACAAGATCCATGGCGGTTTTTATTGTTATCTTTTTCTCCTTCTGTGGTGCTTTGTCTTTATCGCTCTGTTACTCCGATGAAAACCAACAGTTTAGGTATGTCTTAATCTTGCTTGCTTAAATGCTACTGAATAAATGTGTTGAATTATTTGGTTGGCTGATGTTTACTCTGCACTATCTGCGAATTTTAGTCGGATGAAATGTATATGATAACACCTGAAGTGATTTGAAATTTCTGTTAATGTATTGAAGATCAGTCTATGTGTTACAGTCCATGCTAAATCTATTTTTTTACATTAGTGACTTCGGAGATGTGTTATTGAGTGGCTTTCGCGCGCTCTCTGAACAAAGACCAATTGCTGACGATTATTCAAATTTCAAGTGAGTTGATTTTTCTCTAAAAGGTCGAATATGTTTTTACTCCGTTTACTTGTTCAGATCTCTTTACCTTAAGATGAGTTTATTACCGGTAAGATAATAGGTGAAGCTAACCACGTAAGAGCATTTGATTTATTCCTTGCAGCTGGCTCTCCATTCTGTTAATGATGGCCTACATGGGGATCGTGATAGTGATTCTACTCAACATTCTCATTGCACAAATGAGTACGACCTACTCAAAGGCCAGGAACGTCGCTCGTCTGGAATATGATGTGGACCGTATCTTACAACTCACACGCATGGAGAGATTTCCTTTTCTGGTAAATGAACATTCTTCGCTAATGAAATCGTAGCGTTTCATCATTAAGCGTGCACCGATGTTCGTGATTGACGCTAAGTGGCAGCGTGTATTAGCGCCATACGTGACTGTGAGCGCGAGGAGAAGAACGTACCGTTAGGGCAGGAGGGGGCTTAGGTATAGTTGTATTTTTCTGCAATTGAGGGGTGGCCTAATAGACTTAATCACTTTTACATCTTTTCTTTATGCAGAATCTGCGCGTGAAGTATTACAAAGAGGGAGACTGGATCAGTGAAATGAAACTCGCCCAAGGTCTGCGTGAAGTATTTAACCAGGACTAGTTTCACGATAATTTTTATGCGTAGCAATCGGGAAAAACATTTTTTTTTAGTCTTGTATCCTATTTGTACTTCTCTGAACGAAGGGAGATGAAGAAGACCTTCGGCTCAGTTGATACTCAGTTATAATAGAAAAGGAGTAATCTTTCTCGTGCCTTAACAGCTGTTAGGTTCTTTATGTTCTTAAATTTGATCTTGGTTTGTTTGTAGATCTTCTTGAATTCAATGAAGATCGCAACCCTTGGGAGTCGGTGGAAGAGAAACTTACTGCGATTCGGTAACAATTAATTGCTTTATCTTATTTCCTATCTTTCCTGCTATCGGCCTAATTTTTGAACTCGTTCTCTCATTACTGGACTTTCGAAAAGATCGACTTCCTTGTACTCATCCTTCTTTGTTTCAGCAGTCATGTTTCACACCTTCTGTTTTATTTTCTTGTACAGGGATATGATGAGGAAGATGGTGAAACAGATGAGGCCTGGAATCAGATGAATGGAGCTTTGTGTGCCCTAGTCCCCTTTTTATGCGCCTATTTCTTTAGTCATTTAACTGGTAATTTTTATACAACAACGTTGACGCCATGAGATTGGTTGAAGGCTCTAAGCCTTATCTGCCTCTTTTCTTATTTGTTTTCTGTGGTATATTCGTAAGAAAACAAAAGAAAGGCTAATGAAAATGAGTGGACGTAAAGGGGCCAGTCAGTTCTAAAAGCCAAGTGTAGTATAACATACGTTTAAGCAAGTCGATTGGTCGTAAATAAACGTTTAGTACACAAATAAAAGGAAACACCACTGAGCTTTCTTAAAACTGTTTGAAAAGCTTCATTTTGTATCCGACACTCTTGACAGTAAACTTGAGTGTGATTAACATTGTATGCTTACGAAAAATGAAGGTCAGCTTTGAGAGAGTTAGCTTATAGAAATTACTAGTTTTTGCTTTGTTTTATATAACCACAAGACTTCTCCCACAGAATTATTTATGAAATGTGAGGTTAATTAGGAGATATTTAGTTTATACAGAGTTCTTTTATTTATCATTTTACCACGGATACTTTTATTGAAGAGTTTAGCGTACAATGAATGAAAATAAACTAAAATCAACAAGGACTATTGTGGGAAAGACTTCTTTGGGTTTCATTTCGAATAGAAGATTTATCAGTAGTATTTTGCAAATTTGCTACGTCGTACTGTCAGTCCTACTGACTTCAAAAACTGAAATGAAGAGCTTCATCGTAATCTTAGTGGTGTTTATGTATGCAGTAGGAAGTCAAGTGAAAGGTCCTGAGTTGTAAAATTGGTATACGTGACTTGCACAGACAAAACCAAAAAAAAGACAATTAAAACAAGTTAACAAACACTACGTCGATAGTAGGTCAAGAGGTTGTCAGTCTACGGCACTCGAGAGAAAGAATTGAAATCACTCGAGGAGAATGAATCATCTGTCGCACACATGAAAGCTTGGTCCAATATACCAGAAAACATATAATCCGCAATGAGTAGCAAAGCCTCAGCGGGCTCTACTTTCGAATTTTGGCAAAAAAATTATATTTATCTCCCGTTCTACCCCATCTTAATATTGCTTGGTGTTAACAAAATAGGTTACTTAATTTTTTGCAACACTTTTTTAGGGGGAAAAAAGGGACTTTTAAGTATTAGACATGGATTACAAGATATCTGTTTATTATGTTTAATGCATGGAGGGTTGTCGACTACCCACTTAAGGGAGGCGTTCCAACTGCTTTTGCCACTCAATGTAGCTTTACCAATCGCCTCGATAATGGGGCTGTAGATTCTTTTGATTGAACTTACTAGTGCAATAGGATTATTTCAAAGGGGCTCAATAGTTATCCACGAGCAAATAGGCTTAACAGTCTTTTTAAAAAACTTTGCACATGTCGAATGATCGTTTCATTTCCAATTTTAGTGCGATGCGAAACGTAAAAGAATCAGCCTTGTTAAATTTATCATTCTCTTCTGGGGCTTTAAATAAGGCTGAGGTCCTACTATCCATCTATTTTTGTGAAATTTTGATTTTATATGGCATATTTTTACCTATATCAACATTGGCCTAATAAGTAGCCACCTGATTCAGACACGCATAGCTCTATTCGCTATTTAACCTCTGTATTTGAAAAGAGATCATATTCAGAAAAAAGTCTATACCCGGGAAGGAGTATTTAAATTGAAATTCCAGAGAGTTGTTTATCAAGGAGAAATACATTCCCTTCAATGGTTTCAATAAATGCAAGGCACTTTCACGGGCAAAAGATATGAGTTTGTCATACACACTGAGATGAATCGCTCGCGCATTTTAAATAAGTAATTGGTACTGAACTAAGGCCTAACTGGAAAAAAAAATCAGTGAAGTGAGTTTTAACGAGTATTGGGTTAGCAGTTACCGTGAGGAAGCCACCCTATATTGCCATATGATGACAATAAACAAATCTAACAGATGAGGAAAAACAAACGGAAACATTTCAAAAAAAGAAGACATGCTCCCCTTCTTTGGCTGGAGGACTACAATATAAGACAATTTCTTTATCAACAGTCAGCATTCTCCTTCTCATCACAGCATTTCATGGCAATTTTCGTATCCTTGCCGCCCTTCACAGGGAATCTTCCCTTCATCCGCCGTCCAAACACTTGTATCGTTGTCTGGCAACAACTGATCTGTTGTTGGTCTTGTTAGCCAGCCCTTCAATGCTATTTATTGGATGCTCGTGGTTCACAAACGATACCCAAGGGACGCAGCCTACATAACAAGCTATGCATTATGTGTAGCTCTGTGATGACGATGGCGGCCATAAGCTTGGACAGACTTCTCGCCCTGTTGTTGTGGCTTTGAAGCCCACATATATTTAGGTTTTATCTGATGCCGCTGTTTTGAGCTTCATTTTAAATTACATTTGGTATACTCACGTAACCAGGCCATCTTACTTATTGATATCAATCACTTCGTACACAAAGATTTTTGGCGCCCTTAGTCATCACATATATTGTTTTAACTACCTTTTGGATTGCAGCTGCTGTTGCTGCTCTATGTACCATTTTTGATCACCGTATAACCTTTTTTATGGCATTCTAATTATACCATCTTGTCTGGTTTTCACTAGCCTCGTACTCAAAGATCTTTCACACTCTCGGTCGTAATGACGCTTGAGTACAAAATCACGTTTCACATCAGCAAAGCCAACTAAACGCACCGAACGCAAGTACAGTTATTTTTTATTGTTTGTTCTGTGCCATATGGTGTTATGGAAATCGTTACCAGCTATAACAAAACATATTCATCACATGTAGCTATCTTTTGGGAAATAGCAGTTTCCATACTTTACTTTAACTCAACGTCAAACCCGTTGAAGTAATACAAACACTGAAGCAGATAATCAGACAAGCTCTCTGCCGTCCATGGACTTAAATCCCGTTTGAGTTTCAATGGCCGTATTGCTTTACAAAGTTACGGTTATCATAAGATATTCGATTTCATTAGCGTGCAAACTGTTGTTGGTATGATCTATTTCCATATGAAAGACAACGAACGATAACCTTAAACATCCCAAGCAAATCATTGTTGAAGTGAAGACACTTATCTTCGGTACAACAAAAGATGAATAAGGAGAAAAGCCTCTTGCACGTATGGTCTAGAAACAATTGCCTGAGTGATATCAATCCTCACCGAACGTTAACTAAGTAAAGAGGGTTTTTCTTTGCCATACTATTCAAAAATGATGATAACAGAATTGTTAAAGTGAAGGTACTTATCTTCGATACAACAAAAGATGAATAAGAAGAAAAGCCTCTTGCATGCATGGTCTAGAAACAATTGCTTAAGTGATACCAATCCTCAATGAACGTTAACCGAGTAAAGAGGGTTTTCTTTATCATACTATTCAAAGATGATGGTAACTGATGTCTTCAAGCTTGCCTCTCAATTCTTATTGATACCTGAGGCATATGGAAAATTCGTGGAACAAATTTACCTTTTTTGACACCCCACACGGTGTTTTTGTGTATTTCAGCTAGACAGGTGCTTTTAAGAACAAAAATCTCTCGATCGTTACAATTACAAGTAACCGTAAGGGAAAACGTACATCGTTTGCAGAATGATGGCGGCAACAAACTCAACGGAAGATGGAACGCAGATGAAAACATTTGAAGAACTTGTATGTTCCTCTTCTTCGGAGGGCGAATTGCGACAATACTCCTTGCGTCTGTCAGCAGTCATCATTTTCTTTTCCCTTACAGCATTTCTTGGGAATGCCCTGATCGTCGTTGCACTTCACAAGGTAGCTTCCCTCCATCCGCCGTCCAAACTCCTGTACCGTTGTCTGGCAACGAGTGATCTGTTGGTTGGTCTTATAGGCCAGCCTCTCACTGCGACTCTTTGGATGTCGGTTGTTTTCGAACAGTGGAGACTTTGTCGATTCACATGGGTAGCAGCCTCCATTTCAGGGTATGGATTATCTTTTATATCTTTGTTGACACTGGCAGCCATGAGCGTGGACAGACTTCTCGCCCTGTTGTTGGGGCTGAGATATAGACAAATTGTAACTTTGAAGCGCACATATATCATTGTCGTTGCTCTTTGGATTGTAACCGTTGTCGCTACTCTATGCGAGGCGTTAGGCTCTCATATAGCGCCTTGGTTCGGTCGAATTGTCATCCCATGTTGCCTATTAATCTCGATTGCTTCATATGCAAAGATTTTCCGCGTTCTTAGTCATCGTCAAGCTCAAGTACAACATCATGTTCAACAACAGCCGAGCCAACCAAATGCACTGAACATGGCGCGATACAAAAAGGCAGTGTACAGTGCACTGTGGGTGCAGTTAGTGTTACTTGCTTGTTATGTGCCTGTGAGTTTAGTGGGAATTGTGATGGCTCATAGAAAAGGAAATTCATCGCATTTAGTCGTCGCTCTTGGAATAGCTAATACCCTGGTTTATTTTAACTCGACTTTAAATCCGTTTCTTTACTGCTGGAAGATTAGTGAAGTAAGAAGAGCAGTTAAGCAGACAATCAGACAAGCGCTTTGCAGTCCACGGGGTTAGATCTTCCATTATACTCTTTTTTAATTGTTTCAAGCGAGTATGTAGCGTGACGATACTATGAGATAACGCATCCCGTCGGATATGTCATTTCATCATAACCATTATAATTTCCTCAAATGTGATTGGTGCATTAACTGCTTTATTTTCTGCTAATCATTCTGTAGAGCTGTAATCGGACAGTTGGCTGTAGTCGGACACCTGTAATCGGACAGTTGAAGTAGTCAATCACACCAAGTCCATTCATCCAAATCCACCAATCACAGAATTAAACACAATAACCATAGCAACAGCCACTTATCCTAAAAAAAGAAATTGGTAATTTTTACAATGAAGAAATTTTTTATTTTAGACATTGTCTCTACCGGAGATATTACTCCTAAATGTATTTGTTATTTTCGGAAATTGAAACGGTTATGATTAATTGGTAACAGGACTTCTTGTC